AATATTTTTTATAAAATAAATTTCAAACTTTAAGTAGTAAAATAAATTTAATATATTTTAGAAATCTAAATAAATTGTTTATAATATTTTAACTTCAAAAGCAGAAAAAAATATTTTATTTTAATAAAAAGTGAAGATAATGTAGGTAAAAATGCGAAAGTAAACAGCTTTATTTACTTGAATAATACAAATTTTACAAATATTTTTGGAGAAGACATTACATCAATATTTTCGATAACTCTTTCGTAGCTAAATGTTAATAAGTCTTTTTATTAAGTTAATTTAACTAATTCTCAAAGCTCTATCTTACCATTAGATTCACTTAATTAAATATACCCATCAACTTACATTAGCTCGATTAGAAGTGATGTTTATATGGATAAAGTCACCATTTAGAATATTTAGGATAAATACCAAATATCATAAGATCATTAAATATTTTTTGCTGTTTCAAAGTCAAATTTCAAATTGTATAATTGTGTTATTAAAGATATCTAAATGAACATAGGAGGTTTAGCTTTCTTTGATCAGGGTTCAATTGATATTTAAAATTTACAGATTTCTAATATTAAATATCAAACTAAAAATGAAAGATTATTACAGCCTCTAAATAGTTACTTATATTAAATTACATCCTTACAGTTTTCGAATTCTATTATAACAATGAATTAATCAAATTTATCTAATATTTTTTGCTAGAATGTCTGTATTGGAGGTTTTGCTTTGATAAAATCATCTTAATTGATTATTTCAAATTCAAATTTCACAAACATTCAGGTAAATTTTAAATTTTATATTACAATAAATAAACTGAAATTAAAAATAATTATTTTAAAGTCATATAGCGGAGGAGCAATTACAATATAAAATCCTAAGTTAAATGTTTTAATAAGCAAATGCAATTTTTAAGATAATTTATCTAACTTTGATGGTGGTGCATTACAAATAGCCTCAACTTAAATTATGGTAAAGCTTTTAAAAAAAATTACCAAATAACTCTTATTTTATTTTAAAAGGCCAACAACATTTCTATTAATAAGAACATTTTTCAAAAGAATACAGCTTAATAGGGATAAGGAGGAGCTATCTACTTTTATACTCAAAATTCAACAAGCGATAATTCTTTAACTATATAAGATAATCTAATTAATAATAATGTAGCTTATATCGGAGGTGGTATTAAATATGAAGGAATTGTTCCTGTATTGATTAACAATACCATTTAAGATAATAAAGCTGTTTTATATGGATAAAATACTTTTTCTTATCCTACAAAACTTTAGTTAGAAAATGCTTAAGAAATTATAAATAGTTATAATAATATTGAGGTATATGAAAATAAAATTGTAATAAATCATTAGAGGAGTGGAGAATCTTTACCTAATATGACATTCACTCTTAGGAACGATTATGGTGACATAATGAAATTTGTGGATACTGCAGATTATCAACAACAAAATTACATCTCAATATAAATTGATCCATAAAGTTCTTTTTTCAGTTAATATTACATAAGAGGCGATCCTTAAGCAGGCTATAATTCATAAGAAAACTCTTTTTAATTTAAAAACATAGATTTAATTGGAAAGCCACTTACAAAAGTAAAATTAATGATAAAGAGCAATTTAATAAGAGACTCTAATACTACCTAATTATCTAATAACTATTTCTTTGAAGTAGAAGCTCATATTTAAGATTGCCAAATTGGTTAAATCCCTTATTAGTATAATAACTTTTAAGAATGTACAATATGCGAAAAAGGAACATATTCGTTTGATAAAACTTAGTGTTATAAATGCCCTAACGGAGCAGAATGCTTAGGAGGTAGTCAAATAATTGTAGATAAGGGATATTGGAGAAGTGGTGAGTATGATGAAGACATAATTCTTTGTGAGCATTTGTAAGAAAATTGTGTTGGAGGATCATATGGCAATAATATATGCTACAGAGGGCATATCGGTGGATTGTGTGAAGAGTGTGATGTAAGTATTTGTTTTAAGCTATAAATAATTTTATTTATAATTTTACTTTTAAAGATATATGGTGAAGTTTGGGGAGAAAGCTATGCAAAATCTGGAAAATATCAATGTAGTGAATGTAGCAAGATAGCAAATAATTAGTATATAGTGACTGTTGTTACGCTTTGGACTTTGATCTCAATGGTCATTGCTATAAAAGATAACACAGAAGAATAAGAACAATTACATCAAAAAGAAATTTTTGAAAGAATTAGAAAGAGAAATACAATATCAAAAAGGCCATAAAATAAATAAATAAACTCAACAAATCCATAAGATTAAACAAGTGTTTACATAAAAATTTTTACGAATTATTTTTAAATTATTTCATCGATTGCAACATTTAATTTGTAAGTTCCTTCTGGTAAAATTTTTAAGCAATATCTTTTAGAATTATAATTAATTATTTGAAAAATAAATATATAATAGGTATAATTGAGTTTCCATAATCTGTAGGCCAACCAATACAAAAAACAATTAACTCGCTAGATTGTGCTCTTAAAGAGTTTACTACATCTATGCCCATAATATATCTAAGATTAGTTTTCTCAATAATTATGCCTATAGTATATTTACTTATTTTCATGATTGGTCTACTCATTTACTATAAAGTAATTAATAAGCAAAAAAACTTCCCTTATTATATGATTAATACAGCTTTGATATTTTTATTGATTTATACTTAACCAGATTTAGTAGCTTAAATGATAGCTTTACTTTCGTGCAGATAAATTGGGAATGAAAAATATATTCTTTCTAATGTATCTTTTAAATGTTACACATAGGATTTTTATTAGTGGGGATTAGGCTTTATATTACCTTTACTATTTGCTTTCGTATTTTTATTCCCCTATATCCTACTAAGACAATTAAAAAATTCTAAAAATAACTTATAAGAGCTAAAAGTGAAAAGAAAATACAGTATTTTATATAAAGAATACACTTAAAAGTGCTATTATTGGGAGTTTGTAAAAATGGCATAAAAACTATCAATAATATTATCTCTTAATTTCTATTCTTAAGATATAAAGACTAAAGGAATTTTAGTATTTATTACCATTACATTTTATTCTATCTCCTTAATGGTATTTAATCCTTATAAAAGCCTTTAAATAAATAAACTTGATCATTATTCTACAAATGTTTGTGCTATCTCTGTACTTCTTGGTATTTTCTTGTATAGCAATAGTTATTAATATTTCGTAATAATTTCATTTACAGTAATAATAGTAATCAACGCTTTATTTATTCTACTTATGATAAGGAATATCATTTTAGGCTATACTTAAAAGTTTGAGAAACCACTTTAAGATATACTACATAAGCTTAGTTCTAAAATTAAATTCATTTCAAATTATTTATAAAGAAAGAAAGAAAAAGATGAGTAATAAGCAGCAAAAAGAATATTAATTAAATAAAAAGTGTAAAAAATACTTCTAATCTTCAAATCTATGAATATATAATAAAAAAGATAGTTAGCAATAGATGCTTTCACTCAGATGATAGGTAAATAAAATATATTTCTAATTTTTAAATTAAAGTATTTATGATATAAAAGATAAAAAGCTAACCAAATAAGAACTGCAATAATTGAATCTAAATAATTAAAATAGTGAAAAATAAATTAGCATAATGAATGATGAATAAGGTAATCTGATTTAATTTATTCTAAAAACATTTTTAAAGTTAAACAATTTAATTAAATAAAATAGCTAAAAAGGAATCCATGACAGTATTTTCATCACGAAATATAATAATAAAGTTTTAATAAAGTGAAAAATCTTTGCTCTCTACTTAAAAAGATAAATAAAATGAAGAGGATTATTAACATGATATTGAAGAAAAAACTTTAAAAGATACATAAATTGAATTAGACTTTAAAAAATTTTAAAAGTGATTATTACTATATGCTGCATATTTTTTCTGTAGCTAACAAACTACTTATAAAAAATAATAAATAAATTAATTTATAATTTTAATGTTATTTTATTTTTATATTGCTATTTATTAAGTATAATTTTTGATTACAGCATAATAGTAAAATTGAATTAAATAAAAATAAAAAAACTGAAGGATAAATATAAAATCAAATTGATATGATTCTAAAGATAAAATAAAACAAATTAATAATCACAGAAAAATTAAAAGAAGAAAATGAAAATTTATAATTTAATCATAGAGAGATTATATGTAAATTAAGGATTTAAAATAAAAAGAAATATAAATATTAAATATGGATGTAGAATAAAAAATTGATAATTATGATATTAAAAGTAAATCATTTTATAAAGATTTTTTTGGAAATAATTAATGAATTAAAAATATCTTAGAATTTAAAAATCTATTTGAAATAAATTACATTTTATTTATTTTTTCTTTAAAACTTAAAATGAATTAAATTAAATTATTTTTTTTATTATTATTTGTTAATTTGTATCTGAAGATAAAATAGAATAAATTTCAAAAAAAATTAAATATAATCTAAACTCAATAATATGATGCTATTTTTTTAATATCAGTTAAAATATAAATAAACTAGGAAATCTGATTTTATATTTTATATTGAAATAGTTAGTTATTTAATAATTTTATTTTATTTTTTAATGAGATCATTATTCTAATTTTAATATTATCTCCTTAAATTTATCTTTAAACATTCTATATATATTCTTTTTATAAATCTAATATCAATAAAAAATTATTAAAAACGCATTAATCATCTATCAATCAAAAAAAATGAATTCAAATAGCTTAATGTAATAAAACAAGTATGAAGAATATTTACAATCTATAGAATTAGAATAAGTAAATAGACCTAATCTTTTTAAACAGTAAGATTATTAACCTGAAACTATTTCTGTAAATAAAATAAAATTATCTAAATAAGATTATTGTAGAATCTTATTTATGCCAACTCATTTCTATTAAAATGACTTATATGAAATAAGTATTCGAGGAGATTAAATTAACTTATTAAATTGTATGTATAAATACGGAATCTAAGGGGAAACATCTTATATTTGTCTTTTAGATATAAGCAATGCATCATAGACTTTGATATCCTATGAGTTCAAGATTTTGGATGCTTAATCTAAAATCAATTTTAAAGCTGGAGTTTTAGGGGGTAAATATATTTTATTATCACTACAGTCAGCTAGTGAAGTTGAATTACATGTCCTTAACCTAGATCTAACATTAATTATGAAGCATAATTTCAAAGACTCGTTCTATATTAAAGATTAAGGGTATGATGTTGATAATCACATGCCTGAAGAATATCTAGGCGAATTCGAAAATAGTATAGATTATTTTTAGGATAAAATAATTTACTATCAATGTCAATAAGTACTTTTTAAAATAGACATCAATCAAAGATTTGTGGAATAAAAAATATTTTAATAATAATCTTGTTTACTATTGAGATTACTCTATATTACTTAAAGTGAGTTTAATTACTATTTTAAAAGTAGTGATAAGAACAGCTTATTAGGCTATTCAAAATATGAATAAAACAAATTAATTTTATTTGTTGTTTTAGGAACAAAAATTATTTAACTAAACATATTTAATCTAGCAATTATTAGAGAAACCAAAAATCCTTACATAGATAATTTAAAAAAGTCAACAAATTTTATACAAGCTTTTGTATTACCTATTTAATTAAAGAGTAGATAGAATAAATTATTTTCTTGTTGGACATTTATAATAAAAGCAAAAGATAGTAATATGAATTTGGTTGATTGGAGAGAAAAGGATTTATTTTAAAATTAAATGTCAACTGACGATAATTCTGATTAGAGTGGTATAAAATCTTTTATGAAATGTTGTATTATACATAAAATATTGGTTAATAAAAAAGAAACATTAATTTAATTGAGAAATTCAAATAGATATATATAAAACACTAGTACTTTTAATTTGGTGATATCAAAGATAAAAGGAAAAAAGAACTATAATTATAGTTTCAACTTTATTTACTAAGATTTTAATTAAATTTCTTAACATTATAAGGTTTTGTAATATTATCCTCCAATATTGTTAAAAAAATAAATTGTTTACCCATGCTTGACTATAAAAAATAATTATAAAGAAATTATAAGCTACAATTTAAACTTTTTGTGGTTTAACAGATAAGATTCTTACTATTTAGAAAAATTGTAAAATTTTAATGAATAAGTATCATAAACACCTAATTTAGAATATTCTATAATAAGGAGGACAAATTAATCTATTGTTTTTTAGTTGATAGATTAAAAAATTAAAAAAACTATTTCTTATGAATATTGTGAAAGATAAGATAAACGTATTAATGAATACATATATAATGATTATAAATCTGAGATAATTTTTATTGAAGATGATAAAGATTTTATAGGACCTTCATATTTTAATTTATATTCAATTTTACCTAAAGAAAAACCTGAAGAAGATGATAACAAATTTAATAAAGTTTTAGAGATTAAAAAATATATTATGTCATACTCAAAATTTGAAAAAGATTCCTATAATAATTTATACTTACCTATGACTTATAAAGAAGATGAATAATTATACTTTGGAATATATGATGTAAATATCAAATAATTTATAAATGAAAAGATCTTAATCCTTAAAGATCAATATTTAAGATTATCTTATTTGAATGAAGAAAAAAAAGAATTTATTTTGCTATTTGAATATTATTATGAAGATTTAGATGAATACCTGTATAATTTATATATTCTTTAATTGGACTAAGAAAATAAACTTAAACTAATTAAAGAAGACATACTAGAATATTCATAAGTTGAAAAAGATAACCAAAATAATATTTTCCTTCCAATGCTATTTTATGAAGATAAAAAAAAATATTTTGGAATATATAATTTAAATAATAAATAAATAATAAAAGAATCAACTCGTTTATCATAGTATACTCAGACAATACTATCTAATTATTATGAGGATAAAAAAGAATTTATTTTAATATTTGAAATTTTTGAAAATAATTCTTTTTTAGCTTTTTATTCATTTGATATGATTTAACTTAAATTTAAATTTATTAATATGCATAAATAATAATATTCTTATTTTAAATTAAGTACAAATAAAAACAAATTGATACTTAAAAGTAGTTATAAAAATAAGTAGATTGTTTTTGACAGAAACAAGAGGTTTGAAATTAGAAAAATCTGTTAAACAAAAATATATTTTAAATATGTTATTGAAGATATTGGTAATTAGTCCAGAAATCATTATATAATGATCATTCGTAATAAATAATCTAATTCAAAAGAATTTTTTAATACCAGAAGCTAAGAATTTTGTTATTATTATCCTATTGAATTATAGGTTTGTTGGGATTTACATTATTTTATAAAAAAATAATTAAATGATGGCAAGATTTTAATTTATAAAGGTGGATAATTTTATTTACTTAACAAATGCGCCTGAGTGATTTTATGATTTAATTAAATTTAAAAATTAATGATTTTAAAAATCAAATTCTTACTTCTTTTTATATTTATTTTATATTTTGAAAAAACATTTTAGCTTTTTAAAATAAATATATCCTACATACAGTTGTCAAGAATTTGAATTATTTTTATTTTAAAAAATATTAAAATTTGATATTAATAATTTAAAAAGAAGAAGAAATCTTTTCCTTTAACAAAATTAATTTATAGCAAGATGCCATAAAAAAATTTATTGGCTTGCATGCCACTTTCTATGAAATAGATTTTTAGATATTTATTAAAAAATCTGATTTTTATTTTATTTTTTTTAATAATTTAATTTATTGTTATTTTAAAAATTAATAATTTTTTTACATCAAAATTTTTATATTTAGCTAATTTTTAGAATTCAAAAAAAAAATAAATTATTTAAAAAACTAAATTGAAAATATAATATTTGTAAAAAATATTCATTATTCTACAAAATTAATATTTATTTTTATTTTAAATTTTATTTCTTCATTATAAATTTAAAAAGATTTTGTTAATAATTGCCAAAATATCATAAGAAAAAAGTTGATTTTTTAATTGCATTACATATAGAAAACTGAATGAATATTTAATAGCAATATAAAATACAAATATTTATATTTAATGACGTAAAGGAAATATTTGAAATTACTTACAATTATATAATTATATTAAATGAAGGAAATATTAATAAAATCTAAAGAATATGATTGTATTAATCTCCTAAAATTTAAGGTATCAATTTGTTTACTTAGTATTAAATGAATATGTAGATTTAATGAAGTAGTCTATGATTTTTTCTACAACATAGATTTTATTAATATTGTACTTATTTAGCATAAAGCAAATGTAATTCAACTCATTTTAATGAATAGAATTGTGATTAAATTTTGATTAAGATAAATTAAAAATTTTAATGTTAAGATTTAGCAAAATAGGATAAAGAGAGTAAAGAAAGGTTTTTGTTAAGAATAATTACTTAAATATGAAAGTAAAATGCTTTTATACCTTAGCATTTTTATAAATGCTAATAAGATTTATTTGTAGCTAAAATACTTGCCCTTAAAGTTATGAATATAACAGTAAATAGATCTTTTTTTAGCTTATTTTCGTAATATTATGTTCATTTTTTCATATAGGAATAATGTACGAAAAAGGAATGTTACCATTTTAGCTACTTTTAATTCCATAAACTAATATATTAATCGTATTATCAAATGACAATTATAACTCGTAGCCTAGTGTTTATTATGTTGTTGATACAGAGACTAATAAAGTAACAAATGTTGTAGAAAGTAAATTTATATTTTAAAAAAGCTAAAAGGTTTAAAACATTAATTTAAAATAAGTGGTCAACCCTGTTTATTATATAAGATATGTCCCAGCAATAAAATCGATAATAGGCATAAATGCCTCAACATTTTATGTATTTGATATTTATACAATGTCAATCATCTTATAGGCCAAAGTAATTGATTAAGGTGCTCAAGCAGATAACTTCATTGACACAGCTATTGCAGTAATTTCTTCATATAAAAATATAGTTGTTGCGTATAATATCCAATAACAAAGAGTTGTTAATACATACTACTCAAGTAAATATAATTAATAAATTATTATAGCAATGTTGATGAGTATATTAATATTAGATAGTACAGTAGTAAATTTTTCCTGCATAACCTTCGCAGAAAATGAGCATCTTGTCTTCATGAATGATAACTCTACTATAGTAATTTGGAATGTAGATACTGGAGTTTACTTTAGTTTATAATAAGGTAAATATTTAATTGATTCTAAATAATATTAAAGTATTTAACAAAATTAGTGTAAACGTATTAAAACAGTTTATTTTCGCATTTATAGAACACCTATTATGTCTTTTTTGTTGTAAATTCTACTAAGTTACAATTATTTGATTACTCATAATATAAGCTAGGAAAAGCTAATTTGTTATACACGATAGGTATTTTTTTTTTCTTCTTAACTTCTTCTAAGCTAAATATTTTATCCTAAAGATACTTAAGATACTTTAAAGTAATACAACAAGGTATTTGATCCTAATCAAATAATAATTAGGTATTGCGCTATCAGTATGTAAGATTAACTGCAATACAATTATTTAGTGGTAAGTCATTCCACATAACACATAATTGTTTTTAAAATGCCAAAATAATTTGATTAGAAAACTTTTTAACTACAACCTATCTACACTTAGTATATTTAATTTTAAACTTGGATAATGCCTCAAAATAGTTTGAACTTATACCTAAGTGGACAATATATGATTTACGTATTAAATTTCTTTAATGAGATGCAGCCTTAGTATTCCTAATTGCTTTGTAATTTTCTTATTATTGCTTTCCTTACCTTGCCTTATATAAAAAAAAATTTCACAAAAAATAATTTTTAAATAAAAATATTTTATTATTTATAATAAAAATAAGATTTATATTTAAAAAGTTTTATTTATAAAATCATAAATCAAAATAAATATATAATTTTATTATAAATTTACATAATTTTTTATTAAAAATAACAGATTTTCCTTCTGTACAATAAATTCCTATGTTTCCTCTTTTAAATTATAACAATTAAGAAATTTATATTTCTGTATTTTAAGAAAATGTGGGAATGCCAACTCAAAATATATTCATATAAGGTTTTGATTAAGCAGGGAAATAATTACTCTTTACCCCTTACTCCTATGCTTTTAGTCCTTTAACTTATAGTGCCTAAATTGTATTAAATTCTAATTCTGCTGAAATATCTTATAAGATAATTTTTGGAGGAATATTAATCTATGACGTTAACTACTAATAAGTATTTATTTATTTATTCATTTAAATTTATAATTTTAACAAATATATAAAATTAGTACATCTATTATAGTGTCTTAAATAATTTCACATGGTTTAAGCAGATTTCAAATTATATAATAATAAAAAATGCTAATAGCTACACCTTTATTTAAGTTAATCATTTAGATGAAGGTAAATCTATAATGATCTTAGATCTTGTAACTTAATAAGTTGCCTACATTTATCCTCCTGATCAAACTATACTTGGACCTGCTTTCCTTTATAATATTCAAGAATAGAAAATTTATGCATTTAATAAATAAGGCATGCTTCATATTTGGGATTTTAATGGCAATCACTTGTCACAACTATAAAGTATTAATATTTTTTATTAGAAATTTTTATAGTAAGTTAAAAAAACAATTATTAAGCATTAAAAATATTTTTTTTAATTTACAATTTTCTTTCTATTAATTTTTTAACTTTGAATAAAGCACTTTTAAGATTAAAAATTATTTAAAAAAAAAACTTTAAATTCATCGTTTTTTTATTATATTATTATTAAAAATTCTTAAATTAAAAAATTATAAAAAGTTTCGAACTCCAAAGTCATTTAAATGCTGAAATTGCAAAATCTTATTGCCTTTGTAGATAATAACTAATAGTTAAATTAGATTTTAGATTCAGAAAAAACAGCCAAATTTGTTTATTAATTTTCTAATCCCCTTTCTACTTTTAAATATTTAGAATAAATTGATTTAATTTTTGCTGGCGAAACTATTTCAGGAAAAGTTTATGGATTCAAATTAAATAAAAATTCTTACTTAGAATTGTTTATTTAACTTAAAACACTAATAAGCTAGTCAATTTTAGACGTGTTTTATACTCCTATCTCTAAAATGTTGTATATCTCAGCAGACTACTCTAATAGCTTCTTTGATATATCTTAATGTCTCTAGGATGTTTAATAATGTCTTTCATGTTCTTAAAAGTTTTATATTTCTAATAGCTAATAGTAATATTTGTAAAATAATAGCTATGGCTAAGGCTTACAAAATTACCCCTTCACAACATATTAAAATATGATCTAAATATTCTTAACAGTAATTTTTGTATTTTTTGATAATATTTCATGAATTAATTTTTTATTTAAAAAGGCGTAAAGATATTCCAAAATTATGACTAACATTTAATACATTTAGACCTAAATATTTACTGACAGTTAATATCCTTTAAATTTAGAGTAATATATTCTGTAATTTAATTTTTAAAAAGTTATTTAGCTTTCTTTCTAGCCTATTGCTACTAATAACAATTTTTAACTATCTTATATAAAATTATCTGGAGATTTTTAGTTTAATAACTTTCAATCTATTTAAATTTAAAATATTACCTTTTTGTTTGATGTCACCAAATATTCAAATTGCTCTTTAGTCTTCAATTCGATAGTAAACTAAGTAGTATTAGATAATATTTAAATATTTAGCAGTGACAGTAACAACCTAGATTACTGTAATAAAATTAATTTGATAAATTCTTAGTTAACTTTGTAAAACATATTAATGGATTCTAAAACTTTTAAAAATCAAACTTATATTACATCAATAGGAACTTAAAAAGTAACTTACTTTTTTAGATTATTGACTTATATATTTATTATTTCATTCCCTCCTAACTTACTTACTTTTTCCTTCCATCCATCTATTCTTCCTTCTTTCTTTCTTTCTTTCTTTCTTTATTTTGAATCAACGAAAATATATATTTCTATAATAATTTAATATTTATTTTAAATAAACATAAATTAAAAAAATTAAAATGATTGGAAATTAAAATAAAATTTTACTAATAAAAAATAAATATAATTTTTATTATATTAAAAGGTGAAATTCTATAATTTTAACTTGACGAATTGTTAAATTGGAATATTTAGTATTTTTAACTAATAATCTCACACAATTCTTGAGATTAAAAAATTAAATATCTTAGGAAATAATTACTTGCCTCTACAAAATTAAAATTAAAAATAAACTTAATCATTTTTTTCTGCAGGATAAATATCTTTGGATCAAGCCTTGATTGATAGCAACTATTTTCTAAATACTAACATCATGCAAATAATGGTTTAAGTTAACTACCTAAATCTTTTGTTTTCTTTAAGCAATATAGTTTTCTAGAACAACTAATTTTAAACAGTATCTCAAAGTGTTTTTTTTTCATGCTTGTTTTCACTTTTACCCTAACCAGACCATTAAATTACTGCTTCAAACATATTTATTTTCAATAATAATATCATTCAAAATAATAAATTAGATAATAACTAATATTTTTTTACTAATCTAATTTAATCTAATAATATTAATAACATAATTTTGTAAAATGTAAATCTTACTGATAATTAATACTTATCATTCATTTAGAGTTAGGATTTAGTTAGCTTTTAACTTGATACTTTTGAATGTTCTTATTCAAATGGTTATCTTTAAAAATATTTAGGAAATCCTTCATCTGGATGTTTTAGTTTATAAGAAACAAAATAAATTTAAATAAAAAACCTAAATGTCTCGTAAAAGTTGGCATTTGATTCTAACTTAGTTGATATACTCAATTAAAAGGTAGCTTAAACTTAGATCTAATTTTATAATAGTTCATTTAGTAATGTATTATTGTTTCAATCATAGCAATATAAGTAAGCTAACCCTTTAATAATAAGGTCATCCTACTAAAACGACATATTAATATACAATTGTACCTTTTACAATAACACTTTATTTGGTATACCTAATTCAATAGCAGTATCAAGCTCTGCTATATAAATTATGAATATTGTTGGAACTGCTACTCTAAATTAAACATAATTTAAAAACTTGAGTTCGAATTCTGACATAAATGGTTTTTATGCTTTATCTTAGAATACAGTAATAATAAATTCAACTTTTGATACTACGTTATATTAACAAACAAATCAAATTTAAAGCTCAAATCAGTTGAGTTAATAAATTAATTTGAAAGGAGGGTCAGTAAACATTAAATCCTAATCAGTCCAAATTATTCAATCTGTATTCAAAACTTCAGAATCTCACTCAGGAGGGTTTATTTACATTACTTCTTATTCTTAAACCTTGAATGTAAATATCAGTTAGTCCTAATTTAAAGATTGCTTCACAAAGCTGAATGGAGGTGCAATCTTTTTAGATACTCTTGGATCCACAACATAACTATTTATATCAGATTCATCATTTGAAAATATCTATCAGCTGAATTTTTAGTCCTCTCTGATTTATATAAAGTAAATTTAAATTAAATTTTCTAAAAATAATTCCACATATTGTTTGATTTTGAAATACTATTTTTTTGTGTAATTTTTTAAAGATTGTATTTGTCTTACTTTTTCTTTTTTTTGGAAAGAAAATTTTGATAAGTCAATTTTTCTATATTTTTTTATGCTCTTATTTTCAAACTTTAAGTATTAAAATAAATTTAATATATTTTAGCTTCAAAAGCGAATAAAAATATTTTATTTTAACAAAAAGTGAAGATAATGTTGGTAAAAATGCAAAAGTAAACAGCTTTATTTACTTGAATAATACAAATTTTACAAATATTTTTGGAGAAGACATTACATCAATATTTTCGATAACTCTTTCGTAGCTAAATGTTAATAAGTCTTTTTATTAAGTTAATTTAACTAATTCTCAAAGCTCTATCTTACCATTAGATTCACTTAATTAAATATATCCATCAACTTACATTAGCTCGACTAGAAGTGATGTTTATATGGATAAAGTCACCATTTAGAATATTTAGGATAAATACCAAATATCATAAGATCATTAAATATTTTTTTCTGTTTCAAAGTCAAATTTCAAACTGTATAATTGTGTTATTAAAGATATCTAAATGAACATAGGAGGTTTAGCTTTCTTTGATCAGTGTTCAATTGATATTTATAATTTACAGATTTCTAATATTAAATATCAAACTAAAAATGAAAGATTATTACAGCCTCTAAATAGTTACTTATATTAAATTACATCCTTACAGTTTTCGAATTCTATTATAACAATGAATTAATCAAATTTATCTAATATTTTTTGCTAGAATGTCTGTATTGGAGGTTTTGCCTTGATACAATCATCATAATTGAGTATTTCAAATTCAAATTTCACAAACATTCAGGTAAATTTTGTATTGAAATAAATAAACACAAATTTAAAAAAAAATATTTTAAAGTCATATAGCGGAGGAGCAATCACAATATAAAATCCTAAATTAAATGTTTTAATAAGCAAATGCATTTTTTAAGATAATTTATCTAACTTGGATGGTGGTGCATTACAAATAGCCTCAACTTAAATTATGGTAAAGCTTTTTAAAAAAATTATCAAATAACTCTTATTTTATTTTAAAAGGCCAACAACATTTCTATTAATAAGAACATTTTTCAAAAGAATACAGCTTAATAGGGATAAGGAGGAGCTATCTACTTTTATACTCAAAATTCAACAAGCGATAATTCTTTAACTATATAAGATAATCTAATTAATAATAATGTAGCTTATATCGGAGGTGGTATTAAATATGAAGGAATTGTTCCTGTGTTGATTAACAATACCATATAAGATAATAAAGCTGTTTTATATGGATAAAATACTTTTTCGTATCCTACAAAACTTTAGTTAGAAAATGCTTAAGAAATTATAAATAGTTATAATAATATTGAGGTATATGAAAATAAAATTGTAATAAATCATTAGAGAAGTGGACAATCTTTACCTAATATGACATTCACTCTTAGGAACGATTATGGTGACATAATGAAATTTGTGGATACTGCAGATTATCAACAATAAAATTACATCTCAATATAAATTGATCCATAAAGTTCTTTTTTCAGTTAATATTACCTAAGAGGCGATCCTTAAGCAGGCTATAATTCTTAAGAAAACTCTTTTTAATTTAAAAACGTAGATCTTATTGGAAAGCCACTTAAAAAAGTAAAATTAATGATAAAGAGCAATTTAATAAGAGACTCTAATACTACCTAATTAACTAATAACTATTTCTTTGAAGTAGAAGCTCATATTTAAGATTGCCAAATTGGTTAAATCCCTTATTAGTATAATAACTTTAAAGAATGTACAATATGCGAAAAAGGAACATATTCATTTGACAAAACTTAGTGTTATAAATGCCCTAACGGAGCATAATGCTTAGGAGGTAGTCAAATAATTGTAGATAAGGGCTATTGGAGAAGTGGTGAGTATGATGAAGACATAATTCTTTGTGAGCATTTGTAAGAAAATTGTGTTGGAGGAACATATGGCAATAATATATGCTACAGAGGGCATATCGGTGGATTGTGTGAAGAGTGTGATGTAAATATTTGTTTTAAGCTATAAATAATTTTATTTATAATTTACTTTCTAAAGATATATGGTGAAGTTTGGGGAGAAAGCTATGCAAAATCTGGAAAATATCAATGTAGTGAATGTAGCAAGATAGCAAATAATTAGTATATAGTGACTATTGTTACGCTTTGGACTTTGATCTCAATGGTCATTGCTATAAAAGATAACACAGAAGAATAAGAACAATTACATCAAAAAGAAATTTTTGAAAGAATTAGAAAGAGAAATACAATATCAAAAAGACCATAAAATAAATAAATAAACTCAACAAATCCATAAGATTAAACAAGTGTTTACATAAAAATTTTTACGAATTATTTTTAAATTATTTCATCGATTGCAACATTTAATTTGTAAGTTCCTTCTGGTAAAATTTTTAAACAATATCTTTTAGAATTATAATTAATTATTTGAAAAATAAATATATAATAGGTATAATTGAGTTTCCATAATCTGTAGGCCAGCCAATACAATAAACAATTAACTCGCTAGATTGTGCTCTTAAAGAGTTTACTACATCTATGCCCATAATATATCTAAGATTAGTTTTCTCAATAATTATGCCTATAGTATATTTACTTATTTTCATGATTGGTCTACTCATTTACTATAAAGTAATTAATAAGCAAAAAAACTTCCCTTATTATATGATTAATACAGCTTTGATATTTTTATTGATTTATACTTAACCAGATTTAGTAGCTTAAATGATAGCTTTACTTTCATGCAGATAAATTGGGAATGAAAAATATATTCTTTCTAATGTATCTATGAAATGCTACACATAAGATTTTTATTCGTGGGGATTAGGCTTTATATTACCCTTACTTTTTGCTTTCATATTTTTATTCCCTTACATCCTATTAAGATAATTAAAAAATTCTAAAAATAACTTATAAGAGCTAAAAGTTAAAAGAAAATACAGTATTTTATATAAAGAATACACTTAAAAGTGCTATTATTGGGAGTTTGTAAAAATGGCATAAAAACTATCAATAATATTATCTCTTAATTTCTATTCTTAAGATATAAAGACTAAAGGAATTTTAGTATTTATTACCATTACATTTTATTCTATCTCCTTAATGGTATTTAATCCTTATAAAAGCCTTTAAATCAATAGACTTGACCATTATTCTACAAATGTTTGTGCTATCTCTGTACTGCTTGGTATATTCCTGTATAGCAATAGTTATTACTATTTTGTTGTAATTTCATTTACAGTAATTATAGCAATCAACGCTCTATTTATTCTACTTATGATAAGGAATATCATTTTAGGCTATACTTAAAAGTTTGAGAAACCGCTTTAAGATTTACTACATAAGCTTAGTTCTAAAATTAGATTCATTTCAAATTATTTATAAAAAAAGAAAGAAAAAGATGAGTAAAAATCAGCAAAAAGAATATTAATTAAATAAAAGGTGTAAAAAATACTACTAAACTTGAAGTCTATGAATATACAATAAAAAAGATAGTTAGCAATAGATGCTTACACTCAGATGATAGGTAAATAAAATATATTTCTAATTTTAAAATTAATATATTTATGATATAAAAGATAAAAAACTAACCAAATAAGAACTGCAGTAATTAAACCTAAATAATTAAAATAGTGAAAAAGAAATTAGCTTAAAATTGAATGATGAATAAGGTAATCTAATTTAATTTATTCTAATAAATTTTTTTAAAGTTAAACAATTTAATTAAATAAAATAGCTAAAAAGGAAACTATGGCCCAATTTTCATCGCGAAATATAGTAATAAAATTTTAATAAAGTGAAAAATCTTTGCTCTCTACTTAAAAAGATAAATAAAATGAAGAGGATTATTAATATGATATAGAAGAAAAAACTATTAAAGATACATAAATTGAATTAGACTTTAAAAAATTCTAAAAGTGATTAAAAATAAATATAATTTAACCTTATTTATTATAATTTTATCATTTGTTATTTAAATTTTTTTGATTTGTATTTTAATAAAAATTATAAAATGTGATACATATTTTTTTTTAAATATTTCAAAAAATTTAACAAATTCTTTTATTTAGATTTTTTAATTTAGAATAAATTTAAAATGCAAATTTGCGTAATACAAATACAAACTGTAATTTTCTCACACTCCATTTTATCCGCATATGTGCTGAAATAAATGAATGGAGAAATTTTATTTAATTAAACTTCTAGTCTTAAATCATAATTAATTTTTTTAAATTAATTGAGTCAAAAAACTAATTTTTTTTATGTATAAATCTTTGTTATCTTTTGATAAATTGATAGGAATCATTTCTTCATCTTCTTGAATTTAGTTTTCATAGATTTCACTATAAATATATAGATAAAAGGAATAGAAATTTCAGTCATTCGTAAGACGACCTAGATAATTCTTACTTACAAGACAATATAATCATTTGAAGAAGGAAATTCATAATTCGTATCTAGTCCTTAAAAAGGTATTAAGGTATATAAGTATTTATTAATTATATATATTTAAAATTCTATTAAAATAATCTAAATTTAAAAAATGAATATTTTTTTTTTTGTTAATTTAATTAGACCTTAAAGTATGAGAATATATTGTATTTTAAATTTTATATTATCAATCACAAAGATTTTAAATTATATTTTTGATTGCTCAAAATTTATAGATAAAACATTTAATTATTTAAATTTCATATTAAAGTATCTATAAATTTTAAAAAAATATATTATAAAATTTAATTAATTTAAAATGTTTATTTTGAATGAGTAGATTATATATAAATTGATTTAAATATTAGTCTATGAATCATAATAAAATAATATGTAGGGTATATAATTTTTTTAAAATAATAAATCTTTTTATTAATTGTTTTTCTATAAAAAAATAGTTCATATAATTAACCTTTATCATTTAAGATTGAAAAACTTAATTAATTAACAAAGGAAATTTTAATAAAAAAACAAGCAAAATTAATTTCTACTTGATTAATTTTTAAAAATGAAGATTTTTTTTATTTTATTGTATTATTTTTTCCACACTATTTATGGTTAAGACTCTTGTCCACTCAGCTACGAATACTATCGTATACTAAAATTTAAAGATAAATTTAACTAAATATAATTATACAATATTAAAAGGTTTTTAGTATGAGAAAGGAATACAAGTAATGGATTTAATTACAATTCCATAAACAAATATTTTAATTGCATTGACTAATAATAAGTATTACAGCTAATCTGCTATATTCTATTATATAGATATTGAAACAAATAAGATAATTAATGTGGTTGAATGTAAATTTCAATTTATTTTTAAATATTTATTAACTAACTTATTTAAATAAACATTAAAAAGTAACTACTACTATTTACTTAATCAAGTATGTACCTGTCCTTAATGCTATTATAGGAATAAGCTCTTCTACTTTTTACGTTTTTGATATATACACTATGAATATCTTATAATAAAGTAAAGTGGTGGATTAAATTTATTCTGCTGATAATTTTATTGATAATTCAATAGCAGTAATTGCTTCATAGAAAAATATTGTAGTTTCCTATGATATTAAAGAAAAAAAAATAATAAACACTTATTATTCAAGTAAGTAACTGATTTGTAATTAAAATATTTAAATAATTAATACTTTTCTTAAAATAGATAGTGCTGTTTAGAATTTGAAATGCTTGACCTTGCCAAACGGTGAACATGTAGTAATAATGAATGATGCATCATATATCTTCTTATGGGATGTTGATGATGGAAACTATGATTTTATTTAATAAGGTAGGTATATCATTTAAAATACATTTTAAAATATGTATTAATTTAAATTTTAAATTTAGTTTAAACCATTAATCAAACTTGTTTTGCTTAATACCCTAACAGCTATTACGTATTTGCAAGCTTTAACTCTACATAGCTTAATTTAATTGACTTAAATTAATATAAATCTTCCAATTTTACTACTGTTTACGCATTAGGTAAATATTAATTAAAAGATTATTCATAATATGAAATTCAATGTTTTTTTAATAGAAACATTAGATATTTTAAATAATTAAACTGGATCATAAAACTAAAATTAAACTTAAATAGTTTAAATCATAATTAGTTAACAGAACTAGTTATCGCATGATTATTTAGTTTTAGGCTTTTCAAATGGATTTTAAATAATTTTTTAATTACCTAAAGAGTATGATTAGTAAAACTTCTAATTAAAAATGGTTGAAATATTCAACGTCAAATTTGTAAAAGCTATCATGCCTGATAATAACTTAAACTTATACATTAGTGGAATGTATGCAATTTATGTCGTTAACTATTACGAAGAAAATAATGCTTACAGATACCTTTTATTATGTAATTAATTTACAATTATAAAGTTATTTTAATTTAATTTTATAAACATTATTATTTTACAAAAGTTTGTTTATAATTTCAATATTGAATCATTATAATTAATTATAGTTTTGCCTTAGTATGGTAACACAATAAGATACTGTGTTGCATATTAAAATCAAGAAGCATACATTTCATCAATAGATGGTCATTTAGCAGGAACTAACGATTCAGGAACGAGTTTTTTATTTTATTTACAATAATAGTATCCGATATATCCTAATTATTTTAGTGCATAACTTGTTAGTAATTCATAAGACTAGGAGATATCATATAAGCTTTTGAATGGAGGAATAATGGTATTCGATGTTAACAACTAACAAGTAAAAATAAAATATATGTTTTCTTATTTTAATTTAGATTTTTATAAAAATAGTTTAAATACTATAATGTGCTACAAAATTAAAGTTGGGGATAATATCAACAATACTTGGTAGTAAAAAACACAGATCATTATGCTTTTGTATCAGCTTTCTATTAATAAGGAAACTATTCTATATTGGTTCTAAATTTAAATACATAATAGGCCAAATTTTATTAACCTTCTGATAAAAGTGTACTTAGTTATCCATTTGTTTACAGTGTTAACGAATAACGAATTTATGCGACTAGCTATATAGGTGATCTCTATATATGGGATTTCAATACAACCTAAATATTTAAATAAAAAAGTAATTTATGTTTTTTCTTCTTAATTAAAACTAAACTATCTATTTTTATTACTTAAAATAGTAAGCAATATACCAATAATATAAATTTTGAGAATAGAATCAAGTAAATATATAATAGCTCTTGATTTTGATAAAAACCTAATTCAAATTTCTGAATAAAATTCATCCATTTAAACAATTTACAAATTCAAAACAGCTCTTACCACAATGAAATATATTGATTAGGTTAATTTAGTTTTTGTAGGAGAGTAATTAATTGGTAATGTGTATGGATTTTAATTTGATTAATCAATAAGCTAATATAAGTTGCTCATATAGCTGAAAGCATAGTAAGATTAAACAATCTTAGATATAAGTTTGACTCCAATAACAAACCTACTTTTTATATCTGGTGATAGTGCTAGTATTTTTTTTGATATTTAATAATGCCTAAAGAATATGCAATCTTGTATGAAATGCTCTCTTTCTTTTTATATAGTTAATAATTAAGAATAGTATTTATCCTAAAACAGCTATGGCTAGGGAACAATATCTTATCCTTTCACAACAAACTAAAGTATTTTACTGTCATTTTTAATAGTAATTTATTTTTATTATTATTTAAATTTAGTTTAATACATTAATTAATAATTAGACCTAAAGATACAAGAAAATTTTAGTGAATGTTTAGGAAATAAAAACAGTATTGTATGTTAGCAATAAATACCCTTTAGAACTATAATAATACATTCTTCAATTTAACTTCTAAAATATTTTATAGTTATAAATTTTATCTTATTTTGAAGACAGCTTTGAACCATCTATAGTGTATTTAGAAGGAGATTTTTCTTTTAACAATTTTTAATCTGTTCTTTTAGGAAATATTACTTTGATTTATAATATCACTTAAAATTAAAATTGTTCTTTAAATTTTAATTCAATAATAAATTAAGTAGTATTGGATAATATTTAGATTTAAAATAATGATCTTAAAAATAAAGATTATTGCAATAATATTAAATTAATCAATTCATAGTTTAGTCTATAAAATACTATTCTTGATTCTAAACAATTTGCGAATTTAACTTTTATAACTTCTATAGGATCTTCAAAAGTAATATTTTAGTTTTTTTTCTTAATAAAATTTTACTCTTTTTAATTATAGGTTAGATTGTCAAATTTTAGTTTGGTAAATTCTACTTTAGGTTTATTTAGCATATTTAGTGAGTAATCTCACACTTTATTAGAAGTTGATAATTTAACTATTTATTAAAATTAGTGCTTAAATTAAAGCTTTTAAAATTAAGAGTAAGCAATATCTTTATTTTAAGCTGGAAAAATTTCATTTAGTAAAGTTAATATTTCAAAAAATTACTTTTGTAATATGTAAATAATTTAAACAGTAGCTTAAAACACAATATAAAATCTATTATTTAATCTAAATGAAATTTAAGTCTTCAATAATTCATTTAAAACATTATCTCAAAGTGTGCTTTTTTCTTGTCTTTTTTCGCTTTTACCTTAACCAGACCATCAGATAGCAATAACAAACATATAAATTTATAATAATATAATAATTTAAAATTAAAAAATATAAAATAGTTAGTACTTTTTATCAAACATGGTTTAAACTAGTAATATTTAAAATATTATGCTAAGCAATATTAACATAACTGATAATCATCAAATATAATTCATATTAAGTCAGTCAACAATTAATTTTAACCTTTAAAACTTTAATTGCTCTTATTCTGATACTTACTAAGAGAAGAATAGAAATTATCCATCATCAGGATGTCTTAGTATTTAAGAAGTATTTAATATAAATATTTCAAATTTAAATGTTTTCTAAAAAGTAGCTCATGATTCGAATTTAGTTGACATAACAAATCAAAAAATAGAACAAACATATATTTTGATATAAAATAGTTCCTTTAATAATATAATATTAGTACAATCCCAATAGTATAACCAAGCAAACCCACTAATAATAAAATCTTCTTATCAAAGTAATATTATAATAGAAAACTGCACATTTTCTAATAATATGCTATATGGTATACCTAATTCAATAACTCTTTCTAGCTCTGGATTACAAATCATAAATATTGTAGGAAATTTTGTCATAAATAATTCAAAATTTCTACATTTATCTTCAAATTCAGATATTAATGCTTTGTATGCACTATCTCCAAATATCTAAATAAATCTATCAATCTTTGAAAACACATTATATCAATAGGATTAAGGATAAGCATCTAATAATAGTGAGAACATTATAAGCATAAAAGGAGGATCTATTAATGTCAAAACTTAAAATCTACAAATAAACTAAAGTAATTTTTAAAAATCTTTATCATATACTGGAGGTTTTATTTTTGTTACTTCCTATTCAAAAACTTTGATAATTAGTATATCGGATTGTGAATTTAGTAATTCTTTTACAAAATTAAATGGAGGTGTCTTATTTTTAGATAGTATAGGCTCTTTTGTATAATTAACATTATCAACCTGTTAGTTTAAAAATATCTTTTTGCTTAATTGGTAAGCATCTCTGTTTTACATAAAGTAATTCTTAGCATTAAAAATTTTATTCTAATTTATTTTATTTTTAAACTATCAAATGTAAATAATAAGATATATTCTAATAATTAAAATATAATATAAAGCCAAGATACAATAGGAAAAAATACAGAGAATAAAAGTTTAATTTCGCTAAACAATGTGAATTTTACTGATATTTATGGTAATGATCAATCTTCTATATTTTCTTTAGCTCTTTCATAATTAAATATAACCAAATCACATTATATTAGTAATTAAAATATAACATTTAATGAAATAATACCTCTTAACTAATTCAATAATTTTATACCATCAACATTTATTAGCTCTTTCAAAAGTTTTATTTTTATTAATGATATAACGATATCAAATATATCTGATAATTATTAACTAAGCTCTGATCATCAAATATTTATCAATTCTTAAAATTCTGATATCTCATTAACCAATTGCACCATATCTGATATTAAAATGAATTTAGGAGGTATATCTCAATTCACATCAGATATAGTAAAAATTCAAAATTTTTAGATGCATAATATTATTTTTTAAACTCGTAATATGTTAAAAAGAGTGTTATAATATTAAAAAAATCTATCATGCTTACGTTTTATTAATGTAACCTTAACAATAAATTAAACTAACTCCTGTAATATAAAGTGCTAATATAATTGTTAAGGTGGATTTGCATTTTTAGATTCATCACAGCTAACTCTAATAAATTCAAATTTTTCAGATATATAAGTAAATAATGCTTAAATTATTTTAAATCTTTTAAACTCAAATTTTAATTAATAGTCTGAAAATGGAGGTGTTATATATATTCAAGACCCTAATTTAAATTAAATTATAAGCAACAACACTTTCTAAAATAATACATCGAGTTAAAATGGAGGTGCTATTTTGATATAATCAAATTAAGTTTAAGTAATTATTTTATATTTTTTGTAAAGGTATTTATTTCTTTTTATCTTAAAGGCTCTATTCAATATGTCAATAGTCTAAAATTATTTCCTAAATAACTTAGCTTAGAATGGAAAAGGAGGCTCAATTTATTTTTACTCATAAAATTCAATTTAAAGGGGATATTTAAGTATAGTAAAAAATTAAATATTAAACAACAAAGCATTTATTGGAGGCGGTATAAAATATGAAGGTATTATCCCAACAATGTCAGATAATATAGTTGAAAATAACTCTGCTTTTTTATATGGATAGAATATATTCTCTTACCCAACTAGATTATTTTTAGAAAACAGTTTAGAATTAGAAAAATTGAATAATTAAATCTAAGTTCAAATAGATAAAATAATTATTACTATGTAAAGGAGTGGAGCAAGTTTACCTGTAATGATATTTACATTAAGGAATGAATATGATGACATAATGAAATTTGCCAATACTGAAGACATATAAAGTTCTTATATATTTTTAGAAATTGATCCTTAAACATAATTTTTTCAGCAATTTTATTTAAGAGGTGAAACCAAAGCCTATTACAATTAAGAAACAAATAGTTTTTAATTCAAAAATATAGATTTAATTGGTAAGCCATAATCTAAAACTAAGATAATGGTAAAAAGTAACTTAATCAGAGATATTAATACTATATAACTAACAGATAATTACTATTTTGAAATCTTTGTTGAAATTTTAGGTTGCTAAATGGGATAAATAATTTATAAATACAATGGATTTTAGGAGTGTAAAATATGTGAATAAGGGACATATTCTTTTGATTATAATGAATGTTACAAATGTCCAAACGGAGCTGACTGTTTAGGGGGAAGCAAAATTGTTGTAGAGAAAGGATTTTGGAGAAAAGAAGAAAATGATGATAAAATTTTATCATGTGAAAACTTGAAAGAAAATTGCTAAGGAGGTTCATTTGGAAATTAAATTTGTTATAGAGGACACATAGGAGCACTATGTGAAGAATGTGATGTAAATTTTATGCTTTTTTAAAATGCAACTTTTTAATAAATTGTTATACTAGATTAATGGAGTGTATTGGGGTCAGAGCTATACGAAATCTGGCAAATATACTTGCACGTAATGCAGCGAAATATAATATAACATGTATGTAGTTGTTTTTGTAGCATTTTGGACCATAGTTTCTATGGCAGTTTCAATCAAAAGTGATTCTAAAAAGTAGACTGAGATTTATAGATAAGAGTTATTTTAAAGGATAGCTTAAAAATCAGCTTTGAAAATAAAAAACCAAAATTCTAACAACTGTGATGACTACACTAGTGTTTATATTAAAATATTTACTAATTACTTGTAAATTATTTCTTCTATGGCAAGCTTCAATTTGCAAGTTCCATCAGGTATTTAGAAAGCTACTTTTTTATTTAAAAATTTTTTTTATTATTTGTTAAAGGTGTTATTGAATTTTCCTCTACTGTTGGACAACCATTATAAAAAACGATGAATTCTCTAGATTGCGCATTAAAAGAAATTAAAACATCAATACCAATCATTTATTTGAGACTACTCTTTTCATTAATATTGCCTTTAGTCTATTTAACAATTTTTATTATTGGGATTTTTATTTACTTTAAATTAATTAAGAAATCAAGAAGGTTTCCTTTTTACTTAGTATACACAGCTATAATATTTTTATTTATTTATTCTCAACCTGATTTAGTTTCATAAATGATTGCTCTTATTTCTTGTAGGTAAATAGGAAATTCTATGTATATTCTTTCGAATGTTTCATTTGAATGCTATACTTATGAATTTTATAAGTGGGGCTTAGGACTGATATTACCTTTTTTATTAGTCTTTGTGTTTCTTTTTCCATTTGTACTTTTTTACTTACTAAAAAGGTCTAAAAATAGTCTTTAAATTTTAGAAATTAAAAAGAAATATGGTTTTTTGTATAAAGAATATACTTAGAAATGTTACTATTGGGAGTTTATAAAGATGTCTTAAAAGCTATCAATTATACTTTCTCTTAATTTTTACTCCTAAGATATAAAAACAAAAGGTATACTAGTTTTCATTACAATAACTATTTACTCTATAGCTTTAATCTTAATCAAACCATATAAAAACATTGATATTAATAATCTTGATCGTTATTCTACAAATGTATGCTCAATATCAGTTTTATTAGGAGTCTTCATATACTAAAACGATTTCTATTACTTGGTGATAATTTCTTTTATTGCTATTATTTTTCTAAACGCTCTCTTCATTATAATTATAGTAAAAAATATAATCTTAGGTTATACATAGAAAATAAAAATTGTTTTTCACAAATTATTGGAAAAAATCAGTAGTAAAATAAAATTTTTTTAAAGATACCAGCAAAAAAGAAAAGTAAGTTTCGTAAAGGATTAGACAAAACAGCTACAAACAAAATAAAAAATTTAAAAAATATTACTAAACTTAAAATCTTTAAACCCACAACAAAGAATGAATTTGGCTATTAAAACCTATACTGAATTGATGCGTAATTTATTTCTTCAATTATTATTAAGTTGATGAACTTACATCTATTTATTTTTATAGAAAAGAGATGTAACTACAATAGAGAAAAGTAGCAAGAAGAAAAATCTTAATTAATTTTTAATAATGTAATTCCTAAATATGACATAAATTTTAATCAAAATTAAGGTATTTGTAATTATAAAAAACATTTAATATCTCATTTTATATATAAAAGAAACAAAGAATAATTAGCTGCTTACTATTACTAATCCTATTAGTTCACCAGGATTAGAACTAGGTTCAGAGAAAAACAGTTTACAAAGCGTAAAACGTTTATTAACAGACTAGATATAGAGCTAAAATGAAGAAGACTACAATCATGACATAGAGGAAAAATAAGATTAAGATTAATGTTTTTCATTTAGAAATTATAAATGATAATCAATAATTAACTAGATTAAATAACACAAAAAGGATAATTCAATTTTTGAGTTCATTATTCTTAGCTGCAATTTTATTTTTAATTCTTAAATTATATTCATGTGTTTATAATTTAATCAATTATTTCAATGTCAAGTTTTTTTCAGCTTTAATAAGTTTAATTTTAAAAATATGTTTTATTTTGATTTTTTCTAAGTTAAAATTTATTTAAATAAAAAAGTTGGTTAAAAAAATGGCTCATCTTTTAATTTTTCAGTTTAACTCTTTTGAAATTTATTGTTATTTTTTTAACTTCTTAATTGTAAAAAAAAAATTAATACCAACTTAAAATAGAGGAAAAAAACAATTTATAAAAAGATATTTAATTAAAATTTATTGCTTTTAGGCAATGAGATTGGCCTTTCATACTTAAATGAAAAAATAAATATTAAATAAAAGATTTATATAATACTTATTTTCAAATTGGCTCTACGAAATTTAATGAACTAATTAAAATCTATTAATAGTTAACAGTTAATCCCGTATTCATCTCCTATTTTCTTATTGTAAAGTAAAGACGAACAAATTTTGTTTTCTGATTCTGGTAATTAAAAAAGCTTACATTTATATTAAATTATTTAAAACATTCAAATTTTTGAGTGTTTATTTGCAATAAAATATTTAGATTTTTTAATAATTTAGATTTTAAATCGGTTTCACAGTTAGCATTTTTAATTAACTGCTAAAAGTACTTGAATTAAAAAATTTTTATTGAATTATTCAAAAAATTGTTGAAATTTTTTTCTGTAATAACAATTGAATCTTTTTTTAATTTTCGAGATTGAATCAGTGAAGTAAAATTAGAACCTTTAAATATAAGAAAAAAAATTTGATTACTTATATACCTATACTTACTTTTGTGAATCAATTAGTACATTATTTGCTTGTTTTTTTCATTTAATAAAAACTTCTTATAGTTAAAAATTTACTACTTTTAAAGTCTCTAACTTTTTTAGAGGTTGGAGAAAATGAATAAATAAAAAAGATTAGAAGATTAAAGGAAAATTAATTTCAATGAACATTAAGTATTTTTTTTTAGATAATTAATTTTTTCTTTTTAAATTCTGGATATTTAATTGAAATTAAAAATGTAATTCTACAAGTAAAGAGTTATTTTTTATTTATTCTTTTAATAAATAAAGTTTACATAGATTTTTGATTTAATTTTCAAAATCTTTTTGGTTAGTCTTTTCGTCTTTCTTTTATTTTGGTGTAAATATCATTGGCTTTGATATAATATTAGATATTATGACATCTAGACAAGAAGTACTAAAAAATAAATCCATGTAATATTTAAATTTTACAATCCATACAAAATTTCTAATTGATGTAAAGAGTAAGTTTGAATTCTTTTGGTTTTATATAAATTATTTGAAATTAAATAAATAGAGTTTTTATTACACTTAACTAGATGAATATTGTTCCATTAAAATCTAAAATCATTATTACTAAAATTTGAGTTATTTGAATATATTCTTGTAAATTTTCAAGTGAGAGCAGTTTTAAAAAACGAAAACGCAAATATAAAAAAATCCCAATTAAAGCCTGAAATCATAATTTGAACATAACTCTAAAAATATTACTTTTAAATTGACAAATAGTCAGAAACATTTACTAGAGTTATTATATAAGTCCATTTTTTATCTTTAATTTCTACATATATCATAATTATTATATATTAAGAATGATAAAGTAGATTGATTATTTTATAATAAAAAAGTAAATAAATAAAATTTATTTTTATTGCTGGAATTAATATATGTGGTTCTAAAACTCTAGTGTAAATTTTAGAACTAGAAAAATTTTGTTTGAAAATATTCAGAGTTTTATTAATGTAATTGTGTGCAGATGATTTTGGCTGTTTGTTTATTAATTTAATTAGGTCTGGCACATATTATTATTTTTAAAGAATCTTTAAAAAAATTTTTTTTTTTTGATTATGAGTGAAGTAATAATTGTAAGTTTTCAAATTATTTTAAATCTTAAAAAATTAGTAACGCTAGTCAGATTGCTATTTAAATTAATACCCACTATGATGTTATATTACTTGTTATCCTTCTATTAATTCCTGAATTTGAGTAAATCTGTAAGGTTGTCTTTTTCACATTTAATAGAGAAAATTAACAGAAATTTGAAGAAACTACTTAACTAAATTATACAATTCAAATTAAATTTTTTGGAATCATGTACAGTATAGTAAATTAGTTAAATTAGCAAATTTACACTTTGAACATTACAAAACCTATTACTTAGTTATGTATTACTGTTTTTATATGCTCATGCTTAAGTAAAAATTTTATATGTACTCTAAAGAATATTTGTGTGTATCTTATTTGAATGAAACAAAGATTATATTTGTATATATAACAAATTTCTGATATTTTATGACGAAATGATAATAAACAATAGGGTATAAAATATAATCGAAATTTTAAAGCTTTAATAACTACCAGTAGGTAAATAATGATGAATTAAAGATATTAATGATAGGCTTAACAAAAATGTAGGGGTATATGAGAGTAGATGAAAATATCAGAGTAGACTGAGAGGACTACAATATGGCAGAGATTACGCAATGATTAATTAAAAATAGACTACCTAATCTTCTATGATAATTAAAATAATCGAATTTAGGGACAGTACCTACTTGTAATTCTGAGATTAATGTAAAATCTTTAACAATTTTTTATGGATAAAAATAAAATTTTATAATTTCATTAAATTTGTTTGTCCTTTTTTTTTAATAATCTGGGGATGATATAAATTCATGATTTAATTAAAGAGAATCTGATGCAATTGCAAAGGAACAAATACATTCGAAAAATAGATTAGAATAATTAGAAGTAACTTTGTAAAATGAAATCTAGATATTGTATTTCCTATTTAGGTTAAAAATATTGTTAAAAAAATGATTTTAGTTTGTTGTTGATAAATTTTATATGCCATTAGATGTAATTTATTTTATAAAGAATGTAATTCCATATTATTCTATTACTTAAGAATCTATTTTCTTTCAATATAGGATAAGAGCTAAAAGTTAATAGGTAAAGTATTGACGTTTACCAAACCTTGCACATGAGTTAAAGTTTAATAATATTTGGAAGAGATTGAATATAACTTATAACAATCCATTTTTACTGCATAGTACAAAAGAATTAATTTTTAAAAAGTGTACTTGCAAGCAAAAATTTATGTAACTGAGAAAATAATTAAAGTTGGGATATCTTAACAACATTGAAAAATGTTTAACAATGATAGTAAAGTTGACAAACAGAGAACCGTTGTATTTGAAGTTAAATTTTACATATGTAAGACAACGAAGTCTTTTATTTTAAAACAGAATGTGGAAGGGGGAGGACAATTCTTACTAGCTAATTTCAATAATTAATTTTAGCTAATCAATGAGAGGGGTGGTATGTTAGATGTGTGGCTAATATCATTTTTTAATTTTTGAAAGCGACAATTGACTAATTTAAATTAAGAATAGTAACAAGTTGATTTAAATATTGATCAGCGGATTCAAATGTATAAAAATATTTTTTTGGTAAATTTATAAATAAAATAGATATTTTAAAATAAGATCCTAATTTGGAGTGTTCTTTTAGCATAAATGAGAACTTCATTTTTTTTGCTAAATAGATTCTAAAGAAATTCGTATAGGAAATAAAGTTCCAAATTTAGATTAGGTGAAAAATTTGAATTAAATTATGTTGGAGAGTTTTAATTAGCCTTTCAAACGAAACGATGAGAAAAAGTTGTACTATTGATCAAAGGTGGTAGCCCTTTTTCATTTTATTTTTTTAATTTTACTTTATGAAGATGTTTGAAAAATGTAATGCATTAAAAAAAACATTTGGAATTTAATGTATTGAAGTCATCAGTCAAATTATAAATGTATATTTTTATTAAACATATCAAGTCAGATTTAGATTAATTGGGTAAAAATATTTGATAAAGCGGCTGGGGGGTAGGGATTTTGTGTATAAATTTAATCATCTCAAGAATAGAAAAAATAATCAAAAAAATAAATTATGATCAAATGTCCTATTATTTGTTATTTAATTAAGAAAAGGTATTTGATATTTTAAATGAACTGAGGATGCATTCCTAATCACAAATCAATTTAATTAAAAAAAAATAAATTCTTAAAAATAATTAAACTCAACAGAGAGTAGTCTGGTAGTAGTCGTTAATCTCTACAAATAAACATAATTTTATAACTCCTAACAAAGTGCACTTCAATAAGCCAAGACAGACTTTGATTACCTTTTCTTGACAATATTGCAAAAGACATGAGCGTTATCAACTACTAGTCATTCTAAGATTTGGATTAAATTGATCCTTATTATCTCCTCAACACCAATAATCATTTAAACAGTAATGGCAATTCATCAGCACAAATGTGGTATTAATCTTCTTAAAATTCTCAACCACTTCACACAGTTTCTCAAGCTGGTATTCACGAGCCCTATCACTTACAGCAAGAATAATACGAAAATCATACAAATGCCAATTACCATGACATTTCTTTTTAAAAGCACAGTGAAAACGAATGCACTGATTTGCTATCAAGAGAAGTCCCTTCAATTGCCTTTGAGTAACCTATTGCCACTTCAAATAAAATAAATGCAAAATAATCTTCAATTCAAGAGCTTCTCCCAACAAAGGAAGATTAATTTTTCTATTCAAACTAAGACTCAGGCAATGATATTCAAAATGTAATACATTAATTTTAATTACCTTAAAAATCAAAAAAATGAAAAATCGATGTTTTGAAATATGCTTTAAACTTTCCTCACTCAAATTAAATAAGACTAGATAAAAATCTAGCAAATTATTTACACATAATCAGTATTTATTTTGAAAATCCCAGAATATTTCATTATAATCTTTTTTTTTTTGAAACATCATATTAATCCCCAAAAATTAATAGAAGGGGAAGAATCAAAATTTCCCTTTATATTTTCAGAATGGAGAATCAATGTATAGAAAGATGTTGTTAAATTTGAGACACCACTTTTTCTCTTAAAAATAATACATACTCAAAACATACGAATTATAATAAAACTTAAATAAGATTTATTTATAGTAATATTCTTTCTCTATTAAAAGGCTTAGACTCGCTCAAACAGTTTCCAATCTGAAAATTAAACATGTTCAGCTTCTACTATTAAATTATCAAATAAAATGGGAAATTCTGTCACCTACTCAACAATTTCAGACATGAAGCAAAATTTAGAACAAACTAAAAGTTCTTACACTGATTTATCTCCTCATTTGCCTTTGAGTTAAAATATTTAATATGATCCTTATTAGAATTCATCAACTTCTTCTTGTTCTTCAATTTCTTTGTGCTGTCCTACAGTTTAGCATAACATATAAATGAATGCAGAAAACAGAGGAGAATCAAGAACTGATGACCCTTTCCATCCTCAAGGTTGCTACTATCCCTAAAATCTGAACAATTAAGCTGCCAGTTCCTAAATGCCTTACATAAGTGATGCTGAATATCCTTCCTATGGAGCTGCATATCCTCATTCTTTAGAGGAGTACCATTTTAACCATAAAAAATGTCTTGTTGAAAATAGTTAAAATGCTTTCTAGATGCCTTAAAATGGGGAAAGAGCTGAATCACACGCCATGAAAAATTATTAATAGAATAATGATAAAATATAGATAAGTAATTTTAATAGATACTATGAATAAGACTATCAGAACTAAGATAACTTTAAAAACGTTGAAAATGCACAATAATATTAATATTCTAGTAATCTTAATCAATGCTACTATGAAAGACATGCTTTAGGAAATGTCAGAAGTGCTAACACAGGTGTTTCTCACCCATATTTTTCAGGAAATGCATATTACTATGGAAGTAGCCACTCTTCCTTTTAAAATGCCCTTGGCTAAAACTATTATAATAACTTCCATTTTTCTTAGCCAGCCCATTATGGATATAAACTTAATTAAGAAAAATCAAATGAAGTATAAGGTCATAATACTTAATCAAATTATTCTAGAGCTCAGTACAATAACTAAAATAGCAGCTTTTACAATTAAAATTACTCTCATAAATATTACCAAGGCCATTTTGATCCAGAAACTAATTTCGATCAAGAATAAAATATTGAGTTAGAGGGTAAATGTAATTAGGGGGAAATTCATCATCATTCATATTAGTCTACATTCTAAAATCATTTTAATCCTTCATACGCTGCTTATCCTGCTGGAGGCCATGCAAAATTTATCAGTAATCAAGAATATGAAGGAGCCCCAAAAGACTAGCATAACAATAATGGACTTTTTTACAACGCTCTTAATAATACCACTTTACCTGTCTCTTCTACTGTCCCACAAATCAATAAAAGTGAATAAGATATCATTAATAATTTCTAACCAGAATTTAATAGATTAAAAAGTTAATAAATAAATGGTGTTGACCAAAGACAAATTAAGTTAATTTCATAGCCTTAAAACAACATTTAAAGCCAAAGAAAGTTTTCTAATGAATAGATACCTATTAATTAAATGTAACAAACTGATGACTAGCCTCAATCTGAAATAAGCAGCCGTCATCGTGAAAGTATTGACACTATAGTATCTGGTAATTAAAGTCAAGACACTTTAATGAATAAGGAAATCATTTCTATCAATTTCAAAAACACAAAGTAAGAAATCATCTTTGAAGATTCCTAAGACGAATGCTCTTCTCCTGGATCTGCTAAACACATTACTGTAGAATCAGCAAGAGCCAGAGCTAAAACAATTAACATTATTCGCTCTCCTTTACCTAAAAAGTAAAACTCCTCCATTTCACTGAAATAAACCCCCAAAAACTCTCCCACACCAAAGAAGGCTAAGAAGAGTTTGGATATAACTGTAGGTTTAGAAGAAGATGAGGAGGAAAAAGAGCTAAGATTAAAGTTAGAGTAAGTCAAGATCGAGAAAAAATTGAGTATTGATACTTGCAGCGTAGGTGAGGACGATGAAGAAGATGATGAAGATGGAGATAATTGTGGTGATAATGATAGCTAAGAAAATTACCCAATCTCTAAAGAGCTTTTAATGCTTACTTAAAACAAAAAGAATGTTGTAAAAAATATAATGAGTGCCTTTAAAACATTTGTATTGACATGGGGTGAAAAAAAGGCTATTGAGTAAATTTATAACTCTTCAAACAGCAGCTGCGAAGAAATCGAAGATATCTAACGCAAATTTAAAAGATATATCGGTTCAAAGAGTTTCAACCATTATTCTCTTCGTCTTTTAATTTTACATGTAAACTATGGACCAATATTTAAATTCTTCCTAGAAAAATTCTCCACCGAATGGTTAGAAAATAGTAAAATAAAAGATACTGAATCCCACTAAAAGATGATTCAATTCTTCCTCTCATGCTTCGAAGATATCAAGATAATAGATGCTCTTCGCCGCCACCCTAAGAAAAAATGCAGATTTTCATGAGAGAAATTTGTTACTTAATATTTAAAATTGCCTGACTAGCTCTTCATTTCAAAGTAAATGTAAAAATTAGGCAGGCGGTGCTTTATTTAATCAATAGATAATTAATACTCAACTCATTTAATTAAATAAAACATGATGCTACAACTCACATAAAATAAAGATATTACACCTTATTAATTAATAAATCCATAATAATAATCATACATAATTTATTTAAAATAAACAAAAAAAGCAATTTGAATAGCAAAACAAGTAATAATTTTTAATATTTTGATAAGAGAAAATTATTACTAACACAAAGTCCTTAAATTCGCAAAAGTTAATCCCAAAATTTAAAAATAAAAATTTTTTCTTTTAAAATGCTATCTCACATTAATTAACTCAAAATAACAAATCATATCTATCTATCCATCTTAAAATAATCAAATAATATTTAACTCAATCAACCAAATTTAAAGCATGAAGTGGAATTTATGCTTAAAATTTATTTGAACTACTTATTTAGTTATGAATTTTAGGTTCAAATAAATCATAATTAATTTATGCCCAAGACAAATGGACACTAAGAAGTAATGATCCTATTTATCTATCAATAATTATTTTATTAATACCCACACAATTGTTTGGTAAATTGATAAGTAGGAATTTGGCATATGCATCAGATTAATTAACACATGCTAAAGCCAAAAAAGAGTAATTAACAATAGGCAAATATGCCTATTTTACTTTATTTAAAAATTTATAAACTGATTTTCGGAATCTCAATTAATTACTCTTAATCTATTTGTCTGAAGACCATGAAAAATAATCAAGGATTAAATAAATACAAAATATATTAAAAATAACTTTCATAATAAAAACAACTATAATAAATTTCTAATATAAAATCACACATTCTTATAATATATCTATTACCTAAAATCTACGTATATTTTATATTTGCATCATACTTTAACACTATTTATACTTCCTTTTCTAAAAAAATTTTTTAAGTAAAATATTTATTAAGTTAGCTAATTAGTTAGTTAGTAAGTTATTTAGTTAAAAAGACTATAATACGATTGATAGGTAAGCAGGAGCTAAAATTAAGATGATCGCATAACACATTCTAAGTGCGTAATAAGTGTAAAAAGCTTTAAATATATTTTTATTTACCTCTTCCAAGTGTTTTTATTTTATAAGTAAGTATTTCCTGCTATGCCCAAACCCTATTGTAGCCTTTTAAACTACTCATAAATTAAATACAAATGTAAATTAAAATTAAAACATTCTAATGATCTATAAAACTGTCTTACATTGAATTAAATATTTTTTAAGTCTTAAAACATAATGCTATTGAATTTCACACATAAATTACATACTAAATAAAATGAATACCTTTGTTAAATATTAGTAAATATAGCATTTAAATTCAAATATTATGAAATTTATATTTTATCACCACCTACCTTAACTTTTTATATGAAAGCATCTTTAGAAAGCATTGTAAAACAATTATACCAAATAAATAAATACTTAAAAGAATGAATTCATTCAATATTTTAATCGAAAAGTGATGTCATAATTATTTATTTTTTAATTGGATTTAAAAATGATAGGATATTATTAAAAATTTTTTTCTGTGTTCTAAACGCTCTAAATATTCAGCAGTATTAAGGGAAGAAAATTCCTTGGCAAGTCATTGATAAATATCAAGTACTTTTCAAAAACTAAAAAGCATATCTGATGGATTTTTTAATTAAATTTTTTGGAATGTCAAACGATTACTGTGATAAGTAAGTAAAAATAAAAAAAGCGTCAATCTTTATATATATTCCAATATAATTTCAATAAAAATTTCTTCTATTTCCTTTAATTTAAAAAGATTCATAATTATCAAGGGATAATTTTATTGAAATTTAATGAAAAGATTTCTTATCTTAAAATGTCTTCTTGAAAGATGGTGCAGTATAGAGCTTCGAGATACGTTTTTGAGTGTGATTAGAACAAGATGCCAACCCTTTTAATGCTTTTTCATTATGATAATCAGAAATAAAAAAATTTTTAGTTGGTTTCTCTGCCATTTTTTTTATTAAATTAAAACCAGCTTCTTCTTTTCCCACTTTAATTAAAATACCCTACCCGCTTTATTAGATTATCTATAACCTCTGCACAAATTAAAATCCGATTAATTAGATTATATTTGTAAAGGAATCTAAAAGCCAGCCAGTTTAGATGCTATTTCTAATTAAAGAAAACCCAGCAAAAAGTCTTATTTTCAGCATTTAGCTAGATTTATTTTAAATCGATTACATTTAATTAAAGTAGATAAAATTTTCACTTACTTTTAGTTAAATTTACCTTTATTTATTCAACAAATTTTAAACTAAATCAAATTTAGATTTTAAACTTATTTTAATCTTAAATAATTATTAAAATCAAATAAAAAAAAGTTAGCATCTTAGAGTGAAACAACCAAAATTTTTTATCTTCTTCCATCTTTCTCTAAATTTAAAACTGAAGAATTTTAATGTTGTAAATATATATATATGATAGAGGCAATTAGATAGACAGATGAAATTCCCCCCTCCTTTTAAAATTTATCTATATTTCAGAAGAAAATTTTTTTATTTAATAAAATAGAATGAATGAATGACTTCAAATATATAATTTCTATTTAAAGAAGCAATAAAAAACTAATTTTTTGAATGCATAATTTAAATAAAAATAATTAATTGATTAAATAATTAATTAGTCATATTTACAATACCTTTATTTACTTTCACGTTATGCGCAGCTTCTCTGTTTATTTCTGATGTGTCTTTTCTAAATAAATTATTGTAATAAAAATTTTTTTTTTTAATAACCAAATTGATTTTTATTAGGAATTTCAACCTTATTTTCCTTTTAATATCTATTTATTGTAAATTATACTATTTGAAAAATGAATTAAGTAATCGTTTAGTTTACAAATATATAATTACAATACTAAAAATCATTGCAGCTACCAATTTCAGATTAATTGTAGTATTTTTACATGGAATTAACTTTTCTTTACATTACAAAATAAAATTTGAGCTGATTTGGTTTCTCAAATTTCACAAAAATCTATAAAAATTGATAGATCATAAATTATTTTTTATAAGATTATCACGAAATAAAATATAGCAAAATTTACAGAGCTGCCATCATTAATTACTGGTCAGTCTATAATCTATTACAACTGTAATTATAAAAAAAGCATAAACATAATATTATCTAATGTAACATACAGCCTGTCCTATTACGATTTAAAAATAATTATTTAGAAAAAAATAATAAATTATAGTCTATACAATATATCTTGACACGCATTTTATTATTCATGCTATCGAATCAAAGAAGAGAAAAAATGGATGAGTAATTATTTTTACCAACAAGCGTTTGCTTAAAAATATTTTAAAAAAGTAATAAATTTTAAATTTCATTGCTATTTAATATTACATTTTATCTTAAAAATATTCCTTACAGTTTTTAAGCATGAATAATTCAAGAACAGTAGTTATTTTTGTATTTTGATTGATTATAAAATGTCTATTCCTGCTTTGAATGTGTATATAAATACTATGGTAATGCATACTTAGTATAAATACTTAGCTAGATAGATAGGAGTCATTAATCTCTTTATTTTTTAAACCTCGAAAGTATGACCAAGCAGTACTTTCCTGGAGTATAATTTCATATTATTATTTCAGCCAACCATTTTTAATACTTTTGCTTTGTAATATAAAACAAAAATTTTCGGACTAAAAAAGAAAAATTGTTAATTATAATCCTTTGAAACAATTTAAAGCAGATGCTCAAAAATCGATGCTTGTTTAGTTAATTTAGGAGTGGATATCAATAATCCCTGAATATTTACTTCTTAATCAGAAATAATTTTATTTCAGCTTCAAATATAATTTCTTTTGAAACATTCATTAATTAATTAGTACTAATATAAAATGAATAAAAACAAAGTATTTTTACAGAAATACATCCCCAAACTGTATTTATATTTATAGATATTTTTTTATCTGTATCTTTTATAAAAAAGACATATACTATTTTCAGTAGAGTAAAGATATCTTCCCTTCAAATTTTAGATTGCTTTATTGATTTAAATGATCATTTTTTATATATACATTGAACAATAAGCTTACATTCAAAAAAAACTAGCTTTCATTTTCGAAAATTTTAGATGAAATATTTATCAATTTTAGTAGAAAATATAGCAGATTTTACTAACACCAAATACTGAAAAGTCTTTAAAAATTTTGTATTTTTTAGCATAGTTTCCATTTACTTTAAGTAAGTAAACGAGGATTTGTTAGCGTTTTTAGAATGTTACATAAAATTTTGATTAGAAACTATTACTGTTCTATGAATATAAATTCATATGTTTTTCTTCAAATATATTTATTTAATAAATGCTTTTTTGAAATATTTTTAGTTAAAAATAACCATTTTATATATGTTTAAATATCTTTATTTGTTTTCTATTTTAAATTAATATAAAATAGATGATCGTTAATATCATTAATTTAATATTTAGATTATTAAAAGAAAATAATAGTGATATTTGATATTTGTGTGAATTCAAAATACTTGAAATTTTAAATTGTTAATCATCTATAAAATAAATTTTGTTTAATTCTTTTGCTTACTTCTAACATTTATTAATTATACAAAAACTCTTCAATATTTAGCTAAAATATTTTATGAAAGCTGTAATATGTGCACTAATAAGCTATGTTTTTTGGATAAAATATCAATTTGTGTTAATAATCATTACGTTTATTTGTGTTTCTATTAATAATTTATATCAAAAAATGAAAATTTACTCAATAGAAAAATGAAAAAAACTTTGATTAATGATCAATTTCCGCTTGGAATTATTAAAAGAATTGTGTAGTTAAACATAACGATAAAATATGGAAGTAAAATTAAAGAAGTGTAAATAAAATGTCTAATAATGTTACTGGAACGAAATAAAGAAGACTATGATACGACATCTAGCAGATTAATAAATCTAAAAAGACTTTTAGCATTAATTAAAGGGATTAACGATTATTTTAAGTAATTTGATAAACTGAAACAGCGCACTGATTAAAAATTAATCAAAATTTTGGAATTAAATGAAGATAGATATATTTATTTATCAAAACTAACCATTATTTGGCCAGATTACAATCAGTGCGTAAATTTTTCTATTTTTGAGAATTTATATCAAACAAATAGATATTCAATTAGGTATTATTCATTAATAATTTACTAATCCCCCAATTCAAAATTCTGTCTAATTCGAAAATTTAATGCATCACAGGCATGCTTTTGTATCTATATTATTATGCAATTATAAATCTTTACTTCAACCTTAACATCAAATCTATTAATATTAAATCAAATAAAACAATCAAAAGATTCACCAAATATTTTGAACTAAAAATAAATCAAATTACTATCTCTATAAATATTTAACAGAATCTCTTAACGATTGCTTTAACCCAAAAAACAACGAGAGAAGTCATATTGAATAAAATACACTCTGCTAACACAATAATCTAGTGATTTAATTTCTATTAATCCTAAACTTCACTGCCCTTTTAGTAAACTCAGTCTCACAAACCTCTTAATTTAATACTACCACTACTACAAACCTTTTATAACCTTTAAAATGTACTTTGATACTAACTAATCCTCTAACTGCCACCCTAAATCTGCTTAGATGCCTATGTTCCCTAATAAGAACGTGAATTACTTTTCTAACACTCATTTACTAAATGAGGATATCTCAAATAACTTCTTCAATTCTTAACATTTAGAAAGCGATACTCGTACTAAATGCTCCACTCTATTTAGCAATGAAAATGAGACTCGCTCATCCCTCTTTGCAAGCTCATCTTTTGAGTTTGATTAAGCTGCAGAAGATAATTTGAGTAATTTTTTAGACCATGAATCATTTAGCAGAGCCAGTAGTGTATTTATTTAGCAGGCAAATACTGTTAACGATAATATAATTAACTAAGACTTAGAAAATTTAGGTGAAGACAAGCAATTAATGAAGAATAAATATTTAGAATATTTCAATGAAAATAATGATGTTATGTCACCCATTGCAGAATAGTATCATAAAGAGTAAGATCTTAGCTTCATTAATAACTACTGCAAATATGAAGCTGAATATGCAAGCTGTGAAAACAAGTATGGAGTTATAAAAAATTATCTTATTGAAGAAAACCAATCTCGTAATTTAGAGTGTAATTAATATTAGTAAAGTAACCTATAATCTAAAATTAGTAATTAAAATCAAATCGAATCATAAAATTTCAACTAAAATTCATTAGAGTAATTCTAATACTATGAAAAAAAGTATGAAGAACAAAATCAAGCAGCACTCAGCTATTAGTCTGCATAAGAATGCCCATAAAGAAATGTTAACGGATTATTCCCTTAAATTTTTGATTAACAAAATTAATCAATATAATATACTACTGAATTCAAAAATTAAGAAAATTAAACAATTGAATGTGCATCTAATATTCAATATAATTATTAAATTAAGGAAGAAGTATTTAAATTTTAATAACAACAATTTGAACAAAAGAATGAAATTTAAAAATAAAATTAAAATTATTATAAAGATTAAATTTAATGCGATTATCAAAATATAATTGAACAAAGCGAAATAGAAAGCAAATTTAATTATTATTAATATTATAAATCCTTCTAAGAGCCTACTGAGAAATAGAATTATTATATAGAAGATACTTGTACAGAGACCGATAAATTCATTTTAAAAAGAAGCAATTCCTAGATTTCTATTGTAAACAAAGAAAATATTGTTGATTTAGGCCTTCAAGATTTACAGAGTAACAGAATCATTGAGAACAGATCAAATACTTATTTAAGCAAAAAGGTAACAAACAATTAGTTGATATTTAGTTGCAAATAATTGTCAATTTTTTTCTATAAAAGTTTACAAATATAAATTTTGATATGCATTATTTATTTAGAAATCAGATTATTTTATAAAGAATGAATGCACTTTCTTAATTAGCAATTGAAATAAAATCAAAGCAAAATAATTAATTAAATTTTTTAAAGTTAATATTAATTAATTTTATGATAAAATAGTAAACAGGCAAATCAAAAACCAAAAAACAAGACAAAAAAAACATGGAAAAAAATTATCTGGTTAAGATAGAAAGCTAAGATGAAAAAACTGATGACCAGATTGATGAAGAAGAGACAGTTATGCCTTAAACAAAAGAGCTAAGCAGTCCTAGCTAGAAGCTATCAATAGATATCCTTACATCTACTTCCGCAGCTATTTAAAACGAAGAAGAACACGATGTCTAACACCAGCAGGCAGACGAACAAGAAACCCTCAAAAAAATTGAAGAGATGAAGGTCTGCAACAAAAAGAATGTTGTCAAAAATATCATGAATGCCTTCAAGAACTTTGTCTTAGAAGCAGAGCTTAAAAATACTCCCAAAGTTAACCAAAACATAGTCAATTTGTATAACAACGCAAAATCTGACGAGAGCGATAGCCTATCAGAGATTATAAAAAAATTTAAAAGATACATCAATTCTAAAAACTTTAACCATTACTCTATGCGCTTGCTTATTCTTCATCCTAACTACGGCCCAGTCCTTCAGTATTTCCTCAAAGGACCTATCTACGAATGGGCTAAAACCTGCAAAGCAAATGATCTGGCCTCTCATTTTGTAATGGTAGATTTCCTTCTTTTAAGTTTCTCTGACATAAAATACATAGACGAACTAAAGCGCCACGAAAAGAAGAAAGCTCATTACTAATGAATAAATAAGGAGATACTTTCTTTCTTCAATCATTTATCAATCCATTAATAAATAAAAAACCTATCGCTACAATAATCTAATAAAAAATTACTTAAGTTAAAATATATATACTAATAATAAAGAACTCATAACTATTTATTGCACTTTTGCTAAATTTATTTGAGAAATATCTATTTATCTTTTTGACCTGCGTTATCGCTTGGCTCCCTGAATTCTACTAGAAAGCCAGCAAAATTTGTAAAGGGAAAACTATTTCAACATATAATAAATTTGCTTTGATTAATTGAATACAGGAAGGATAATGTTTTATATTAATCAGGCATTTACTAACTACTTATTTATTTAAAGCTACTATATTCTGTATGATATAATTTGTTCCATATATACGCCATTCTATCAAGAATACTTTCTTTTTCAATTTGTACTACGAGAAAAATATCAAATAAACTTGACCTTGAATTGCATGTTGAAATAAATTCATCTTAGTTAGCCTTTCTTTTTTAGTGCCAGATCAGTCTTTAATAAAGATAAATCTTAACTTATATATAAGTGCTAGTCTAAATATATAGAGTATTTTTATTAAATGAACTATGTAATATGCTTCATCCTCCAATATACATACATAAATACACGCGAACAGTAGTTAGTTGTAAATAAACCCGCCAATCAAATAAATTTTAATTCTATTTCAAAAAAATATGTAGAGTATTGAATAATATCTTTCTCATTTTATACATAATATATAGTTAATTAGATACTTTAATTAAAAAACTATCCATTAATTAGGTTTTAATATTCCTTGTTGTATTCATCTGCTAATATCATTCATTTTTTTTTTTGCAATTGCATCATTTTGTAAAGCAACCTGCCTAAATATTATTATTAATTTCTTCATTTCCTTTTGGTTTTATTTCTAATTAACACATATAAGCATATTTTTCTCTGTCTAAAATCAAATGCACCATCAATAGCAAGTTTTTAAATATTTCGTTTATACATACAGTTTATTCTAATCTTTTAATAAAAGTTAATTTCCCCAATCTCTCAAATCTCTTTTTTAAAAATAAACGAAATGAAGAATAGATTTCCTCTCATATCATTTAAAAATAATTAAGTAAATAAATAAATAATTAATGACTACTATAAAGTCTTACAATTCTTTTAAAAACTGATAATGAAAGCTACTTTTTTAGTAATCAACAGTAAATTCTGAATAATTTTAAATTTTAACAGATACATAAACGAAAAATAGAGCTTCTTAAATGATTTATATTAATTATAATCTAAATAAATTTTTTTTCTATACTATGGTAATTATAGTACAGATACAAATAATTTCTATTGATTAAAACTTTCAGTTTTTTGGAAAGCTTTCTTGAATTACTTAAAAAAACAGATCAGGCATACCAGCTAGATATGAGTTAGATAAAATCTATGATAAATATTGTTTATCTATTAAATATTATTTTACATGTATTTTCCATTTATTTGTTTATTTTTCAATTTATTTTAAATGCCAAGAATAATAAGTAAATAAATAAATTTACTTTTAATTAGCAATTTAAGTTTTCAATATTTTATAATTTGTATTTATTATCGATGAAGTAGCAATAAAAATTCTTATTATTTTTGTAAATTTCTTTCTTCAGTTAAACGCTAATTGAATATTAATTGAATTGCTATTACAAAAATTAATTAATAGCACAAAAGTTATTTTTATTAAATATTTACTTGAAATGTATTTATTTATATTTTGCTTTTTTTAATTAAATTTTAGTATTTAGCATTTATCATATCTTTTAGACATATTTGATATTGCAACAAACTTTTTTGATTTATTATTAATTTGTGTTGTTGATTTTAATTTTTGTCTAACAGACAATGATTTTTTGATTTAATTTTTGATAAAAAACTAGGTATAAATTACACAATTTATAATCATTATAAAATTCTTTTAAATTTTTATTACAAATTATAATTTCTCACCATATTCTATTTTTCATATTAAATTATTTAAAATAACAATTTATTTTTTTTGCTAAAATGATTTTTTGCTAAGGAAAAAAAAGATGTTTTTCATAAATATTAACTGATTATTTTATAGAGCAATTAAATATTTCTCCCAAGAAACAAATTGTAAATAGATTAAATTCTTTTCAAAATAATTAAATAAAAATATTGAAGAGATAATGTTTACCACAAATATTAAATAACAAAAACAGTTCATTTTTGAAATATATTTTTTTAAGTTAAATATATGCAAATAGATGTTAAATATATCAGTCCATCAAATGATAAGCTCAATTAAAACTCCGTTTTTAAGGATGAAAAAAACGAATGCCATCAAATGAAATAATACAGTACGAAAGCTAAATCGGTAATTACCTCAATTTACTAACTGTATAAATTTTTTATTCTTTTTTAAAGCAAATCTTAAGCTTTTTTTACAGTCTTCTAGTTGAATGAATTTAAAATTTAATAAACTTCTTCATATGAAATGTAATCAAAGAAATTCGGAGTTGTTACTAATAGAAACGCATCATTTTACTTACTAATTTCGTGATAATAAATATCTGGCTCATTTATCACTCCAATCATTTTAGCTATGTCATTCCCAAAGCAACTAATTGAAAATTAAAAAAATAATAAAATACAGACATACAAACAAAAGTAACTCCTGTTATATTTGTATAAATTTTTGTTTATTTAACCTAATTATACTAATATTAAATGCCTTCTCAAATTGACTACCCACTAAAAGATATCATATTAAATTCTTCCTAACTTTAAAAAATATTGATTACCGTGTAACTTCAATCCCTGGGAATGTCCTTCCTCTAACAAAAACTCGATCAATAAAATCATTTTTCCATTATCTTATCTCTCCTGTGTTTTTCTATATTCTCTCTTTTTCATATTAGTTAGCTGGTATATGAAATCCCGACATTTAAACTTGATTTTATTTTTAAGATTTATAGCAAAATTACTATCTAAAAATAACTGCTTAAATATTTCCAACATAGGCAACAAAAATCTTATTTTATTATATAAGTACTAAAGTACAGCTAGCACCACTTAGCATGGAGTTAAATTTTTATTCCTTTTTTTAAAAAATAGTCCATAAATATTTTAATGGCATAAAAATAAAAGTTTATTATGCATAGAAAATATTAATACATAATATTTTTTATTTGTAAGAAATTTTATTGATAAAATAATAAGATTTTTGATTGAATTAATAAAAATGTGACATAGTATTTTAGTTATACATGCATTCTTTTTATTGAATGTCTGGATATATCTTAAACGTTTAATATTTTGTAAGCTTATTTATTTATGTGTATCCTACTTTACCAATCAATTTTTTCAAAATAAAATAAAATTAAGAAACTATTTGTAAATACCAAATTTCAATTGTAACTTTAACTAAATTAAAAATAGAATTATATTCTGATAAATTTTAACACTTAAATTATCCTACCCTCTCCTCTCATTTATTTATAATGAGAAAGATTACAAATTTTTGAATTCTAAAGATATATTTAAACAATAAATATTTAACGTTATGAAAAAATTTATTTTTACTGAGTTAATCATTGAAATCTTGCAAATTTATACAAAATTCAATGCTTTTTTTATGTGAAGAATCATTTTAGAAATTGTATTTTATTTGTGTTAAAATTATCATCAACAATTAAAGAAAAACTTATTTTAGAAAAAAGGAAAATATTTGTAATATTTACTAAATCATAATATGCTATATGTTGTGAGATGTACTTGTCTACATTCATAAATAGTCTTTTAAATCCTATTTGCGGTTATAATTTAATTAGCTGTTCTTTAAAAAAGTGTTTAAATAATAAGCGACAAGATAGATTAGAAATCTTATTTCCATATGCACCATGCCCCATAAAAACTGAAATCAATTTTATATGATCATCGACGTAAACAAAATAATCTGACATATTATGGGCATTTTCTAATTGATTTCCTTTTTTTGATAATACACAAATCCCATAATCCAATAAAATATCTTTATTATTTAATCTAGTTTTAAAGGCTTACTTTCCTTATGTTTAATCAGTAATAAGATCAAGATGATAGCTTCTTTCCTCTCCATTATTTTGTTCATTAGTGCATTCTGTTGTTCTTAGATATATTCTACCTTTATTTTTTGTAACCTAACTGACTGAAACAAATGGAGAGTTAAGATTTAAGCTTTCTATTTAACTCTATTATTTTTGTGAAAACATTTAAAATTAATTCTTTTCAGAACTCTAATAAGGACTTTATTTCTAAAATAAAAAAAACTTGCTTAAACTTGTATAAAATAGAATGCAAATAGATCTAAATACTTTATAATCCTCTTTATTAGATGTCCTTGCTGAATTTAGTCAGATACATTTTTTATAAAATAAAATAAAATTATTTAAATTTATTTTTAACTTTTTAATTTATCAAATTTAGTAATTTAAAAAGAATTTCAATTATCCAAAAAGTTTAAATTGAAATAAATAAATGCTATGATTTTCAGATGATTTTTATTTGGAATTAAAACAAAATATTTTGAATATGAATTTACGTTATGGTGTTAAATCTTCAATAAAATTAAATTCATAAATTTCTTATGTTAAGTCGAATGAATCATTTGCATCTACATCTTCTTAGTTTATTCCTTACTTTTTATTTTAATCTGGTTAGCCTTTCATTTCTTTGTGGATATTATTTGAATGTTGGTTTTCCTAATCGCTTTTATACACATTTATAAACTATTTATCGTTTTATTAATTTTTGATATTCTAAATTTCATTTTATTCTATTGTTAAAAAAAATAGATATTAAATTAATTATCTTTTATGAATTACTTTTTAATGCAAATTGCTTCTTTGAATATTATTTAAACTATCAATATAAATAAATACCTTTGGCATCATCCTATCCCTCCAAACTGTTTTCACTTTTTTCAGAGTAGTAGCTCAATCCACCAGAGTTATCATCTTCCTCTTTTTTTAACTTGGTATCAATAGATTTTAAATTAATTTTATTCTAAAAAAATAAGCTAGCTTTTTTGTCCAAGCTATCTTATGATAACTTAATCTAACTATCTGAATCTGAGCTGCTTTAAGACTCACTTTGATTTTTTGAATTTTCTTCAACACTATGTTTATTCTCATCTTCTAATTTTTAAAGATAAAGAGTAATTTATTGTCATTCTACTTTGTTTAAAATAATTATACACACTTCTTTGTTGTTTTAATTTACATTATCAAATAATAATGTATTAGAATTTTATTCATTAGACGAAGCTTTATTAGCAAGTAGGTGATCTTTAAAGTCTTTTTTAATTAAACGAAGACTAGCATTATTGTTAATTTTGCTCTAACCACAGTTTTCAGGGTAGCTAAAAGTTTTAGAAACCCGAAATAATTTACTACAGTTGTTATTCTTTTTTTTAACATTCTAGTTATTTATTATGTTTTATGTCTCTTGCACTCTACTAAAATTAATATTTTCTGAGCTATTTTACAGCTTTTATTATTCTTATTAATCAGCAGCAACATCTTTTTTTAAGCATAAGTTACTAAATCTTTCAAAATTATTTTATTTGCTCTAGTTTTTTAAGTCTTTTGAAACTCTATTGTACCCGCTATATGTAATTTAGCTGTGTGATTTTTACCTAAATTCATCTTTACTATTAGTAAATTAGTCTTTGTTTAATTTCTCTTCTTCTAATATTCATTATTTAACAACAATATTTCAATTTAACTTAAAATCATAGTTTAAAAATTATACTTGATGCGTTAGAGGAGCCAGAACCCATTAATTCAAATGATTATAAAATAATGGATATCAAAAAATAAATTAGCTTTTAATCAATTAGTTTTTAAATTGTTAAATTTATTACTACTTAAGTTAATATAAATATTTTGTAGAACTTACTATTTATGATATTAACTTAAATGCTATTCAATTATGTATTATTTATTACTGAAAAAAAAAGGGATTTTTAATTAACTATAAAAAATTTTTAATTTTTTTACAAATTAATGGACTAAGATTGATAAATTCTTAATTTCTGTAATAACTTAAAAAAATAATTCAATCATAATAAATGTTGAATTTCAAAAATAAATAGAGTATAGTTTGAATTAATTTGAATAATAATTTAAATAAAAAAATGGCTAAATAGATATCCAATTTATCTTAAAAATAATTAACCAAAACTGATACTTTTTATTAAGATATTTGGATTTTTAATCAAAATTCTATTATTTTATCATTCAATTAATTGTTAATAATTTATTAAAAATAAATCAGTATATTCCATAATCAATCAAATAACTCAAATTAATTTCAAAATATTTTAAATCTTAAAAACCCAAAAATAATTTATTAAAAAATTTATTATGATAAACTATTTAAAAAATTTAACTAAAATAGGTAATTTAAATAAATTAAATACATTTAATGATATTTTTATTAATACTTAAAACAGAAAAATTATTCTTATTTTTGTAGGTTTATAATTATAAAACTTTTATTTTAAATAAATTATTGAAAGTATAATTATAAACTTTTAAAGAAATTTTTAATCAAATTAATTAGAAAGATATATATCTTAAAATATGCAATAAGTCAATCAATTTAAATTTTTAGCAAATATCTAATGATTATATTTTAATAAAAACTCTTTGATTGTAAATTTTCAGTTTTACTTTTAATGAAATTTAAAAATTATTACAACTACTTTTTTTATGACTTATTTTATCAAATTAAAGTTCTGTCTGATATTTATTTTGGTGCTCTTTCATCATAATAAAATATGTAAAATTTATCTTTAATGGTGTAAATTATTTAAATAAGTACATAATTTAATCTATATACTTTTAGAAACTATTTTTAAATATCAGACAGAATACAATGCAATATTGAGATGATAGTTTTTATTTAATGAAATGTATTTTAGCATAAAATAATTATCTGTCATATAAATCTGAATATTCCTTAAATTTTTAAAAATAAATCAAGTTTTTAAATATTTAAATTACAAAAATTTTAATTTTATTCTATTTAATTGCATAATCTTTTTCTTCTGTGAAATATTGAAATATTTCAATAAATTATTAAAGTATTGCAGTAAAATTAAATTTAATACTGTTCATTTAAAATCTAATAACAAAAGCATAGCTTATCTTTAATTTATGTTAATTAACTTTATCCAGGTTATTAACTGAGTTTAAATCGTCTATGAAGCATTTTAAAAAAATGAACAGATGATTTAAATATTTTCTAATTATTATTTATTGCCTCTAGAATTTCTTAAAGTGTCTAATAAAAATCAAATTCGAAAAACATTAATTTTTTCTTTGGATTTTTAAAGTCTTAATCTATTTTTTAGTTCTAAATATTTAGTTGAGTTTTTATTTGCTTAATATTAACAGCTATTAATCAATCAATATTCAATCTAAATATTTTACTGATTTAAAAAAGTAGACAAAATACTATTAGCTTAAAGTGTCTAATGAAATTATAAATGCATGGAAAAAACAAATATCCAAATGTAAAAATCTATTATGTGTTTGTTTATAAATGTTTTCTGAAAATTAAATTTGTCTATTTTTTCTAAAAAATGAGGAGAGCACTTAAATATAAAATAGTGTAACTCTTTTAGGCATGTCGTAAGATTATATATTTATAAATATAGTTTTTTATCTTAATTTCCAAAAACAAATCTTTCCTTTTTGGATATTAATTTATTGATATCACAAACTAACTAATTAAATATCAAATAATAAAAAAGATTATCTAAAAAAATTAAGAGTCTTAAGCTTAAATCAAAATCATGAAAGTGCTTGAGTAGTTAGAAAAAATAAGGTTTCCTACTACTACTAGACTATCTTTTAGGAAAACTAAATAATTAAACGGCAAGAAAATTTATATCAGAATAAGTAAAACAACTAAGAAATTTTACACTGCATATTGTAAACACTCATCATAATGCAGAGCAAGATTTTGTAAATTTGCACATGACATTAACGAATTAAGAAATGAAGACTACAAATATGAATCTGATCCTAAATACAAAGAGTACTAATGCAAAAATTTGAATTGTACAAGACCAAAGTGTAAATATTACCATGACATCAAAGAAAAAAGGATTAATATTCTTGAGAGTAACATGTATAAATTAATGAATCAAACTTATGAAGCATAATCCAATTAAGATTAAAGTAAGGAATAATAATAATCTATAGTTATAGTAAAAAAGAAATTAAATATTTCGCCTTTAGTTCCATCTCTAACCTACTTTAACTTGTAAGATTTGAACAAGTTGTTAAACAATATATTAAAGGTCATCAAATAAATGAATGAAAGTAAAGAATTTGGAGATTTCTAACCAATTTAATCACTTTCTTCTGTTAATTAAAACAAATAAAAAAACCAATTAGAGATTAAAAATCAAAATTAATCATAACTATATAACTGCATTAATAATGTAATCATCAATTTATGTTCAAGAAGATCTTAAATTAGCAATGAATATGACTATGCTCTTTTAAATATATTAAATTAAATTCCAATCATTAGTTTCAAATATAAACTATTTAAATATGAAAGAAACAACTTAAAGGGACAATTATCCTATTTCATAAAAACAAACGTTGTTGTTCCTTTTGTGTGTGACGATATCAAAAACCTATAGCCAAAGTCTTTAAAGCTCGAAATAAAATCTTTAAATAATGATTGGTAAGGATTTGAAAAATTAATGTAGACTATTTAAAAATCTTCTCAAACAATTCATAAATTAGACATCAATCTTTCAGAATTTATTGGACCAAAGAATGCTAATGATATTGAAAAAATTTTCAGAAATACATTGTAATCTCTTCCTCAATTGAAAGCTATTAATTTAAGATTACAGTTTAATTATTTAGAGAATGGTGACTATGAAAGAGATATTGTAGACATATTTTTAGAAATTTTACAAAAGCTATACATCAAAAATCCCTCTCTATAGTTTTAATTGAACATTTTCAGAATTGTTATCAAATATAAGGCAAATAATTTAGAAATATTTAGTGAGCAGACAGACAGAAGAAAAGAATACAAAAGAAATGCAGTGAATAAAATGTTCAAAAATTCTTAATTACATGAATATTTCCTAGCTAAATTTTCAAAAATTTTTAACATAGACACGCTATAAACCCTCAAAATAAACTTTAGTAATTTGCTAATGACTTAAAAACGTTAAGATAAGGTTCCTAAACCAATTTATGAAAAAGAAATTGAGTGTTTACTGTCAGGAATATCATAAATTATTGAGAAACTTAATGATAATTGCTTGTAGACTTTGAATATGCAATTTTTTGGTTTTTTTTTCAACTTTGAAGTCTCACCAAAACAAAAAATGCTGTTATTTAAATTTTTAATGAACTTTTAACTATTCTTTTAAAATACTCCTATTGTGTCTATCAGGTGCTTTAAGCCTTTTAGTGAGCTTCTTAACAAGAAGCTTATGCGCAAATATGTTTATTCATCCTTTGAAGGAAACTTATTTACTTCTAAACTTTATAAGAATAAGAAGAAAAGGAATTAATAAAAAATTTAAGCTATGAGTGATGAAGCAAATAAAATCTAAGGGAAAAAGAAATTTATAAAACTAACAACTGAAAAAGCTCATGAGTTTTTAAATTTAGTTACAAATAGATTTTAATAAGTAAAGAAAATATCATATTTTGAAAGTGATTGTTTTCATTTAAATAAGATACTTTTATATTAAAGAAAATAACTCACACACACAATTTTATTAAATCCTAATCTAATGTAGAGATAAATCTATCCATAAAAATAAAATATTTTAAAAATCAATAAATTTTTGGATTTTTAAAGAAGATAATTTTTATATTTCTATGCAAAATATAAAAAAATATTAAAGAAAAATAACAAATTCATTTTGAGAAAAGAAATAATTTAGTCAATTATGAATTTAATTTAATTATAATTAAATCTTAATGTTTCTCAAGTGTTAAGTAATTGATGTAATTTTTATTATTTATTTTTTAGTTAGTAAATTTCTATTTAAAACAATTTTTAAATAATATCTTTCATATTATCTATTAATTGTTTAATCAAAAATAATAATAAACCATATTGATTCTCCAATAATTTATTTTTATCTTTATTTCTTTAAAGGTTTATTTAATTAAATTATGTTTTAAAAAAATAAAAATCTTACCTAAGCTAATAAATTACAGTAATCTTTTAATTACGGTATATTACAAAATATATTTATTTATTCAAATAATTTAAATATTTTTTTAACATATTCTAAATATTTTTCCGAAAAGTAAATAAATAAATGAATATAATCAATTTTAAAAAATCTGAATTATTGAAAAAAGTGTCTAATCATTTGTATGATTATACGTGTTTAATTTATATTAAGATTTATATAACAACTTTTAATGTGTCTACATTTAAAAAATGTATTTAAAATTAATATTTATCTTTTATCAAATTATTAAAAAGATCATATAATTGTTGCTTCTAATATTATATCTTAAAATATTTGTTAAGTTTCCTTCTTTATTTTATATGTATTAGAAAAAAAGAAATCAATTATTTATCTAATTCAAGTTTTATTTGTTTGTTTACTTCTTTATTTATTTATTAAGTAGGATTGCATCTCAAATTTGAGTTAAAACTATTAAGTACTGTTAATATCATTCAAATAATAAATCAGACTTTACTAAAATAGATTTAAGCTTTGATAGATAAAAATCTAAAATTAAATATAATATACTATAGATCTTCTAATTTAAGAAACTGTAATTTTAGATATTATTCCAAATCTAGAAAAATAATTAAAACCGAAGATATTTATCCTTATTCTAACTTTTGTTATGAATAATGAGAAATTAAGGTTTTTAAATTTAAGAAATATACTTCTTTCTAGATTATATTTATTTATAGTTTATACACCAATAGCATTTTTTTCTTCTTCTTTTTCTATTAGAATTTCCCATTTAAAATTTATTCCCTCTACATGTTTATATCTATATACTGCTTAATAAATGAAAATTAAACTTTTAAATATATTTTTAGAATCATTTTTTAAGTTTTGTTGCAAATGTAGTATTTTTATTTCTATATATGAGATATGAAATTAATAAATTATTGTGTAAAATATTTAAAAAAGCTATTAGTGTTTTACAAATCAAAAAAATCTCTTATTTTTCTTTTTTAAGTAGCAAATTAAAAATAAATAAAAATGACTGATAGTTTTTAAATGATTTAAAAAATTTTCCTTATAAAATAATAATTAAATTGATAAAAAAATTCTTAACAACAAATATCTTATGAAAAAATTTTTTCTTACTAGAAAACGTATTTATTAACCAAGATTTAGAAACTTGAAATAATTAAAAGATCGCATTATTATCTTCAAAAAGACCAATAAAAACAAGTAATTTACTTAATTCTGTAAAAATTCTGAATGTTAAAGATAAAAATGCGCTTTTGCTCATAGTATCAGTGAGCTAAAAAACCCAGACTATAAATATGAATCTGATCCTTATTACAAAGAAAATAAATGTAATATACTAAATTGTAAAATAGAAGGATGTAAAGATTACCATGATATCTAAGAAAAAAGGATGAACATTTTCAAAAAAAATATTCATAAACTAGTGTATAAAAGCCTTAATCTAGAATCAAATGAAGATTAATTTACTGAAGAAAATAAAATTAGCTAATGTAAATCTTAATTTTTTATAAAGAAGAAATTAAATATTTCCTCTTTAATCCCATCTTTAACCTATTTTAACGAGCAAGACTTAAACTTAATGTTTAATTAGATATTAAAAGTAGTCTAATAAATCAATGAAAATCAAATTATAGATTCATTCTAGCCTATTTAAGCACTTTCTTCACTTTAATAAAATTAAAAAAAAAATTAAATAATTACTTAAAGTAAAAATGAACCACATATTTAAAAGTGCATTAACAATGTTATCATAAATTTATGTTCAAGGAGATCTTTAATTAGTAACCATTATAATTACGCTCTTTTACATTTACTAAATAAAATACCCATTATTGATTTTAAATATAAACTATTTAAATATAGAAGAAATAGCTAAAAAAGATAATTATCCTATTTCATAAAAACTAATGTAGTGGTTCCTTTTGTATGTGAAGATATCAAGAATTTTAAGCCTACTTCTCTCAAACTTGATATCAGATCTTTAAATAAAAATTGGCAAAGCTTTGTAAAGTTGATGGAGACTCTTTAAAATACCTCTCAATCAATCCATAAATTAGATATAAATCTACAAGAATTTATTGGACCTCAGGATGTAAATGATATCGAAAAAATATTTACAAAAGCATTAAAAAATGTACCCTAACTGTAAACTATCAATATAAGATTACAATTTAACTACTTAGAAAATGGAGGATATGAAAGGGATATTGTTGATTTATTTTTAGAATTAATTGAAAAGTTATTGGATTAAAATCGCTCACTAAAATTTTAATTGAACATTTTCAGAATCTGTATCAAACGTAATAAAAATAGTTTAGAAATATTTAGTGATAAGATAGATAGAAAAAAAGAATACAAAAGAAACATTATAAATAAAATGTTTAAAAGTTCTAAATTGCATGAGTACTTTCTTTCTAAATTTTCTGAAATAAGGAGAATCAGAGGAATAAAAACTTTAAAAATAGATTTTAGTAATTTATTTTTGACTTAAAAAAAAGGAAAAAAATCTGTTTAACATATTTATGAGAATGAAATAGAATGTCTATTAAATGGAGTTAAGTAAATTTTAGATAGGATGATCCCAAATAATTACTTAGAGAATTTAACCATCTAATTTTTTAGTTTCTTTTTCCACTTTGAAGTGTAGCCAAAATAATAAATGTTATTATATAGATTCTTTATGAATTTATAGCTCTTTTTCTAAAACACTCCACTTGTGTCAATTAAAAATTTTGATATTTTTAGTGGAGTTTTAAATAGAAAATTAATGAATAAAAAATACATATATTCCTCTTTTGATGGCAATCTATTTACTTCTAAATACTATAATAACAGAAAAAAAGAAATAAAAATTGCTAATGATCACATAAAAGATATAGAAACAAAAAGAACAATTTTTAAAAGTGTAATATAAAATGCTAGTGAATTCCTTAACTTAATGACAAATAATTTTGAAAATGTTAGAAAAATTTCATATTTTTAACATGATTCTCATCATCTAAATAAAATACTTTAATATTAAAGATAAAGACTCACCCATACTATTTGTTTATATAAACAAAGTTGGTTATGTTTAGAAGAAAACAAGCTTAAAATTTTAAACATCAATTAATATTTGGATTTCAAAAGAAGATAGTTTCTTTATTTCTATGCAAAATTATTGAGAATAAAAAAAAGAAATAAAAAGTTTTCTTTCAGAAAAGAAATAATATCTTAGATTTTAAAATTAATTAACTTAAGTTAAGACTTTACTGATTTTAATATTAATAGATGTTATTATTATAATAATAGAAAAGGTGGATTGATTATGTGTTGTGATTCCATAAAATGAATAAAATTTTTTTAAATATTTTTAAATTATCAAAATTAGAATTTAAAATTTAGATATTTTTAAAATATCCCTATCTACATATTTAAGAACTATCAATTATTGTAAAGGATTACTTTATTTTATGGAATTTCTAATAGAATTATTTTTTTAAAAATCCTTTCATTTTTGATCCTTTTTTATTAAAACCAAAGATACTTATCCTTTCTGACTGTTGTTTTGAATAATGAATAATTAAGGTTTATGAATTTAAGAAATTTACTTTATTATAAAAAGAAGAAATGATGATTATAAATACTATAAAGCATTTCCTTCTATTCTTCTTTTTATTTTAGAATTTCCAATTTAAAATTATTGCTTCTACATATTTATATTTGTCTAGTTGCTGAATTTAAGTTATATTTTTTGCACGATTGCTTAACATTTGTTATAGATGTAATAATTTTATTTCTCTACATTAGAAAAGGAATTTATAGTTTATGTGTAACTTATTTAAAAAAGCTTTTATTATTTAAGAAATAAAAAAATATCTTATTTTACTTTTTGGCCAATTAATAATAAAAAAATGAATTAATTGATGCTATTTAAATGATTAAAAATCTTTCCCTTATTTAATAATTATTAAATGTATTAAAAATTCTTAAAAAAATATCAAATGAAAAAATTTATTCTTACTAAAAAACGTATTTATTAAAAATAAAAAACCAAAAGGCAAAAATAATTAATAGAGAGCAGAATTATCATCAAAAAGAACAAAAGTAGATAAAGGTAATTTACTCAGTTCTGTAAAAATTAATCTTAATGTGAGAATTAAAAATGCACCTTTGCACATAGTATTAGCTAGTTAAAAAACCCAGACTATAAATACGAATCTGACCCTTATTACAAATAAAATAAATGTAATAAACTAGATTGTAAAATAATAGGATGTAAAGATTACCATGATATCTAAGAAAAAAGGATCACTATTTTCAAAAAAAATATTAATAATCTATTGTATAAAAGCCTAAATCTAGAATCTAAAGAAGATGAGGGCACTGAAATAAAGAAAGCTAGCTAATGTAAATCTTAGTTTTTTTTAAAGAAGAAATTGAATATTTCCTCTTTAATCCCATCTTTAACCTATTTTAACTAGCAAGACTTAAACTTAATGTTTAATTAGATATTAAAAGTAGTCTAATAAACCCATGAAAACTAAATTAAAGATTCATTCTAGCCAACTAAAGGGCTTTCATCGCTTAAACAAAATATTTTAACAAACTAAATAATGAATTAAAGTAAAAATGAATCATAAATTTAAAAGTGCATTAACAATGTTATCATAAATTTATGTTCAAGGAGATCTTAAATTAGTAATCAATATGATTTTGCTCTTTTAAATTTACTAAATAAAATACCAATTATTGATTTTAAATATAAACTATTTAAATACAGAAGAAATAGCTAAAAAAGATAACTATCCTATTTCATAAAAACTAATGTAGTGGTTCCTTTTGTATGTTAAGATATCAAGAACTTTATGCCTAATTCTCTCAAACTAGATATCAGATCTTTAAATAATAATTGGCAAAGCTTTGTAAAGTTGATGGATACTCTTTAATATGTTTCTCAATCAATCCATAAACTAGATATAAATCTATAAGAATTTATTGGACATCAAAATATAAAAGATATCGAAAATATATTTACAAAAGCTTTATAAAATGTTCCATAACTAAAAGCTATCAATATAAGATTACAATTTAACTACTTAGAAAATGGAGGATATGAAAGAGATATTGTTGATTTATTTTTAGAATTAATTCAATAGTTATTGGATTAAAATCACTCACTAAAATTTTAATTGAACATTTTCAGAATCTGTATTAAACGTAACAAAAACATTTTAGAAATATTTAGTGATAAGATAGATAGAAAAAAAGAATACAAAAGAAACATTATAAATAAAATGTTTAGAAGTTCTAAATTGCATGAGTACTTTCTTTCTAAATTTGCTGAAATAAGGAGAATCAGAGGAATAAAAACTTTAAAAATAGATTTTAGTAATTTATTTTTGACTTAAAAAAAAGGAAAAAAATCTGTTTAACGTATTTATGAGAATGAAATAGAATGTTTGTTAAATGGAATGAAGGAAATTTTAGAAATTATGATCCCAAATAATTAATTAGAGAATTTGACTATCTAGTTTTTTAGTTTCTTTTTCCACTTTGAAGTGTAGCCAAAAAAATAAATGTTATTATATAGATTCTTTATGAATTAATAACTGTTTTTCTAAAACACTCCACTTGTATCAATTAAAAATTTTGATATATTTTACTATGCTTTAAATAGAAAACTAATGAATAAAAAATACTTATATTCTTCTTTTGAAGGCAATCTATTTACTTCTAAATACTATAATAACAGAGGAAAAAAAATAAAAATTTCTAATTATCACATATAAGATATAGAAGCAAAAAGAAAAATTTTTAAAAGTATAATATTAAATGCTAGTGAATTTCTTAACTTAATGACAAATAATTTCGAAAATGTAATAAAAATTTCATATTTTTATGATGATTCTTACCATCTAAACAAAATACTATAATACTAAAGAGAGAGACTCACCCATACTATTTGTTTAGATAAAAAATATTGGGGTATAGAAGAACACAAGCTTACAATTTTAAAAAGCAATAAATATTTAAATTTCAAAAGAAGATAGTTTCTTTATTTCTTTGCAAAATTACTTAGAATAAAAAAAAGAAATAAAAAATTTTCTTTAAGAAATGAAATAATATTTTAAATTTAAAAATTAATTAACTTAAGCGAAGATTTTACTCTATTTAATATTTATTAAAGTTATAATTATGATTAGTGATTACATAAAATGAATAAAACTTATTTTTATTATTTTTAAATTACCAAAATTAACATTTAAAAAGTTTTTTAAAATATCCCAATCTATTTAAGAACCATTTCTTGTTGTAAAATTTTATGAAAATAAAAAAAATATTTTTTAAATAAAATAATATTGGTATATGTTTTTAAATGTATCTATTATATATTTTATATGCTCGTTAGCAGTAAATCAATGTAGAATATATTTATCAATCTATTTCATTTCAGAGATTTTTAGTAAATTAATTAATGGTTTCTCACGTCTAACATATAAATAAAATGGATGGCTTTGAATTTCTTAAAAAGTAATATTCTGAAATAAACCTTATTTTTCAATTTTACATCTCAATTTTTGCATTAAAAAAATTAAAATCTTTCTTTAACCTTTGAGATTGCTTAATACGATTTACTAATTCTAAAAGAAAAATAAATACAAAAAAAAAATTAATTACAAGTTTTTGTTTATTAAGAAGACTAAAATAAATTTGCATAATTTTTGAATCTTAAAGCTATTTGGCTTATAAAAATGAACGATAACTCAATAAATAACTATTAATAATTGCTTACTTAGAGGTAATAAGATGCTTCCGAACTAGGATAAAACAACATCTAAGAAATTGAGATGGTTGATTAAACAAATAATGTTTAAAATACTATGAATATTTAATACCTTAAGTAAATCCCGCTCAGTTAAGAAAATGAAAAAATTGTAAAAAGCTAAAATAATCCTGAAAATATTGTGGCTGAAGAAAAGGTTGCAGTTAAATAACCTTTGACTCAAACACTTTACATTTGTTATTTAGTTTTACTTATTCCACTTTGCGCAGCAATTACTGGGCTAGCAGATACAGATTAAATAATATATGGATCTATCCCAAGCTATTTAAAAGGTCTTTTCATAGGTCTTTTAGTTGTTACTTTGGTCAATATGATATATTTAATTCTAGTTTAACTTTATGTCAGCCGTAAATATATTGATAGTATCCCTTTTAAGCACAAGCTTGTTATTTGTGGTATCTGGTTCATATTAAATTCTGGATTTTTTATTATTGGAGGCTTATCATTTAGAGGATACAGATATATGATTGACGATTGTAATAACTATTACACAGAAATTTGGTAAAGAGAAGCTCTTAATTTATATGACAGTGCAAAGAGCACTTTGTGTACATCTTCATGTTTATGTGACATGAAATTTCCTTTTATATTGCCATAAGACTTGTAAAACAAAATAACTCCTTATATTAATAACTCACAAATGGTAGTCAACATCTCACAATGTCCAGGAAGCTTTCAAAAGAACGACTTGTATTATTAACTCAAGTAAGCTGAAAATTATTGGGGCTGCTCAGGAATATGCACACCTCTAAACTTATACTATTTCACTGATGTAAATTACTTAAATTCCTTTAAATCAGAAGACATTAATTATTCTCAAAAATTAAATTTAATAGCAATTAATTTGCAAGGAAAATATAATATTTCAATAATTTTTGTAAAATTAAAATGAATGATTCATTAAGAATTATAAATTTAAATCACTAAATTTTATTTTGATTAAGATTAATAGAGGAACACCAACTGAGCAGAGACCTTGTCTATAAGTTGCTATTGAGGATCATCTTCCTCAGGTTGTAAATCTAGTGAAATTTTCAAGTTTGTTTACTGCAGTAGTTCAAACAATAGTATTGCTCTACTTTTTATTCAAAACATAAATTGAAAACTCATCTCTTTTTAGATAGAGTTCAAATTCTTCAGATGGTTACAATTCTAATAAATATTCTAGTGGTGGGAGTAGTAGTAGCGGAGGTTAAGATATTGATGTTGATGATGATATTGATGATAAATAAGGTTAAAATAACACATAAAACCAATCAACAGAAAATGACTTTGATAATTTCACCCTTCCTTAAAGGAATCCTAATTATTTTGCCAAAATGTTTAGCTCGAGAGTCTCTAAAATATCAAGAGGTTTAACAAAATAGTCAACTACTTAGACATTTTAATAGAGCTCAAAATCATCAGTTATATCAAGTAACCTTATAAATTAGCTCAAAAAAAGTAAGCTCCCATCAGAAGCTCATTAAACTAGTAAAAGATTAAGCTAATCATGAAATAATGAAATATCCTTTAAAAAATTAATAAAAATTCACATAAATTTTCCTTATATTAATTAAATTACCTATATCTTATTAAAATTTCTAGTTTACTATCTAAAATTTAACAAATTAAATATGTAATATCGCCTTTTACACATTGCATAATACTTTATTCTTTTATAAAATTGTATCTAATCAATATTTTACATTGAATTTTATTTAATTTACTCTTTTTAATAATAAGTCAGGAAGCTGGTTTTTTAATTCCAAAAAACAAATATTGAAATATCTTAAAAAACTAAAAATAAATAGTTGAATTATGTATAAAAAACACCAAAAAAAGGACATATAGAAACTAGAACCTGTTTTAATTTAATTTACCTAATTCAGATTATTTTTTAAAATTAATTAAGATTTTCAAATTAGATTTGCCAATTTTAAAGAATCAATTTCAAGTGGATAAATTATTAAAGAAAGGCAAATTTCAATTTTATTAGTTTTTAATAAATCTATTTTAGTTTTTGTATTTACTAGTTGACTTAAAATAAAAATAATTTATTTGCTTTTTCTGAAAATGTAAAAATATGTTGAATTCTAGAATTGTGTCTATGGTCTGATTTTGTATAAAAAAACAAAAAAATACCTTTTTTTTATTTTAAATTTTTAAATTGTATTTATTTTACATCTAGAAAACACAAAGGATATTTCTAAATTTCACAATAATTTACTTTACATTTTCTTTTTAAGACATTAAAATTGCTGTTATAGTATATTTAAAAATGCAATAAATTTAGTAAGAAGTAAGCTTTTGTTAAAGACACCCTAGCCATCACACTATCGGAGTGTGTTTAAGCAAAAATTTTTTAAAAGATTAAGAGAAAAATGATTGGAAAATATGCTAAAAATGCATGAGCATTTATTCTAAAGTTTATAATGATTTTTTATTATTTGAAGACATAAATGACAAAAATGAATACCAGATAGAAGAATACCCCTTCGATTAAGCTACTAGAAAGATCAAAGATTTCCTTAATGAAAAGTAGGCTTCGCATAAAAAGGTATTTATTAAAGAGATAGAGTTTATTGATCAATTGATTGATTAACTTAAAGAGATTAAGTCGTAGCTTATAAATTTTTAAGAGAGTAATGAAAAATTATAGCAAAACATGCTTAATAAGATTAAATAACTTTATACTGATGCTTATGGAATTCAACACATTAAATAGGCTTTAAAGTAGAATTGTTCTAAGCTAGAAAATAACTAAGAAATAGAATTTATGAAAAGTGAATTGCACCAGACTTTTAATTAGCTCTGTTAACTTAAAGAAGGTTAAGATATTAAATAGCAGATTAATAACTTCTAGTAAGGAGCATATAATTTTATAAATGAAAGGCTTATTCACTAATTTGACAATTACCAGCAAATAATAAATTAACTAAGCATCGAGAAATTATCAGTTGAACAAAATAGTATGCAACCTGTTCAACTTGTTAGATCAAAAGTACCTTATCCTGATGCTTTAAATACTATCCTGTATCCTCGTGAATCATTTTCTGAAAATTCTTCGATTTATAAAGTAGTATTTATAGATAATCAAAACTTTGAAGACAAGTGTCATTTCTTTATTGGTTGTATAGACTCAGAACTTAAAGATGCAATAGGATACAATCACGATATGCCCTGTTTATGTTTTATTTGCCACCTTAAATAAAAAGAAATAAACATAAGCAATATTAAATAACTAAGTATTACAGCAGCATTTGATATTAAATAAAACCAGGTTACTTATACCTTTAATGACAATATTTTAAATTAACACTCAGTTGTGATAAGTTATAACTTTTAGCCATTCAAAGAATGGAAATTATTTATTAGCACTTGTTTTTAACTTAAATTCAAAGTGTATAAATGCTGAAAGATACTTAATTCAACAATATATATATTACAGCTATTTTAGTTATTAAATTACATCATTTAAATATATGTTGTAAATTTTATTTTTATAAAATTTGATTTGATACAATTGAAAAAAAGAATTAAAGTAATTAGAAAATATTTAAGAATTATTTTTGTTTTTTAAATTTTAATTCCTCATAAATTTGGTAGAATTGGAGCCAATAACTTTTAGAAATATTGATGTTTCTATTTGATAATAGATATAAATAAAATATTGAAAGATCTAAAAATTTACTAAATAAAGCGTATTAATAATAACTGACAAATCAAATCAACATAATTTCAAAAAGTAGATTTATAAAATGGAAATGGAAATCACTGAGTAAATATGAATTAACAAAGTAAGATATATACAATTTATTATTAAAATAATAGGAGAAAGGAATAATAAGCTTGCGTAGAAAAGGTTTAAGATGAAGATGAGCAATATGAAGAAGAATATGTGCCTACAACAAAGGGAATAGTGTACTAATTAAACAAAGAATAGAAAAATTTGAAAAGGTAATTCAATTAGGTCCTAATTTTAGGAATTATATTGTTTATTATCTTTTTGTGGCACCAGTATTTGTGAGTTTAATTCTAAAGATTTGCAGAATATAAAAATTTTGACATCTTTGCATATTTTCCAATTTTTTCATAAATAATATGATATCTAATTGCCTCTTTAAAAAACACTAAAAGGCAAAAAATGTTTGTACTTATATATAAATTGCAATTTTGAAAATAAAATATACATAAAAAATTTACTCTTTAAATTAGTATTATGAATACATAAATTCATTTTTATAGTATGTTCATTTTTAGCTACATAATTATTTACTTTATATTTTGCTAATAAAATAATCATTAAGATTAAACCAATTAAATTTTGTGTACCAAAAGTTTTAAATTCAAATTAATTAGAATTAATGTTAAAAAGTCATCGATAGATTGATAGAAGGATTGAAAATCATCAAAAAAATTGTTATAAATTATAAAATAAAAATGATAAAAATTAAAGTAAAAATTATTTTTCAGAAAAAATCTAAATTCAATCTTTTTTATTTTTAATTAATTAGAAATTTTTTTTATTTTAAAAATATTTATCTTTTATTATATCGTGCTTTAGATATTGTATAAATGGTTTTTAAAACAAATCAAATATTAATTTATTATTTTTTAAAAGTTTTTCAAATTTTTTAGTTTAACTTTCATCAATAATTTATTACTTTCTTAAATAAAATTGAAAACATATTATTACATATCTATTTATAAATAATATTATATTTATTAAATAGTAATATTATAAATAATTTATTGAAATAAGAGAGGTTTAAATTAATATCTTTAAAAATATCCCTTATTTTAAATATTTTATAGAGATAAAATTGAGCAAATAAATAATGAGAGTAAAAAATATTTTTAACAAGAGTTCCTCTGTTTTGTATTATCTCACCAAGAACTCTTTATACTTTTCAATTTGATATATTAATGTAATATTTATAGGTAATGTACCTTCCAATTAAGTTAGTGGCTAATAAAGTGTAAAAAGAGACACCTAAGAATACAGCTGTATATTATAATATGTATTCATAGCTAAAATACTTGGCTAAGGTTACAGAAAGCGTCCAAAATAGCATAATAAAAGAAGAAGCTAGCCCAAAACCTGTTCCTATCATATAATCTTGATGATAATAAACTACTATAATTTCAATTGTAATAAAACTTTGTGCTAAAGCTATTCCTGAAAATATGTTGTTTACAGCTTAAATTCCAATAGAAACAAAAGGATTATTTTTAAAAACATTTATTTGTATATAACTTATTAAAAAAAATACAAATGAACAAAATCCAGATCCTAAATAAACGTTTAAAACTTTGCTTAATGAAAAATTCCTTTTAAATATTTTTGCAAGATGAAGGCTAAAGAATAACTGAGATGCTGCTTAAACTTTTTTTTAGTAAAAAAAATAAAATTTAAAATTCAAGCAAAGCTTTTTTTTATAATAATTTTAATTTAAAAAAGAATAAAATATATTTATTTATTTTATTTGAAGATTCAAAAAAATAATGGCTTAAATAAATTAATAAATTTACTTAAACTTAAAATGTACTAAGATGAGACAATTGTTTCATCATTGTTGTTATTTTGATTTTTTAGGTAATTTATCAAGTTTTAGCTAAAAATGCTTACAAATTAAGTATTTTGGAGGCCAATAATTATAGAAACTGAAAAAATGGAATACATGAATTCATAACTTTAGAGATATTTTTTCAAAGTTAAAAACAAATTGTGCTTTCTAAAAGGATTTTTATAATCTCTAATGTTAATTTCTTCAGTATCTTCTAATTATTGTTGAGAATTATTAATCTAATTTAAAAAGGCTTTCTCTATGAATAGTAGTAAAATTGTATTTAAGAAAATGAAATGTCTGGATTGATAAATTAATTCAGGAGCTCCTTAGATCTAGTTAACTAAAAGCATTAAAATATTTGCCAAAATACGAGGTAAACTCCATCCATAGGCACAATAAGAACTTACAACTACTGAATAATTTTCTATTTTAGGATAATAATCATATATCAAAGTTAAACCTGCAACAAAGAACACCTCTTTTCCTATCATAAACAGAAAGACACCAACCATGGAAGACTAAATCAAGCCATAACACAATGAAAAATATTAAAGCAATATTCCTAAACACACTAAGGCGAAAGATATTTTTATAGTTACTACTTGATTTACAAAATCTCTTGCATAGCCAAAGAGAATGGGTAGAAAAAAATTTAAGGGAATAATGAAAGCAAAACTATAATAAAACTAAATATCCTAAGTATTTGTATTAGCTAATGTTGGATAAAAAAGACCTGCATACTAATTTTATATAAGCTCTAAAAAGAAAAAGCAAAGATTATGAATGCAATTGCAAATTTTAAGGTTTTTAACCAAATTATTTTTATTCTATTTAATAAGCTTTTTAACTTGGCGTTGCACATATGCTTCAGTATTTAATTCTAAGACTAATTCTTATCGACTTTATTATTGAATATAGTTAAAATCATATTCTAGGCGCATCTTTATCTATTTTTTATAAAATAACTCTAAATTGATTTAAATAATTAATAATTTACGAAAAATTAATTTTAATAAACTATTATCAATTCCTTCAAAATAATTAGGAAAGATATATTTACAGAATACTCCTATAAAATTATCAATTTTGAATATATTTTAGTTTAATTATTTAAATAATTCATTATATTATGATAATTTATTTTATTTGAATTCATAGAATGAAAGATAAAAGCTAAGGATTTCTTCAAAATATATATAAAGAGTTAAATACTGTCAATCCTCATTAGTTAAAGCCTATCCATCAAGATTTTATACTTGGTAAAGGACCTGCCTTAATAGTATTTAAAAATTTATTAAACTTGAAAACATATAAACTTAATTTTATAATAACTCAGTATATAATAAATTTTATATCATCTTTTTAAACTGATCAGTAAAATTAATTTCTTTAAAAAATGCACCTAAAAAAATAAATGTTAAATATAATATAATAATATTTGAGTAATTTAATAATAAATTAATTAGCTATACTTACTTATTAAAAAATAATAAATCTATTAGGTTTACTAATAAATTTTTCATACTAATATAATCTAATTAAGATATTTATCTCTTTATATAGGATTTTGATTTAGATAAAATATATCTAAATATTAATTATTTTTTTTTTATTTGTTTTAGTTTTTTTTAAAAACTTATTATTATTTCACAAAGATTCTTGTTTGTTTATATTTTTTTATTATTCACTTTCTGTTTTAAACATTTTTTTCCCAATTGTATACTAAATTGTAAATGAAATAATCGTAATCATCAAGTAAGCTGGCAATAAGCTTTGTAAGAACTATCTATTGTCTTATGAAAAAAGTAGAATTAAACCAGAAATCGTTGCAAACAAATTCATGAAGGAAGATGCTAAACCAAATCCTGTGCCAATCATATAATTTATTTAAAAGTACTATACTATTACCTCTACTGTGGAATAAGAAAATGCAGAAATTAAGCCAGATAGAATGTTGCAAAAAACTAAAATGAGGCTTAGTGGTAAATATTCTTCAGGAATATTTTCCAAAAAAATTAAAGCTGTGTAAAAAATGATTGCAAGAAAGCCAGAGGTTTAAATACTTTAAACTACTTTGCTTAACTTGTATTTTTTCTTGTAGAACTTTTTAAGAAATTCATTTGCAGTAAAATCTGATATAACTTGGACTTAATATAATTTTTAAAAATTTTTAGTAATTTTATAATAATAAGGATAATAAATAATATTTATTTACATGATGTAAGAAAATAAGAAATATTGGTTGGTCTTTAGTTATTCCCTTCATTAATTAATTCTGATAAGTTAACATTAAAAGCATTAATGTATCCAAAATTCTAGCTGGAGATCACGCAAGAAATGGAAAGAATTATTAATATCAGTTTATAGTTTTTAAAGTATTTGCTTAAAGCAATTAATATATTGTGTTTTTTCAAAGGATTGTTGCTATTTCTTATATTAGATTCTTCCGTTTATTCAAGGATTTAATAAATTTTCAATATTTAGTATATCTAAGTTATTTCAAAAATAAGCAACAAAAAGAAGATTAAAAGTAAGATCTTCAAATATTCAACTACTTTACCATTCAAATATTCACAAGAAGACAAAACAATCATAATCAAATTAGTAAAGAAGTGGGGAAGGCACCATCCAAATTAAGAGTAAGAAACCAATATTTATGCAAAATCAGAATTAAGTGGATAGTAATCATTTATTAAACACAGTCCAGCCACAAAAAATACCTCCTTACCCAAATTAAAAAAGAATTATCCTATTAATTCTACTTAATAGAGATGCAGAAACATTGAGCAATTTTAAAAGATAATTCCAATAAAAATCATAGCAAAAGTTATTTTTATAGTTGCTACTTGCTTAACAAAGTCACGGGCATATCCTAGCATCACTGGAAGAACAATAAATAAAGGAATTTAGAAGCATAGATTAAACAAAAGCTTTTACTGTTTGAAGTCATGTTTGTTCTGATAAAGATGAGAAAAATTATAAAATTCAATCTGATCAAGCATTGAAAAGCAGAAAATATGAATGAAATTGCAAATTATCAACTTACATTTTAAGGTATTTTTATTACTTTCTATAAAAGCATCTATTACCATTTTATTTATTTCTATGTCACCTTATTGCTCAATGAGATTTTGAGTAATTATGCATTCCATATTTAAAGAATTATTATTATTGTCTTATTACATTTTTGGATAATTTTTTTATTAATTCATTAAATTATATATTAGAATACCGTAAGTTCTCATTTCCTCGTTCCTCGGATTACGCCATTTCCGAAAAACGAGAAGTGATTTTTAAAGACTATAAAAATTGATCATTTCTCGGATTTCGTTCGGATTTTTTAAATGAGAACTTACGGTATATCCAAAAAATTTTTTATTTTTTAAAAATCCTTATTTCAATTCAAATGAATTAATCTGTTAGTAAATTATTTAATTCAAATACTACTTTTTTATTCTTACTTGCTTTATTTTTTAAATTTACAGTATTATACTTATAAATAGCAAGCATTTTTATTTAATAAAGCAAATTGTTTTACTTTTAAAAAACAAAAAAAATATTTTAAATAAATGTAGTTTTATATCTTTAATTTAACAACAAGTATTGAATAATTTAAATTTTACATTTGTTATCACATATAAATATTTAGATTCAAAGTAAATTTTAACATTATTTTTTAATTTAAGTACTAATTAAATATAAATTATTTAAAAATATTTTAATGTTTATTTTAAATATATATGAAAGTTATAAATAATTATTTAATTTAAAAATACTTAATCATTCTATCTCTTTTTAAACTATAAAGTATGCAAATTTAAATTTATAAATCTTTGGATTTATATGTTATTTTGTTTTTGAAATAATTTTGTTATTTGAATTTTAATTCTGAATGTTTGAAGTAAAAAAAAAATTTATTAAAATAATTTTACTTACTTAGTTAATAATAAAAGCAAAAAATATTTATTATAATATTTGTATTAAGAATAGAAAAAAATGAATTTTTCTCAAATATTTATGAGAGTAGTAAATTATTAATTGTGTTATTTATAAAAATATACACTTAATTATTACATTTTTAGGTATGTAAATTTAATTGTATAAATATTTAGATTAGTATTTTACTTGTTTTTGAAATATTTTTGTTATTTAATTAATTTTGGGTGTTTGAAAATTTAACATTATAAAGAATTTTTACTATTTTAACAAGAATAATTTATTTATTTATGTAATATTTTGTAATAATGTTTGAAAAAATTAAATTTATTAATTATTTTAAAGTATAAAGAACTAATATATTTTTTATTTAATAAGGATATTTTGTGTATTTTAATATATTATTATTCGATTAATTTATTCAAACAAATTGTTTCATATCTTATTTGCATACTGGGCAATGAGTATTCTTTTTAAGCCACTCATCTATGCAGTTAGAATGATAACTATGACAACAATCAAGAATTTTAACTTCTTCTCCTTCTTCAAATTCACAGAGACAAACAGGGCAGTTGAGCAAATCTTAGCTCATTCCAGGTTTTTTCTAAAATTTATGAACAGGGAAGTCTTTAAGCTGATTTTCATTTAAACCTCCGTCATTAGAATAGTCAAAGCCTTCCATATTACCATGACTTAAAAAGTACTAAAATTATCTGTTTTATGATTGTTGCATTAAAGGTATCAATATTTAAAATAAATCACTTCCAATACCTTGTCTTCTATTAGATCTATTCCCTCTTAATCCTAAGAACAAAAGCTCTAATGGATGTACTCTTTCAGCCTATAGAGGATTGCTGCTACCTTGCCTTTAGAAAGACATTTCTTATTCTTCTTAATTTTAATAGGAATTTTACCTTTATTATTATCTCTAATTATTATTATCATTTCTACTATGTTATTATTAAAAGATTGGTTATCTATTTTGATTTCTATTATTATTAGAGCTAAAGTTTCCATTTCTTCTTAGCTATGATTACTATTATTACTAATTTAAAGCCTAATCACATACATCTAAGTGGTCATTCATGATGCATTAAGGGAATAGCTATCTGCAGAATTAGCATTAGATTTCTTTATTAGGACAGGTTTCTACATGAATGGATACCATTTCGATGGTTAAGATAGTATCACAATTGGGACATTTTACTGTTTCATCCTAACTTTATTCAAGAGGATGATAATATGACATATTTCCATTATTACGTTGATAATTTAAATTTTAAGGGTCATATTCATTATTAAATTAGCCACTATTTCCTTGCCTTTAACTCTGGTTTGATTGCTATTAGACATTTTATTGGCCAAACATATTTCTATTGTTCACATCACGCAGATTATCAGAAATAACCTCGTTTGCTTAATAAGAATATTGGGTGTCTCTATTTTTTGAAGGGGACTATTTCATAAATGCATCCTAACTCTATTGAGGTTTATTAGAATTACTACTCATGTTATTTTGAAGATTTTGCTAAGCTTATCTATTCTATTTTTGGCATTAGATTACATGCAATTCGTAGTTTGAAACTCTTTTTTAACAAAAAGAGCAGAAATTTCCTTGGTCCTATTATGAATTATTCATATTTATTTAGATTCTACAAAAAAGTAAATTTATTTTTTTATCAATAAAACAATCTTTTTCTATATGATTTTTTATTTTCACTTATTATTTTTTCTGATTAAGATGTATATTCTAATAATTAATTAGCTTGTAGGTTTATTATTTAAGCTCAGATATTTATATAGCAGAAAATATAGATTTTATTATAGCAAATTCGATAAATATTCTAAATTTTAGACATATGAAGCATACATAATATGACTGAAATTTATAATCTATAATATAAAAGTAAAATTTGAGATAGTTATTTCATGTATAAATAATTTTATAAATTATAATATCTTATCAAAAATGTTCTAATTTTTATTATATGAGCAATTTATATAATATTTAGACAAATATAACTATTTTTCTAAGAATTTTTCTAAAGATCTAGAATTAATTTTTTTCTAAAATATGATATAGACAGACAAATAACAAATAATTACAATATGAAATTCTATTATTTAATTTCTAAATCAAAATTAAAAAACATACATTATCAAACACAAGTATTGTATAACTTCTTATTTATGCAGAGAAAAACTAAAATATTACAATGATGATAATAATTTTTTAAACATCCAAAAAAAAAATAATCTAGACAAATTATGAGAAATAAATTTTAATAGATTATGGTATTTAGAAAAATTTTTGAATATAAATAGGAAGAATGAATAATTCTTATAAGCTAATAATATATTTATCACATAATTAACTTTTCTAATATTTAGAAAATTAAATAGCTTTAATATTAAACAAGATAGATAGATATAATGATAGAAAAAAATGAAAAAAAGATTTTCAAAAAGAATACATTAAAATAAAAAAATATTTTTAAAAATAATTGAATTGAGTGAATTTATTAGAATATTGAATCAAATATATCAGAAATAAACAGTATATTTAACTATAATAATCTTGAAAAATTAATTAATAGATCAAGCTATTAAATTTAAAAATGTATAAAAATATATTTATTAAAGCTGAACTATCTCATAACGTGAAAAAGAAAAATTATTGTAACTTAATAATATTTTCATGAGAATAAGGAGTTGTAATACTGCATAGCTTAGTCATAAACTCCGCCCCAGTATGACTTTGTCTTATTGGTTACATCACTAAAATATTCTGAAGTAGAGTTATTAATATTACTTACATACTCTTTAGAGTTGCTAATATGACCTTAAACATAATCCCTTGTATTATTATAATTTGTTTCAACATAATTTTTAGCATTGTTTATATTGCTTTAGCAATAATCTTTAGCACTGTTATAATTGCCAGTCACATAATTGTAAGTATTATTGTAGGAGTTTAAGCAGAATTCCTAGGTAGTGTTTTTGTAATAAATGCATTGTTATTTGGTTTTTAAAAAAACAGAACTTGTAAAAAATAAATAGTTTTCTATTCTTTAAGGTTTTAAAGTAATACATTCTTTGTAATTTTAAATGGCATTGTCAAAATTTTCTTTTTCATAGTAGCAATTTGCTAAATGTCTGTGACAAGTAAATGCGTTTTCTCCCTTCAACTTAGTGCATTCTTCAAAAGCAGGTATTGCGTTATCGAAATCGCCTTTGTTGTAAAACATAAATCCTTTCATTTCGTGGTAAGTCTCATTGCTAGGATCAATCTAAATTAGCCTGTTAAATATATTAAGAGCATTTTCAAAGTTTTTGCTCTTTTTAAATGCGTTTCCGAGATCCACCAAATATTATTCATTTTTAGGCTTTAATGAAGAAGCTTTTTAGTAGTATCTAATAGCCTGTTTAGATTGATTTAAATTTAAAAATACATGACCCATATTATTCAAGCATTAATCTGAGTTTCCATTTATATCCAAGCAAACATTAAGAGGTGTTTAAGCAAGTTCATATTCTTTCTTTTAAATATATATCTTAGCTAAATTGTTTTAGCAATCTTCATTTCTAGAATTCTTGGAAATGCATTTTCTTAAAGATTATTCTGCCTCTACTAATTTATTTTGTTTTAAAAATGCAATTCCTTTTCCATTCAAGCACTCTGTTTTTTTCTCATCCAAAGAGAGGCATTAGTCGAATTAAGAAACTGCATTTTCAAGCTACTCTAAATTTAGCTAAGATTATCCTAATCCCTAATAGCAGCAAGCTTCATTAGGGAATTTTTAAATACATGTTTGATAAGTAGAAATAGATTCTGATGTCTAACCTAGTTTTTACTGCATCAATCCTAAATTATAATAAATACTGACATCCTCTCCGAAACTTAAACTTCTTTTGTAAGAGTCAGCAGCTTCAGCGTAATTACCTTTAACGCTCTCCTTATTTCCCTTAAATAAATACTCTGTCATGTATTATCTATTAAGCTTTTCTTGAAAAGTCTACTCAGTTTAAGTGCTATTCGACATTTTAATATTTTAATCTAATAAATAATGCCCTTTTATTATTCCGAAATCAATTTTATTGAATTTTATTAAAAATAAAAAAATCTTATCAAAATAGATAATAAAAAAGAAAAAAAAAGAAGTTTTTGAATAAAAAATGATAAATAACAAAGATACAAAATACAATAAAAAAACACTCTATTAATAGAAATATAATATAATAAATATTACTTATGAAATTCTAATTTAATTATTTATTAAATCTTTAATTAAATTAAAAAATTTAATATTTATTTTATAATTTTATTTTTTTAATCTAATTTAAATTAATAAAAATTTATTATTTTTTTTATATTTTGATGAAAGATTTATTTGAAAATATTTTTATTTGAGATCAAATTTATTTTATTAATGTTTTGATTCACCTTTTTACACTAAATCTTTGAATAACATTCTCATACTTAAGAATTTTAATTCTGATGAGAAATTTGAATATTAAAAATAAATTTCATTATTTATTTGAAGATAAAAAAATTCGATTATATTTTTTATTTTCAAAAAATAGAACTAAATAAATGTTATAAGAAATAAATTAAAAGCATTTTTATTATTTAAAATAACTTGAAAATGATAGAATTATTTCTAAATCTTTTGATCAACAAAATTTTATTAACAATTATTTGTATGAAAACTAATGAATTATTTTTTATGGTTAATATTAGTTTGTTATTTAATAGTAAAATGAGTGTAATATTTATTTTTAGGTTTTGATTGATTTATTCAAACTTGATTAGAAGACAAGTGTTCATCCTGATTTCCATCTTAGTTATCTTATCCATTTAAGTTTTTAGATTGAGGTGTTTAAAGCTAGGATTGTGCTTATTTTTAAGCTACTTTCTTAGATGGAGTCTTTTTCTTTGAACTTGATGCCAAATTTTAATTAGGATTCATTTGAGATATTGCAGATGGTTTTAAAAATACATTTGTATAATTAGATCCTCTAAATGGATCATATTCTGGCTAACGTATATTATATTCTCTATTCCAGTTTACTTTGTAAGGCACCCAATGTATATTCTCTCTAATTACTGGTATGCCTGGATGCCCAGCTTCTTTAAATACTTTTTTCAAGTAATTTCTATCCGTTAGGAGAATTGAATTACCTCCTTAGTATTTTACCAACCCTTTTTATTCTAGTGTGTAAAGAATGTCTTTTTCTAGTATATAGGTGCCTCTTGATATTTCTTCAACAGAAAATGAATAATCTTCTGGTTTACTTTCAATATATTATATTATTCTCTAGCACCACCAAGATAAATAGCTTTTTCTTCCTAAATCAGATAAAGGACGCTCTGGAGTACCAACTTTATCTTCTATAGAGCTCAGCTCGTATGAGAAGCTTATCAGAAATTTACCATATCCTTTCCTCTAATGGATAGGAAAGATTAAAATACAAGATAAGTTATAATTATCTTTACTATCTTTATCCTTAGAGAAATACCCTACAATATGAGAACCTTCATCATCATTTTCGCATAAAATATAAAAAAGGAAGGGATCCATATTCCAATATAAATTTTTGTGATCAAGGAATAACTTTGAAAAATAAGAAAGGTTTTCTGCATAAACTGAATTCTTTTTCCCATCTACTTCATACATGCTTATGCTTATAGGTCCCGTGTCATCCCTGTAGATTTCATCACCAGGAGGACTTCTTAAAATACAGGATTTCTAATGTCTTTACATTTCTGATTCTAGAATGTAAAAGTTCATGCAGTACTCGCAAAAGTAAAGCTTTTCTACATTCTAGTAATTTAAAGGAAAAGGTGAATAATACCATGACTCCATATCAATTTTTCCCAATCTAACACTTTCAATTGTCTTGAATTTAGTGTGTTCTAAATGACTGTTAAGTGCATCTTAATCAAAACCTTCATGCTCATCGTACTCATTGAAATCATTTTATTTTACTTTTTATTATTTCTTAGGCTCTTCTGGTATGAGTTCATCAGTCATCTTAATACGACTTATATTTACCCATTCATCCCATCTTCTATTCTCTCCTTCGTAGTGTACATAGTAATCATATGAGTCCTCTCTTTAATTAATTAAAAATAAATTTGAATATTAAATGAGTAAAAATCTAAATAACTAAAAAGCTCAAAACAATCCCATTTTTAAGGCTTATAATTTTGCTTTTTTAAATTTTATTCAAAAATTTTTATTTTCTTAAGTTATTTAGTTTGTTTTTTTATTGCTTTTACATAAAATTTTAGCCATTTTCATTCTAAAAAATAGAAAACTCTTAACAATAATATAGGATTGAATTTTATTAATATGAATGTAAATTTCTTTACTTTTTTGGAGCCATTGGATCAATTCCAAATCTTAGCCTTGCACCTTTTTCAATAAAAATAGAATTTATTAAATATATTAACTTTTTTTACAAATAGGCATTTTATTTGATGCAATTTATTCTGATTCTTATGAATTTTTATTTTAAAATATACCTAATATTCTAGCTTTCATAAACTTGCTTCCGTTCTTTAGCATGCAATCAATAAAGCAAGCGTTATCTAACGCACCTTCATACTAAAGCGCTAAACTTTATTGTGGTTGAGGTGCTGTCTTCTTCTTTGTAGCTTTTTGCTCTATTTTAGATGCCTTTCCTTTCCCTTTTCCTTTACTTGCCATAATACTAACAATGATTTTAATAATTTTCTAATTTACGAGTTATTAGGCAATCAATCTCCTCGATTTTCTTTTAATATCAGTATTCAATATTAATTAAGATTTTATAATGATAGACTAATAGAAGTTTATATTAGCTAATTAAACATTAAATTTTTTAATTATATAATTAATACTCAACATATTAATTGGTTTCCTAAAATGTATAAAAATTATTATTTTTAAAAATAAAATATTATATTTTTGATCTCTTATTTTATCATACTTAAAGAATTGATTTAAATAAAAATATAAATATTTCATAGCTGACTATTTTATTTATGCTACAACAAAAATTACTTTCAATTACAAATATAAATTAAAAAGAAATTAATTTTATAAAATTAGTTTGAAATTATTTACATAAAGATTTTGTTGTTTGATAAGAAAGCTAAAGTAACAGAAATTTAATTTATACTCAAAAAAAAAAAAATATCAATTATCACATTAAAAAAATTATTTAATGTTTTATCAAAATATTTTCTTAAATGAAAGCTCTCTAAACCAACATTATTTCTGAATATTCCTAAAAAACAAAGCAAATACTTTGAGTAAAAAATTATATTTTTAAATTGTGTTAAATATTTAACATAGTAATCATCAAAATTTTGTTTACATTCCCATTTTTATCAACAACTAACTATCTTTTTTGTTTTGGAACAACACAGGAGCAATTATTTTTTAAAACTCACTTTTTTAATAATTGAATTCTAAAAATAATTGAAAATATTTTTTTAATTCTTAAATTAATAAATGATAAAAATTTCTTAAATTAATAGAATTAAAAACTCTAAACATTTATACATTTTTTTTGCATATATTATATTTATTTTAAAATGTTTACTAAGATAGTATATTGTTTATAGGTAATACTTATATTTAATTCTAATTCGATAATAGATTATAAATATTTTAGATGAAATATTTCATAAACAATATTTTTAAACAGAATATATTTTTTAATAGATAATAAAGAATTTTAATAATAAAATATTTGGTATTTCTTATATTAACAAATATCAACAGTTTAAATTTTTTTTTATTTAATTACTTTTAAGTAAATACATATATATGTTTGTATCAAATTTGAGTTTTTATGTTTGTTATTTAAATTGGTAATTTATGAAAATATGTAAGTACGTTTAGTTATTTCAAAAAGAGCGAACTATTAAATAAAATATCAAAATACCTAAAAATATGTTAATATAGGTAAGCAGTTTACAGATAGGGCTTTTACCTTCCATACGCATCATTTATTTTATTTATTCTATACACACATCTAATTATGACGGATTTTGTTGCTATTAATTCTAATTATCATCAATAACTGTATTATATGTCACATTATCACTCCTATTTGCTGGGTCACTCATTAAAGGATCTTAATTTGAATACTAACCTGTATTAATTTTAACTTAGAACTATTAATCGTATTGCTACTAGGCATTAACATTATATTATCCATATCCATTTTATTAATCATTTAATCTTGGAACATTTCCTAATTAATCTTAATTAAATCCGCTATAGGTGTATCCGCCTCCATTTGCAGGAGCAGTGTAAGAATTCATTTCAACAGGTTTGTTATCTTCATTCTTTTTGTTGAAATAGCTCATATTTTTTTGTTATATTTGTATTAATACTTGGCTGGCTAAACAAAATCAATATATAAAAACAAATATAAAAAATATTACATAATTTTTGTTAAAATAAATTATTTACTAAAATAGGATTATTTTTATTATTATTATTATTTACAATTACTAAATTATAAAAAGCTTTGCTTTATTTTTAAATTTTACAAAATATTTTATTTTTTATGGAGCTATATTTTTTTAATAATTTACTTTTAAAATTTTATCAAAAAAATAAATATTTGTAATAAATCAACATTTAAGATATTTTTTAAAATTAAATATTATATCAACCATTTAAAATGGGATTATTTCTAGTTTAAATGATTAACATTTTCAAAATATTTATAAATGTGAAGCTCAGGTAGCTCAGTTGGTTAGAGCGTTGGTCTTATGAGCCAACGGTCGTGGGTTCGACCCCCACCTTGAGCATTTTTTTTTTCTTGAAAAGCCTTAAAAAAATTAATAAAACAATAAAAATACAAACTTTATTAGAAAATAAATCAAATTATTATAAAAATTTTTTAATTTTTTAATAAAAAAATTTTGTATCAATAAATGAATTTGTTTTGTTATGTTTTTTTATATAATTGTGTACAAATAATTTTCATGGTAAAATTTCCAAATTTTTTTGTGTAACTCAATGACTCTTGTCAAATTTAAAAAAATAATAATTAAATAAATCTTTGGCAAAAGTAAAATTAAAGATAAAGCTCGAAGAAAAAGAATATATTGATTGTTGATTTGAAACTAATTTTCTTATGAATTTAAACTTCAACTTTATATATTATAAAATTATTTTTATTTGTGATAAATACTATCAAATTTATTATAATTGTTTGTTTATTCGTTTCTTTGCTTTAGAAGATTACAATTCTTCTTTCCAATTTAATATAAATGTTTATTTAACCTTCTTTGTTGCAGTCACATCAGACTAGCAAGTGTTTTAAAACTTTTTCAATATACTGCAGTTGGATTTTGATTGCCATTTTTATGGTAGTTAGCATATTATTCGTGTCTCTTAACGAAAAAGTCAAGATCGACTAATGCTATTTTACTTCCGTCCATGCAAATATAGAACACTTCCCAATCATAAGAAAAAGAGAACAACCAAATAGCCAAAGAGAAGGTAACAAACCATTCAATGGTGTCAATGTGAGGATCGAAATATAAAGCATTAGGGAACAAATATTTAATAACATTTACGATACAAGTTATGATCATAGCTGCTACACTGAAAAGTTTAATATTCCAAGAAAGAGGTGAAACAATTGATCTATAGATAACCTTAAATTGATAAATCTTATATGTAATCAGAGGAATAGCAGCTATCCAAATAATGAAGAAAGTTAAAGCAACAAAAGTGTGCAAGTTTTAATTCATTTTTCTAACGTTTAATATAAAAAAAATTATTTTAGAATTATTAAATGTAATATTATATTACCCTGTGTCAATAGTAGCAACTGCCATTGCGAAAAAGAAGCTTCCTAGTCCAGCCAATTAAAATAATTTGGCACTAACTTTTCCACATTAGTATTTTTTGCTTATGAAATTTAACCAGCTGTAAATAACAAACCAGAAGAAAAGAGTTACACCTGAAATGAAAAGCATATTCAATCTGAAAACAACACTTTAAGGGAAATGACTAGCTGTTGCAGTGATTGTGCAGTAAGGAAAAGGTTCTTCCTCGTGCTTAGAAATAGCCATGATATATGTAAATAAACATGTCAAAATAATACCAGGACCAATCACTTTAGGGATGTAACTCATGTTGATAGAACCATATCTTGACTAATTAGAGCCAGGTTGTCCAGGTTTAGGAGGTTAAACAGCTATTACTGTTGGATGTAATCCTCTTATTTAGTTATCCATTTACATTTCCAAGTATTAAAGTAAAATTCAATTTACCCTTTTTTTATTTTTTACTATATTTGTTGAGGTTTAATCTTTTATGGCTATGCCTAAAATATTAATTTCTTTTATTAATAAACTAACATTTACATCTATATGGACACATAATATCTAAAATAGCTAACATCTAACTTTTCAATTCTTCTTTTTATCTAAGATACTTTAATGAGAAAGATTAGGATTCAGAAAGCTAGTTTTACTCGTCCTAAACTCTTAAATACAAAATAGATTAAAACAATAAATCATGAGCATTCCTTTGTTTAGGTATGAAAAATTCAAAGAATACGTCACATTTCTCTATCAATTTAATTTACATGATAATTATTTATTCACTCGCATAATTTAAAAATTTAATAAATTTAACCAGCACATAAAACTTTATGTTTATTCTTATTTGGAGTATCAATAAGAGTTTTTTTAAGAAGATTATAAATAGAAAATAATTTTTACTAAAATAAAATTTATTGTTTAACTGATTTCTTTTGCAAAATTTATCTTATTTCTATTTCAAAAATAGATAAAAATTTTATAATAATTTAAGAAATTATTTAAAAAATAAATTAAATTATATATTCTGAGATTCATCATAATTAAAAGTTTTAAAAATTCTAAAATTTTTTTTAAAGAAAAATTGATTTTATCAAATATTTTTAACAAATTTTTATGAAAATTAAGCTAGCACTATTAAGAAAAATAAACTTAAAAAAGAAAGTTTTATTTTAGTTTTTTGATTAATTGGGCTGAAAAATTTTTAATATAACACTACACTACTAATAAATACAGAATACCAAGAAAAAACATCATGAATAGAAATTTAAAGGTTAAGACAGTTATTTATTTGTAACTTTTAAAATGGTATTTGTATTTAAAATATCTTATTCTTTAAAATTAGAATAATTGACTATTCATTATATTGAGAGAGTAAGAAATTTTTTTAGTTCATTTTAGTAGTATTTTTGACAATTTTTATTGAAATAAATAACTTATTGAAGTATGAAATTTAATTTTAACTCAAGAATAAGCAAAGTGTAATCAATAAATTTAAGTAGTTATCAGTAGCTAGAAAAATATTATTTCTCATATAAATAGAGAGGCTTTAAAGATTATTTGGAATAATTAAAGTATAAGAGTTAATTTAATTATAAATAAATCTAAAAAGACTTAAATTAAAAGCAATAGTATTTTTAATTTTATGTTTGATATTGTATTTTATTATAATATTATTTATTATTTGTTGGCTGATATTTTATTGATCGCTTCAAATAAGTTTTTTCCTTTTTATATTAAATTTATAATTAAACTTAATATTTAATATAAAAAACTTCTATAAAATTTTTTTGAAATTATTATTACAATAGCCATTAGTACAACTTTAAATGATTGAATTAACAAAAACTTACTAACAATCAATCACTCTCTATTAAATACTAAAAAGTATCATAATTTTTTTTGATAAACTGATTATTTTTTTAAGCTTTAAAAAAAAACAGTACTCATTAAAATAATATTAATACTCTACTATATACAAATTATATACTTAATAATTTTCCAACTAATACATAGGGATACTAAATATAGAAATTTTAAATATCTTCTTATAATAGTGATTTTTTTTAAATTTAATATCCATGTAGTGTAGGCAATGATTTATAATATTAATTTATTTTATTGATTATAATTTGTTTTCTTTATATTGTTCATTAAGATAATTGGAATACCTCATTAAAATAATATTTTATATTAAAAATTGAAGAAAAGGCAAGTTTTATACATTAAATAATTTTAAAATTATCTTATTTTTAATTAAAAGCAAAATATTTTTAATCCAAAGTGTAAAATTATTAAATAAATGTATTAATTTTGCAATAATGAGGTGAATAATAAAAATAACCATGATGCTCTTAGCAAACACTCTCTTAAAATATAGGAATTAAGTTTGATAAATAATATATGAATGAATTAAAATAGTGCGTTTTTAATAGAAGCTCATTTTTTTATCTTGATTGATTTTTTTCTAGGAATTTATTTAAGCTGAAATTTAAAAAGTCAAATTCACACAATCCTTGTATATAGAACAATTTTTCTGAGAGAGCAGAAAATAATTTCTTACTATTTAATTGTCTTAGGCGTAAAGTCAAATCAGCAAACAAAATCATTCCAACACAATATCAAATTTTTATTAATCTAAATTTAAAACTAGCAATCAATTAATCTATTTATTTTATATAATTTTATATTTACCAATTTAATTTCTGATAGAACAGAAAATAACCTCCTCCTTGGTTTATTTAAATTTCATTTTGAACCTTAAAGTAATTGAATAATTTCAATCATATATTAACCTCTGCCATAGCTAAATTTAAAATTAACTTTCCATTCTGTTTGCTCATAAAAACATTTATCATTTATCTTAGTGCAGTTTACATTCTAATAATAAATAAAATTTATTCTTGAAACATAATATCAAATCTATGAGATAATCTTAAATCAAATTCTTTTATTCTGTATTTAATTAAATTTAACAAAAATTTTCTGATTCAATAAAAAAATGTAAGCTATTCTATTAAGAATTTTGAAGGTATAAAAATTTGATTACAAAAATAAATATTTTATAATTTCAAATTCCACATGTTTTACCAAATTAAATTTTAGAATTTATTGATATTTACAATTTAAGAATTAGCATTCAAAATCGAATTTTTATCTCAAATTAAATGATTACTAAATTGATAATTTTTTTTTTTAGATCTTATTAACTTTATGATGATATTTTAAATATAGACCTAATTTTTTTTCAAAAGATATGAACAATCGTTTAGGAAAACAGATTTAATTTATGAAACATCAAGAAATTTTATTTCTGATAAATAAATCAAATAAATAAAATATACTTAATCAATTTTAGGCCACAAAAGGAATGAATAAATAAATAATATTCTTCTTTTAATTTAAATTCATTAATAAAAGAAAATGTAAAAAATTAAAGGTAAAAGTTTTTTGAAAATCCAAACTAAAATTGAACATAACCTAATACCAAATTACTTACAATATTTAGATTTATAATTTAGTAATCTGAATTGATCAAAATTAAATAATTGTAATAATTTGATTTCAAAAAGAAATAAATCTAAAAGAAAATGGTAACTAAAGTTTTTGGTATATCTCTAATCTCTTTGTTGTTAATTACTGGTGGTCTTTACTACTTCAACTCAAATAAGAGTGCTCTTAATGACTTCCATGGAAATTTGACTCCTACTGAACATATGCTTTGCAAAGCATAATAATTCTAAGCTAACGATTACAACAAGTGTATCGTCAACTATTATGATAAGGAATGTCAACAAAAATACTTCAGTTTCCTTAGTCAATACAGACAAAATGAAAAGATTTTTTATTAAATCTACGAGGCTTAGCCTTTAGATGTCAAGGCTGTTGTTGATGGTTGGAATCAATCATGCAATACTTTCGAGCATTATTAGAGATGTGGTGACGCTGAATACTTGTTCACACATTGCGTTTACTCAGGTGAAGAATCTGAGTGCTCTATTGAGAACTAGGAATACATCTAAGCTGCTTATAAATGTGGTGATGTTCCTGATGGAATCCCTTTTTGGAATGTAAATCTCTACACAGCTGAATGCATGACTAATATTGTTAACTTAGCAAAGGGTTCTTTAGCTGAAGCTTTAGCCTGCAAATGAAAAGTGAATTTATATAATTCGTAAACTTTATTAATAAAAAATTATATTGTATTAACTCTTAGAATTTAAGCAAATGAATATATATATATGATTATTTTAGCTTTCATTTATAAACAATAATTTAAAATAAAAATAAATATATTTTTATTCAACATTTTTTGTTTTATAAAATTTATTTTTTATCAAGCTTCTGATTTTAAATGCATTTATAGTTATATTTAAAAATTAAATATCAAATCCAATATAATGGATACAAAATTTTTATTTTTAAAAATATAATTAGAAATAAATCAAAATAAAAACTGTTATAATTTAAGATAAATTTATAATAGATGTATTAATAAAATAATTTTTAAAGTAAAAAAAATTTAAAACCTTTATTTATTTATTTTTTATAAAATTAATCCATTTTTTGAAACTCTATAAAAATAACTTTAATTTTAATTGATATAAGCTAAAGGAAATAATTATATAATTTTTAAAATTTATAATCTGCTCTCAATATAATATATTTTTCAATTAAAAAATAATAAAGTTAAATGAGTGAGGAAAAGTATATTTTTCAAAGTAAAAATATTTACTTTTTTGCATATAAATTTTAGTAATCCTTTTCTCATTATTAAGGCTCTTTTTTGTTTATATCCTTTTTAGAATAGCTATAAATTATTAGATTTAACTATTTAATTTAACAGTTTTAACACCATGTAAAACGATATTTCTATATTTGAAATTAAGAATTCATAATTCAAAACATAAACGTGCAATCAATACATAATAGTTGATAATATTAACATTATTAAAGATAGAATAAGCATTTGGCTGGTGCTTCTGATATTTGGTTAACTTGGTTATTATGGTTAAGTTTAATCTTATGATTTACCAGAAAGACATTAAACATAATCTTTATTTAAAATTTATAAACCAGCTAAATCTGGTTGACAAATTTTTGTAAAACAATAATCAACTAATACAAAGTTATCTGGAGAGAAGCAATTACTCTTTGCGCATTCAAATTACTTAAGTAATTTTTAAGGACACTCAGGAGATAATTATACACATTTATCAGCAAGTCTTTAGCTACATTATTATTATAGATTTGGATCTATAATAGTTTAAAGAGTTGGTAAATTAGAATGAAAACTCTAATTTTACATTCTTTCAATCAAACAATTAGAATATTTTTAAAGCAGTTGATTGAATGGCTCGAATTTTGAGCTGCAAGTCTCAGAATAACATTTACTTAATTCCTCAGTGTATTAAGATTCAATTTAGTACAAATCACATCTTGAAGAGACACATGTCTCAAATAGCCTCAACTAAACCAAACATTCAGAATCATTTGGCTAACATTAAATTATCTCGTCACATGATTTTACTAATTGAAGCAAAAAGTAAGAAGATAATAATAGGCTAGTGAATATTTTTTTCATTTTAGTCAATTTTTATTATTTATTATTATTATTATTATTATTTTACTAATCAAACTCAAGTTTCTTTTTAAAATTAATAAATAGACTACAAATTAATTAAATTAATATCACTGATATAGCAAGATAGCTTCCTGATCATTATTTTTGGTTCTGGCATGAAAAATTTAAAATCATAAATTTCAATTAAAAAATATGTAAATAAAATTTAAACATAAAAAAGTATTATTTTTACATATTTTGTAAAATCTTTTACTTTTAAATAGATATATTTAGAATAGATTTTATCTGAAAACCTGTTCTGATTGATAATGAATAAATAAAATAAATTAAAAATATCCAAGGAGTAAAAAAAAAGAAACTATTTAGCACTATCTGTAATATTTATATTTAAAAAAATTTACTTTATTTCCTCTAAAATATTAGCAAAATGAATTTTATACTTCACTAAAACCGAATACGCAATATAATTTGCTCAATTAATATTTTTCATGAAAAAATAATAAAGTAAATATGAGAGAGGAAAAGGTATATTTTTCATAGCTAAAGATATTATTTTAAGAAAAAAACAGAAATATCTACTTTAAATCTTCTTTTATGATACTTTTTTTATTTATATTATTTAAAGAACATTAATAAATTAATAGAAATACTTATTTAATTTAACTTTTTAAATATAATTGTAAAATTATTTCCATATTTGAAATTTAAGAATAAATAATTCAAAGCATATATATAAACATAGAATCAATACATAATTGTAGATATTATTAAAAGTAGTAAAGATACAATAAGCATTTCACTTGTACTTCTTATAACTTATTAACTTGGTTATGGGTTAGTTTAACCTTAATATTGACTTGAAAGACATTCAACATAATCTTAATTTAAAATTTATAAGCCAACTAATTCTGGTTTACACACTCTAGTAAGGCAAAATTCAATCATTTTATAGTGATCAGGAGGTAAACAACTTTATGCGCATTCAAATTCTTTAATTAATTGCTAAGGGCATTCAGGAGATAGCAATACGCATTAATCAGCAAGACGTTATCTACATTTTTAGAATAGGTTTGGATCTATAATGGTTTATAGGGTAGGTAAGTTTAAATGCAAATCTTTTTTTAATATTCTTTCAATCATACAATTAGAGTATTTTTGAAGCAATAGATTGAATGGCTCATATTTTGAAATGCAAGTTTCAGAATAACATTTACTTAATTCCTAGGCATTTTAAGATTCAATATTGTACGAGTCACATCTTGAGGAGACACATGTTTAAAATAAGCTCAACTAAACCAAGCATTCATGGTCATTAGGTTCACATTATATTATTTCATCACATGATTTTACTAATTGAAGTAAAAAGTAAGAAGATAATAAAAGGCTTGTGAATATTTATTTCATTTTAGTAAATTTTTTTTTTTAATTTATTAATATTATATTAATGATTCAAACCCAATAATTATTTTAAAATGAAGAATAGAGTTGAAAATAATTAATTAAATTAATGTGTATAGAGAAATTAAATTAGTTCTTCTATTATTATTTTTAGTTCCTTATAAGAAAAATATTCTATAATAGATACCAAATAAAAAATATGTAAATGAGTCTTCAATATAAAAATATATTGCTTTTACAAATTTTACTAACTTCTTATACCCTTAAATATTTAAATTTAAATTAGATTTTTTATTTTGTATTAATAATAAAATTTATATTTAAGAAAATGTACTTTATTTCCTCAAAAAAATTAGTGAAAAAATATGTAAAAATTTTTTTTTTTAATTTATTGTTTATTGAATATATTACAAAATAGCAATTTTCAAAAAATGGAGGTTGATATATGAGAGCATACAGTATAAGTAATCAATTTTTTTTAAGATATCTTGGAATTATTTTAAAGCGAAGTATTATTACTAAACAATCTTACATATTTAAAAGTATGATATAATAGAGAAAATTTTTTAGGTATTTTATAAACAAAAATTTGATATAATATTGAATTAGATGGAACTAATTTTAGCTATTAAAAAATACGTTGATATGAAATCAAGTTAATTTTAATATAAAAAATGAGTAACAAAATAGATTTTAAAAGTATGATAATAGATATTTATTAAAGAAAAGTTAAATTTTTTATTTTTTACTAATTAAATTAATAAAAAGTGCTTTTGAAATCAATCAAATTCTATTTTATCCTATTTTATAATATTTAAAATAACAATATGAATTTATTTGTGCTATAAAAACTAATTATCTTTCGCTATTATCAAATAGATTTAATAAAAAATAAAATAAAGATTATAGAATAGAGTTAAAAATTAGTAAAATCAAAAATACAAATTTTTAATTATACTAACTTATTGATTTACTTACTCCCATTTTAATTAAATTATTAAATTATTGGTTTTTTAATAAAATAAACAAAAAAAAAGTAATTTTAGAATTAAATTCTTTAATGATGGAGTACATTAAGACTACAAATGAAAAACTTAAATAAAAATAACAAAAATAAATTAATCTGAAAAATTCTTTTAAACTTTACCTCTAATTACTTCTTTATTCACTTATTATCGTAAAATAAAGTTTTTCAAATAAATTTTTTAAAGATTAGGATAAGTGAAATTAGATAAAAATTAAATAAACATTTTAAGAGTATGATTAGAATTTTTTAAAATATGAGGAAAATTAAATTAAAAAATACTAAAATAAACCTATTTATGTCTATAAAAATTCATTGAAATAAAAATAGCAAGTGTTTAATTTGAAATCTTAAAATTTAAATATATATATATTAAGTTTTTAAAATAATACACAACATATTATTTATATAAAAGGATATATTATCTAAATATTTTAGAATATTTATAAATTTAATTACTGTTTAAATTATATTTTATTAAAACTTTTAAATATTTACTCTAATTTTTATTTAGAGTGAAATTCCTATTTAATTTACAAAGTTGAAATATAGTATATCTTAATTATATACTTAATAAATTTAAATAAACTTAAAATAGCTTTATTTTTGTGTTTTTAGAAAGCTTCAAATTAAAAAAAGTAAAAATTTGAAATAATATATTCTGTGAATAGTTATATAAAAGATGTCATGTGAAGAAAAAAAATTTGCAAAAAATATTAAAAATTTTAATAAAAAAATTAAAGGAGGATTTTATGAGTTTGTGATCATGTGAAAGTGAGAAGATAGGGAAGTTGTATTTTAAGGGGGATAAATATTTTTAAAAATGTTGAAATTTTGTTCAAATAAACTTATTGTTTCAATAAAAAATATTTTGTTAATACTATATATCAAATTTTTATACTTGCTTGCAAAAAAAAACTAGTTAATTTGTACAATCAATACGTAATAGTTAATAATATTAAAAATATTAATGATAAAATAAGTATTTCACTGTCACTTTTCGCAATTGGTTAACTTGGCGAAGAGCTAGTTTAAACTTGAGTTTCTTATGAAAGACATTCAACGTACTATTTATTCAAAGCTTATAAACCAAGTAAATCTGGTTTACAAATACTAGAAAGACAAAATTCAACCATTTTATAGTGTTCAAAAGGTAAACATCTCTTTTCACATTCAAATTACTCAGATAATTACCAAGCACATTCAGAAGATAAAAAAATACAAGAATCAGCAAGTCCTCTTTTACATTTAGAATATATAATTGGATCAAAAATGGTTTAAAGGGTTGGTAAATTAAAATGTAGACTATTTTTTTTAATTCTTTTAACCATGCAATTAGTATATTTTTAAATTGATAGATTGATTGGTTCATATTTTGAAATGCAAGTTTCAGAATAGCATTTACTTAATTCCTCGATATTTTAAGATTCAATATTTTACGAGTCGCATCTTGAGGAGACACAAGTTTGAAATAGCCTCAATTAAACCAAGCATTCAGGATCAGTATGCTCACATTAGATTATTTCATCACATGATTTTACTAATTGAAGTAAAAAGTAAGAAGATAATAATAGCCTTGGAAATATTTATTTCATTTTAGTCAATTTTTTTTTTAATTTATTATTATTTTAGACTAGTTAGAGATCAATAATCTTTTAAAAATAAATAATAAACTTCAATTTTATTTAATTAATGCATAAAAAGATAGAAAATTAGTTATTCTAATATTATTTTTATTTCTTGGTAAGAAAAATATGATATCAAACATATCAATTAGCAAATATGTAAATAAGTCTTAAGTATAAAAATATATAATTTTTTCTATTTTTCTTATGCTTATTACTCTAAAATACTTAAAATTTAGAAGATATTTTCATCTGAAAACATTATTGTATTGAAATTGTATAAATAAAACTAATAATAAATGTCCAAGAAACTTAAAAAAAATAAACATATAAATGCCATTAAAAAAATTTTCTTTATTTTTTTAGACAAAAAAAGTGCACAAATTATTTTTAAAAATATATAATTTAAAATATGAATACCAGCTATGAGAATTTCTTTTAAAGCTATTAAATAATTTTAATAAATTAAACTGAATTCATTATTTTTAAACCAGTAAATAAATAGTACTTTAATTAATACGCCTAATATCTATTATATAGGTATTAGGATAAAAATTTGCCAATATTAAAAAATTTTATATTGTTTTATCCTAACAAATAACTTCAAACATAAAACCACATATGTGGATTTAATCTATTACATATTCAATTTTTTAGTAATAATTATTATTAGTGGGTGCAGTTTTTTACTTAATAGTTATTTTCAACTATTAAGACAACCCCTATTCACTAATAATTTTTTTGTTTTTAGAAATGTAATTGTTAAATTAATAAAGAAACTTAGTTGCAAGTAAAATTTAAAAAATAGAAATATAATTTTTTTTTAAATTTAACCTATTTAGTATTAAAAATATTAAATCATTTATAAAATAATTTCAGTTGAAAAAGTAAGTAAAATACTTTACATGTTTATTGATTTTATTTATTTTTATATTTGGCATATCTTATGGAATAGTAAAATAAGTATAAAATATATTTGTGATATGCAGAAATAATCAGAAAATAATAATTCTAATAGACAAGTATTATTTGTAGCATTAAAAAATATATCTCTCTTAAAAAATAAATTCAAAACGTTTAGAAATATTTTTTGCTAAGAATATAAATACAAAAATAAATAAAAAACATTTAAACATTAAAGTAAAAGCATTAAAATGGATTATAAAAAATCAGGTACTTAGAATATTATTGAGCGTCCAAATCATTTGTTAGAAACAAAGCCAAATAAATTAAAAAAATAGTTATTAAATGCAGTTTGCAATGATAATTTAGATGAAGTAAAATAATTAGTTGAAGTAGAAAAAATACTTCCAAATGAAGAACTATCAATATATGGCTACTTTTGGAACTCAATACACTGTAAGAATTGAATTATTTATAATTATTTATATTAATAATTTAAAATAAAATCAATAAGATGCTGCACATTATGGAAAATCAAATATTTTAGAATATCTCATTTAGTAATTGTACAAAGAGTATAAAGAAGATTTGACAAAAGAAATTTTAAATTATTAAACCAAAGAAGGGTGGACAGCTTTAATGATTAGCTGCATTTATGATAGTGTTTTATGTATTAAAATGCTTATTAAATTAGGTGGAATAAATTTAATCTAAAAAGATATTATGGGAAGGACAGCTCTGGATTTATGTAAAAGTTATGGGCAAGTAGATTGCTTTGAACTTATTCACGAAGCAAGAGAAATTTATGGTGATGAAATTCCTCTAAATAAAAATTACTTAGAAGAAGATATAAATTCACTTTTTTAATCGTTACAAATATCAAACAAAGAGTATCATTACTTATGCTTGAATGGTATATCCAGAGATTGTATAATATGTAACACAAACAAAGGCTATTTAAAATATACATAATGCTGCTCTCATCCTATTCATTTAGTTTGTTTTATTGAATAACCAAAAAAAGTTTGCTTAAATTGTGACAAATTTAATTATAATATTACAAGAGAACTCAGAGAGCCTGAACTAGCTTTTTTTATACCAGATCAACAGCTGAATTTAAATGAATTGGATGGATTGAAGCTTTGAAAAATAAACTATGAATTTTATTTTAGAATTATTTTTGTATAAAAATATAAAGGCTATATTTTTCAAGTTAAATTATTTTCTAACATTTATTTTAACAATAGTACTTATAAATATTTTCATATGGATTAATAGAACTTAGTTTGTTTAGCAATATAATTGTAATAGCTTATTTAATTACTTTCTATGAGTCTTTGAAACAAAAATTATTTGTATAAAAATATGAAAATACTTTAATAAAAAGAAGTAAAGAAAGGATTGTAAAAATGTTTAGTTACATTTAAAATATGATAAAATAATAGATGATTTTGTAGGTAAAAACAATATTTTTACATTTATTAAATCAAAAATATTTTTTAATTTGATAAAATCTAATATTTTTGGATTTTAAATTTATTATGAATTTGATTTTAGAAAGTTTTTTTTTTATGCTAAAAAAATAAGCGAGTTTTGTTTTTAAGATAAAATTATTTTTGAATTCAGCGTTGTTTTGTAATTGGTTTATGGTTGGCTGAAATTAAATAATTTTACTATTTTGGGTCTAGAGTACTTCAGAAGGTAAAAAAATTTGTGGCTATTAAAATTTAAAAATAAAATAAAGTATTGATTTGTGATTCTTATTATCAGATAATAAGCAAAAAAATTAATGGATTTTATTTTTTTATAAAAGTGAGATATTTTTAAAAATTAATTATTTATGGAAGTATTGGACAATATAAGTTCTTTTCAATAGATAAATAGAATAGCGAATACAGTAAAATATACTTTTCACCCCACTTATTAAATGAATGCAAATAGACTTTATGATCTAATAAACAAAAAATAAACCTTCATTTACTCAAAACAGGAAATGGACGCCTTGTATATTTTAATTACACATTCAATTGATTAGCAAAAGTAATATTTATAAATAATTTATTATTCAGTTTATATATATAAAATTAGTAAGCAAGATATCATAAATAATAAAGATTAAATATGTTAAATACGATCTATATGAAATACCTTTTTTTGGTTTGTTTATAGACAGAATGTATGAATGATCATTAACTAATAATATTGTTTGGCAAGTTAATAGTAATAAGTAAGACTGCGAATATAAGATTAACAAAAATTAAAATATAAACAATTATTCATTGATTTTGATTGCATATTAAGCTAATTAAGAAACAAAAAGTAAAGAAAAAAAATAAAAAGAAAAGAAAATCTGAAAAAGCTTAATAGTGTTTGATTATCTCCTTTTTGATAGATTTTAGCAAAAAAAGAGGCCAAGTTTAAATCGAAATAAGCCAGGGTTGTTCGGTCTTCAAGCGAATTTTAATAGTTAGAAATAGCCACTAAAGCGATAAAGTAATTGTTGAAAGATGTCAAACAAGTAAAATATTGATAAGCACGATGATTAGCGAGTTCCATCTCAATAAGATTCCCAACAACATTAAAAGAATTAAGATTAAAAAACCCCTGCTCAAATAACTAGTAATAATTAAAATGGGAAAATGTCTCAGTAGTCTAGCAAGGATTAGCAATAAATGGTATTTTTTTTAGTAAACAAGCCTCTTATAATTTTATAAATAATTTAATAAATAAACAGAATAGTCGTTCAACAATCAACAAAAAGAAATACATAGGGCATTATATAATTGGTATTGTTAAATTATTATTTTTGCAGCTTTTTTTCTAATAGCTTTGAATTTACCAATCAAATATAATTATATGTGAGATTGCATATCAATCGCAGTTAATCAATCAATCTTTTATTACTTTTCTCAATACGAGTTACAAAATTTAAATACTTTTTGGTTTTAAAGCTTGATAAACCTCAAAGCTAGCTATTTTAGGAATTATAAGCCTAACTTTATTTCATATAACCATAGGTGAAACTTTGGGTGAAGGAACGTTTGGTAAAGTAAAAGTAGCCACACATATTTTAACGGGTGAGAAGGTGGCCATAAAGATATTAGAAAAAGAAAAGATACAAGATGTATCCGATGTAGAGAGAGTATCAAGGGAAATTCATATCCTAAAGTTGTTACGTCACCAAAATATCATATAGCTTTACGAAGTAATTAGTATTTCATTAGAAAAACTAAATAGGCGCGTTTTACCATACTATTTCATCAATTAAAATAATAACGACAAAATAATAAACTGAAAATCATGCACCTAAAAATTGAAAAATTACAAATAGTTTAACAAACAAAGAAAATATTTTATTATAAAAATAGATTATAGAAACTGAAAAATAGTTATTCTTAATTACAGAATATGCAAGTGGAGGAGAATTATTTGATTACATTGTAAAAAACACTAAGTAATCTATCATTTTAAAATTAATTTGGCAAAGATAGTTTGCAATTTAAATTATATGAATGAAAACTAATTCTTTGTTTGCTTTTATTCATTAAAAGGGTTTAAGAAAGAGAAGCTTCAGTCTTTTTCTAACAAATAATATCAGGAGTTGAATACATCCACAAACTCAAAATAGTTCATAGAGATATGAAACCAGAGAATTTACTCTTGAGTTACAATAAAAGAATTAAAATTGTTGATTTTGGTTTGAGTAATACATACAAAAAGAATGAACTACTAAAAACAGCTTGCGGATCCCCTTGTTATGCAGCTCCTGAAGTAAAAAAATTATTTATTATTATTATCATTATCAAGAATGGCTCTTTAATATTTTTCCATGTATTTATTGAGATAAATACTATTTAAATCAAGAAAAATAAAAGATAATTTAAAAAAATCTTAAGTTTATAATATTAATTACTTTTTATGTAAATCATTCTAAATAAATAGATGATTGCTGGTAAAAGGTATCTTGGATTGGGAGTAGATATATGGAGTTGTGGAGTTATTCTATTTGCTCTTGTTTGTGGCTATCTACCATTTGAAGTTAATATTATTTCCTTTCTTTCTTTACTTTTTGAGATCATGCGAACATAATTGAAAAAGTTATTTTTTAATTAAAATGTTTTTTACCACAAATAATAATTTCACTTTTAACATTAAATTCTTTTTTTATGTTCAATATTGTTATTTAATTAATAAATAGGATCCTAATACATCAAATTTATATAAAAAAATATTGGCTGGCGATTATCAGATTCCAAAATTTGTGTCTAGCGAAGGTAGAGATTTGATAAAAAATATACTTACTACTGACCCAACAAAGCGTTTCACAATATCTGATATCCGTAAACATCCTTGGTTTAATTAGGTGAAACCAAATCCTATGTGTGAGGGAATAATAGTTGGATATAATAGAATACCAATAGATTTTGATATTATTTAGTAATTAGAGAAATTCAATATCGACAAAGAGTTTGCAAAAAACTGTGTTGAGGCAAATAAACATAATCATATAACAACTTCTTATTATTTATTATTAAGAAAACATATTCGTAATGGTGGTAAATCCATTGCTGATATATCATCTGAAAATTTTGATAACACCTTATTACAACCAAATAAACGTAAAATAATTTGATATTTTATTTTTTCTCTAAAATTAATCAATCTTTCAACAAAATAAATAGCTCCTTAATAGAATAAGCACGAAACAATTTTAGAAGACGAGAGATAGAGACAATCAAGAAAAAATTAAAGAACTAAAGAAACAAGAATAAGTGTTTCTGCTACAAAAGAATTAGATAATTAATCTCAACAGTCATCTAATCAATAAACAACAATAACATAAAATTGTAACAATCAATTTTATTATTATTTTATTCATTTTCTAATTCTAATTTTTTAATTTATTAATTTATTTGCTTAGCTATTTTTTTATATTTTTAATATTTATTTAGATGAAATATAAAATACTTCGATGAATATGAATGATTTAAAAGGAACCTAAAATTCTTTAATATTGTCTTAAAAAAATAACTTGTAACGACCTGTTACCAACTAAGGCATTAACAACTCCTAATTACCAAATATTTTAAATTCAAATATAATTCCATAAAATGTTCAAAATAGAAAAATTGGGTCAAGGAATGCTTAAAACTAAGGCAAAATATATGAATACCCAAAGCCTAATAGTAACAACTACTTTTATGATTCATAGAGCCCTTCACCGATTAAACCACTCTATATAGCAGGAAACCAAAATGGAAATGACTCAAATAAATCAGAAGGATATTAAAATGCAGTTAACACCATTAATAATGGTATTTTCAATTCAGCAATTCCTAACAGCTTTAAATACCCAACTCACCCGAGTTCTATGACAGCATCCCCACGCTAAGCAGCTCAGGGTAGATTCGAATGTAATATTATTTATTTTAAATAATATTCTTTAGTTTTTTATCCACAAATCTATCAATCTATCTGTAACTCTTAAATCTATGTGGTCTGCTACAAAATTTTACTTTTATTTTTGATAATAATAATAATTAAAATCTAATATTTATTTTTTATAAAAGCTCGTATGAGACAAGCTGCTAATCCAAATGAAATATAAGAACCAAGTAGACACAGTTCAGTTGGAAATAATACAATTGTTAATCAAATAGCAGGAGCTTCGACTGGATCTAAATAAAGATAATCTAAAAAGCAAGAAGCTGTGCAACCACTTACTTCTGCTGCTTAAAATAACTCTCTTTAAACACAATAAACACCTACATCACAATTTTCATAGAATCAGTAATATCAACAAAACTTTGTGAAGTAATTATCTTTTTTTAAAGTATTAATCTAATTTAAATAAAAAAATTTAGCTGGGCAAACAGAACTCGTATTCACATGAGACACATAAGTTAAGCAGGAAAGAGACCAGGATCGATACAATAAGCATACGAAAAGGAAAGAGGTAAATCAACAGAACCTCAAATTGATGATAGTGCAAACACTTCGGGATATAAAATTTTGAATGCCAGTATTTTAGACTAAAGCTTGAATGGATCATTGAACAACACTTTTGTTCTTAATTAAACTGCTTTTATTAATGGTCATAATATAAATAATGGAGGAGTAGGTAACAAAGTCCAAAAAGCAAACTTTAATATACTTTAAGGCATAACAGGATTCCGTACAACTGCAAACAGCGGAGCTCAAAATAATTATTTGAATGCCAGTCTAAATACAAGTATCGATAATAGAAATAACTAAATAGGATTTATATAACAAAATGGGAATTTTAAATAAAATAATTTAAATTCAACTGCTTACCATAACTTTAATCTAGGAAACAAAAATAAATTAAACAACATCTTAGGAGTATAAAATAGTAATAGAGTTGGTACAGCAGTAAATTATGATTACAACGCCACTCCATCTATAGCAAATACAAATAACAATATATACAAAAAGAATTACCCTTAAACTACATTTAATTCAAATAATGTCTCATTAAATAGCAGCTAGATTTAAAGCAATAACGACTCGCTAAACACTTCAATAAACTTTAATAACACCATGTATGGTTCAGTGAATCCTAAAAAAAGATAGATTTTTTGATGAAATTGTTTGAAAAAAAGCTACTATCTTACTTACTTACTTAATTACCTTACCAATCTTATTTAAATTCTTCTAGCCAAAAATTAGCAAATAATAAATATTTATTTATAGTTTCTTTAAGTTTCTTGCACTCTTAATTTCTTTTTTGAGTATCAATCAATCAATCAACCAATTAATTAATAAAATTAATAATATTTTTCCCATTTTAGATGCTAAATTAATTCTAGCAAACCAATCTAATCTCTCAATTATTGATAAAAAATATGATAAATATTAAGAAACAAAATAAAAGAAGTAACAAATTAGCATATTACAATAATTAATAAATATAATCTAATTAACTTAAAATATCCATCTAAATTCTGAATAATATTGATTGGAGGATTTCTATCAACTTCATATAATAAACCATCATTTTTAATATAAATAAATAAATACTTAATCTCTAAATATAATTTTGAAGTTAATAAAATGAAAATATCCTATGAGAATTTATACTGTCTTACCTACCTAGCATTCTTCCTTCTTTATATGATTATTATTTTTAAATAACAGAGCAAAAAGTAAAATTTGTAAATATTCTTTTATAATTTCTATCAATAGTAGAATAAATTAATCTGAATTAAATTAATTATATGCAGATTTAAATTACATTTATAATTTACTCTTAAATAATATATCTAAAATGCTCCTTTTTTATGTTTGTATTTGTCTATTTTATATTAATTTATTGTAAGCAAATTAATCAAGCTAGATTTATAAAAAATGAGATTTGTACTATCTATATTAATTTTGGTAATTTTATTTTAAATAAATTTGCTTTCTTTAATTTTTTGTATAATGTTAAAGTAATTAATTTACAATTTTTAATTCATTTCTCAGCAATATATCTATTTCTCTCTCTGAAAAACTAGCTAAAATATATTTTTTTTTATAGTTTTTTGAATGAGATAATCTTACATTTAAAAATTTGCTTCTAATTAATTAGTAATTTAGTGATGTAAGTTAATAAAAAGATTAATTAATACATTTCATTATTTTTAATTCATTGTTTTATGAAAAAATTAATATTTACAAAATTCCGCAAATTATAACTAAAATCTGTTAAAATTCCTTTTAATTCTCCAGATTAATTAACTAATCTTTCAATTCTAAGCTAAAGAATCTATGAAAAATTAGATTTATTAATTAATTAATAAAAAAGAGATTTTCTCAACTTTTTGTTAAATACTCTCCTCAATATTTCAAATGATAAATGAATTATTAAGCATTAATGTTATTTCAAATAAGATAATATACTGTTTCATTTGTATTTGTTTGCTCAGAATTCAAATAATAGAAAGAATAGTGTTTAGAATTTATTAGAAATTATAAGTTAGAAGGATCTATAATATTTACAAATAGTAATCTTATATAATAAATAAATAACATATAGACAGAGGATTGTTTGATACAATTAGAATAAATCTAACTAGATAAATTAGTTTTTATTGTTTACATATTTTTGTTTATTGTTTGTTAAGTATTTAATTATCAACAGTGAATTAAAACAGATTTATCACTTATGAAGAAATCTCTTCCAATCTATGTTTGATTTTATTTGAGAAATCATCAAAAGTTTTTAAATTATTGCAGAAAATTTATTTGATTAGTGTAATTGGTTATTAATTTTAAGAGCTACATCTCAGTGCTACTAATAAACTCTTCGTTTATTTTTGGCACTCAGCATTCAAGACAGAGGGTTGAGCATTTTTAAATACCATAGTCATTTATCAAAGATTAGTTATTTAACTGTCTTCCAGCATAGTAGAGCTTTTAAGATTTTTATGGAATTTGGGTCAACTTCTCGATCTTGCTTTTAATAGCGGCAATAGAGTCCTAGGTTTCTACATCAATAATTAGGTTTTTCTCGATCTTAACAAAAATTTAGAATGACATTTGTTTTGATTTTAGAGTACTTTTTCTTTGTTTAGCTTTTTTAAACTGAAGTCCTTAATGCTACTTTTTTCTATTGAATAGAACTGTGAATTGGTATAATATTTTGTTTTATTTATTTCTTTCTATTTAAATTAAATTTTTTTGTTAATTAATTATTTTACTTGGAATCTTTCTTTTTTAAAGAAATATCTTGCTTGGTTGGCTTGTAATTAAAAATAGCAAAGATTTCTATTTGAACAGCTTATTATTTACTTTCTTTTTTATTGGACAATCTAATATAGATTCTGTTGCTGTTAATAAGCTTCACTCACACACTATTTCATTATATCAAAAGAAAAATTTAAAGTAAAGCGAGGAAATTTTAATTTGATTGGATATATATTACCTGCTTGTTATAGTATTTTTACAATATTAATTATTTTACACAAATGATCCACGACTAAGTTAGCAAATATTTCAAAGATTTTTATTTTTTGAAATCAAATCTTCTATGAAGACTAGAACAGACTTATTTCAAAAACCAAATCATTAAATACCACTAAAACCTTTTCAAAATTATTTAAAAAATAAAATTGTAAATTCGACATAGATTCTATTTCATTTTTAATTAATTATGTCATTCAAAATATATATTAAAAAAAGGATTATTAGATATAGAGTACTAACAGATTTTATAAGAATTGCTATTTTATATATTTGTATGTTTAATATATTTTCTTTTTTAAATTCTGATTTTTTTTCTTAATTTCTAAAGCTTATCCAGCTGTTTTTTCTTGAAAAAACTGATTCTTTCAATTATCATACTACTTTTGTTTTATTAAAAATTTATAATTTTGTTTCAATCTTATTTATTTTTTAGTTTTGAAAGTAAAAAGAGAAATTATACTTTAAACTGATTGTAAAAGATAATTTTTGATTGGCATATTTTGTTGATCACTCTTTTACTAATTGAAACAAATATTTAAATTTTGATAATATAAAGAGCGAATAAGTAAAAATTATATAAATAAATGCTAAATCTTGAAGAATTTTCTCACAAAAATCATTAAATAAACATATTTTATTAATTTATTAATGAAGAAATATACTTTTTTTAATCTTTATATTTAATATTTTTAAAAATCTTTTTAAAATAAAAAGAAAAAAAACTTTGTTAAGGAGTTACGCTGTTTCTAAAAATAGATAATTCATCCTTTATTTAGCTATTCAAGTACTAAAATTTTATGTTAATAGAACAATAAATTAAAAAATTTGTATAAAATCTATATCATTTAAATAAATCTTCGAATATTGATGTTTCTAAATTTCCTTTATAAACTCTTTAAAAAAAACCACTAAAAGATTTCTTTTGTTTGGATAATTAATAAGTATTACACTATTTTAATTTATTTAATAAGTAAGTAAATAATTATTTGCTTTATTTTCAAATTATCATTTCTCAATTCAAAGAATATGAAATATTTATTAATGATTTATATATCCCTACACTTTTTTAAAAATCCAAATATTGTCTTTCATCAGACGTTTACTTTGCAAATATTTGCTACTTTAAATAGCATAAATAGACAAAAATCTGTAATAATTTCCCCCCAAAAAAATAATAAACGTTTTATAATTAATTAATTTAAAATGAAATATCTAATAGTTTACATAAAATAATTAGAAAATATCTTATCATATTTAAATTGATTTTACTTAAATAAAAAAATTTTTTGAATTATAATTTTTATTTTCTAAATATAAATCAATAAAATAAATTATTTTTCATACTTTAAATTTTAATTTTTGAAAGTTAAAAACATATAATTCTAAAATTTTAAATTAAAAATTTTACAACTTTTTAAATTGATATTTGAAAAATAATTTGGAAAATAAATAATGAAAAAAACAAGATACAATATTGATAAAAAATTAAAGGCAAACATTTTTTGAAACTTGGTATTTTAATCTTTTAATATTTAAAAATAATTGAATTGATTTTACAAAAAATAATATTTAAAATAAATAATTACTTTTTTAAGTAAAGCATAAATAGTTTTGATTTAAATAAAATTATCATAACCGAAATTTAACATTAAACAAAGTTAAGGATGAATAATTTTCTTATTCACAAAACATTTACTTAATTAATTAAGTAGTTTAACAAATTGTTTCAAATAAAAACCATTAGAATTACTTATCATAATAAATTATTCTTCATTTAGGTTGAAATAAAAAATATCAAACAACTTTATGTTCTCTTTATCTTCACTAAAAATGAAATTGAAAATTGATTATTTTAAAAATTTCAATTATGATTAGGTGATTTTGATTTAGAAATATAAATATAGTTTATTTTACATAAAAAATTGATTGATTTTTGTATTTATTTTATTTATTTGTTTGTTAATATATAAAGGCTGTGAGAAAATACAATCCTAAAAATTATCTTTTTTGTTTCATTAAAGCATCATCAAATATTTAAATATATATTGGTATAAATAGATAGATTAATAGTTTGTTTGTTTGTTAATTTATTTATTTATTAGAAGGAGCATCAGATTAGTGTAAAGGTGTTTAAAACTCTTAATCATATCAAATAAAATAAAAACAAGCTAACTAGCAAAAAAGTTATAAACCAAGTTAATCGAAAAGAGCGCATCCCCTGTTAGCGACTATATAGTTGTTGCATAACAAGTATACAGTAATTAGCATTTATTAATTGATTAGGATAAATCGTGACTTCTTCTGCTGCAAATAATTTTTCAAAGTACCAAGAAAATAAATTTTACTTTTAAAAAGGCGAAATTTTTATTAGGTTCAAAGTTAAAAAATCAAATATAAATTAGCAATTCTAATAACTGACAAAAAAGGAAATATCTGTAAAAGATGAATAGTAGTTCGAGCTTAAGCTCCAAAAAGAAGAGTTGCGAAGGTTAAATAATATTACCATTTCTTCCTGAATGGTATTGTTACCTTTGTAGATAGAATAAAGTGGAAAAGCCAATAGTTAAGGGTTATTTAGGAAATAAAAGAGAAAAATAGCCTGATAAAATTCTAAATTTGCATTTAACCTGTACTCTTTTCATACCAGAGCTGCATCTATACTTCTCCTCATATGACGGCTTCGAGGTTTTTAATGTTTCTAAAGTATAAACTGAGGATTATTAGTGTTTAATCTGTTAAGATAGTGGCAATCCTAAGAAAGGATATTCAATCAAATGTCGTGAAGAAACTTGCTGCAACAAAACCCATTTGGCATGCATTAATAAAACTCGTATATATAAGTAAGAAAATGAGTAGAAACTCTTAAAATGCTTTACTTTATGTCGCCAACATGCTAGATCTAATCCATAGCCTTACGAAACTACATATGATAAATTATATACGGAAATTTAAAATGAATGGATTGTTGTTTATAAGTAGTTAGAAGAATAGGAAAAAATTCGTTAGTTTTAGGAAAAAAGTATGTTGTAATAGCAGCAAAAAGGAAAGGGTGGTATTATGAAAAAGTAAAATGCATAAAGCAGTAATATCATGAATTCAAAATTGAATTAATAGGTAAAGATATAATCAGAAATATCTCACAAACCTAGGGCGAACAGTGGAGGGTCTAATATTCATAATACCTCAGATCAACTACTAGAGAATAGTTAAGGAAATTTATTGTCTGAAAATTCAGGATTGGGAAATATTAGCACAATAAATACAACAGGAGGCGATAACTTCTAAGATTCTAATTAGCAGAATTAGCATTATGAAAGCAGCCAATCAAATAATAACAAAAAAAAGAGGGGAAGACCTTCAAAGAAAATAGACTTTATTAGTTCGTTTTAATAAAAGAATTAGTATTCTGTAGACGGCACATCTCAAAGTGAAGAAAAAGGTGATATTTATGATTCAACTACAAAAAAAGTATTTACGGAGACAAGGGAAGATAAATCTTATAGCAGAGAGATATTTCCATTTGATAGTTCAGCTGGAGCTATGAATTCCAAAAATGATGCCAATCTTAGACCAGAGGGCTTTAGCTCACCTTCCAATACAGAAAAGAAATCTACAAATGAAGATATTAATAACATTTAAAAAGAGAATGAATATTAACGAAATGCATACACTATGTTATTTGGGTTTCCTGCTGTAAAAGAAGAAAGCTAATCAAGCTAAGATAAAAATATGATTGTAAACTAAAATAAAAGTGCAACTGCTAGTCAACAAGATGAATTAAAAAAGAAAAATATACTAAGTGAAGAAGAAACTGAAAAAAATTAGTCATAATCATGCCGTAGAAGCTAAAGATAAGAAATTTATTTACAGAATAAAAAAAATGAAAAATAACAAGTCAATTTAAAAAGTGCTCCATTTAGACGAGGAAGCAGCTTTGATGCAAGTAGTTGCTTTTAAAATAGCTCAGGAATACTTTCTTAGAGCATTTATGATAATCCATTTACAAAAATTTTGAATAGTTCACATAATACAGAAAGCTAAGGAAAACTAGATCCTATCAGGAGCAGCAGAAGTGCTTCTGTCCCCTGTAATAATAGCAGCAACTAAAAAGCAAATGAAGTTATCGAGATAGATGAAGAAGAAGAACAATATTTAGAATGTGGATACCCCAATTATAATGATGACAAAAGATAGCAAAATATGGAATAGTGGTGGTTTAAAATTGATTCTGAGTATTTTACTTCTCCCTAAAACCCTTCATAAATTATATCTGAGGTTTTATATGAGCTAAATGTGGAAAATGATTATCTGAAATAAGATGTTTAACAAATTAATTAAAATGCTAAATCTAGTCATAAAAATAGCAAATCTGAGAAATAAACTTAATTTTATTTATTTTATCCTAAGCAAATAAAATAAGAATAAATTGAACACTTTTGCTCAACTCCAGTTGCTAATTTATATTTATAATAAATTTAACTTCTTTAAAAAAGTAAAGAAGAAGATAATTAAAGTTAATCCTTTGGCTATTAAATGAATATAAGTGATTTTGAAGAAATAGAAAGCGAAGATCATCTTGAAATTTTTGAAGAAAGTGAGAGTATTTTAAAAAAAGAAAAAAGCAAAGAGATAGTTTAGTCGTCTTAAAAAAAAGAATAACAAAATGGAAAAAAGAAGTAATCTGCAAAGAAGCAAAAAGATGATTCTGTAAAAACAGCAAAGAAAAATCGTAACAAATAAGATTAAAATAGGTCATAAACATTCGATTAAGAGGCTTTAAATAAAAATCTTAGAGACTCAACCAGTTGCAAGGAAAATGTTGAAGAGAATATGTTAATTATAGATTGTAATGATGACTGTCAAAATAATGATAATGAAGAAGAGGAGGACCAATTTGAAAACTACACTAAAAACAAAGCAGATAAAGAAATGAATAAATAATAATAAAATAATTCACAAGCATATAACCCATAAATCTCATTAACTGCTAAAGAGGGATAAGATTAATTAAACCCATAGTAAAGAGTCTAAAGTGATCAAAATATGGATATTGAAAATGATGCTTAAAAAGATTGCTTCCATTAGTAAAATAATAAGCAATTAGAAAATATACAGCCAGAAATAATAGAGAAAAAAGAAGAAGAAATAGATTTAGAAATAAGCTAAAATGTAAGTGAAGAGTAATAAAATAAATAAAATGAAGTTAAGATAGAAGAACTTGATAGCTGCATCAAAGAATCAACATTATAAGATGAAGAAAGCAGCATTAAAAAGGAAGAATTTAGTGAAAATTAAATTAAAATCGAAGAGATAGAAAAACTTCCAAGCTAGTTACCTTCACAATTCAGATAAAAAAGCTCTTCTATAAAATATAACTAAGAAGATAAACAAGTAAAATATTTTTTTAATTGTTGATTGAGTTAAATAAATTTAATTATAAATGAATAAATCTAAAAATTTACAATATAAATAATATTGAAAATCAAAAGAAAAAATAAGAAATTTAATTTTAAAATTATCAAATTTTTTTAATGCAAAATTTTGCTATTTATAAAAAATGGCAGGGATTAAATTTAAGATTCAGTCAATTTAATAAAGACTGGTTAATTGGTTTTTTTATGAGATAATTTTTAGAAGTAATTCAATTTTTTATAAAAAATAGAAATACATAAACTACTATTAATAAGAATATGTATCTGAACCTCTACCTATTAAGATTGGAAAGAAAATTAGTGCTTTGTTTCACTCTGTTAATGGAGACGGATATTTAGTTGTATATGATGTAAATGAAAATGCAGACATTAAAAGATCCTACACTAGAAACAATAAGAGTGAATATTAATTGTATGGAGTTTCAAAGGATACTGATAAATTAAAAGAATTTATTGATGCACACAAAATAAATACAGCGCCAGGGATAGATGAAAATAATAGAAGAAGAGCTGTTCCAACTTCAGATACTACTCCATAGCTCATGTTTTCTAAGATTATGCATCTAGATTATGATGCCTTACAAATAGCTGTAAAAGAGTAGATAGATTTAAATAATAATTTGATTAATTAATAAGATAAAGGTGAAATTGATTTAATGCTTTTGAGGAATATATTTTTTGAAAAATAATGGTGTATGAACTAAAAAATATTTATGGACTGGTAAAAATCAGTAAATCAATTAATATAGGAGGATAAAGATATCAGCTGCTTAAAAAAATAGTCTACTGCTATTTGGGACTTCCTTAAATTATCACAGATTCAAAAAAATATAATTATTGGGTATTCTGATAAAGAAGAATATAATACAGAAATTTATTTTATGGTTAGTAGTGAAGATGATAATGAATAAGAAAAGCACAGTTATCCTACTAAAAGGCCTATAAATAGTTCAAAGCAAGTTAAAGATATTAATTAATAATAATCTATTGTTTAAAAAGATGAAATAAAAGAAAATGAATCTATTTAAAATTCTAATCAAGAAAATGTAAAAGAGGCAAATGAAAATTAAGATTAACCTTCATCAAAAAATTAACAATTAGAATCCCAAAAAGAAGATTCCTAAGCGCTAACTGCATAAGAAAATTAAGTACCAATAAATTAAAATAGTGTTGATGTTATTTAAGTAGGAGTAGAAGAAAATATACAAAATAATACAGAAGCAGTAATAACAGAAAAATATTTGTCAACATTAGTGTAAAACTAAACACTTGATTAAAAATAAATGGAAATAGAAAATTGCTCTGTCAGCAAAGAGTCAATAGCTTAATCAGAATCAAGAAAATGCTCAGAAAATCAAGAATCGCTTCTTAATGAAATCTTTAATGTTGAAAGAAATTAAGTAGGAATGTAGGGTGAATAACCTGAAAATAGTTAATAGTTAAAGGATAACAAATAAAAAAGAAAAAATTCTTCTTCCAAAATGAATGTCTAGCCGATTAGCAAAAAGTCAGAAGATTTGTCTAAAACAGAAGAAAGCAACAAACCAAAAGATTAGTAAAATTAGTAAACTTCAGAGCAAAAATCAAAGCTGCGTGCTAGAAAACCATAAAATACAATGTAGCAGTAAACTTAAAAATTGTCAGCTTACATGAGGAAAAAGAATGCAGCTTTGCTTTAAGGTGATGCATCAAAGTAACAAACAAAAGCAAGCACCATTTTTGAAACAGTAAGGAAAGGAAAGGCAAATCCTAATAAAAGACTGAAAAAGAACTCTTAATTTAAATCCTAGTTAGAAACAGATTGCATGATTTGCTTTAGTCAAAAAAATACTGATAATAACCCAGTAGTTTATTGCTCTGATTGCTAGCAGTCTTTCCATAAAATATGCTATGGCATTTATGAAGTACCCGAAGGGAAATTCTTTTGTGACAAATGCAAAATGATAAGATCATTGAAGCATAAAGAAAGATATTAAAAGGATATTCTAATAGAAAGATTTAGTTGTCCCTTGTGTGTGGAGACAGATTTACCAATAAAATTGATCTATCTCAAAAATAATCATGAAGCCTAGCATAATTTCAGATAGTTAGACGAAGAAGGACTTGAAAATGAAAGTGATGAGCTTAAGTAATATATAGATTAATCAATTAGTTAGTTATAAATTGAAAATAAACTTAATAATCATGGAGAGCTGTGGATGCATCCTTTTTGTATGTTCACCTTTAATCTAGCTAAATTCTAAGACGACAACATTGTTTTGACTAGTACAGATTTTCCAAACTCATAAGCAAATAAAGATTCTATTCACTCTGATTCTTCCATTTCATCTGAAGATATATTTAGCAATCCTTCTTGCTAAATTTGTTAAAAGAGTCATGGCATCACTGTAAAATGCAAAGAAAGCGAATGTAATGAATACTTTCACCCTTTATGTGCTTTCTTTTAGGGACTTCAATCGAAAGTTGCAGAGAAAGCTGTTGAGAAATAAAATCAAATTATTAGCAAAAAATCTAAAAAAAATAAATAAGATCAAAACTTAATTGAGCTTTCAGAATAAGGATAACTTGAATTTGAGATAAATTGTAAGAAACATTGTACACTTTTAAGAAAATAAGTAGTAGCTGATGAGTAAAGTAAATTAGAATAGGAAGGAAACAAGACTAATTTATCTCTCGAAATTAGATAAATTTAAGAGAATTTAAAGCAAGACATAGATTTTTATTTGAAACAAATCTTTTACAGAAGATTTGGTGTCAATTATGAAAAAATTTGCACATATTTTTATTATTATGAAGATTTCCATGAGGAAGTATACTTAAAGAATAACTTAAAAATTAAATTTTACAATCCTCATGACAATGAATATCAATCAATATAACAAATAAAATCATTTTTATAGTTTGGTCCATTGCCTAAAAATTAATTAAATAACTAGCTTCATTGGCAAAATTAAAACAATACTGAAGAAATAACAAATTCAAAAAATCAAGATGAAGAAGAAGATATAGAGGAAATAGATTATGGGGAAGAGGAGGAATATGACGATGATGACGTTAGAAATAGTTATAACGATGAAGAAATTGATCTTGAGGATAAATATTATGAGGATGATCAATAAAAGAAAGCACAAACTAGAAAAATAGGATATAAATAAAACTCTGGTGCAAATAAAAAAGGAGAGTCTGGGCTTAAACCAAAGCAAACAACTTATAAAAAATAACTTAAATAAAAAGATTAAAAATAAAACTCTTTACCAGCCGATATAGATTAAAGTGAATAAATATAAAAATAGAACTAATAAGATGAAAAAGATTAAATGAAAATGGAAATTGAAGAGAATTTACCATTATAAACTAGCTTGAATAATGAGTAGGTTAAAACTTAAGAGAATCAAAGCAATTAAAAAAAATAGAAAGTACATGAAGAGGAAAACATATTTGACTAATATGAGTTGGAAGATGATTTCGGATCATAGGATGACTACGATTATGAAAATAACTTATAAAGTAGCAAATCCTCACAAAAAGAGAGTGATTCTGCAAATAAAAATTGAAAGAATAGCTTTTGCATTTTAATTATAATCAATTTATCTAATAATAATTATAAAAAATTTGTAATTAATTATAAAGTAACCCATCTGCCTTACAAAAATTATTACTTAATTAGTTATTTAATTAGTGATTAAGTTATTTAAGTTAAATTTTAATGAAAAAAGTAAATATTTTATTTACTTATTGCAATAAATTCAATTCATTTCAAATATAAAATTATATAAAGCTATTTTTTAAACTTAAAAATGGAAATAATTAATAAATAAATAAAAGTACATGTTAGTTAAATACAAGCAATTATTATCAAAAAACACAGTAAGAAGATATACTCATCATTCAAAACACTAGAACTCATCCTCTCAATTGAGAAATTTTGAAGCAAGTAGATAGTTGTTGATTTATTATAAATTAAAATAATTATGAATGTAAAAATATGAAGATAATTATTAACAAAATGAATAGATGAACTTTTTTGATAAATAATAAATAATAAACAAATTATATTTATTAAAAAAATGGGCAAAAGTTATTTATTAAAAGAAAGAAAGTAGATGTTTTTTACAAACAAATGACTGGTACTTAATAAAATTGCGGTTGGTATAAAAATTTAATAATTTCCCGCAAAAAAATTGATATCCACCAAAATCTTTTCAATATCTAATTTGTAATATATAATATATAATAAATAGATGTATTATTAATTGAAAAATATTTCCAAGTATTTATTTAATTATTATTTCATTCATCTGTTAATGATTTAGTCAATTTTTTAGTTAGTTAGTTAGTTAATTAGATAAGATTTGCTTTTATTATTGAAAGAGTTAATGAATGAATGAAGGGTTTATCTGAATCATTCAAAATAGCAGATTTTCTTTACTTTTTTCTTTCTTTCATTCTATTCATTTAAAACTATTTTGTTATTTTTTAATTAATTGTTAAGTAATATTAAGATAAATAGAAAAGCAACCTATATATAATAAAAGGGCGTAATATAAAATAGGATTCAACTTAGACTAATTAATTATCTAAGAAAATATTTTCTTTACAAAGAATATAAAAGAGCAACAAAAATATATTTAAGCAATAAAGTATGCAGCCTTCATCTGAAAATTATGTTGAAAAAACTATAGACGTAAAATGCGATTCTTGCTCATAATCTTACGATAAAGATAATAATATTCCTAAACTTCTACCCAAGTGTTTCCACACAATATGCGAATAGTGCATTGCTACTTAACTACATTAGAATTAAAACTTAATTTGTCCAATTTGCAAGGAAAATTATTTGAACTAATTTAAAAATCTAGATGACTTTCCTCCAAATACTGTTATTTTAAGTTAAATGTACCCACCTTTAAAGAAAAGAAAGCTAAATGATGAATCAGCGAAGCAAATTATAAATGTTTAGACAATCAAGAGAGAAGAAACAACTGAATTAGATTCAGAGATTAAGTAACTGTAATAGTAATAAGATTTAGAAGAAAGTACTATTATTACAAAGTAAGAACATATTGATGAGCATGAGCCAAAAGTATTGTAGCAACTTAAAAGCAAATAATATCGTGTATATAACGAATTAAGCAATGGAAGAAGCAATAGCAGTAGCAGAAGCTTGATGCACAGATCTGGCTCATAATATAAATATAGAACAAAGGAAAGCATGAACGAAAAAAGGAAATTATCTCAACTGATTACAGAGAATTCTAATAATATAAATAACTTTAAGACAATAACTCCTTCTAGATTTAGTGAGAACTCTAACTCAAGATCTGTTAACTAATCTATTATATTATAATCTAGTTTTTAAAATTCAAAAAATTTTAATGACCTTAGTCCAAATCTCATTTAGAAATGTGCAGCCAGTTTAAAAATATCAAATAATACTGCAAATTTTGATAAGGATAAAAAAAATTCTAATTTTTTAGTAAAATAAGAAAACTATTAAGATCATGAAGAACATCTTATTGATGTATAAAAAGAGCAATAATAAGATTAAAAGCAATAAAAAATTAATAGTAATGTGATAGATGATGGAAATAAGCATAAAATTAAGCTCAAACAAGAATAAAATTGCATATTTAACAGTGAAATTCTTTAAAGCTTTATTAATTCTTCCACAGAGAATTCTTAAGATGCTAATTAGTTTTAAAATTAAGAAGAATGCAATATACACAATGAATAATTATAGTACTACTGTGAGAATCACAGCTAAGGTTTTTGCATAAAATGCTATGATCACTCATTTTGTGAGAATACAATTCTTTATCAGCAACATCTTAATGATGAAAAATGGTAAATGATAAAGGAAACAGTTAAAGAAGAGGAGAATGTAATAGAAAATCTAAGCAGTCTTTAAAATCACTATCAAAGTATTTGCATAGAATTAAATCGTCAAGAAACTTAGTAAATAGTAAACATAGAAAAAGAAATTTCAGATATTATTCATAGCCTAATTAGCTGGAAGCAAAATTTTACATAGAACATGACATTGTAAACAAAAAAAATACAAGAAAGCATCTCTCATAAGCTAAGTTTCATATAAAAATCTATTTAAAATTGCTAAAAAATAAATGAAAAAACTATTTAACTATAAAAAAATCTTAAATTTTAACTCTAAAGTTAAAAAGATATTTTAAATGACCAAGACCAAAGCAACGAGCACACTAACTAAAATAGCTAAGAATAATTTAATTTATCTCTAACTAAAATAGCTAAATCTATTGATGAACACCAAAAATCATTTTTGTAGGAGCTAAAATCCTTCGGTTCTCAATTTAATAAAAAGAATCTTTACTCGATCAATAATTTTGAGAACTTAAAAAATAAATTTACAAAATACACCTGCAATTTTAACAATTATTTAAAGCTGCTTATTCAAGATAAGTAGGAGTCAAAAGACTGCTATATAAAAAAAATACCTGGATATCCTTCAAAAGAAGTGTCATAAATTTTCAATTCTATCCCGCTCATAAACTTTTAATGAATAATTAACAACCAGTTTCTTCTACTAAATTAATCTTTATATAAAAATATATAAATAAAATAACTAAAATTAATAAATATAAACTATATTTAAAATTTAAAATTTCCTAAAATATAATTAAATATTATTATTCATAATTTATTATGCTAATCATGTATATTTATTTACAGTACCCATTAATTAAATCTTCAATTTTTCATTAAAATTCCAACTTAAACATAGAATTCTAATTTAAATTTTTAACTATATATTATCTGCTAATATTAAATAGTTTTGTTCTTTTGTCCTTATTATTATTATTATTACTAAAGCCATATTATTAAAAACAAGAAATATTTTTATTTTAAATATTAATTTATAAATTCAATAAAAATACATAAATAAAACTTATTTCAAATAAATAAAAAAATAAAATATATTTTAAAAGATTAAATTTAGTTTATTTTAATTAAAGAAGCAATAATGATTTTGTTAAAATAAATAAATAGATGCAAATATAATCAAAATTAAAATTTATTCTAAAATAAATTATAAAATTTTTTGATTTAATTTATCTAATTTTTATAAAAATATATTTTTTTGTCAAAATAAAATTTTTTAAAATATATAAATAAAATAAAATATTATAGTTAATGTTTACAAATAACAAATTATTAAAAACTACAAAAAATATTTTATATTTAACCCTTTAAATAAATGACATACACATTCTCTTTTATGACATTTTTTGTGGTATTGCAAAATATTAATTAACTTGTTTGTAAAAATTAGTCTACAATCATAGAATTATTATTTTTAGCAGATAAAATGTAAATACAAATTTTAATATTTATGAATATGTTGCAGAAGAGATTGATGGATCCACACACTTAGATAAATCATCGCTAGCTGCAGTTAAATTTTAACTTTCAAAACATGCTTCGCACATGCTGTCGCTCCAAATTATTCCGTTTCCATTGCAATTAAAGCAAGTTTTATTTTTATCGTTATATGCATATCTGCTACATCCGGTTACTCTTTGATAAATACACTAACTTTAACTTGCTAAAGAGCAATCATAACATTTACTTGATCCATCATAACCATATTATGCACACTGTAAGACATTACTGTATTTACAAGCATTATTTTCAACAGTAGAACAATCTATGCATTAACCATTATACAATGCATAAGTAGTACAAATATTCTAATTTACGTATGTACAATTTTTAGACGCTAGCGAAGAACAATCAATACAATTCATCGTCATAATGTCAAATTAAAAATTTATGCACTAAGGGTCTTAACTGCAAGAGTTAGATGAAGTATTACAGTTTAACCCATATATTAGCAATAAGTTAGTAGTAAATAAAATTAGTTTTAGCATTTGAGTTTACCTTTCTTTAAACAAAACAAAATCTTTAAGCTATTACTTCTATAATAATTAAATTAATTTTAAATTAACAACTCAACTTAAAAATATGATGAGATATAAAAGCAAAGAAAACTTTTTTTTATATTATTAAAATAAATTTATTAAATATGGTTAAAAAAATAAATGACTCTGAAAATGTAAACTAAAATAGCTTTAAATTCATCATTTTATTTAAATTTACATAAAAAAAAAAAATTTTTAGTATTTTTTTACACTTTTTAATAATATCATCAGAAATATATGCAATTCTTTTATCAAGTATATTTCATTAATTCTAAAATTTAATAGGCTTAGTTTCCTATAATTATTAATAGATGTTCAAATTGAAGGCTGTTATGAACAATTATCAATATTATGCAGTTTGTATACATTAGTATGTCAAATTAATAATAAATGCATTCAGGGTATTAATTGCAAGAGTTAGATGAAGTATTACAATTCTAAACCTATATATGTATTTATTGGCAGTAAATTAGTAGCTAATAAAATCAGTTTTAGTATATGAGTTTAACTTTATTTATACCAAACAAAATTTTATCTTTTATAAATAAATTAATTTTAAATAATCAACTCAAGTTAAATTATAAATAAAAGCAAAGAAAATCTATTTATCACTATTAAAGTTTATTAAATTATATTTTTGAAATAATTAATTTATTCTAAAATAGAAATAGCGAATTTATGTCACTTTAAAAATAATCGAAATACTTCAATTTAACTTATTTATTTTTACAAAAATAATTTTTAGTATTTAATATAACACTTTAAAAAAAATTTCAACATAAATTTGTACAATTAATTGATTTATAAAATATATTTCATTAATTTTCTTATATCTAATAGTTGTCGTTTCCATTTTCATCACCATTTTATTCTATGGCTATTTCTTTATTTATATTATTTTCATTTAGATTTTCATGTAATGAGTAATCATCTTACAATAACAAATCTTTCTTTCTCTTTCTATTTTTAGGTTTTTAAATAAATTAGTAATATGTTACAAAGCTAAATAGCAAAACGAGTGAAGATATTAATAGAGTGATTAAAACAATTTCTTGAGTATCCAAACTTTTTGAAAATGTTTCTATGAATCCCTCTTGCTCAAAAACTAATAATTTAATTCCTGAGGCAACCAATACGAAGGGATCTTTGGTTGGATAATTGAACTGTTCAAATAAATTGATTTCAATTGTGTATCTGCCAGCTGTTGTGATGTTTGGACTTAGATTTCTAAAATTAATAACTATTTCAAAAGGCTAATCTCCTATAATTTGTTCAAAGGTAAGATTATACTTTCTCAAATAACTATCAATAACATTATCTCCTAAATTATTCCAATTTATATATTAGATTTGAGGGTTTAAAATCCTCAATCTTGAAAAAACTAGCTTGTCTGATTTATAGAGATATTTAAATTCTTTAAATGGTTCCCATTCGATAGCTGTTTATAATCAGTAGAAGTAAATCTATTTACACTTTAAATATATTTTAAAAAAATACGTGCTGTAGGAGGTTTTTCGTCAAAAAGAATTTTATAATCTGCTGATGTTCCATACACTTTAGGTTCTTTAGGTGGAATGAATAAGTTTCTGCATTAAGCTTAAACCTTTAAAAATGAAATAGATTTATTTTATTGTAAACAAAAACGAATATCAAATATGTATTAATTAAGTCTCAAGATTGTAATGAGGTTTATTTACATGATAACTTAGAAAATCTTCATTTTTAACTTGCAGACAAGGAGGAAGACCGGTATATTCAGACACATAATAAAATTCATTGAATTTTTTACATCTAGGCTCATTTAATATGTTTAAATCGCAATATACCCTCGATTCTAACTCACATCTTCTTCCAACATAATCAAGTGGGCAGAGACAAGACTCAAATTTTAATTTCCTTGTCACACAATTATTTTGTTGAAGCTATTCAGGTGTTAAATGTTTATAAAATTATTCTTGAACCATTGAACTATTACAAAAATAAGCAGTCTATTCTATAAGAACTAAATATGAATTATTTTAGCATTTATCTTTTTCAGACATCTTTGTTATTTCTCCATCGTCAGGAATGTTTTGATTCTATTAAAGCAATCTTTAAATTTATGTAAATTAATATTCTTCCTCTTATTGCAAATCTTTAGGTGAAACAGTGGAAACAGTTGGATTTTTCTAAAGCCTCTCAAAACTATTAAATTGTCTGAAAGGACTATTATTTTTTTCTTTTTCTTTTTCTAAGCTTTTATCAATCATCATTCTGAATTTATTGGATTTGTGTTCTGGCATACTTTTATATTCTTTTTTCCACTCTTCTTCATTAAGAACATCGCTTTAGTAAAACATCTAATTGAACCCTGTTGTTGTTTTTTGGAATTCATCCTATTTATTTGTCAAATAGTAGTCTAAAGACAAATAGCTTTATATTTTCTAAATCACATTTTCGCTTAGATACTATACTAAATCCATATAAGATTCACCTAATTAATTTAAAGTATGAAGAATATTTTATTTCCTTTTAAGCGACCGCTCTTCTTAAGGAATCTGCATTTTATAATTTTAATCCTTAAATACTCCACTCTCGAGTGTACATACTTAGCTAAATATATTAAAAAAAACTAATAAGATTAAAAAAACCTATTATTTATTCATTTTTAAATATTTGATAAAAAATTTAATTAGTTGTAATAGATTCTTATTACAATATTTATTTACATTAATATCTGAGCAAACTATCTTATTAGTAATGAATATATATTCAAATTTTATTAAAAAAGCAAATTATTATTAAACCTAATAATTTTTTAAAATTATTTTTTATTTTTTTAATTTTAAAACATTTATTTACAAAAATTTTATTTAAGCTAAATAAAATAAAAATAAATTTATTACTTCTTAGTTTCTAATTTCTTAATTAAAAATTTTATTGTATAAATAAATATAAAAACATAATGTAATAAATTAGTAAAAACTTATTAAAATAATTTATTTATTGAAATTTTATTAAAAAAGCAAATTATTAAAGAATGAAGTTATATTTTTTGAAAATTATTTCATTTATTTCTTCTATTTAAGATTAATAAAATTAAAACTAATTCATTATTTGATGAATACCTTCTAATTTATTAATTGAAAAACAATATTGTTTAAATAGATAATATTATAATGTAAAAAATATTTTAGTACCTATGAAAATAATTTATTTTGAACAAAAAGTTTTAATTATTTATCAAGTCTTAACTCTAGTAATAAAAAATAAATATTATAAATATTTGCTAATTTTTTATTATGCTTTAAAAAATAGAAATTATTTCAATAACCATTTTGACTAATAATGATTCTGTACTTACTACAATTCTATTAAAAAATGAAATTAATAAAAAATTATCCAAACCATAGAATTAAAATAAAAATATAAATTGCATACAGAACTAAACTAATATTTCATGGATAATTACTTTTTATAACCACAGCTTTTGTGTAATTTGAATGAAAAAATTTTAAAATTAAGAATAAAATATAGAAAACTTTTTTTTCAGTATTTTAATCAAAATCTTTTTTACTGAGGTACTTTTTAAAGTGCTTTCAAGTACTAGAAACTTTATAATTAAATAAATAAATTTTTATACTCAAATTTTTTCCTTTAGGAACCAAAGAAAAATTAATCATTATATTTTTATGAATAAAACTAAAAGTCAACACTTTAAAATCAATTTATATTTTTTATAATCAGAAGTAAATTGTAAAATTAGTTAGACCTATTAAATTTATTTTTTCTAATCTAAAATATCTATTGTATTTTATAAATAAGACTGCTTGACTTTGTTTAATTCCAATAAAAATATATTGAAAATTAATAATAGGATTAGTTGATATTATTAAATACCTATTAGCAACATTTAAGTGAAATAGATACAGCAGTATAAATTATAAAAAAATTCTATTTTTAGTTAAAGTAGAATATTCTAAATAAATTTAATTGTTTCAATTTGTTAAAATAATTTATAAATAAAAATTGCAATTCATGAATTTGCGAACTGTATTTATTCCAGTAAATATCTATTTTTACATTCAATTAAAGGTAAAGATTTTTAGTTAGCAGCTAATCTAAATTTTTTATAAAACCATTAGACAAATATATAAAATTTATCTATAAATATCAAAAGTAGAGTTTTATATCAATCGAGTAAATAGATTGTGCTTTAAAAGTTAGGTTTTTTCATTCAGCAAATTTTTTAAATAATTATATAATTAAAAATAAATTCATCATCAAAAACAAACAAAACAAAATAAAAAATATTCATCAAAAAAATGTATTAAGCACACCCTTTAATTACAATAAGCCCTATGCAAAGCAAGCTGTTTTCCTACGCTAAGCAAGCAAAACATACTTCAAAAGGAACAGTCTCTTTCAATTCTTTGCCATTAACAGAATCTAGTCTTTCAAGAGTAACTAGCAGTGGTTCTCGCGTAAATACAAACAGTTCTTATAATGGAACTTTGAGCTTATCTAATTTTAAAAGTTCAATTAGCAATTCTTCTAAGTTCAGCAATGCTTCTAAGTTTAGCAACCAATCAAATATTTCAAATAGTTATATTCATACAGAATTTGATGAGAATTCATAAAGATTAAAATCGTGTTTCGTAGATAAATAAGTTGAAGAAGGTATTTACACTGGTGCGTCAAACAATATTCAGTAAAGTGTCATAACTTTAAAGAACTACAAAAAGAGATTCTATAATAACTTAGGATAGTTAAAACCAGGAGTTGCTTACAATAAATATTATGGGTAAAATGATCTCGAAATTGAAGAGTTTGAAGAAACATATGAACCTTACAGCTATTACAAAATTAGCAGTAAAAATGGTGAAATTATTTCTACTTCAAATCTACGCCCAAAACAAATAGTTTCTATGATATAAAAGAATTAATATATTCCAACAAATTGATACTACTCTTTTTGTTTGATCTAATTAAAGAAAATAGAAAATAGATCTTGACTTAAAATATTAAATTATTTATTTATCTACTTATATAATAATAAAACACACACCTATCCTTTACAATCTCAGTTATCAAATTAATTAACAAAAAAACAAACAACAAAGTCAATAACTTGCTTCATTTCATAGACAAAAAGCTAAATTTTTGCTATCCTCATTAATAATAAAAAGATTAAAAATTAAATTAAGTTTTCCATGTAAATTTCATTTAGATTTATGTAATGAATAATGAATCAATTTTATTCATATTTTTGTAATTTATATTAAAAATTTACTTCATAAAAATTCTCAATTTACTTATTGAAAAGCATAAATCATATTTATTTATTTGAATACAGCTTTATTTTTTCAAACAAATAATTTGAAAAAAATAACTAAAATATTTTTCAATATTTATTTTGATATTGGTTTTAAATATAAATTTTGAAGTCAAAAATGTGCTCATTTTCATCTTTGTAAATTATATTGAATAGATAATGAACTAATTGCTTTCAGTAATTAGTTATTCTTCTTTCTAATTAATTTGATCTATCTTTAGCTTTTATCAGAGTATTTTATTCATACATATCAAAAGAGTATTTAAGATATATTAAGTAAAAGAATAACTCAACTCCTTACCAAAATTTTAAACATTTATTATTTGAACTCTTAATAAGTCTCTCTAGTACCTTAATTATAAAGATTTATTTTTCTAAGTAAACTAATTTACTATTCCGAATATCAATTAAAGGTTGTCCTTTACAGAGCCTACAGATAAGGATAAATCTTCAAGCCATTTTAACAAAATATAATTAGCTTAATTGTTTATTTATCTATCAATCTAAAATGAATGAAATGTAATAAGACCACATTTGCGGAAATGACATACATGATGAAACATTAGTCAGGATAATTTGGATTATATATGAATTTATAATAATAATTGGAGGAATTTATCTTAGTTATCAGTGGTATGTTAACAGAAAAACTTTTCCATTGATGGAAAGATCTCCCTTACTGTCAATCTATTTTATTATTAATGTAATAATTTATGCAATATCCTATCCTCTGTTTTTGTAATTTAGCTATCTCTCTTAAAATTTTGATTCTTTACTCATGAAGTGTATTTTTATTCCTTTCTAGGGGTCTTATACTTACATTTATCTATTAAAGAGCTGTAGATTATCATGGGGATTTTATATAAATAGGTAAGGGATTCTTTAAAAACATTAAAATAAAATAAACTATGTTTTTAAGAGTGAACCAATCCTAATAATCATATGTCTTTTTTTCCTTACGTTTAACATAATCACTGGAATTTTACCTTCACCTTAATTTAATTAATTAGATTTTGTTTCTACTGATCTTTAGGACATTAACTTTTACATTTTTCTTGCTAGAGTTATTGAAAGCTACTTCGGCTTATGTTATTTATTTATTTGCCTTTGGATTGTTAGAAATGTAGACAAAAGAGTAAGCATAAAAAATGAACTGTATTTTATTTTAGCTTGTGATTTGATAGCTTCTACCCTTAGACCAGCATTTACTATTTCATTCTCAAAGGACAGCAATATATGTTTAAATAATAACATTCCTCTCCTTTACTTGATTAACTGGTTTAAGCTTTTTTTCACCCTAGTGATTGGAATGATACGACCACTGAGAATCATGAATTAGCAGCATCAGTATTATAATCCAATATTATTAAAAAAATTGGATACCTTTTTATCTTACAAGCCTGAAATATTTCATTAATTCATTAATTACTGTAAGTTAAAATCTGAATAGCAAAAATAATAACAGTAAATCTAGCATAATCTTTAATAAAATGGTAACTCTTATGATTTCTTTAGAAATCAGCCAGAAAATAGATCCCAATCTCCTATATTTTTACCTCATTTAAGTTAATTTAGTGATAATTAAATTGAATAATAAAATATAAGGTTAATAGGCATTTAGCCATCTAATTCTTAAAATTAGAACTAATTAAATTAAAGTTAATATGATTCTGTTAGAAATCATACTAGTAATAACAACAGCTAAGAAACTTATTCTGCAGATACTTCCTTTTAAACTAGAGAGCACTTTTTACATGCTTTCTAGTATGAAAGAGTCAAGGCTCATCTTGATTTATTTTAAAAAGGAATGCAATTAAGATAATAGTATTAAGATAGTTCAGTATATATTGAAGAGTTTAAGAAGTATATGTTGGAGTTAAAATAAGGTGGTTAATTTAAAACCCTCTATCAAAGTATTAGTTAAAACAGTGAAATTCATTAAAAAATTTGCTACTTATTGTAAGTTGACAGTTTTAATTCTGGAATAAATAGAGATGGGATTCATGTGCAACCTTAGTAAGATTTAATATCAAGCAAAAATGGTAATTTGGGAACTCTTTATCAAAGCCAGTAATAGCAAAGTAATAGTGATGACAATTCATCTGAAGATCCTTTTAGGAGGTAACTAGAGCCTATTCAAATAGTATAAAATATAATGGAATAATCAAAGAGCTATCTTTAACCTATTTATAATGAATTTAAAACAACTGAGAGTTTCTACACTATTAAAAAAGATTTAGGTTAGCTTTTAAAATCTTATGCTAATTTATAAAAAATAAATATGGCTATAGATTAGAATATGACAATACAATGAATTAATATCGTGTATAACAAAATTAAAAAAATCTATTATTAAATTAAATACAATAAAATATGAATCTCAGATATCAACTTGAAAAAAATAAAATAAAATATCATTATGGCATTCTAAATACAAAATAATAATGTTTTAGCTAAAATAAAAATGATTTCCTCTATTAATAATAATTTATATAAAATATAAAGTAAAAATATAATATTTATTTAACATATTTTGATTATTTATATAAAGTAAAAAATTATCATTATTAAAATTTAGTTTTATTTGTTTGTTAGTAAATAAAATTTATTTTATATTTTATCATTTGTCTTAATCATTTTCAGTAGAAGAAAATGAATAAAAAACATCTTATTCATTATTCTATTCAGAATTAATTTCTATATTATTTGACACATTTTACTAATCTTAAAAGGCATTAAATAACTTTAGATTTAATTCTTTATCAATAACAGATTTAAATTATTAATCATCTAATATATTATTTATTTATTCATCATTTTAACTTCTTGAAATTTCTAAATTCTTTTATTGGTGTACTGGTGAAGATATATGATGTGATATTTCTAAGTTGCTGATGCATTACTGAAGAGAATTAGATTATTCAGAACAAAATAAAAAGTTATGAGAGTTTTCTAATAATTTCAAACGAAATTATTCATCCATGTCTTTTGAAGGTGATTATTATAAGTCGTGAGCACCAAGAGACTAAAGGAATTATTGGTTTAAAGAAGATTAATATTAGTCATAATTATTATTACTAGTTTCTTTTTCTAGATTATGATTACTTGATGATAACTGGCTGTTTGCTGTATTATAAGTTTGGTTATTAGAATTCTCATGATAAGGTTCTTTAGAACAATCAGATTCTGAATCTGAATCACTTTCAGTTTCAATTTCTGCTTCTTACTTAACAGTACTTTATTATGTGGAGTTGATTTGTTTATCTTATTGGAATAAATTCTTTTATTCATCAATCAGTTGTTTTAAATTGATTGTTGTAATACCTTTCAAATAATCAGTTATCACCATAATAACTTCTTTGTATACTTTTTAGTAACTTTATATTAACTATTAATTAATTTTTAGTTATTCTTCTTCTATTTTTTCAAAGAAATCTAAAATTATCTATTTGCTTTCTTAAAGTTTTTTTTCTCTTTTTTAAACAAAAAATATTGTAGATAAAATTGTCATTCCAATTCCAACTCCTAAACCTAGCGGACCACTTCCTATCAGAGGTTTACCAGCTATCCTATATTATTTTAAATTATCGTTGATTCATAATTTTGAAACGAATTAAAATACCTTTAAATTAGTACTCCCAAGCCAGTAAAAAGTGAGGAGGTTCCAATAATTGAACCTAAGAAAGAAAAATTTTTTTGGAGAGAAAGGCATATATTAGAAGTTATCTAATTGTTTGCATCCTAAAGAGATCTTTTCTTAAAGTCAATAATAATTGATTTAATACCACTTTCTAGTTAAGCATCTATTTCTTAAATTTCCTATAGAATTATATCTTTGTTAGCCTCTATAAGTTTATCTCCAGTAATCATAGAGTTTGCCAAGCTCTACACTGCTTCGCTAAAGTATTCTAGAATCTAATTATTTTATACATTCACCATATGTTTAAATAGATAAACATGTTATCAAATAAGTAATAAATAAATGAGTAAAAATAAAGAAATAAATTAGTAAATAAATTAATAATTAATTTACTGCTTCATTTAGTTGATTTTCAACTTTATCAAATAATTGGTAAGATTTATGATTTTGATATATTTCTTCAATTTTTGGTAAAATTTGAGATTTCCTGTATTGCAGAGAGGATTAATATATGTTTTGAAGATTATTTGAAAAGATTTATTGGTGATTATTATGAATAATTGGTAAAGACTCTTGTAAAAATATACCTATCTTATCTCTTTTTTACTAATTTAAGATTATACTTCTAGAAATTATAGAGCTTTTATCTATTATTTCCTATATTCTAAGTCTCTTCTTCATTTGTTTATAATCATATAAGTCACATATTTGCCTAAATAAAAACTTTTAGATGTTAGTAGCTGATTTGATTTATGATAATGTATTGATTTATAAATCAATTTGATTGTTGATTTGAGGAGCCAAATCAAACTAAAATAAGTTCAGAAAAGAATCTGTTTCAAAGTTAATGTTGCTAATTATTTTTCTTGCCTCTGATTCATTTTTAAGTTTTAGTGATTGCTTGTAGGAGATGTAGAATTGTTTAATGATTTGTTTTTCTAACTCTGATTCATTTTTATACTTTTAGTACATTTAAAGGTATAAAATGGGCAAAGCAGAAACCTTTATATACGGTTTGTGCATAGATTTTTCAAGCATATTTAGATATTTATCCTAAAATTCATCTAGTGCCCATAGCTACTTCTATCCTTAGACTTCTTGATATTAGAAAATATCTTTCTCTTCCTAAGAATTAAACACAACACCTAGCTATCTGTTAATTTTTTAAGTTTTTAAATTAGAAATTTACTCATATTTTAGTTTTAATTCTTATTAGTCTTTTTAAGCCTAACTTTTATCAATAATCCACACATCATTGTCTTCAGTAATTTCAGAATTTAAAACTTCAATTGGATGTTTAGATGCGTCAACACTATTTGATGATTGGAATGAAATTTTTTCATCTTTTAATGAATTTTATATCTTTTAATTGACACTATTAAAGAAAATGTTTGATTCAGATTCGGATATCTCAGAAGAAGCTTTGAATGATATACATATTTGATCAATTAAAGTGTGTCTTTGAGACTAGCTTGAGCTAGATTCGCTGGACCTCATAATATTTTTAATCAATTAATTATCTTCTTCTTGTTCTTTCAAATCTTGTTTACTTTCTTATAAGATTTGTTGTTATTATGTTTTTTCTGATAAATGAAGTTAATAAAAGACATTTTCAATTATTGTTTTTTCATATTTTTTTATATTATCTGTTAAAGATGTTACCCATAAATAGTACTTAATTACTGGTGAGCTATTTTGTTGCAGATTCTTTAAGGAATTAATGAAAATTTATGACTAATAGCGCTAGTATTCATGAATCCCAGGAGTATCTACGAATAAAATATTGTGCCTAATTTCTTGAGGGAAATTTTTCAAATAACTAGAATTAAATCTAATTTAGAAAACCTTAAGAGTATTTGCATTTTGAGCATATTCCTCTGTTGATTTTCTTTGCAAGTTATTTTGATTATCTTGTTATATACACTATTCTATGAATTGATGCATTTCTCTGATGTTATTCGTTACTAGTTTACTATTTTCTTCTTCATCATTCGGATTAAATGTTTGAGGATTACATCTAACTATAGAATAATTTTCTTCATTTTAGAATCCTACTTATATAATAATTTAGCTCCTGTTGCTCTTATTTATGTAATACGGTACTATTTCATCTCCTAAGATGCTATTAAGTAAAGTTGTTTTGCCACTTCCCTTGGCTCCTAATAAAATTATGTATATTTTTTAGTTTGCTAAATAATTTTCAGCATTTTAAATCATGTTATTTAAAAGATTTTCATTCCAAATTTCCTTATTCTAAATGCCAATCTCTATTTTTTACTTCATTTTCTAAAGACTAGCAGCATTTTCTTAATACAAATTCCTTGTTAATTTTTCTGAGGAATCTTAATTATTAATCTGATCAGCATCCATTTCTGTTTAATATGTTAATTCTATTAAATTAATTTTGCTTAATTTTTTTTGTTTTTAATTAACTTAATAACTCTATTTTTTAATACTTCTGATTGATTTTTCGCAAAATCAAGAATTCTAAAAGCTTTTTAATCAATCATTTAGTCATAATCCCTCTGATGTATTATAAATAGGAAAAGTAATATTTCAAAGTGCATTTAAAATAATTTAGAATATGATGTTTTTCTTTCTATTTCTTTTCTTTTAAAAATAAAAATAAAGAAAGATGTTTAAGAATAATATATTTTTTTCTATTCTTTATCCTTTTTTATTTTATAATATATAAAGTAATAATTAATATAATACTGAAATATTACTATTTATCTATCAATTAACTAATATTAAAGTAATAAATAAATAAGAAAGAAATATACTTTTAGGATTGAATAACGAAGATTTAAAATAATAAGACATAACAAAAATAATTCTTGATAAATTAATTTTATTTCATTAATTCTCAATCTATTTTTTTTATTAAATTTGAAATAAAATAAAGAATGCAATTTAAGATTTTAAATTTATTTTAAATTAAATAATCAATACGAATAAAGAATAAATTATTATTAAAAACTAGTAACCTTTAAAATTTAAAAGGTTTTATAAATTTATGAATGATCAAAAAAATAAAAAATTTTATCAAATTTATTTTATGATTCACCTTTTGGTTGAGTGGCATACAAACACCTATTGATCAATTAATTCACATAACATTTTATATAGAAATATTATAATTTATAATTAGTTTTCGAAATAATTTTTAAAAATATTATTGGTTAATTATTTGAACTAATAAAATCAATAAAATGAATAATATTATAAAAGATTATTGTTATATCTAAAAATTTAAAATTAAAAAAAATACTCAATTTTGATATAATTTTTAAATATATATTCCCATGCTTGTGTGAATGAAAATTTTAGGTAAATCACTTATTGGTAAATAAAAGGAGATTCCTTTCATTACCTAAAACCTATTATAAACAAAGTAAAGAAGCCTATTTAAGAGTGTAAAAGATAAAGAATTTACTGCATAAAAAATTTAATAAAATCAATAAGTTTTTAATTAAAAATCTATTAAACTCTAGTAAAAGAATGTTTATTAAAAATAGAAAGCAAGATAAGTAAATGAATAATATTATTTCTTAATAAATATTTAAACTATTTGAAAAATTTAGACAATAAAATTAAACATAAATATTTTTTTTAATCTTTAAGATAATATATTTGTATGAAAACATGAAAATTTGATATTAAGTATCAATTAATAATTATATTTAATATATAATGGTAATTTTAAACTATTTTTATATAAATTTTAACTAAAATTAATTATTTTCAATCGTCTTAAGTGTCATTTGTTGAAATTTAGGATAGACTGTTTTAATCTTTTTTAGTGAGTTCATTTATTTAAATCCAACTGGTAAAGCAGTTTTTTTTTAGTCCTATCTCAAGCCCTTTAGGATTGAAATATTCTTAATTAAATAAATGCAGCTCCTCCTTAACAATGTTTTCGGAATCAGTAATACAAATATGAGGAATTAGATAGGATATGCAGCATGTGATTAAGCTGAGACCTATTCCATAGTAATAGCAATTTAAGCATGGCCAATTTTCCATAGCTGTCTTATTAATTTTTTTAATGATTTAAACTAATTCTTGCTGTGAAACACCATACTTCATAATTTCTTCAGGGTAATGAATTTCATATTAATTGCTAAATCCATTAAGCGCTATATTCCCTATAGCTTTGAATTAGAAGCATATCTTTCCCTTCTGAATGATAGTTCTCTCATCTTTAATAACAGGCACGGGAATCTAATTATGCTCAATTTCTAAGTTTTGAATCATTTAAGAAAGGTAGGTACTCATATCTTAAAGATGTTTTTTTTATTCTTACTTTATTTATTGCAACTTTTTTTAGTGTATAAATGTAAATTGCTGGTTAAAATGAATTTCTTAAAAAGAAGTATTCAACTCTAGTTAACAGAAAGTTGAAAATTCTGAAAACTTTACTTCTACTTCTACAATAATTATTAGAGTAAAATTTATTTTGTTTTTTATGATTTATTTAACAAAATAGCCCAAAAATTATTCTTTTTTATATGTCCAAAAAAAAAAAAATTGAAGTAAAATTTTTTTTCGTTAAAATAAGAAAATAATAAGAACAGTAAAAGTTGTTTATAATCTATTTCTTTTAGCTTTATTCGAATTATTTTAGAAGAATTTTAAGTGAATTTGATGTAAAAATTAACAATAATTGATTTAAAATAAAAAACTAAATACAGTAATAAATCACAATTTATTGGTTAAGAAAAATTCTATTGTTCTATGTTCTTTCGAAGATAAATTGCTTTAACTATTATTGAAAAATAAAAATTCAGTCTACAAAAAAACAAAATTTCTTCTTTTTAATAATAAATAATGAACCAGTAGATGATTAATCTTTATTATATTTTTAGAAAGAAGCTATGCAATTTTTAAATTACGATTATAGTTATTATTTATTAATAATTACAAAAATAGCTTTTTAATATAGAAACATAAAAATATTTCAATCAATAAATAGTTGGTATTTAGACTTCACTAAAATGTTACTTTTTAAAATAATATTTAAGTTTGAAGGACTTATTTACAATCTTTTTTATCCTGATTAGGAATATTTTTTTAGGATGATTTAGCAGATTTAGCCTTTTTAAGAGATTTTATTTTTTATACTTTTTCAAGACAAAACACTTTAAACTCGTTAATGCTCTTGAATAAATCATCTGCCCTTCTATCTAGCCTAGTTACTGTACTCTAATTAATACATTTATAATAATAACTCTTTGCAAATAAACAAAAAATATTGATTATTACCTTTAAATATGGAAAAATGTTATCTAGCTCTTCTGTAGTAAACGAAGGCTCTATTAGACCTATAGGGACATCAATTGACTTATCTAAAATATTTTCTACATATTTTTTTTCTTCTTCTTCTTCATCAATATCAGTTTATACATATGCTGACAATTTCAAATCAATATTTTAATCATTTGAGAATGTATTTTCTTCTTTTTGATAAATAGCATTATCATTTTATTCTTATTTTTCATTTGGTTTACTATTTCGCACAACATTCATAATCTAAATGAGGGCTTTAAAATTTGAGAGATGTTCTTGCGTATTATTCTCATGTTAATTTTAGCTTAATAAGACTGTGAACGATTTGTTGCCTCCCTTATATTAATATTAATTTAAGGGGGTAAGAATTTCATTACTAACTTTGCGAGCATGCTTATTAGAATTTAATTTTTTTTTATTATTACGTGGGGAACTCTATTTTATATTATTTGGAGATTAAGAATTCTAATTTTAATCTACATTAATTTATTTAACAAAATTTGATTTATTTCTATTTCGTTAATTTTGATTTAAATTTATTTAATTTTAATTCATAGATTATTGGTTTTCATTTTATTAAAATTTTGATTCATTTCTGCTTCTATATGACATAGTTTCTATTTCAGCTTATTTCATAATGCCCTGAATTTATGATTGATATATCTTTTTTTTATTATTGGAGGCAACCTTTTTGTCAGATTAGTATTTTTTGTGTGTATTTTAACCAATAGTTTAATTTCTTTTAATATTTTTTACACTATTATTTTCACTATTATTTTGTGTAGTAGTTTCAATTAATTCACCAGAGTTCTTATGATTATTTTATCTTGACTAAGGTTAATAAAGAGTTTCTATTTTTCTAAATAGAAGTTAATCTTATTCTTTTTCACAATCTTAAGTAATTAAATTAATGTCTAAAATATTTTTACTTTTATCAATATTTTTTAAATACTATTAAGAATTCAGCTACTCAATTTAAGTGCTTGGTTGTTTTTCAGCAGCTTATTATTAATTAATTTAGCTGGATGATTTTGAAAAATTTTAACACCAATTAAGTTTGCTTAAGTCTTATTCAATTTATTTACTTTATAAAAGCTAATAGTCCTTTTGTAAATTCTTTTATTAAACAATACTACCTCTTTCATTGATTTATTGAATTGTTGAATTTTAGATTAGCTGCTCTTATGGCATACTATCCAGTTCATTTTTATTTTGATCTTGCATGCTATTATTTTCCTAGTTATTTAAATTTTATAAGAATTTCTTTATGTAAGTTGATTTTTCTTGTTTAAAATAACTTAAATTCTATTATTTTATTTGCAAGTCCTCTAAATCTGATTCAGTTTAATCATTTATTGATTCCAAGTTTATTAATTCTACTTCTTAGACTGATTTTTCTGTTTATTAACTTTGTATTTTTGTTTTAGGGATTAGTTCACTTTTTAAAGATTGCTCAGTAAACAATATTTCATCTTTAAGTTTTTCTTATGCATCTATTTTAGAAGAATCAGTTAAATTATTATTTTAAAACTGAATTTTATTATTTTAATTCTGAGAATCATAATATGAATTTTTAGAAGAGTCTTTTCTGTTAGGGTTTACCTCAAAATATCTCACTTAATTTATACTCTGTTTAGCTTCTTTAGTTTACTCCTCGTTTTAATTTAATGGATTGTTAATTTTTTAATTATTTAGGAAGTCGATTTAATAAATAAATGGAATTTATTTACCTAATATATACATACTTTTATTTTTTTTAAGGGTCTATTTTTTAATTTATTTTTATATGTTTATTTGAGAATATGAGCTTGACTTCATATGTTTAACATTTTAAAAACTGTTAACTTTTTTTTCACTTTATTTAAATAGGCTTTGCTTTGTTTTTTTTAGATCATATCTTATTTAGTTAGGTAAGCTACTTTTATCTGACATATCAGAAAAAATTGAATCTTCCCTAATTAAGTTTTGACGTAGAGTATCTTAGTTATCTGACTTATTTTAAGAAATTTAACTTTTTATCAAGGTTTCATAATTTTAATGTGGATTAATAGATAAATTTATTTAAGCTAACTAACAATTAGTATCATTTTAATTTGCTTATTAATTAGGACTGCTTCCTCCTAATTCGGATTTAGGCAACTGAGAGTAGTCTTATTGAGGAGATTTACTATCATTAGATTATTTTTCTTTTTAAAATTCATCAAACATACCTTATTTTTTTGTAATACTCTTTTAATCATTATTTTGAATTTATTAATTTTAAATATTGCTATGGCGCTTATGCTTGAAAGTTTAGGAGAAGATGTTCATTTATTTGAATAAATTAGTTATGATATTTTCAGATTAAATTTCAGTGAATATTTATTGTTTTTAATCTTCTGAGTTCTTTTCAAATTGATATAATAGCTACATTTTATTGCCAACTTAAACATCTTAATTGTCATCTTCTGATTATACCGATTCAATTTCTTCATCACTGTTGTTATTTGTTGTTTCTTTTATTGCATTTAATTCAATATGTTAAGTCATTTATTTTTCGAAATTTTTTTCTGTTTATTTCTATTTTTAAAAAATAAAATCTATTTATTTTTTTTAAATATTAAATTAATTCACTTACTCGAAAAAAGGATTTTCTTGGTTAATGAGTTGTTTTATAAATTTAATTCTGCTATTCAACCTTCTCTCCTTCAAGCTTAAAAAATTTGTTTCTAAATGAAGCAAATTTAACTAGCTGTTGAAAGACAAATGGGTAGTCTTCTAAAATTTGATAAATTTATTCACTACTGATAAAAAAGCAATACAAATCTGTGTCCTAATCTACTCTAATTTATGATTTAGAAAAAGTTGATAATATTTTTGAATAAAAAAATTGATAAATAAATACACATAGTTAAATCTCGAAGATTTTTTCAGGAGACAATTTTCACCTATAAAAGAGCCATGAGTAAGCTCTCTGAATGGTAATAGCTCCAATTTATCATTGACCTCAATAACTTTTTAGACTATTATTTATCCTTTGAAAATGAAATAAATCCCATTAGAATTGCACAAATAACCCTATACTATCGTGTCTTTTGGAATACTTTTGAATATAAATAAATATAAAGCTTATTAAAAATACAAATAAAATTTACTAAACAGGTTTCAAAGCCCCTATAATTTATCTAGTTAGTGAAACGTCTGAAATATTCCTAAAGAAAGTACTGTACACTGTGACAAATTCAGAAAAATAGAAAACAAACACTTTTGCTTAATCTAATGGTGGAAGATCTTAAAAATACTCTGATTCGAGAACTGTATTAGAAAACTCATATTTACTTGAAAATTAAAAACATTCTCTCATTGTTTTCAATTTCTTGCTAGATAGTGGATACTCTATGTTTTGTTCTCTTTAAATAAGCCATGTTTAAAATTCATTTTCATCATTGCTTTATTTAATTTCTCCTGAAAGAAGAGAATGCTTTATGGCATCTACCAACCCTCCTTAAATATAACCAAAAAGTGCTATACCGAAGAACATGCATAAACAAGCAAAAAACATTTCATACGAAGTTTAGCAAGAGATATCTCCATATCCTACGGTTGAAATAGTTGTTACTATGTAATAAAATCCATTTGTATAAAGAGTTTTGATATAATTTTCAATATTTTCATCTCCTTAAATAACTAATTGTATCCAGCTTGTTTTACCGTCATTAAATTTTCCTAGAGTTATCCATATACAGTTTAGCATGTGTATACAAAATAAAACTTAAGACAATATTCTAAATATTTTAATTTAAAATCAATATAATTTCTGGTATTTTAAAACATAAATTAATTTATCAAAACTTATTAAAAAACTTGATGTCATAGATTTTTTATGTGTAAAAGTTTAAATAACAAAAAGTAAATTATCCTCTATAATTATTTGCCTTTATCTCTCTTCAAAAAGTAACAAATAAAATATTTATATTATAAATATAAAAATGATAAAGTTATTTTCACAAATAACTTATAGCAATTTATTGATGGCTGGTAGGATTTTATAATAAAATTACAACTAATATTTTTTGATTAAAAAGAATAAATCTTACATTAATATATTGTAGGTAAGAAGAGCATACTAAATATTTTTACCACTTCCAAATATCTTTTTTAAGTAAAAATTAAATTATTATTTTATATTTTATTTTTGAATTACTTTAAAAATAAACGATCTCAAGAATTCAATAAATCTACTTCTATACCGTAATCTAAGCAATTTAAGAAGTATAAATCCAAATGAAGTTGTCTTTTTTTCTAATTTCTGCCATGGAAAAATAGCAATAATATCATAAATGAATTCTTATCTTATATAAATGAATGTAAAGTAAGTTTAGTGATTTTTACCATAAAATTATAAAAATAAAATTTACTTCAAGTATAATTTGGAAATTTTTCCAACATTTTAGATTTTAACTCCCTCTTCTATTCTCCCAGTAATAAAATTGAGAAAAATATCAATAAGAAACAATCCATCAAGAAAGTAATCGTATACAATATGATCATAGTTATTCAATTCAAAGCAGTTTCTTATTGGAATCATAATTGGATAGTAGAGCATAGCGATTCCAGTTATGCATTTCCATATAAAATATAAAGAGTTATCAGGATCGATGTAAATCAAATCTCTCTTTTCTGTAAATAAAAAAATATTATTGGAATTATTCATTTTCTAAGATAAAATATATAAGCTCTGCTTCCTATTAAAATTATAGTTCATTCATTATAATATAATAGCCTACTTTCACTTAATATTTATTTTATAATGAAATTCTTTACATGAAAAGTAATTTGAGCAGATTTATTAATAAGTAATAATTTTAAAAAATTTTAAAATATTAATTCCATATTTACTTATTTATAGAGCTTAAGATTTATCGCTGCCTTTTTGATATGTCTCCAATCTTTTGAATAATGTTTTTAGTGCCCTAATTAAATTTAAAATAAAGTTTGCAAAAAAATATGAAATTTTTAAATAAACTAAATATTTTGTTACGCGATTTAAAATTTCTAAGCATTATAAACATCTTTAATTGCATCCCATTTTCTACTTTTCTTTACAACAGAAGATAATCCTTTAGATTCATTCGATTTTAAAGATGTTTTAAATGTACTCTACTTTTAAGCTCCTAAATTTGGAGATCCATTTTTCTGCTTAACAGTAGCACTTAGAGTTTAATTCTTAAGTAAATTGCTCGAATATGTATTATCTATTGGATAATCTTTAGCTGTAATAGGTGATGCCAATACCTCTTTCCCTTCTTAAGAATAATCACTTTTTGCTTGTCTAAATAATTGCATCTCTACTATCTTTTGAATATTGAAGAGTTAATTAACGTTTATCAAAACAATTATTTGGTAATAAACTAAATTACTATTACAATAATAAAGAAAATGTTATGATTTTAATATAAATTAAATTATAAGTGAAAGATTAATATTAAAAAGACAATTAATTATTAAGAGATCCAATAAATATTTTGATATAAGTTCATTTATTCATTCCATCAATTAATCAATATTCATACTTATAATCAAATTTTCTATACTCAAGTAAGATAGGTTTGCTTGCAATTTTACATTTCTAACCAATATAAAAAAATAAATATTCATATAAAAACTAATTACTGATATCAAATATAAAAGGCCATTACAGTTATTCTTATTTATTTAGTCAAGTTAAAATTAAAAAAAACAAAATAAAGTTTACATTTAGGTTTCTTTAAAATATAAAATCAAATTTGCTTAATTAATATAATTAATAGCAATATCTAAAACTTTAATATAAAATAACAAACTTAAAAAAAAATTTTTTATTCAAATTTGATCTAAATATGTTTAATTAATAAAAATCACTTTTTGTGATATAATAGTGAGAAGTTATTTCTTATGAGGGATCTAAGTATTTAATTTTAATTATTTTTACTCATTTTTTGAATAAAATATAGAATTCTACAAAATTTTTAAATTGATAAAATAAATCAACTCTGATTAATTACTATGTAATTTATTTCATTATTATAATTTAAAAGATATTTAGAGTTATTTTTTTTCTGGTTTGAAATTAGATGAGGGTGGTGACTCATTCTATGGTACATTAATTGTGATTACTCCTTTGTCTTGAGCTACTTAGTTTTACAAATTACTATTTTAGTTACTATTATCTTAAGGTATGCAATTACCATAGAAGCTTTATTAGTTGCCAAAATAGTTAATTGTTCCTGATTAATGATTGTTATAAAGCATATTTCCTTAGGCTAAATTTAAAGGAGTGTCCATAAAAGCCTTTTTTCCAACTTAGCTATTACCGTTCATTTTCATAGTTTTAAGTGTTTTAAAAGTCTTAACTGATTTATTGTTTGCATATATCTATTCTTATCTCGATTTGTATATTTTTTTAAAAGATTTCAAAACCATGGAGATGTTGTTCCATGGTAAATAATGAACAAATTCACATTGTTTCTCAAAATCCATGATACAAAACATTAAATTCTAGTCTTACTAAGAAGAATATTAAGATCCATTTTAGTTTTTATTGATTTTTTCTGAATAATTATCTCTGATTGTATTTGCAAATTTAGCTAACTAAGTCAGTGAAGGCTGTATTAATTTGGATTGATCTTTTGTCGACTCCTTTTTAGATAACTAATGTAAAAAAATAAAATATTAGCTTTTATAGATAATAATAACAATGATAATTACTTTTCCTGTATTTGATCTAGATAAAATATTCCTCTCAGATAATTTTTTACTACTATTTTTTGCAAAGCCTTTACTATTTAATGTTCCTGTTCGTTAAATATTGATACTAAAATCCTAGCTGCCTTGCTGTTTAAGCTTTGATGATCCTTGGTGAATTGAACTTAAAACAGTTCCTTTTCTTTTTGAATACTATTGTTGTAGGGCAAGAGAACTCATTGAAGAAGGGTTATTATCGTTTTAGCTACCTTTAAAATATGTTTCTACATTTTAACTTAAGTTATTAAAAGAAGAAGGGTTTAAAGTTTTATGTCTATTCTAGTATCTGCCTGTCGGGCTTGGAGAAACTGCTTAGCCTTATTCATGGCCTCTGTAAAAAACACTCTTTTATTGATATGCTATATCTTCATCTGCAAACTATTAATTAAATTCATTACTATTTTATTGCCTATTATAATGTTAATTTGATTGTTTTCTTGGTGGATTAACTATATTTTCATCTCTATTAGCATTTTAGTTATTTTTATCAAGATTACCGCTTCTAGTAATTTTTTTATTATCATTGCTGTCATCATCATCGTAGTCTTCACTTGATTCTTCCATCACTTTAGAGGTAGTTCCTGAAGCCTTAAAGTTATGTTCACTTGGCATCTTTATATATAAAGATTTTTCTGTCGGAACATGTATTTATGAATCTTTTTGTTTTATATTTTTATGTTTTACTTAATTTTGTTATTTTTCATCAAATTTTTACTTAAGGTAGACATTTTCTAATAGGATTATTGATTTATGTTGTTATAAATTTAGTTTGTTGCTTAAGAGTGGTCATTGTTCATAATATCTTCATAATCAGCAAATTCTTCTTCGTATAAATCATCATCTTCTTCATCATCATTATCATCATCGTCTTGTCCATTCCTTTTGCTCAAAATGTTTTTTTGTCTATGAATTTATAGAGAATAGCAATTAGGAACATCTGTTTCTAGAATAAATTTTCTGTCATCTTGTTCGTTGTATATTTTTTATAATTGCTCTTCTGATAAATTTTTTTCTTCAGAATCTCTAAGCCTGATACGCAGCATTCTTAGTGCGATTCTCAAATCATCTTCAATTAATTACAAAAAGGATATCAATTAATTTACAGGAACATATTTAATTAATTTTACAATATTCTCTTTTTACATTGAATCTTTAGTATTAAAAGTTTTTATCTCTTTTTTTACTGCTAGGTGGAGCAGCTTCTCTATTTGTTTGAATTTACATTTTTGATGCCCATTTAGAAAAATACGGTTTGACCCTGGAAAAGTTTTCATCTCTTTTTTGAGGATCTGAATGAATATATCTTAAATAAAATAATTTAAATTAAAATATTAAATTTGATTAAGAATAATAATGTATAGAATGTTAAATAAATATTAAGCATGGAATTAAAAATAAGTGTTTAATACTCTAAACAAAATACTAAAATATTTATCACTGATAACTTGATTTACTTTTTGATTGTTTTTTTAATATTTATTATTGCTAAAAATTGTTAATAAATATAATTGAAATGATTTTCGTTCTCAATATACTTTAAATCAAATATTAATCAATTACCTTCTAATATGAGCTTCTTTATCAATTTCATAATGTAGAAGTGGGCAATTATGGACTTAGTGATTATATCTTCCACATCCACTGCACATCACATCAAGTTTTTCATCACTGAAATTAATACTGTCTTTCATTGAGCAATAAACTTCCTTTTTAATATAAAAACTTTTAAAACATTTTTCATTTGTTTCTATCTTATTTTACAAAATCGTTAGGAAACTATCTTATCACAGAAATAAAGTCTTCAAGAGTACAATAAACAATTTAAGAAACATTAAGGCTTCTAGCTGCGTTTTTACTGGTAATGTTACCAAGAAATTAGAATTAGCCAAAATAGTCGCCTTACTTTTTTTATTTGATTAATTAAACCAGTCTTAAAAGTAATTAAAAGTTATTTTACTTTTAAGATGTGAAGCATAAGGTCTTTATGCCCATTTTCTTGCAAATCTGTGTAAAGTTCAATTTCTCCACTTTGAACGTAAAATAATCTTTGGTCCAACTCGCCTTCGTTGTATAAAACCTCACCAGGTCCTAAAGTTTACTCTCTCATATACAAACTTAAAGTTTTTAAAAACTTTTCACTAAATTTCCTGTTAAAAAGCTTATACTAAATTAAAATCCTGCCATAGTATTCCTTATATACAACGTCTCTTAATCTTTTAGAAAGAAGGTTAAGTATTTCATAGCCTTTTTAATGACCAGCATCTGATGATGAATGGATGTACTCTAAATACTTCAAAACCTTTATTTGAGTTTGTTTTGTTATTTTTCTCCTCATCATATAATCAATTATTTCTTATTTTTATTGCCTTTGTATATTTTTTTAAATTAAAACTTAATTTTGTACATTAATCTATAAGTTAGTTAGTTACCTGTACTCAGCACTTTTTCTCGCTATTTCTTAAAAGATGCCTATTAAAATAAATAATAGATAAGATAAATATCAAATTTTAAGAATATATCGTAAATATATTTGTTACTTCCTATTGTATTGATAGCATAAGCAAAGACACCACAGCTTATAAGTTACATGATGATTACATAAACTCTTTCAATCAAACTGTATGGAACGATATCACCAAAACCAACTGTTATCATAGTTGTAAAGGCAAAGTATAATGCAGCTATGTATATTTCAATCCAAGATTTATGGAAAACGTTTGTTTTGGCAATCCAGGTTTCTTATTCGTTAGATTGGTAATTCAAAATAAGCTTAAATCCACAGGCAAAGATGTGAGCAACATATAAAATGATAAAACATAGCTTAGTTAGCTCAAAGGTTGTGGGGAATTTGAATTATATTTAGAAGCTTTCATCGAAATCGTAAAGAATTTTAAATATTTGATATACTCTAATAATAAAAACTAAAGGGATTATACTTGACTAATCTAAGCAAATAATAGATATTATATCTATCCAAAATTTAAATTTAAAATATCTTTTTATAATTAGTTTCCTATCAACAATAGTTGTCCCTTGACTAAAATAAGCTGTATTGAGGTTTATTATCATCTCAAGCATTAATAAGTATGGTACTATTCCTATGAATGTAGTGAGGTTTTCTGGTTCATGAAAGTCTACTGCATTCGAAAAACAAACTTTTAAAGGAATGTAAAATGTTAAAAAGAGCAGAATTATCAAAATTGAAAATTCAAAAATAAGCAAAGGGAGCGAAGTAGGCTAAAAAGCATGAAAAGGAGACTTGATATCAAACAAATAATATGAAAGTTTTGAAAATATCTTTGTTAAAGTATTTCGCTAACCTAGCCTTTCATATAATCCACCAAATGCATTGTCTTTGATAAGTTTAAAATGCTTCTTCTCAAGCATATATATGTTTTTATATTTTCTTACAAACCTCATAATTTAAAGGAATTTATAAGTGAAATAAAATGCTTTTAAGAAATTTCTTTTTTTGGTTTTATTTTAAGTCCTTTAACTAATTTAGCTTTTATCAGAATTTCTCCTTTAAATTGTATTATTTTGATTCGAGTAAGTTGCTATTTAAGAAGGTGAAGGTATTTCCAATAAATTACTACCTCTCCTCATATTTCTAGAGTTCAGCTAATTTCCATTCCCTACATCTAATGTTTTAATGTCAAATTGATTAAAATTTAAACTATTTGAATTCAAATTTTTTGGAATAATTGCAGCATTTAAATTTAGAGCGCTATCAGACTGATGTATGCTAATATCCTTATTTTTAAGAATACTTGCATCAAAATCATTCCTATCTACATTTTCATTAAATGCATTGCTTAAACTGCTCTTGGCATTGTTTAAATCCTAAAGTATTTGCCCTTTTCCTAAGTTACTATTTAGTTAAATTTATTAAAGTTCTACAAAAGATTAATTGTTAGATGACGGATTACTTCCTTTTATTTTATCGTTTACTTCATTAAACCCAATACTGTTTTTAGCGATAGTATTCTATGCCGAAAAAGCTCCTTTAATAATTCATTAAAAAAAATATAAATATTTCAAATTTTCTAAGTCCTTTATTAATTAATAGTTAATATAATATTAATTTGTGATATTTGCTTCTTCAATAACTAAATTTCATTTTTACCTAGCTAAGAGCTAGAGTTCTGTTACTAATTTTCTGCTTTTGTGCTACCATTTATTATCACATTTTTTTTATTGCTCTCAATTGATACTTGTCCTATTTCTGTTTAGGATTTTATCTTTTATTACTCACCTTATAATTACATTTTTTTTTAAGAGGAGTCAAAATTATTTTCAAAAGCCGTGTTAGATTTCTACTTTTTGATTCTCTTTTTAATAAAACCTGAAATTTCTGCCTTATTGTCATTTATGTCATCCACATTATCTTAATCTCTGAATATGAAGGATTTCGAAGTAAGAGATGGTGAGTGGACTTCTTACTATTCTTCATCTTATTGCTTAACTTAATCTGAAAGATCTGAATTCCTATGTTGAACAAATAATCTTTTTCTTTACTCAGCTCCTCTTAAATGATTGTGATCTCCGCTATATGTAGGCACTGTTTTCATATTTATCATATTTTACTAAATTCCATTAGAGTTCTATATTTATCTAATAAAAGGGCCCTCTAAAAAAAATGAGTGCTTATCTTCATCATTATGATTTAAAGGCATAATACTTTAGCTATTTTCTGATATAGGAGTATTGGCCTAAATTGAATTATAATCAGTTTTATAGCTCCCTATATTAGAAATTTCATTTTTATGGAATTTATTTTTATAATTATCCATACTTGAGCTTTAAAACACTAGTGTGCTTACTCAATAGCTATGTTTTAATTTACTACCTTTTTTAATAAATATTTTGTAGCTTTCTAAAATATATTCAAAACTACTTAAATAGTATAGTGCAGACTTTGAATTTTGATATAAATTTTGCAAAAATAATTAAATTCAATTTATTGTTAAAGAATTAATTCTTTGTATATTTTACTGCTAGCTAACATATACATTAGCAATTTTTGATTAATTCCTTCATAAAAAAATTTATAACCCTTAAAAAAAAACTTGTAGAATAAGCATGAATTGCATACCAATAGAAATTAGTTTTCATTCTATAATTTACTTAACAAATATATAAATAGATAATTAAAATGAAAGGTAAATATTATCTTCTTTACTATATTAATAATTTTTTTTGTTACAGAGCTTATTTATCTTTTTACACAAATTATTCAAAATTTATTCAGACATTCACATAAAATTTTATTTTATCAATTTTTTTCAAATTTTATTGTTCCATTTTTGTAAGATTTCTTAACTAAGATAACTCAAGGCAAATTACATTTATTTTACTCAATTAGAGAGATACTAGTTTAAATTTTAAGAATGTAATTTAATAATTTACAATATCAATTATTTTTTTCTCTAATAATGTTTGATGGATGATACTTGTAAACATCAATTAATTTTACTATCCTAAAATTACTTTATCTTAATTAAAAAATTTATTTTTAAAATTACTAAAAAAGGATTATTAAAAAAAATTAATGAATATAAATACATTAACAAAATAGATATAAAATTATGAAAAAAAAATAATAATAATAAAATTTAAGAATTTTCATTTTTTTCCTTATTTTTATTCTTAATTATAATTTTCGTTCATTTTATTGAGGTATTTTTATTTCTTACAAAAATTATTTATAAATTGTTATTTATTAATTAAATCTAATTTTTGAAAGCAAATTTAAATAAATTTAATATCAAAAAATGGCTGAGTAACCTATCAATGTTAAAATATTTAATTAAACTATTTATTTAGATATAGGATTAATAGGCTAAGTAAATATCTATAATTTGGTACCTCTAATTATTTTTTTTAAATAATAATTACTAATAATTTAACCTTATTAATTAAATAATTTATTTATCAATATCCAGGCTTAATAAAGCAAGTGACATTTGAAAAAAGCATTCAAAACCTATATTTTAAGTCTTCTATGAGGGTATTCATTTAATTTACACTATTTTCCTTAAATTTTTATTAATAATTGATATTCAAATAATTGAGGTATAATTTTCCTAATATTATTAACCCAAATATTTGAATAGCTTTATTTTATCAAAAATCAATGGCATAAAAATTTTTTTTTCATTACTTCATTCAAAAATAAATAGATTATTTGTTTGTTTCCATTAAAAATGAAAAGAAAAAATTTATTTTCTTCACTCAAAAAAAGATTAAGAATTATTTTTTTTTAATTCAAAATTAATTCGCATGATTAGATTCTAATTTTTAACTTTGGATAAATATATCCACTTTTGATCATTAAAAAAGAAAACGAGCTTAAAAAAATATAACTTACATAAAAAATATTTGTTACTTTTATAAAATAATAATGAATGGATAACAAAGGAATGCTAATTAATATGTCTCAAATCTAATATTGGTACCTTAAATTAAAATAAGAAAAATATAACTAGGTTATATTCATAAGTATAGTTAAGGATGCAGATTTAGATTTAGAAGATTTTTAAAGTAAAAGCAAAGCTTTTTATAAACTATTTACAGATAAAACCTTTTTTTTTATTGGGTTTTTTACCTAATACGGTATTTAAAATTTTCAAAGATTTTTTTTCTAAAATTTTTCGCAAATAAATATTATCTAGAAAATTATTTTTAAACCAATAGTTTTTAGCAAAAAAATTTTTCCCTAATTTTACCATTTGTCATATTCATTGATCGTTCCATCTTTCATTTAAAAATAATATTTGAAAGATTAAAATTAAATGAGTTAATTATCTTTGCAGGAGTTACATGGATAATGCAAATTTTAGTAAATGTAATTGTGAATAAATAACTAAAAGTTTACTATTACCATGATTTTAATAAATGGCAAAAATAATATCTTGTTAATGGTAGTTTTTAAGTAGATATCTCAATACATATGAAATTTAATTTATGTTAAAAACTCTTATCAAGTAGATATATCATTTTCTGTAAAAAATTAAACAATATTGATGAATCATAAATCAGAAAAGACATATTCTTGAAAGTAATAAAAACAAAAAATTTGAGATTAATTTAAATTAATATACATATGAAGCAAAAGAATTGAATATTTAAACAGCCCGAAATTTCATTTTTTAAGAAATTAAAAAAATTATTTGTAAATTTAAGTACATTTTTTTTACCTATAATCATCATTGATTCCTACTGTATTTTTACGTATGCTATTTGATTTAGTACTATCAATATTTTTTAATTAATTTTACAACTATCTAATTACTATTTCATAAATCTTCTTTAAAAAAATTTAATAAAATTTAAATTTGATTTTTCTAATATTTATTTGTTATTTTTATGCAAATAAATTTAATTTAAAACTAAATAAATTTCTTAAAATATATGAAATTAATTAATTAATTAAATTTTTATAAATCAACATTCAATATTTTTGAAAATAAAAAATCAATGAATTAATAAAAACATTTTTTCTAAAAACTAGAAGATGTAGTTATTTTTTTTTTTGAATATTCTTTTTAATTTATTTTTATTGATAAAAAAGTTTGAAAACTCTTAGCTTTAGTCTCATTAAACTCTCCAAATTCTTCTTAAGTAAATAATATAATTATTATAAATTTTTTTTTTCATATTTATATGTCAATTAAAGACAATATTATATTTATGATATCTATTTTCATCTATTTATTTTCTTTTATTTGTAAGAGTGTTTTTTAATAATTTTAACTCGTATTTTAATGTGCAATTTTGCTTTGATTAATTTATTTCTTATTATTTCATGTTTTTTCTTCATTTCTCCCTTATAATTAACTAATTAATTATATAAATTTTCTTCTATATTTTAAAAGTGGAGAAGATTTAAGTGAGGAAGATGTAAAAGGTTTAGGTTTTGCTTTAGAAAAGTGCACTAATCTGTCAAATTTGGCACTTGGTCTTGGGTAACATGTTTTATTTATTTATTTATTTATTTTTGTTTGTGATATTTTTTAGCATACAAATGAATTTAAAGTAATAAAACTCTTTAAATTTATTTATTAGCTTTTATTTGATTTATTTTCATGTTTATTGTGATTGTGTATTTTGTATATTTTCTTTAATATTTAAAAAGTGGAAGTTCAATTAATTCAATTGGAGTATCAGACTTAAGTTCTGGTATAGCAAAGTGCACTAATCTCTAAAATTTAATGCTTGATCTTAGGTAAAAATTGTTTATTTATTTTTGATTGTGATATTTAAAATTTAAAAATAAGTTTATAACAATTAATTATTATGTTATTTATTTTTATTTGATTTATTTGGATTATTTATTATGTTTTTTTTCTTTTTTTCTTTCTAATTTAACTTATTATTAAATTTTAAACTGTTGCTTTGATTATTAATTATTACATTTCTTATTATTTCATATTATTTCTTCATTTTTTCCTTCTAGCTAATTAACTAATTAATTATATTTTCTTCAATATTAAAAAGTTCGAATTAAATTGATGATATTGGTGCATCGAGATTAAGTACTACTTTATAAAACTGTAAAAATCTTTCAAATTTGATGCTTGATCTTGGGTAAAAACTGTTTTATTTTTTTGGATTGTGATATTTTTTAATTTAAAAGTAACCTTTTATTTGATTTATTTTCCATTTTTACATTGATCATGTTTTTTTTCTTTCTTAATTTAATTCATTTTTTTATGTTTCAACTTTACTTAGATTATAAATTCATTTCCTATCATTTCATATTATTTTATTTCTAGCTCACTAATGAATAATACTTTCTTCATTTAAAAAGTTATAATTATTTAAGTGAATAAGGCTAGTCATGGTTATTTTTAGCTTTATCACACTGCACTAACCTCTCGAATTTAAAGCTTTGTTTTAGGTAAAGATAATTTTTTGTTTTTGATTGTGAAATTTTTTAATATAAAAATAAATTTATATCAATAAAACTCATCTAATTTATTAATTAGGTTTGTATTTAATTTATTTTACTATTTTATTTGATTGTATTTTTTTCTCTTAATTTAACTAATTTTTTCATTTTCAACTTTTGGTTTGATTGTTAATTCATTACTATTTATTTCACATTTTTCTTCATTTTTACCTTCTAACTAACTACACATTGTTAAGACACAAAAAAAAATTGGCTGATTAAAATTAAAAAAAATATTATACTTTTGAAAAATATTTAAAAATATATGATTTACTAAATAGATTTTTAGCTTTCATTAAACAAAAGAAGAGTTAAAGAAAAAATAAAGATAAAAAAAATGAATTAGTGTATAAATAATATATTTATTTTTAGTTTAATTTTTAAATAAAAAAATAAAAATATTTAGCAAATCTTATTTAAATTTGCAAATATAAATATTTTTTTTATTAGTAATTACAAGCTAATATTTTTTATTGAACATGAACAAGATATTTTCTTCAATATTAAAATAGTTATAATTTAATTGGTAATAAATGTGCTTTAAGCTTCTGTTCTGCTTTAGCAAAGTTGAATAATCTCTAAAATTTGAAACTTGATCTTGTGTAAAAACAGTTTATTAAATTTGGATTATGCTTTCTTTGTATTAAAAATGAATTTAAAACAAAAAAAAATTTTTATTTATTTATTCTTTTCTAATTTAAAAATTAAATTTGAAATAATTTTGATTCATAATAATTAATATTATTAGTGGAGGTTTAATAAATAGATCACAAAAATTCAAGTTAAAGAGCAAGTGCTTTAAATCAAGAAGATTGGTTATCTTTGAAATAAAATTATGATTTAAATAAATCATGAAAATTTAATTAATAAATTTTTAAATATTTAAATAAAATAATATAAAATGTTTTTTTTTACAATAATATTTTATTAAAAAAATTTAGCTTAGAATATTACTACTTTCATAATTATCTTTATCTTTATAAATATCATAATTTTGATAAGTTAATAGCTTATTAAATAAATAAAATTTAAAAAATAGAATTTTTTTAAAATATTTGCAAATTAAACATAAAAAACATAAAATTATATAAACCTAACAATGAAATACGATACATATTTATTAGCTTTTTAATAGGTTGAAAATTGATTTTTCAATTTTCAGGCATTAAGTTCTTTTTAAAAATATTTTTAAAATGATCTAAATAAAAAAATATTGATTTTATAATTATTTAGAAAATAAATAATAAAGATAAATATAAATGTTGGAATTAAAATGTTAATAATATATAAATATTTATTTATTTGTTTGTTCATATTAATTAGTAATCATTTTAGATGAACTATTTTTATGATGACTTGTTCAGACAATCTAAGTTAATCAGGTTTAGATTAGCAATATTGATAAATAAATAAATTAGAAAGATAAGATTAAAATTTATCAAAAACAAATTGATTTCATAAGTCTTTTAATAATTAAATAAGTAAATATTTATAGATAATAAATTAGATAAAGCAAACATAAAATGTCAAATCCTGTTCCTATAGTTTGTGACTCTGGTACTGGGTAATAAAGCTTATATTAAATATATAAGAAGCAGTTTAAATAGTTTAAAAACAAATAGTATTAGGTTTGCGAGTTAAATAACATTATTAATAATATTAAAAATTAGTTATATCAAGATTGGGTATGCTGGTGACAATTTTCCTAAGTATTCAATTCCTGCTATGATTGGACGTCCTATGTTGAGATTTAATTAAAAAATAGATGATGTTGAATTAAAAGTAATGTCTATTATTTTAAAATATCAATATTCCTAATCACGCTTTTAATCAGGAAATTATGATCGGAGATGAAGCAGCTCCTTATCAAGCAATGTTAGAATTAACAAAACCTGTAGAAGAAGGAACTGTTAAAAACTGGTAAGATATGGAACTTCTTTGGGATTATTCCTTTAAAAAAGTAAAACAATATTAAATTTATTGGTTATATTTATGAATAATTGGAGACTTATTCTCAAATTTGCAATATTTATGGCGACTTTTAACTTTATATGAAATTAATAGCTAGGAGCCGAAACAAAAGGAAATACTGTATTGATGACTGAGCCTGTCTTAAATCCTGCTTAGAATAGAAAGAAAATGGCAGAAGTTTTATTTGAATAGTTTAATTTTGGAAGAATGCAAATTGGTATCTAAGCTTTGCTTTCTCTTTATTGCGAAGTATGTATTTTATTTTACAAATTAAGGGTCAAACAAACAAAAAATAAATAAACAAGCATTATTTTAATGCTGCACCAAACAATTTTGATCAAAATAAAAGATTCAATAAAGAAAAGATATGCTTGTTATTTATTTTATCAAATTATTCCTTAAAATATATAGCTATAAGCTATTCCCTTATTCTTTTTAATAATTTTTACCTTAAAATTTTTTATCGTAAGGAAACAAATTTTGTTTGTTTCTTAACATTAATAAATGAATGAATGAAAGAATATGTTTATTTAAATGACTAAATTCATTTATTAATTTAATATTTTAAAATCAACCATATTGATTTTATTTATTAAATATTAAATAAAGGGTCTAACTACTGGTATGCTCCTTGACTCTGGTGATGGTGTCACACATTGTATCCCTGTTTATGAAAACTTTATTTTACCTCATCTTGTTAAAAGAATGAATATAGCCGGTCGTCATATGACTGAATATTTAATCAAGTTACTTTTCAGAAGGTAAAAAACTAATAATATAAGCAATGTTTTAGTGATTTCATAATTTTTATTTAAATAGAGGATATGCATTCAACTCAACAGCTGATTTTGAATTAGTTCGTGACATCAAAGAAAGACTATGCTATGTTAGCGGAGATTTAGTTGTAGATAGAAAATTGGCCAATGAAACTACATGCCTTGAAAAGGAATATCAACTTCCTGATAAATCATATATTAAATTAGGAAGAGAAAGATTTGAAGCTGCAGAACTTATATTCAATCCAGCCTTTGATGGTCATGCCTTCAATGGTGTTTCTCATCTTGTCTTTGATGCCATACAAGTAATCAAAACTTTTAAAATTATTTCTCTAACTTAATTAAAAATTGGTTTTAAATGATTAAAATATAATATTTAGAAACTCAAAAAATAAAGTTTTCCATACATTATTATTTTAAAGTTCATATAATAATTTAGTTCATTGAAATTTATTAATACTTTACTTGCTTAAATAAATAAAGGCATGCGATGTTGATTTACGTAAAGATATGTATCAAAACATCTTAATTTCTGGTGGTACTACTATGTTCCCTGGTTTCCCAACAAGACTTCAAAATGATGTTATCAGATTATACAAGACAAATATTTTAAAGGAAAGAAGCTACAAGGATGCAAAAATTAAAATTAAAGTTATTGTAATTAAGCTTATTAAATTTTAAAAATATTTTGATTTAAATATTGAATTAAATATTAATTAGGATCCTCCTATGAGAAAGTATAATGTATTTATTGGTGGTGGTGTTTTAGCCAAAAACATGTAAAATATTGACAAATATTGGGTAAGCAAATAAGATTATGAAGAATTAGGAAAAGAAAGAGTTATAACAAAATTCTAAAGTTCAGGATTCTTTTAATGAATTGAAATATAAGTTTAAACATATGAAATATTGGTGTTATATATTCTTATTTATGATATTAAAGTTATAGTATTTGAATTTTAACAAAACCTTTAACACTTTCCAATTCTCTTAAATGATTCAAATAATATATAAATTTTTTATTTTATCTTTTAATTTCTATTCAGTATTCTTAAAAATATGATTTTTTAACCATTAAAAATAATCTTTCTAATAAATCAATATCCAAATTGTTAATATGTTAAATGAATTAAGTAAAATATTCTCTAACTCTAAATTTAGCAATTAGTAACTTAATGATTTCAAAATTATTAAAATTTTAAAAGAGTTAAACAAAATATTCTGTCATACTATTAAATAGCTAAAATTAATGATATCAAATAAAAATTAAGTCTACATTTTTTACTTAAAAGTTTATAATTATGTTTATTTATTTATTCTTCTTAAAATTTTATTTTTTATATTTTCATTTAAATTATTTTATAAGATTAAGAATCAGTTTTTAGACTTAAATTTCATTTTTATTTGATAAATAAAAGTAGCAAAAACTTCTCAATTAAAAATGAAAAAATGATATCAAAACGCAATTAATTTTTTAGATATTTAAATATTGAGCAATATTCTATGAATTGGTAAATAAGGAATAAATTTTATTTAATTTATTTATGTAAATCTTCAAAGAAAAATAATTTATAACTCTCAAATTATTTTTTAGTTTTTCAAAGATGTATTTTTATTAAATTATCTTTCAAAAAAAATAAATTGTATTTAATTTAAGATCATTTCATTTTTTAAGTAAATTAACTAGAAAATTTTTTTTAAATATATTTAAATTTTATATGAATAATATTATTTTTTACAAATTTCTTAGATTAAGCTTTTTTTAACTTTGAAAATATAGATTTATTACTGAAGTTTTATATGGATTATTTAAATAATAGAAAGTAAATAAATTATAAAAATTAATGAATAAATATTGTTTCGTTAGCCTATTTTTTATTTTTAAATTTATCTTTATAGCTATTTGCATCTTTTGAAAATCTAATTGTAAAGCAATTCAAAAATCACATATTTTATTTTGTTTGCTTAGAATAAATTTATACTATTTAATGTATTACTATCTTAGTAATGATAATCTTCTAGTTAGCTTTAGTACTAATTTAATAGTTTTCATAAATAATGCGTATTGGTATATTAAATTATGTTTTTTCATAATTTTTTCTCTAATTTAACCACCTTAAGTACTTTTAAATAAGGACAATGATAGTAAAAGGACGATTCTTTGATTGAAAAGAGAAAAGGAGGAGAAAATCAAAAATAAAATTTTTTCTGCATCCTTAATCAAGAATACCAACAGTGTATATATTTCACAAATTAATATAATATTAAATGTTTTCTGTTTAATGCAGTTAAGATTTTTCAACCTTTGAAAAACTTAATTGAATTTTCTAAAAAGGTTTAATTTGAGATTATCTATTTAAAATCGATTTATGTAAACTAAAAGAAATTAATTCTTCATGAGCTAGCTTAACAAAAAAAAGTCTAGTAAAATGATTTAGTAATACTTAATATACATTGAAAGTTTGTAAATGTTACTCAGATAAAACATAAAATATTCCTAAATAAAGTAAATTTGATCTAAATATGTTAACTGTATCAATTTGTTGGTTACTTCATATTGATTAATATACATAATAATTTATTTTTAATAAAAATTGTGGCTCAAATGAAGTATGTATGAATGTATATTTTGTTATACCTTGAATCTTTCAATCAAAGCTAAAAAATACTTAAAAATTGTAAAGCATTAAATTTTTACCATCACAATAATTAATTAAATCATATATATTTAAATCATTTATCATACATAATTAGAAAGATTACTCAAAACTTAGAAATTAAGAATATAAATACAAGAACGTTTAGATATTTAAAGAAGATAGATATTTATAGCAGTAAAAATATTCAAAGTATACAGCTAAAAAATATTTACATTTAGCTTTAACTACTGCGAACAGTTATTAATATTATTTTAAATACGATTTAGGAATACTAAGTTTCACACAGAGCTTGATTCATAAGAAATGAATTATGAAAATTAAGGTCGAAGCTCAAAAATATAACAAAGGATTTAAGTTCCTAACATATAGCTTAATGAATAGGATTAGCATGTTTTTGATACTGATGGAATGATCTCGTCTCAGGGAGATTGGAGTTCTCCTATAAAAATTAACCAAGATACACCAAATTAGTTCATGTAGGAAACATAATAGAATTTGATTACTTCAAATGATGATAATTTAGATGCTATTTCAAAAAAAAGTAGTAGCAAAAACAACAACAACAATATCGATAGTGATATGGATTACTTAAAAAAAGTAAATTTAAATCTGTAAAAAAGCAAATCATAAATAGAAAAATAGGGCACAAAGGAAGAAGATTCAGGAAAAAATCATAAAATTAGCAAGCATAGTTAAAGTAATGCTTCAATAGCACCAAGTTTTGTATTAGATTAGTAATAGGAAGATTAATAGGCTGATTAAACTTAGAAGCATTTAATTCAAACTAACTAAAATTTTAATGAGCAATCAAAAACACAAAAGAATGTATTCGATGATGAAAATCCTCAAAGAAGATTAAGAGAATATAGAAGAACTTAATACAGAAATGTTTCTCTAAAACTTCTTGAAAACGGAACAAACGCATAAGCTTAAGAAGCAAATTGGAATACTCAAACTAATTTAGATATAGAAGGATTTTCACCAACATTAACATTAAATAACATTAACAAATCAAAGAAAAGTTTTTTGGCTTTAAATGTAAACGAATGTTCCACTCCACAGAACAATCCAAACAAAATAAAAGTTTATCCTCTTTTATCTAGTGGGGTAAGCACTGACAACTTGAGGAAGAGTTAAATAATAAATAGAGTTTCCTAACACAGCATTAATTTAGATAAAAATGGAACTTTTAATCAATATTTAGATTTTAATAAGGACAGACCTTTAAGCAAAGGGGATTAACTTCTCGGATTTAGCGCTTTTGAGGGTTAAAATTAATCTCAATAACCTTCTCTAATAAATGGAATGAATATTTAAGCTTATTATTCATTTTAAGGGCGTACAGGAGAAAACGATTCATAAGCTCATTACAATTAAAATGCTTCTAATTAAGTTATGCTTTCACAAAATTAGCAATATTAATCTATTGCACACAGTTAATTCTATGCAGCTCCTTTATAAACTAATAACAACAACATAAACAATATAAGAAATCCAAGTGAGTCTAATATAAATTGGAACATAGCTATTAAGATAAAGAATATTAGTAGATTTATTTCTAAAGTAAGAAGCCAAACAAGTGATTTCAATAAGAAAAACTTAAAGGATTTTCACCATAAGCTGATTAATGATGCTTCAGATAGTAAAATATATGCTCAGAGTGGTAGTAATAATACATTACCCTCATTGAATACTAGTCAAAAAATATAACTCCAATAATCTAATACTCTAGTGAGAGAAGACTCTTAAGAATAAAATTGTTTAGAGAAAGTTTTCTACAAAATGATGAATATTTTATTTAAAAGATGTTTATATTACCTAGATAATATAATAACAAGTGAAAAATCATATGTTTTCTCCCCTGAACAGACAATGATCGTCTTTTGGAATATTTTGTTTGGTTTACTATTGTTATTTTAGTTTTTTTATATACCATTCTCAGTAGGTTTTGATGTGGATATAGTTGATTAAACTAAATACAGATTGCTATTCTACATTATTCCCATAATAGCATGCTTTATAGACTCTTTGATCAATCTAAATCTAGGATATTACCTGCAAGGTTTAGTAGAAATAGATAGATTAAAAATCATCAAAAGGTATATAAAATAATTTCTGATAAGAGATATTATAAGCTTATTTTCTTTGATAATGACTTTATAGACAAATGTAAGTTATTATTCTTTGCTGTTTTTTGTTCGAATTCCTCAACTTTTCAAAATACTTGAAGAACATGCTGAATATTTTTAGTTAGAACAAAAATATTATAACTATTACTAATTGGGAAATTTACTTTTTATGATATTTTACATTTCTCACATATGTGGTTGTATATTTCATTATATCTCCTATGAAATTGGTGTTCAATCTTAGAATGATTTAAAGGATACATGGCTGAATGATGCAGGAGTTTTTTACAGTTCAATATTCAAAAGATATGTTTATTCGTTTTACTTTATAGTTATTACAATCACTACAGTTGGCTACGGTGATATAAAACCAATATCTGTATATGAAAAAATATACGTCACTATCATAACTATACTAGGTTCTTGTATATTTGCATATACAGTTAACACTGTTGGAACAATATTCTAGGAAATTGAACGCAAAAAAGCTTAATCAAAGTAACTATTTTAAATTAACTAAATATTATTTGAATTTTTCAATTTGATTTCATATTATTTTCAATATTTTTGTTAATAAAAATGGTCATTTAAAGTTGTAAATTATTTAATACATTTTTTATTTTATGATATTATAAAAGATAAAGAAAATATGAATTAACTAGCTACTTAAACTAGAGGTAGGTAAAAAAGGATATTCAAATCAGAGTATTAAAACATTTAGAGTTTAATTAGTAAAGAGAAGATGATGACCCAATTAGAGGAATGAATATACTTGAAAGTGTATCTAAAAACTTAAAAGAAGAGGTTTGTAAGGATTTTTATGGAAGAATATTATAATAGAGCAAAATATTTAACTTATAATTCTCATAGCAAGCACTTTTAGATGCTTCTTTGTAATTTAAAGAAAAAATTTTGAGCCCAGGTGAAATAGTTTTTAAAGAAGGCTAAGCTAATGATCATGACATCTTTTATATCTATAAGGGTAGCATAGATCTTTTCGTTTAAAAATCAAGAAAGTAGTAGAGAACTATTTTTACAGCCAAAGTAATTAATTCACTTTTAATATCTCCCATCATTTATTAAATTATTTTTTAATAATTATATTATATCTAAGAGTGGCATGTTTTTTGGACAAGGAGGTTTTTTTAGTTCTGCTCCCAGAGAATGCTCTGCCAAGACTATTACAGTGTGTCATTTACTTGTTTTAAGCTAGAGTGATTTCATAAAGACTCTCAAGAATCACACCGAAGATTATGTAATCAGAATTAAAATGCTTTTTAATTTGTTGTACTTAAAAAATATTTTTATAAAAAGGAAAAATTTTGTGTCATAAAAGATGAAATGAATATTTATAAAATTTAATAGCACATGACATGCTTTAGCTGTGGATAGTTTAACCATACTTTACTGAACTGCCACTTAATCCATTATAAAAGAAACAGAGATCTATTTCTAGCACGCTACAGATATAGTATCCCATAGGAAAGAAAAAAAGAAATAATACGTAAAAATTATGGAAAATCTTCATCTTGGAAATAAAGGTAGGTTGTGAGGTAGTCACTTTTTTAGCTCAGACTTGACGCACTCAATTTAATACTATAGAACCCATAAGAAATAACAGACAAACAATTTTTTAATGGAGTAAATAAGATCAAATATGAAAATGGATTTTTCTTCGCTGATTATGAAGAAGATGAAGAATTGGAAAAATTAAAAAAGGAAGGTAATTAATTAATTTATGGTTTTTTTTAGAATTTGCAAAATCTTAACAATAATTTTGTTAAAAATAAGGGTAAGAAGATGAAGACAAATCTAGTGAATCTTCTTCAAGTGATGAAGAAAATTTATAGAATAAATTAAGCAATTTAAGTGCAGCTAGTAATATTAGTAATGCTAGTTAGTTAACTTACAATCAAGATGATAGCTATAGATTTGGTAATAATGTACCACATTTTTTTATTCAAAACGAAAGCGCTGATATAAAGGCTGAGGAAACTTTATTAAACTCGATCAAAGAAGTGAACGAATTAGATGAAGAAAATCACGAAAATAAATATCAATCATAAAAAAGAAAAACATCTTAAAATCTTTATAAGTATTCTATTTAATCTTAAAATAGTAGAAGACCTCATGCTTAATCAATTGATGATGATAACCATTTATATCATTTTCATAAATAATAAACTCATAAAGAAAGTAGTACTTCATCTGCAAGAAAAATTTAATCTTAGAGATCGTTGTAATTAGTAACATATTCTAAAAGATCTGAGCTATTAGAAATTGCAAATCAAAATTCCTTAAAAACATCTCATGATTCAAACAATAAAAAAGATAAGTCTAACAGCAGTTTAGTTTAGCCTGTTTTTATTTCTAAAGATTCTCCTTAGACAAGCCAACGTTAAAATAGTGACTAAAAAATAAAATTATAAGGAAAAAATAAGAATTAAGCTGATAAAAAAGGTATTTCAGATTTTTTATTCAACGACTAAAATGTTTACTCATCAGATTCATCTTCTCTTTCTGAACTATCGGCTGATGAATTGCATAATAAAATTAAACAGAACAATTAAAATATAAGTAAAAGTCATTAATTCTAGATGAATGAATAAAAAAAATAGTCTAACAATCATTAATTCACCTCATAATTTGCATAGATAAGACTTAAAAAAAAAAAAAATAGTGAAGACTCAATAGACACACCTAGTTTGTAAGAACTTGATTAAGAGCTTGTTATATAAGGGAAAAAAACATAACCGACAATTTATAAGCATAAAGATTAGATAAAGCTAGCTTAAAAAGTGAGTACAGATGAAAAAGCTACTTAACCATAGCAATTAATTAAATAACATACAAAAAATAAAATAATTCTAAACTCAAATGAAAATAAGAAATTTGTTTTTGAAAATATAGTTATATCAAAAAGAGGTTCACAGCTATCCTAATATAATGGATAGAAACCACTAAATGATGCTTAAAGCTAAGAATTAAAATAAAACGAGAGAATTAATTTAGCTGATGATTCAGACGAAAGTATTTTACAAGTCTAAAGCAGCTAAAGGTAAAACAAATCAAATAAGTAGATCATAATTTCATCTTAAAGCTTAAATGATGGAGAAAGAAACGAAGTAATTCAATCGTAAAGCAAAGAAAGATAGGATTCTTTAGAAAAGAAAAATGAAGAGAACGAAATCCACCCAAGAGGTAGACATAAACACTAATTTTTATTTAAAAGAAGAAGTTAATCTGCAACTAAGACAAATATTTAAGAATTCAATTTGAATAAAACGTAAAGAAGGTCGCTAATTTTTGATGACGAAAAATCTGTTTAAGAAACATAAAATATTGAATAACAAAATTTAATTCAAAAAAATCAATTTAAAATATCTGTAAAACACCAAAATGGATAAACAATATAAAAATCCAAAAAGGGGAATATCCATTTAGAGAGTTTAGAATAGAAAAACAATTAAGAAAATTAAAAAAGAAAAATCAGTAACTTGTCTAATGGTAGAGGCTAGAATTTAATATCTTAGCAAGAAAAGAACTTGGCAAAAAAGATAAATATGCCTTTATTGAATCCAAATGAGTAGTTTACTATAAAGTAGAAAAAGAGAATTAATGTTGATCCTTTGTCACTTTTAAATCAATACCAACAATTTTCCAAATAAGAAAATGAAAAATTAATAGAATAAATAAAAGCAATTTTAAGCAAAAATAATAACTTTTAGAGCTAGAATGCAACACCTGTTGCAAAATAAATAAAAAAATTAAATTCAATTGATTAAAATAATGTTTAAAAGTAAAATTTAGAGAGCAAATCATCCAATAATCTGAACAAATTGTAAAGTATAGAAGAATACCCATAACCCATTTCTGAGGTTGAACTAAATGATAAGATGATTTATAAAATTAAAACTAACTTAAATTACAGTAGTGATTTATTCTAATATGATTTTGACTCAATGAAAATTTTTAAATACTATTTTCCACATAATAATTACTCTAATGTTGTTTCTCGCCTCAAACCAAAAAAATTAAAAAACGCAAATAGAAACACAATTAAACGCAGAACAGTCATAAATTCTTAAAATTTCAATAACCAATAAAATATTTGATAATAAAAAATAAATTAATTTTGGTTTTTATTTAATTAATAATTAATTATGTAAATATATATTTTATAGTTTTTCAAATTAATATTTTTATTATTTTTGATTGCATTTGTGTAATAATACCACCAAACATATTTAATAAAGGTATCTAGAATAATTTATTCTTTAATTTGTTTGAAAAATATTTAAAAATTAGCTTACATTTATGAAATTTTCGAAATTATAATTAATAAATACTTACATATGCAGAAGTAATAATATAACTGTCAAATATATTTATAATGCGCATCTTTAAATGCAAATAAAATATCCCCTTTGATTTACAGTTAGAATATTTGTGTAAATTTCATTTTGTTTAATAAAACTTACTAATATTTATCTAAAAAAAAGAGATAACTTAAATTAGATATTTTTTTTAAGAAATATTTGGTACGAATAAACTAAACTAAATTAGATGGATAGAAATTAAAAAATATTTAGATATATGAACAAATTGCAAAAATTTATTATCTAGAATTATTATTTTTAGTACTTATTATGAACTTAATTTTTTGCTTAAGCATTAAGAGCTAATAATAAATCTAAAATAATATGAAACATACATAGATTTTGGATGAATAATATCTTTTAATATGATATTTAATATTTTGATTAAATTAAATAGATGAAAATTATAATGTTAGCTTACATAATTTTATTTAATTAAATTATTAAAGTATTTTGAAAGCTAAGAATGAAAAAATTAAAGGTTATTTAGTTATATATTGAGTGTAATTATTTTTATTTTAATATTTTTTCAAATATTAGTGGATATGACTTTGATTTCAAAAAATACTTACATATTACAAGAATCTAAAGCGAAAAGTATTTAAATATCAAAATTTTAGTTTTTGTGATACTAATAAAGATTAGTAATATTTAACAGTTATTATCTATTAATCAATCAATCAATCAATCATTGATTTTTGGAGATATATTTAAAAATAGTACAGATATAATGATTAAGAAAGTTAATTAATAACTTAAGTCAAAACAAAGAAAGAAGTGATAGTAAATAAATTTTGTTAGCTCATAAATATATGTATTTAAGTAAATAAATATATTTTTTTCAAAGCATTCTAATTTACTAAATCAAATCTATATTTCCATTTATTTAAAGGATTTTATAAGCTTATATTAACTTTAGAAAACCAATACTTTACATTTTCAATATTTGATTTTTTCTTAGTAAAAGCAAAGTTGTAATTAATTTTACGAGTACGCAAACAATTTTTACCAACAAAAAGAAGTAAAATATTAGATATAATTTAGCACAAACAAACAAGCAATATAAGAAGGCTTACTAATATTTCACTTACTTATAAGTAAAAAGAGTTTCTGTCAATATTAGATACAGTTTTAGGTAGAGTTTTAATTTCAATTACCGAATAATTTCTATTCAGCTGCAATTGAGAAACTCTATTGAAGTCTATCCCTCAATATTATTGTTAATATTTGCTTTTTTATGAGTGAATTTTTTAATGTATCATCAACGATAAATAATGAGCTTGGTCTTTTAACATCTAGAAAGTAGGAGAGCGATTAATTGATCTCGCCTAGAAATAGAGACGATGGCTATTTTTCACCTAATGTTACAATATTTAGCTAACTTGAAAACATGAGAAAGATTGAAACTCAAGGGATTACTGAGCAACCGTTTTCTACGAAATCGAAAGATGATTAGATTCTTTTAAGGGATAGTAACAAAAAGCCTAAATTTATTAAAAAAGGATTTAAAATAAAAAAAGAAACATCTAATAGCAATATGGAAAGTTTAAATTATCTCAACTAAAGCAGCTATGATTAAAGTCCAGTAAGAATTAAGGGTTTAAATGCATCTTCAAGCGACAAAGAAGAGCTAGAAGTTCATTAAAAAGAGAAATAAGATATAAAAAGAACTTCGACTCTGTCTAATATCCTATTAAATGATAAAGTTGTAACACAAGATAAAACCACTCTTTCAAATATAAATTAGAACCAAGCTAGCACGACTCAGGTTTTCTAGGCTAATGATGATATGTAATAAAATCAATTAGAAAATAAAATTAAAAGTAATTAAGATAATACGGATTAAATGTAATAAGATATTTAATAGAACGAGTTTAATATAAATGGAAATAACAAACCTAACGCTAACGATGATAATAATAATAATATTAACAACAATGGCACTTCTAATAACAATATTAATAATAACAATAATAATATAAATAACAGTAGTAGTTAGGGAAATGGTAATAGCAACCCAACCACCAGTTAGAAGTAGATAAATGATTCGATGGAATTTTAAAGGAAAATAAGCAATTACTCTATTAAAACATAGTAGTACAGTAATACGCCTAAAATGGTTAAAAGAAATGCTCGAAATAAAAAAAATTTAACTTGCGCTACAACATTTTAGCAAAGTCCGCCTGGTGGAACACCTTTAAAAGGATCTAAAAATAGAATTTTCCCTTAGATAAACAATAGTTTGCAAAATTCTCCTTATTTAGGTTCTTCATCGATTCCATAATAATCTTAAAGAGAGATTCAGATGATTGGTCATTCTAAAAGCATGTATAATTCATTAAAAAAATCTTAAAAATTTGCAGGAGATTCGCAGTAATAACTTTAAACAAATTAATTTCTTGGGTAAAGAGATGCTTTATCTCCTACTTAACAAGGAGGACAAATTATGTTTTCAAACGGGACTCTTAATACTTAATTTGATAGAAAGTAAACTCTGATTCAGCCTTATGCAACAAACACAATGAATGAGTTGCTGATTCATAATAGTTAGAGTATTAACTTTCTTAAATAGTGGAATATTGCCACTAGAGTGAAAATGATTAACAGGTTTTATCAAAAAGTTAAAAACTAAACAAGTCAAATCAACTTTAAATACCTTTAGAAGAGGCATTTTGATTTAATTGATGATTCTGCTTGCTACATGTTTGATGAAAGCAACAATCGCTTTAATTAATAATAACAAACAATAATCACTAAAATAATATAATTTTTTTACATTTTAACAATAAAGATCACAAAGCTACCTGTATTATCCCCTAATGCTTAATTAATTCGGTATTGGCGATCTTTTTACACTTCTTTATTGCTGCTATAAATTTTTCTGATCCCATTTTAGATAAGTTTTAGTATTATATTTAACATTGGAAATTATGCCTATTTACTGTATTATGCTCCTTTAATAGCTTACTGTTTTAACATATTTGTTTGTTTAAACACAGGATACTATGAAATGGGTATTGAGTAGCTAAACAGATCAAAAGTCTTCAAAAATTATAAAAATCAATTTTTAATTGATATTCTAGTTATTATATCTTTTATTCTTACCAACACTCTTGAAGAACCTTTTTTTAATTTACTTTTTTATTTGAAGTTTTACCAATTGTATAGTTATTTTTAGGATATTGTAGAATACTATAAAATCCATGAAAAATTCTCTCATGTATATACTTTAGCAAAGCTTATTTTTCTTATTCTTTTTGTAGCACACTCCTGTGGTTGTATTTTTCAGTTCATATCAATATAAGAAGTAAATGCAGGTAATCAATAAACCTGGCTTATTCAAGCAGGGATATATGACAATGGTATTGCTGAGAGATATCTGAATTCTTTATATTTCTCCATTATTACAATGATCACAGTTGGTTATGGAGATATAAAACCTATAGCTGACTCTGAAAAAATGTTTACAATATTTATGGCTCTTTTAGGTTCAGTAGTATTTGCATACGTAGTTAATACAATAGGAGGTATTTTCCAGGAAATAGCTTAGAAAGAAGCAGAGTTTATGTAAAACACTTTATATTGAATAAATTAAATTATTTTAGATTTAACTTTTATAACAATATAAATATAAAGTTTCAACTAAAATCAATATCAATTAATTTTCTAAATCTAATTTCAATTTAGAAAACAATGATTATTTCTTAATTTTGAAATATTAACTACCATAAACAAAAATTTTCTTAATTTACTGATAAGTTTTTTGTATTTTTGATTCAAAAAGATTTTACTAGAAGAAAAAAAAAAATTTGTGGTCATTATTCTGATTTAATTTAATTAGAATTCTTTTTAATTTCCAATCAAATTCATAATTGAAGATTAATTTAATACATTAATTAAAAGAATTTATTAGTAAATAATTTAATTAATATTTAATTAGAAAAAAGAAATATGACTTGTCTATCTACATGTCAACTAGATAAATTAAATAAGATATCTAGCTCAGGGTCATGAAATTTTTAGATTACAAAAGAATGCAAGAGCAAGATAATCCTATGAGAGGAGAATATATTTTAAATTAACTCTCTGAGAATTTAAAAGAAGAAATTCAAAAAGATTTTTATGGAAGAATTTTATAGTCAACTAAAATTTTCTCCTCAAAATTTTCTTAATAATTTCTGAACTAAGTTTCTCTTCATTTTAAGGAAAAAGTGCTCGGACCTGGTGAAATTGTTTTCAGATAGCAATCTTATGGCGAAAATGATATATACTTTATACTTAAAGGCTAAGTTGAAATCTTTCTTTAAAGTGGTTAGTAAACTAGGCACATATCATATGTTAAGGTAAAATTATTTATTTAATTATTTTTTGATCTTAATATGACTGCTTTATTAAATCAACTAAATTAAATATTTAATAAATTCATTTAATTTAATTAACACAGGCAGGTTAGTTTTTTGGATAAGGTGGATTTTTTAGCTCATCTCCTAGAGAAACTTGTTGCAAGAGTACATCAACTACTCACGTTATCGTCTTGCCTTAAAATAAATTTATTGAAACTTTAAAAGATTTTCCTTAGGACTTTGTAAATAATATTCTTATATCTATTATTAAATAATTTTTAATAATTCATTTAGGAAACTTATAGCCAAATTAAGGATGAAATGGTGTTATACAATAAAAAGGAAAGTATGGCTTGCTTGAGTTGTGGAAAATATAATCATTCTTTAAATAACTGTCATTTCATTCATTATAAAAGAAATAGAGATTTGCTTATCGCTCGGTACACTTACAGTGTTCCAAATGAAAGAAGGGCTTATAAAAGATATTCTAAAACGTTTTAAACTTTAAAAATGAATTTTAATGTAAGATAGGACTTAAAATAACTGCGTCAAAATGTCATATAGTAGACCATAGAGTAACATTTAGAATAATAAGCCTTAGACGATTCTGATAGAGATGAGATTATTTAAAACAAAGTTTAACTTACAAACATTTTGTCTGATAAAAAATTCTTTTAAAAAGCTAAAAAAATAAAATATGATGATGAAAAAAATATTATTGCATATAGTGATGATGAAGATGTAGAAAGTTAATTAGGGGAGATCACTGAATGCAGCTACTACTCATCTGAAGATGAGGAGTCAGGATCTATAAGCGAAAACGAAGGAGATGAAGATGATGATGGTGATGATGATAGTGATATTTAGGAAGCTGATATTGATTAAGAAGAAAGTCATACTCAAAACGAAATTTAAGCAGATTTGATTCAGTAGAGAAAAGATGAGGATGCACTTAATTCTATTCAAGAGGAAGGAGAAGACGGAAACGATGAAAGCAAAAAGAATTCTCAAAGTAGAAGCTCATCTGTTAATATTTATAGAGAAAAGTTAAATTAATTTATGATTAATTTGCAATAAGAAGGAAAGGTTAACCAAAGTGATAACTTTTCTAAGAATAATGAACAGAAATTAGGAATTTCAGAACTTTCTTCATCCAACAGCAGCAGTTCTAGTGAGAGTAATTCTTCTGAGTAAGAAAATTAGGTATTGAAACTTTAGGTCTCAGGTGATGAATCAGACTAATCTGTTCGCTTAAAGTCTGAGTCGTCTCCAAACAATGCAGGTGAATAAAGTTTCTAAGTAAGAGAGAAGTCAAAAACAACAATAAAATAAAAGAAAAAGAAGAAAAACATAAATAAATAAAGTTCTTCCAATAAAAGTATTGGAAATGGAGATGAAATAAAGCTTAGCAGAGAAAATAGCAACAATTCTTCTTTAAAGCGTGATTACGATAGACAGTTAAGTAACGATTAAAGTTAGAAGAACATAAATTTAAAAGCAAAAAGTAAGAATAACAGTAGTGGCTAAGACTCGGTTAATAAGCTAACTGACAAGGGTTCTGCATCTGCAAGCTCAAAAAAAAAGAAAAGAGATAAATAAAATATCACTTAATCTAGTAAAACAAACTCAAATAATTAGAGTAATGCCTCTTCAATATAATCTAATTCCTAAATTATTTAGCAGGTGCTGAAAGGAAATATTTTAAAATCATTAAATAATAGCAACCAAAGCTCGTTCATAAATAATACAAATAGCATTTCTTTTGGGAATACCAATAGTCTTTCGTTTGGTAACGCTAGCAATAATAACAATAAAAAAAAGAATCAATAAAATCTTAATTTACAAGTGCTGAATTCTCTAGCTCAACTGCATAAAAAGGAAGGAATCTTAGATGAAACTAATAAATCTAACAAACAACAAAATAAATTTAAGCTTTAAGATCTCAATGCTTCTTAGTCAAAGAACAACAGTGTCCAGCAAAACTCTATTACATTTGCTGCTATTCTCTAAAGTTAACTACCTTAACTTAATTTAAATTTTGGTAACCAAGAATTAAATAGTCTGTATAATGATAATTTTGAAGATTTCAATGCAGATTAGAGCTAGTATAATAATTTTTTGATGATATAACCCCAAAGCAATAGTAGCTAAAATATTGAATAAGAGTAAAGTAACTATAATACCAGTAATATCTTAAAATAAGATTAATCTGAAATGAAAAATACACCTAAGAAAGTAACAAACAAAGGATTCTTCTAATTTGGATCTTAAAATTATGATGAAGATGATTAGAACCAATAACAATCAAATAAATATAAATAGCATATAAATACTCCTAAAAATTAAGTTAAATAAGATTATAACTAATATCCTTTAAGTTTTAGCAACCTCAATAAAATAAGAAGTTAAAGCTCTGCTAGTGCTCCAAACTAAGCTTTAGATAAGCTGAAAAAGAAATCTTTACTCAGTCGTGAGCAATCATACAGGTCTCTTCAAAGCAAACTAAGCAGGGAATCTAAACTTCTTTAAGTATAAGAAGTTGAGGAATTGATTTAAAATAAAAAACCTATCATGAATTAATAACTGGGAATGTCTAAATTTTCTGCAGCTTTGTCAGACTGGAATGCGACTCCCATCCTCAAGCACATAAATGGACTTATGGGAATAAACAATACAAATAATTATGATTAAGAAAGTAGTATCAGTTTAGGAGGTTTTAATACACCAGGTAGAAGTATAAAAGGACTTTAGTAAGGGAATAGGAACAGTATTTTTAATACAACAAGCTATATGGATGAAAATAATGATGACAACTAATCGATTGTATCTCCTTACTAAAATATAAACTCAAGCAATAATAGTCAGCAACCTTAGTAACTCTTGTAACAATCTATGTAAAATAAAAAGAGTAAATTTGCTCCCTCTTAATAAGGTTAATAAAAAAGACCTTCAATCAATCAACACTTAAATGAAAATGAAAACCCTTCAGAAAATTAAGCACTTTAGTCTTAAAATGACTCATCTTTACCAAATATCAATATTGAGAGAATTAAAAAAGAGCAAGAGAGAATAAGAAGAAACTCTCCTTTTTTAATGAGCAAGCATCCTTTAAGTGGTATTCTGCCTCCAAGAAACAGCATTAAAATTCAAAATGATAAAACCAGCTAAAAAGGAAGGAGGAGTTCAATATACAGCAATTTTAATCAAATGGCTCCTTTACAAAACATTTCTAACAATAATAATTAGAATAATTTATAATCAAATTCCAATTTCTAACAAAATTTTAACAACGAAGAACTAATACAAAAGCTAAAAGACTTATTTTTACTAAGAAATTTAGACGACGAAAAGAGCAATGAAGCTCTTACTAAAAGAGGTAGCACTCTGTATGGCTCTGAATAAAATTTCTATATGTAGCATCCACTATATGACTATAATATGTTTTTCCTCCATGATTTTGATGTAATGAAAGAGTATGAGAAATATTTCAAGCATAACAACTTTTCTGAAGTTTTGAAAAAAGTAAAGGGTAAATATAAAGTTATTAGAAGAAGCCAAAAAACTCAAATGTTGAAAAGAAAAAATCTATTGGTTCATACATATTCTATATCAGGAATTGGAAAAATTGATTGAAAACTATTTTAATTAAATTGGATATATTTAAAAAAATAAGTTAATCATAATAAATAAAAATATCTTAAAAAATTTATATCAAATCTTTCTTTTATTCTTAACAATTTTACAATTCTGTTTTATATTAGTTTATTTATATAAATTATATACTAAATTTAATTTAGTATTTTTCCAAAAAAATATATATATATGGCTTACTTTATTTCTAAATTCAAAAAATAATTCAAATAAATTTTATTTTATAATTCTTAAATAGATCTAATTATTTATCTTAAAACGTCTAAAAAATTTGTGATTTTAAACTTGATTATCTTATTTTTTAATTTTAAAAATTTTAAATAAATCTGGTTCTTCTTTTTTTATAAATTTATTCAATATTAAATAAATAACATATATTTAAAAAGTATTTTGCAAATAAATTTATTTAAAAATTATTTAATTTTTGAAAATCAAAAATTTTTTGTAAAATTTCTTAATTATTATCCAATTACATTAGAAAATTGTAAAAAGCTAGAATACTTCTTTTAGAATATAAATAATACTTAATTTACATCATTTATTTAATTTATTGAAGAAATAATTTAATAAAAAAGTAATTAATTAATGATATGTTGTACAACATTACCATTTATATCTTCAGAATTTTGTAAATTAATTATAATAGTTATCAAAAGCAACCAACTATTTATTTTTATTATTAATTATTTAAAAATGATTTTTATTTATCATAATATTTTATTGATATAAAAAAGTACAAACTCACTATCTAAATCAAGGAATGTATCAAAAATTTAAATATTTTTCATTAGTATTTAAGAATTAATAATTCAGTAAAATGCATCTAAAATTTGTAAGAATTTGTTTTTTAAATATTTTTTAGAAAATTTATTATTGATTGTTTAAAAATATCAGGATATTTAATTAATTAATTAATTAACTATCTAACTTTAAGTAGAAAATAATTAAAAAGAAATTTAGTTATTCATAAATAATATTTTTTGCAAACACAATTTTATTTAAGCAAAATATAAATTAGAAGTCACTAGCTAGCTTAATGGAACAATAAAATAATGATGGCTAAAATAGTTCTCCTATAGGTAGCAGTATCTAGTTAAAGGAAAAGCCTTCTTAATTTTATAAAAGCAAATTCAACTTAGAATAAAATAGCAATTCTAATTTACAAATTAATAATTTATAAAATGATCAAAGTGGATAAACAAAGGTTGATAATCACTAAAATAAAATGACTCATTTGTAAATATAAAAATCAGATAAGATAAACATATAAATTCCTTTATCAGCAATGAGTTAATCTGCAATTCCACATAAAGAAGAAGAGCTTGATATTAAGGTTTTGCAGTGGATATATTTCATGTTTTGCTTTATTTCAATTCAAAACAACTTTAATACAGGAGTTATTCCTGCTTCATTGATCCAAATAGAATCAGAGCTGCATTTAACGTTTAGCTAATAAGCAACTCTTGGTAAATTTATCACAAATTGATTTATAAATAAAATATAGCAACAAACTTTGTTGATTTTTGGCACTTTGCTTTAATTTTGGAATGTTTAGTTACAAGTTAATAAATTTAAAATTAGAAATTATCAGCAATTTAAATAGATGAATAAATCAATTCGAAATGAATAAAGATAGATAGATATAAATAATATTAAATTAATTTATTAGTTAATTAATTAATTTCTTACTTTTCTAAATTCTACTTTTAAAAAATGAAAAATTAGGATCATTAGAATATTTAGGTATAAGCATAGCTACTTTTATGGTGCCCGTTTCATTAAATAAGTATAATATTAATAAGATTATATCTGTAACTGTTTTCTTTAATGGATTGTTTAGCCTCATAATTTCTATTACTTCTAGTATCATACTTATATATGTGTGTAGATTTGGATAGGGTTTCTGTGCAGCCTTTGGATGCATATATGCTCCTATTTGGATCAATAATTTCAGTCCTGAAGACAAAACAGCTACTTGGATGGGTTTGATGCAAGCTTAAGGCCCTTTGGGGGTAATGGTTGGGTATGCAATAGCAGGTTTGCTAATTACACTGACTGGATATGAAAAGAGTTGGAGAGTTGGATTCGCCATATTATTTGTTTTAACAACAATTACAGCAATTTTCTTTGCATTTTAAGACAATAAATATGTTGATATTTTATATGAAGAAAAGCGATTATAAGAAAAAGGAAATCCAGCTGGAAGTGCATCAGTTACAAATAGAAGGCGAATTAGAAGTTCTATTATTGATAACGAGGTAAATTTTTATATTTATTTAATTATAAATACATAAATAAATCTATTTTTTTATTAGTTTGATTCAGTTTCAGTTGTAAGTAATTCGTCTTCATATGCTTAAGGGTGTTTAGAAATATTTAAATAGTTCGGAGTAAATTAAATTATATATTTAAAATTTCAATAATTCTTCTATTTTTATTAGCCAATTATTCAACATCACATATTTATTTATGTTTGCTGTGGGCTCTGTGTGTTATTCTACATAGTTACAGGAATTCAGTATTGGGCAACAGAATATTTCATTAAATTCACAAAAATATAAGATAGTATTGCTATGGCAACTTTTTGTTTTATAGCAATAACTGCTCCTGTAACTGGTGCTCTCTTAGGTGGTAAAATCTCAGATTCACTGGTACATTTGCTTTCCAAAAAGCAAACTTAAAAGCTTTTTGATTCTTAAATAATTGTATTCATAAAAAATTTCATAATATAAAGGGTGGTTATAAAGGCAAAAACAGGATAACAGCATTGAAATTTTGTGTTTCAGTTGGATTAGCAGCCTTCATATTTTCTATACCTATAGGGTAAATCATTTAATATTAAAATAATATTTAATAAATTTATTTACAAAAATAGAGATTTAATTATTTTACTAAAATCATAAAGCTCAAAAACTCAATAAATAAATTTATTTTTTATCCTAGTTATAATAAAAAATTGAAACAAAAATTTTTCTAAAATAGATATTTATTAGTTAATTTAATTCTTCTTAAAAAATTAAATAACAATAAAAAAATTAAAATGAAAGAAAAGAAAATGTTTTGATAAAAAGTATTAATTAATTTATGAATTGAAATTACTTATTTAGAAATCCAGAAAAATAATCGTTTTAAATTTGAGAATATTTATTTATTAATTATTTTTATTAAATTATGTTAGTTATGTAACTGAGTTTTGGCAAGTAGCCTCTCTTGTTTGGTTTTTGCTTGCATTTGGTGGTGCTCTTATTCCAAATGGAACAGGAATATGTTTAAGTTGTTTACCTAAGCAATATCACTCAACTTGTAGTTCTTTATCTTAACTTATATATAATGTAGGAGGATACTTTATGTGTCCTTTAATTTCAGGTACAATTATGGATTTATTTGATGATAAGCTAGAAGGTCTTATATGGGGTTGGAGGAGTGTACTTATTATGGGTATATTTGGTCCTATATTGTTTGGAAAAGCTCTTTATAATGAGGCCAGAGCTATGGCGGAAGAAGATAATAAAGCTTAAAATGATAAATAACAAAAAGCATTAGGCTAAGTACAGGGCGAAAAAAGGACTAAGGCATGGAGTGTCTTGTGAAAATGAATATTAATTAATTAAAAATTTATTCTATATTAATGAGTTTCAATTAGATAATTTAGAATTAATTACAATAAAAAATTAATCAGTAATAATTTATTTATTTATTTTTTTTTTGAAATGGTGAACCACCTTATCTTATAATATTAATTTTTATATGATAGATTACAAATAAATAATTAATTAATTTTAGATTTCAGATTTCACTTAAATAGTCATGATAACTATTTTTGGAGTTTTTAAAACTAAAATTTCTACTTTTATATGTTTAATTTAGTAAATAAACTTAATTCAGTGAAAGAAAATAAATCTAAGAGCTAAAAAGGTGTTGTGTATTTATTTGTATTTATTAAAGGAGCTGATAGGTAAAATTTCAAAAAAAAAATAAATTGCTAACAAATATAAAAGATAACTACAAGAATATAATATTCAAATTGATAAAATAAAAATGATTAGTTAATTATCATTAAACATGGTTTTTATAATTATTGTTAACCTAATTTTAACATAATGCTAAAATTTAATTACTTCTACTTATCCATTTTAGTAGTAAATAACTGTTGATTAATAAAATTTATAATACAAATTATAATTTGATAAGACTTACCAATAAGAAACATTAGTAATTAAGATGAGTTTAGGCTCAGATGCTTAATAGACAGGTTTAGTGGCATGCGTTATAGCAAGTTAGTCAGATTTTATTTCTCTTAGCTCAGTCATAAAATACTTACAAACTAATGAATTCGACTCAGACAAAAAAGGAAGTTTTTAGACCTTTTTTATAGATTATGAAGGATGCTCTATGCAAGATTAAATATAATATATATAAATTAAACCACCTCACTTAAATAATTCTTACATGTTTTAAATTCTTAATTTATCATAAAGCTATTAAGTATTTTAGGTTGAGATTGATATTTTCTTTTAAAGCAATTCTATTTGTTTAGACCAATGCTCTATCGATAAATATTAGAACTCCTAAAATACTTGCCATGAATCTCTTTGCCAATGCTCTGATAATTATATTGGCCAAAGATGCCAAGTTCATGTAATTTAAAATATTTATATTTGCTAAATACTATTTTATTAACTTCAATTTTAATCAAATTAAGGTTAATAAATTTTCTGATGGAGAATAAAATATTTAAGTTGAAGTAAAAGGATTTTCTTGGGTTTTTTATGAATTAGATTTATTGAAAATTCAAAATGAATATACTCTCACAGTAAATGATCTGAATCAGTAAATAAAATACTCTATTATTGAATCTGGATTATCAAGTTATTAAGTTCCTAGCCTTTACTAAGGCATCAATGTTATTGATTAAGCAGGAAGCTATAGGTTGTAAAATGATATAATATAAGACTATTAAGCATTTGCATCAATCAATAAAAGTCAATAATTGTCTTTCCTTATTTCTTTTTATAACCCAAGTAATCAGACCTTAATGTTTTCCTTTTAATTTAGCTCATAACTAAATTAGGATGATAGTAGTGATGGTAATTAATAAATAATAACTTAAATTATTTTAGGCTTTGTCCATATATTAAGAAATTTCAAAGAATTAAGTTATTTTTAATTAAAATAATTTTTTAAATTTAATCATATTAAAAATAAATAAAAATTTTATTTACACACTTGTCAAAGAATAAAATTTAGAAACTATAGTACTTACAGTTAATTTTTTCAAAATAATATCATTAATTTGTATTTAATTACTTAAAATTTGAAAATAAAATAGAAAAAGTAAAAACGAGAAACATAATTGTGATTGTAGTTTGTTTAATTGCGAGTGCAGTATCTATACCAATAATATACAGAGTTGTAAACAATTTTTATGCATCAAAATAAGATATAATTATACCTTCGTAGCCTGCTCCTGTTTCTCCTTATAATATCCACTTAGTCTAAGCATAACTGTAAAGCAAAAAAACTTTCAAATTTTATTTTTATATTTCATTAAAAATAGGCAAAAGAAAAATGGGAGTTTAAGTAAAGAACTAATTGAAAAATTCATGCCAGCTGTTTTCTATGCAGATCTTTTAACAAAATATCAAAATTTGAAAGAATTCAGCGAATGTGTAAATTTTTATTTTAAAATATATTTCTCAAATATAAATTTTTAGATGATTTGTTTGACTGACTTCGAAGAAAGCAACCTATGTAGAATGACTGTATGCTATCATTTATTTCATAAGAATTGTTTGGAAAGCTGGTTAGAGCTACAAGATAGCTGCCCTTTTTGCAGAAAGGAGCTGAATAAATAAACTCTAGAAGAAAATAAACTCTAGTCCTAAGAAAATCCTTATATAAATAGGATAGTTTAATCTTCTAATATTCAAAAGACATTATCATAAGATAAGAATTAAGAGTATCCTTCATTTAATGATCTAGGAAATAGAAAAAATTCATAACAGTTTAGTGAAAAAAGTAAATAAAAATTATTTATATATATTTAGTTTCAGATATTAAATAAATTAATTTTATTAAATTTTTCCTGCTTTAGATGAATGATCAATTAAAAATAAGTCTCTTTTAATAGGCTTACATATTCACTTTTTGTTTTTAATTATAATTAGCTAATTTTACTAGCCAAGAGAATTCTCATTTTTTATCACAATCACCTTCATCAGTATCTAAAAACAATAAAATCGATTACAATCAAGCAGATTCAGTTATTTAAGATGAATAGTAAGATAATAATTTTTTTAATGTCAAAAACTGTAACAAAAGTAGTGAAAAAGAATAAGAGAATTGCAGTTTAAGATAATCTAGAATAAAAATCTCTTTTCTTTAATAACTAGAGGGAGATGAAGTAGGTATATAAAGCAATCCATAATAACTGAATACATTATTTTGCGAAAATTTTGAAAAAATTAAGTAATAATAGAACAGAATAAGTAGGCTTTCAATAGATAACGAAGAAATAATGATAGAAGAGCCTAGTAAATTAAATGAAGAAGATAGTTCATGTAAAGCATTCTCAAAAAAAAACAATGAATTTTATATTTAATAAAACTCTAATTAGAATGAATAAAGTTTAATATAAAAATAATCAATTGAAAGTACTTAATAATCAACTTTCAATAAGTAAATGAGTATATATCAGATTACTTAGCAAGATCATTCCAACCGAATATAAATAAATAAAAGCTTTAGTTAATTAAATAAGTCTGAACATATATAATAAATCAATCAAAATCAGTAAAGGTTTATTTAGCATTCTGCTTAATTCAATCCTGTTAATAAATAAGCTAAATAGCTTCTAAATAGTAAAAGTAATTTAGAAATTAGTTAAAGTAAAGAATCTAAACATAGCTAAGATTAGATTATAATTAAATGAAAATAAAATTTATTAATTAGCTTATTATTTCATTTATTGTTTTGAGTTTTCAGGATTCTAAGTGTGTCTTGATTCAACATTTTTAATAAATAATTTTATTAATTTTTAATTTATTTTCTGAAATTTTTATTTTAATTTATTTTTATTACAATTTTATTTGCAATAAAAAGATATAGCAGAGCTTATATGCTTAAATAAAAAAATGATTATGTTTATTAAATATTTAAAAAATGTTTAATTTAAAAGAAATTATATTATTAAATTAATATCTATTTTATATTAAAAAAAAGTAAAAAAAAATAATTTCCAGCATATATTTGTAAACAAACACACTACTGAGTTATTTATTGGTTAATTGATTTTGATAAAAAATTTAAAAAGGTCTTTTTCAAGTATACTAATTATTATTCAAGTTTAGAATTAGACTTAAAAAATATATTGATTAGTTATTTTTATTAAATTCAGATAAATAAATTGATAGTTTGATGGATCAAAATAATTGATTGAGTGATTTATGATTATTTGTATATTGTTATAAACATTTAATAAAAGATAGTCAGAAAATATTAAAATGTTATTATTGATCGATTATACATAGAAAATTAATTAGCTTGGCTTTCATTAATAAATTTAATAAATAAATAAAAGAAAATATGATTTTGTTTGTTATATTAATTATTTGTCAATATTAATGTTAAACAGTAGGCAATTAAAGGGAAAAAATAGAAATAAAAGCAAGAGAAATAATAATTTTTCTGTTATTTAATTAGTTTTTCTTTGAATTTATTGTTTAAGAAAAAATAAGTATAAAGTTCTACAAATAATCTGATTCTTTTTGTAATTAAGTGCAAAACTAACTAGCAAGTGGTTCTTCTTTAATACAAAGAAAATTTTCAATCAATTAGCTATAAAATTATTATTATTAGGACTACTTAGCAACAAAGTAAATATTTAGCAGCTTTTCTAATTTAATTTTCATCTTGTTTTTCTAACTAAAATATTTTACTTATTTATCAATGATCTTTTAATTAACAGAATAGAAATAAATTATTGCAAAGGGTCAATTAAATAAATTAGCAATACAAACCATAAATACATCTTGAAGTATCTAGCTCTATCTAAATCAAAACGTGGTTTAATAAAATAAAAAAGTACCAAGCTTTAAATTCAAGCCAAGTTAGCAAAAAAATAATTGCTTTTATCCAACTTTTGCTGATCAATTTGAAGGAAAAAAATAAATAGAGAGAATCTAAAATTTTTAAGTAAAATAGGATAAAGAATTACTCAAAAATTAAAATATGACTAGAGGAAGTTTTGCGAAAAATGCATTATTTTTAATATCTCTTTCTTTACTACACAATAAAGCACAAGGAGATTTTTTAGATTATAACAAAGATAAATTTTATGACTGTAGCGGAGGAAAAAATTATACAGAAGAATAAGAACAAGATATATTAGTCCTTCCTTACATAGATAGAATTGCATTTCTGATAATACCCCCATTTTCAATGTTTATCAGTCTTTTAGTAATTATAATTTTTATAAGATTCAATCAGACAAGATCCTTTCCTGGCTATATTTCGTTTGCCTTAGCATTAACAGATATGGTTTTGAATATATCTTATTTTTCGTAAGCCATTTATGTTTTTTCTGAAGGAAATTCTCCTAAAAGCAGTGATGCGTTTTGCTAACTAACAGCTGCATTTGGCGTTATAGCTCTTACGTGCTAATACATTTACAATCTCGCCTTCGCAGTAATATTCTAAATAAAGATTAGAAGATCTTTGAAGGGATATACAAACAAGTAATATTATTTGCATGCCTTTGTTTTAGTAGTAAGTGTAGTAATATCGATGGTCTCTATGAGCTTGAAGCAGAACGGTTTGAATCTTTTCGGTCTCTGCTCTTTTTCTTCATCTAATAAAAATACAAGCTTCTTAAATATCATCGTTTTGGTAGCTTTTAACGGTATTTAATGGCATACAGTATATTATTTAAAAAAAGTAGTACCGAACATGTAGCTGCGTGAAAACAGCATAAAAATTATCAACCACTACTCCTTATATGTAGTGATGTCGTCTATCACATTCATGATTTTTTTGATCAGTGATTTTATTGAAAGTATGAACTGTGGCTATATCAAAGAGCCTGATGTTAATATTTTTATAACAATTGGAAATTTAGCTAGAGTTTTTCTCCCCCTTTTTTAAGGCATAATTCGTTTAACTGATCCTGAAATTCGTTAGTATTGTCTCTATATTTTAGCAAAAATGAAGATGATAAGTATGGATCCCGAGCAGCTATAATAATTAGAAGAAAGATCTAGAGCACAACAAATGAATTAAGATTCATGGGTTGCAGAGTTGTCTAAAGACTTAAGAATTTCCACCGTGTTTACGATGCTTTGCTCTATTTATCTTGATATTTTGTAATTATTTTTTAAAATAATTTTCATTTTTTTTCCTACTTTTATTTTAATCTTTTATTAATAATCAAAATACAATATGAACTTAAATTTTGAAAACATTTTAAATTTTATTTCAGATATGTTTTAATACATTTTCATCTAATTTTTACTTAAGAAAAATAATAAATTTTTAAAAATGCACAAATTAACCAAAAATTTATGCATTTTCTATAATTATAAAAAAATATTAAAATAAATTTGATCAATTAATCTTCAATTTATATGTTTTTTTCTATTTAAAATAATTTCAAAAAATCTATTTCTTTCTTTGATATTTTTTAAATATATTTCTTTTAGCATAATTATTCATCAAGCAAAAATATTTTCTATTTATTGATTTTGTATTTTTTTATTTATTCTTTTTAGATTAGTTCATTTATTCTAATTTATTTTTTTCATAAAAATAAACTTTGATTTTTAATTTAATTTATTTATTTATTTGCTTAATTTAAATTTAATGTTTTACATTTTTAGATTTTTTTTTTTTAATTGATATTTTATTTTTTTTGCATTAATTAACTTTATTGAAAATAAAATTTGTTTAGAGAAGAGGACCAAAAGAATAGCTTAGGCTTTAAAAAGTTATGCATGGAAGATTCATAAGAAATAATTTAAAGAGTTATATCGAATACTGTGGTAAACAGAAGGTTTAAATTTGATAAATGGAATTTTTAAAAGGATAATTAGAGAAAATAATTCTAGATTGTACCAATTAGAATGACAACTCATTCTCCAATCTTATTTAGACACATAAGAGATTTGGATATTGATGTAATTGATTTTTCAAAATCGCTTGATGTAATGAAAAATCAAGACTAATTAATGCAAGCAGTCGGCTAAGCTGACGGCGGAAGAAGTGGAGAATTCTTCTTCTTCACACATGATAATTAGTTAATTTTGAAAACACTAAAAGAAGAAGAGCTTGTACCTTTCAAAAAGAATCTTTATTCCTATGTAGAGTATATGAATCAAAACTAAACTTCTATGATATCTAAAATTTATGGCATGTATTCATTTGAGGCTATAAAGGGAGATAACCAAAGAATAAATCTTCTTGTTATGAAAAATATTTTGTGCATACCAAGAGAGTAAATAAATTATTCTATTATTTTGTTTTTGAATTTGGATAATTTAAAAAAAGGTACATCTTAAGAACTTATGATCTGAAAGGATCGAAATTGGGCAGATAAGTGCTGGTAAATGGTAAAGATTATGAAGAGGCTCTTTTAAGAAAGAGAGTTTTAAAAGAAAATGAATTCATGAAATACGAAAAAAAAATATATCTTTAAGAGAAAGAAAGTGTGCTTGTAAAATAAATATTAGAAAGAGATAGTTAGTTTTTAGCCAAGTTACAATATGTTGACTATTCGTTATTAATCTTCAAATTGGATTATAAATAATTTAGATTGGACTAAATATAAACATCTAAACAGCTTTTTTAGTCTTTTAATTGCATGAAAGATGTCAGAAACAACGGAATTTATTATCATATCGGAATTATAGATTATTTATAGGAATATAATTACAAGAAAAAAATAGAGCATAAGTTAAAAGAAGTAAGATACGGGATATAAGCTGATGCCTCAATTCAAGAGCCTAATTATTATTCACAAAGATTCATAGAATAAATCGTCAAAAAAATATTTTGAACTACTGAATATATCAAACTTTTACAAATAATTACTAAATAATAATATAAATCAATAAATTAACTAACTAACTAATCAACAAAATAATCAAATAAATTCATTTCCTTATTAATAACCCCTTAAAATATTTTAATAAATCGACTTTAATAAATGTAAATTAATGATTAAGTAATAAAAAATATCTTAAAATAAAATATTAATATTAATTTTCATTTAAATTACAGATTTTACACTTTGTTCATTATTTTCAATCTAATATATGTATGTATTTGTGATTAAAATTTTCTAAACAATTTATTTTCTAATAAAAACAATATTTTTGTTCATTATCCTTTTAAAAATTATAAATATTAATCATTCATTTTTTTTAATTCAAGTGAATTAAAATTAATTAATTAATTTAAAAAAAATTTTTTAATTATTTTTAGATATATATTTGCATTCTAAACTTTTTAGATAAGTTTAATTTAATTAAAGATTTATTAAATTTTTAATATTTTTTTTTTTAAACTTTATGCAAAAATTCATGCAACCTACTGTATATGTGAAATTATTGTATTGTGTATATAAAATAATATTTGTATCGGAAGACTATTTTTATACAATAAAAATTCATTTTCTAAAAAATTTTTTGGTTAATATATGATTTAACTAATATTTTTTAAAATTTTATTTAGTGAAAAAAGATTAATTTAAATAAGCAAGCAATAAACTGATTATCAATTTTTATAAAATTATTTATTTCTTTAAATTTTTTAATGAAAATTGACAATTTTAAAATATTTTGAGAAGGAAAATAAATAATATTAAATTATAAATTTTGATTTCTATTTTAGATTAAGCTGTTTAGATAAATTTGTTTCAATTAGAAATTTAAAAGAACTATTTTTGATATTAATTGATTTTTAATTGCAATTATTTATTTAGAAGGAATTATAAGTTATCCAAACCATATCTTCATTTATTATTAAAATTAGTTAAATTATACAAATTTAAAATGACTTCAACTAAATTGTATGCTAGAGGCGTTAATTTTATGGGTAATTTATATAGATCGAGTTTTTTATTCTATTTTATTTTTGGAAGTTTATTTATGGATTTATTGATCATGATCATGATAAACATCATAATATTATAAATAAAGGCTAGTTGGGCTTGTTAAATAGATACTAGAACTCTCCTAATTTTTAAGAAATATAATAATTGAACGGGAGATAAATAGAGCAGGTAGAAACACACTTTAGTCATTCATTTTGTAGATTAAGTAATTAAAAAATTAAACAAAATGACCTATGAATGTTTAAATGAAATTCTTATTCGCACTAGATGATGGCCAGATTCTTCACTGGGGATATGTTTTAGATAGTTTGACATCAACTAGAATATTGAATTATTATAAATCATCGCCTAAACTCTGCTAAACTTGGTAAAAATACGCTCCGTTCGGGAGGACTTTAAGTATGAGACTTGGAGAAGAGTAACTTAATTTAATGAACGTAAAAACAGTCATGTAAAAATAAGCAGTAAAATTTTCAATAGGAGGCGGATTCATTTTAGCTCTAAATAGTAATTCGATTAAATATTTAAAACAATTTCAAGCTATTCATTTTTATTTATTTGCATTTTAGGTTGTTTGAAATTCATCGAGAATTTCGATTTTATTTAAATTATAAAACAAAAGCTGAATTTAAAAAATCTACTTAAAAAATATCTTTCTAAGATATTCTTAAATCTTCTTTTATTTAATTATTTCCTAATTAATTCAATTTAAACTTCAACAAAACTATTCAATTTATATTTTAAGATGATGGTTCTGTATTTGGTCTTGGTGAAAACTATAAAGGCTAGTTGGGAACAGGCGATTTGGGTTTCAAGCATCACTTTGAACAAATAAAATTTGACACAAAAGAAAAAATTGTAGATATTACTGCTGGATATTAGCACTCAATATTTTTAACAGGTATTTTTTACAAAAAAAGGTTTTTAAATTAAATTAATATTTCTAAAAATAGAATCTGGTTATTTATATGGAACTGGTAGAGCAAATTGGCATTAAATTGTTCCATACTTAAAAGAAGACAAATAAGATAGTAGATCTTATGGTATAAATATTTTTTTAATATTATTTAATATAAAAGAAAAATTGTTTTAATTATTTAGTTGATTTTCATAAAATACCCAAAAGAATGGTGATCAAAAATGAAAAAGTCAAAAAAATGTCTGCTGGTTTTTCTCACACAATTTTCTTGACACTAAGTAATAAAATATATGGCATTGGTCTAAACAATCATGGACAATGTGGAGCTTCTAATTTAAACCGTATAACAGTAAGTTGTTACAAAATTTAGATTTTACACACAAATTAAAAATTTCTTTATTTCTTTATGAATATCTCTAAATACTTTAAACTGAAAATCTTTATTGTCAAATTTGATTAAATAATTTAATTATAAATACAGTTTTTCCCCAAATGATATTTTTGAAATAAATTAAATTTTGGAATTTAATTACCAAATATGCCTTTTGATGAAATTTATTTTCCCCACGATTGAAAAGATACATCTTTTATTTGAAAAATTAATTTTTTTTTTGCATTAATATTTTTTAAGGGTTTCGATTGAAGTGTAAGGTTTTTTATATTTTTATCTAAATAATTACATCAAAGAATGTAGGAATAAACATTAATATAATTAAAATAAGATTTTTTTGTGAAATAAATACTTCTACCTATATTTTGTTTGATTACAAAAAAATGGCAAACTAAAAATAATAATGTAAGATAAAACATTAGGATAAACCTGAAAATCATATACCAACCAACACAAACAAACTAGTGAATATAATAGCTTCTAAAAATTCTTTTATTATTAACTATTAAAAAGTGCGATGAATATCACCCAGTTTACACAGAACTAGATAGTGATGAAAAAATCATTGATATAGCTGCAGGAAAAAGTCACAATATTTTTATTACAAGTAAAAAAATTCTTCCCTAAAAAATTTAGAAATCAATAAATAAAATGATATTTTTCATTAAATTTCATTATTATTTTTACACATTTTTTTAGAGTTATTTTTAACACATTTTTAGATAAAAAGAAAATATTTGCATTTGGAGCCACTATACACAACTAAATAGGTCGTCTTCCTGGTAGGATATTTATACGAGTATAATGTTTGTTTATAATTTTTATTTATAATTGTGTAGAATTTGACATCGATTAATGCAGTCCTACTCAAGTTAGAATCGAAATGGAAGAAGATGAGTACCCCACAAAAGTAAAAGCTGCTTTTGATAGAAGTGCAGTATTTACAAGTAAATTATCTTAGTTTTTAAGCATCAAAATTTATAAAAATTTACATTGTTTAAAGAAATTGCATAATCATCATTCAATAAGATTAACTTATTTTGATGATAAGTGTAATTTAATAAATCTTATATAAAATAATCAAATAAAACTATAAACAATTAAGATAAAGGTAATTGTTATGTTTGGGGTGGAGAAGATTTGCGAGCTATTGGTGCAGAAAATTATGGACCTGTCTAAAATCTGAAGAAAGAAATGGGATTAACAAGTGAATAAATAAAAGATGTGGGACTGGGTTATCTTCACACTCTAGTTTTAGTAGAATAATGAGAATATCAAAGGATAAAAACCATTAATGCAGATTGTTTGCTTTGATTACGCATGCCTTGGTTATATTAATTTATACTTACCTAATTAAATAGTAAATAAAAGGAAAAAAATCCATAAGTCAAATTAAATTAAAATTGTAAAAATTGTTTGAAATTCTTTCATTAAGCTATTTGTGCATATTTATTTTTTTAATTGCATCATATTATCTATCAATCTAATTCACTAATTACCTTTCGTATTATCAAAAATCAAACAAAATTAAATCCACTTATTATTTGAAATGTATTTTCATTATTTGTCTTTTTACCAAAAAAATGATAAATATTTGCATCAAGCATTCTTCAAATTTACAAAACGAAATTAATACTTTTTAGCTTTTTTTACTATCTTAGCTGCTGTAAATAGCTGTTAAGACTATTATATATTCTCTCTAAACATAACCAAATTAGCATATAACTTCAAATAATAATTGGATAATTAGGTAGACTAGCTTAAAATGACTAGTAAATTATTAAAATTTCTATCTGATGATAGAAATATTATATATTTTTCTGTTTATTTCAGTGTTATATAATTCGTAAATGTCAAAAAAAAAAAAGATTTTTTAAGAATTAACGAAGACTTTTATGAATCATAAATGTGTAATAAAGCTGCCATATTTAATTTGTATAAATCTTCAAATAAATTGGTTAATAAGGTTGTAAGATAAAATAATTAATGTTAAAAATATGCACTACAAAAAATTGCAATTATGTATATATCCTACTTATAAATTTGTTAAACAAAGTGATAGATTTAAAGTATATTTTCTAGTTTTTTTATCTAATCTTATATTTTCTAATTGGATATTCTTCATCCATTAATCCACCTTTTCATTTTAAGTTTTCCTTAAGAGCGAGTTATTCTTCCATCAACTTTTGTCTGTAGATATCTCTCTTACCGATACGGAAGAACCACAAACTGCCGCAAGCAACAATATAAACAAGGAAAATAACTAAGTTGAAGTACATATTTTCATGGTAGTATTTGTTGTTGTTTGCTTGAGTATTTTTAGAATCAGTAGCCCAAGAAATTAAGCCATACAATATAGCAACGATTACAGCATAAGTGGAAAGCATCAAACCAGAAAGCATTACATAATCTATAACACCAGAGGGTTGATCTTCATAAGTGAGGGGAACATATTCACTCTTGGTGGTGTTCTCTGTTTAGACTAAGGGATCTTTTAATGACATTTTGGATTTAACTAATTTATTTTTAGATAATTTCTTTTTTTGGATATTTTAATTACAAATTATTAATTATTTGAGGCTAAGAAATACCTAAGCACTTAAACGAAGAGTTTTTGTTATATTCAACATCTAAGATATTAAAGCATTCAATATCACTTGATTTAATATCATGAATTTTACTTTCAATTAAATAAATAGATTTCATATTTAGAGAAAGATTCCTAAATTCTTTTACATTTGTTAATACATATAAGCAAACATGTTTATTTCAAATCAAAATTATCTAGACTTAACTAATTTTTTATTAGTTTGTTCCAAAATTAATTCAATTTTTTTAAAAATAATAATTTTAATGCTAAATAATTCTTAATATTATAAAAACAATATCATTTTTTTTTCAATTAAATTAAAACTTAAATTTAAGCTTTTAATGAAAAATTTAAGAAATATAAAATTTTTTAAGCATCGCTAAAAGCAAAAAAAACTCCTTACATAAATATTTTATGTGTTAACCAATTAAATAAATTTTTTTATATTTATCAATCATATAAACAGCTTTTAAATAAATCACAAAAATTCCTATTTATTAAATCTAAATATTTGTCTTCTAAGAATTATATAAAATATATTATATTGCTTACTTTTTTTCAAGAATAATTCAAAATGTAATTGATAAAAATATAAATTAAATAAAATTTAACAAGGATTTAAAAAATAAAAAATTTAAATTTTCTTATATTAAAATCATAAGGTAGTTAAGAATTATTTGTCTGTATTTACTCTTAAATGCTAAAAGAAATTTACTTGCTTTTTAAAGTAATTTAATAAATTATTAAGTTTGATTTATGCATGTCAAAATAATTTTAATTTTAGCTTTTTACAGAAATAATTATTTGTTAATTTACATTTACAATATTTTTAAAAATCTTAAATAATTATCAAACACCTTTTTAATATTATCATCAACTTCTACATAATTATATTAATTTTTTATATATAAAATTTAAAATATAAATATAGATGAATATTTTAGTCTAAAAATATTAATTGACCTCTTCCTTTTTAAATATTTTTTAAAACTTTTTAATTTAATTAAAAAATCTAATTTAGAAATAAATTCTAATTATTTTATCATTTTTACTTATATCACTGCTAAATTGCTACCCAAATATTAAAAATCTAAATAAAACTGATTTATTAAAAGTTAAAAAATCACATAACATTTCTATAACAATGCTGTTTAAATATTACATTACAAATGAAAGTAGGATAATTTTTTATCCATCAAAATAAAGCATTTAAAAATATTTATTACTTTATGCTATTTAAAATAGGTTTAAGGTTATAATTTCAATACACAAATTAAATTTATCAAATAATATATAGATTATTATGACAGTTCATCATATTTTTAAAATAAATCATGTAAAAATTAGTAGAAAAATATTATTTTTTATTATAGAGATACATATTAAGAATATTGTATTATCTTTTTCAATTTTAAAATCAAAACATTCATTGTAGCTTTTAAATTTGATCTTTTTACACAATGACATTATTTAGTACTGAATATTTAAATTAATCAATATCAAAAGTGAATTTTATTTAATTGATTTTAGAGTTTTTATTCTCAACTTATTCTGATAGATTAAAATAAGGATAAAACTTTCTCAAATATTCATAAGCTAAAAAAATGAAAAATTTTAATCACTTATAATTAAAATTAAAGATATTACTTTACATATTTACCAATATTCTGGTTAGCTGTTAGGTACTTATTTTTATCAAAACTGTTAAAATTTTAGTTTATAACAATTAAATTACTGTCTTCTATTACCTTATATTTGTTTATTTACTTAGAAGAATTTGCAAATTAAAATAGATAATCTATGCTTTTGTTATTAATTTTATTGCTTTATAGATTGTCTCTCTTTCTTTTTTTTCAAGACTTTCTTTGATTTATTTTTGTTTCTTTGTTTTTTTATTTTAATATAAGAAATGTCTAGATTTTGCAAAATATTATTTAATTAGTCTAAAAATGTATTTTTTGTACATTTAAAAGCCATATATATTCTTGTATTATCAGTATATTCCTAGTATTCTTCTTTCTAACAATTAAATTAGTTATGTAAAACGAATGATTGATTGATTCATTGATTAAGGCAGTAGAAGGAATTCTTAAATAAATTTTTATTAGAAATCTTTAATTGAGAAATAGTTAATTTTAATTGTTAGTAAATTAGTTTGTGAAAGTTTGATTTATATTGGACTATTAATATCAAATATGGTACAAGGTTATACTAAAATGCCATATATATAAAAGAATTCAAAGTATATACGAAAAAATAAGATAAATAAACAAATAGTGAATATATTTCATGTATTATTAATTTGTTTTATAGTTTAATATTTGAGCAATCTCATTAAATTAACTTGTTTTATTCAGCATTGTTGTCTTATTTTCTAGTTAATCTTGATTATATTTCAAGTTTCTTCTTGATGAGGTCTTATTTCATTTGTTCTCTTCTTCCAATGAAGATTTTCCATAGAATAGCGCAGATAACAATATAGCAACAGAAAATGACTAAATTAAAGATTTAACAACCCAAATAAAGGTCATGCTAGTTAGGACCGCTGTTAGCACCCCATTCTGTGAAAATATATAACAATAAGCATATAATACCATAAGTGAGACACATCATACCTATGATACCCATCCAATCTAAGATTGAGGTACGCTTGGCCATATATTCGTTCATAGCCTCATCGGAGTTTTCGTCTTTCTTTTCTTATTGTTGGGAGGACATTTTGGTGATTTTTTTTGCCTATATAATTTATATTTTTTTATAATTTGTATTTTTTTTAATTTAATATGTTAATTATATTTTTTTGGAAGACTTGTTAACAAATTTAAAGAGTTAAAAACTATTCCGTTCAACCTACCTACCTACCTTAATAGCTTCTTAGCCAATATTTAAAGTCAGCAAATAATTAATTTATTTGATTAATTTTTTCTATCACTAATTAATGTAATTATAAAGAAGAAACGTAGCACTTTTTATTGCATTCTATCTAAGTAAAATTTTAGATTGAATGACTCTACTAAAACTCCAGTTCTATTCTTTGACAATTACTTATTGAGTCAAAGCTAAATTTTTTGCCAGAAATCTGGAGCAAAATAAAATGGAGTAAATCCAAACTCTTACAAACTCCACTCTAAAATATTTGATTTTTATAAAAAAAACAGTAAAAACTGACAAATAAATATTAATCATATTTGAATACTGATGTATTTGTCAATAATTAATTATTTTTCGCTTGAAATTGCAAATCTTAGAAAAATACTCCATTAATTTTAAATCAATCAAAAATTAATTGTGTATTTTGCTCTATTAATTACTTATAAATTTGTATTAATTTTTTAAATATTATATGAAGCAATCTTTCAAAATTATTAATATTAAAATATGTCTTATTTAAAAAATATGTGTAATTTCTTATTAACCTTTAATCTCGTGTAATATAACTTAATTTTCTTCATCTAAGAAATACAAATTTACTTGATTTTTCTATAAATCATTTATTTATAGATTTAATTTTTGAATTCTATTTATTATTTTAGGAGAATTTAATTTTAGTAGAAAGTACTATAAATAGAAAAGTATGCAGTTTTTTGTGTATAATTACTATTAAAATGAGTATTTCCTGTCAATTTGAGAATTTAAAATTAAATTTCCTTTAATTAAATGCAAATCTAGCCTTAAATATTTTGAAAAGTTTAATAAAATTTTACTTTAAATATATTATTGATATGAAAATAAATATTTTAATTGCATTTTTTTTAAAGTAAAATTTAATCTTAAAGAATAACTTCTCTTCTTCAATTTAATTTTTGATTTTCTCAAAATTAAATTAAGCAAGTAAGTGTCCTAATTATAGATCAAAAGAAATTAGATTGATGAAAAAATTGAAATTAGCTGATTCAGATAAAATAATTTAATCAATTATCTAAATATTTTAATTCATTTAACTTAAAGCAATAATGCAATCGCTATAAATATCAATTATAATTTGAATGAATTTTAAAGTATATTTTTTATTCATTCCACAAAATACAAAATTTTAGTGATAAATTTTATATCTTATCTTAAAAAATATTATCCATATAAATTATCTATTAGTTAGGGAAAAAATATATATACCTAATTAAAGTTATAATCTTAAATGGAGTACACTCATTAACAATAATATTAATCTCAATTCGAGAATAAAAAAGAACCATAGAATTTTAGCTAAAGGCACGTTGAACGAGTATCATAATTAGGATATTTTCCTCAATAAAAAGCTGGTTATATATCAGAAGATAGGCGATATGATTAAATTAATAATATGAGTCCAACAGATTAAAGCGACCTTTAACAAAAAAATCAAATTTTTAATCAAAGCCCAGAGATTAAAAATGAAAAAGAAACTTATTCAGGATCTATTAGAAAAAGAAAATTTATGCCTTATGCAAATTAAAATAATGAAAGTCTTTAAAATGTTTTAGATGCAGAAAAAGTTAATAATATTGAACAAGAGAGGAATAGTTATTATAAAGATCACAGCATTTAGAAATTAAATTAATCAATGGATGCCCGAAACCACAATAGCGACTTTAATAATAGCTATTAACGATAAAAAACTTTAGAATATTCAAGCAATTCTCCTGTGAAGCTGCCGTCTATAGTATAACACTTATATAACTCTGTAAATTACTACAACAAAAACTAGCCTGCAACTCGATATTCTTAAGATACATTAAAGGAAAGACACTAGCGTTAAAAAGAAATAAAACAAAGACTTTATTAAGTAATGGCTCCTCAAGAAAGCTATTATGAATAATATAATGGATTTTATCATTAAAATGATTATTCTTTGAATGTTAATGATGATTTAATAAAAAAAAGGTTACTTTTAGAGAATTGTAACCGAGAGAGTTAGTTTGAAGATAATAATACGTTTTCCAATTACATTTCATAGAATTAAAAGGAAGAGTAAAAAAGTAATGGAATGCAATAAGGGATGTCTCAAAATAAATCTTACTTGATGAGTGACCACACTCCTGTTTTTACCAGAAGCGGTTTATAAAAAGCAAGTAATAATTAGATTTAGGGCTTGGATTCGATCAGAGATGAAGGCGATTAAGTTTCTACAAGGTATTGCTAAATTAATGAATTAAATAAGTATAGTATTAGGAAAAAAGTAGGAGCTTCCGTTGAAAAAAAAGAAGGTTAATCAACTAATTTACCTTCAAGTATCACAAGCTCAAAGATTTCTTGTTTATAAAACAACCCTAGCTACAGTTTTATTGACCATGTTAACTCTTAATTGCTTTAGATAAAACTTAATCAATAGCATTACTAATAATAGCAATAGCAATCATAACAATAAATAAGTATTTATAAAAACTAAAATTCAAATAATAGTTTTCTGCAAAATGAACAAAAAGATTAATTAAAAAAAGTTAGGAGCATTACTTATGATGGAAAGAGTAGCTCTCCTAAATTTTCTTAGAAAGTTGACAATATGTCTGAATAAGACAAGAATGTTTAGAATATTAAAGGTTATTTTAATCGGAAGTATAATTAAAATGCAACTGAGCCTGGTGGAAAGTACTATCCTCGATATGACTATAGCGAATTTAGAATGCAATCCGATTATGCTGAAGATAAACATTTTCACGATTCAAAACCTTAGCTATTATAATTAAGATAGAGATCTTCCCGATCATTGTTGCAAGACCCTTAAATAAAGAAAAAAAGAGACTCCTATACTTTTTCTTTCCAAAATTCGTAAACTGAAAAGTTTCATGCTCAATAGCATAAGTAAAACTAGTAGATAAATCCCATAGAAGCATTGTAAAATATAATTAGTGAAGCTGCTAATGGACCACCAGTAAAGAAAAAGAGTAGGAAGGCTTCCAGAGTGCATGTAGGATAAGAGGAAGAAAACGAAGACATAATTCTCGATAAAAACCTAATAGAAAATGAAAAGAATAGCTAAGGGAAATAAAATTCTTCAAAAAAGGCAACTGCTATAGATAATTAAAGAAAAAGTAGAGACTTTATAGATAATCATAATAATTAAGTTTAGGATACAAATTAAAAGTATTCTCCAGATATTTAACCTCATTTTTATATGGATAACAGCAGTTATTTGAATAATGCACGGATATTTTCAAAATAAAGTAACTAAAATTTACCTAAAAATGAAAATTAATAATAAAATTTAAATTTCGAGATAGATTCTACCTTTAATCTTTAAAAAGAATTAGATAAAGATTAATGATGAAAATATTAAAAGGTTATTTAAAATAGAAATAGCTTGCTTAATTTTATTTACAATTATTAATTAAACATCTTATTTTACACTAATTACCACAAATTAAAACCTCAACTTACTTGGTTATTTTTCAGATTATACTGTCGATTTTTTCGTTTTTGCAATGTAATTTTGAATTTAAGTACATTAAAAAAGAGGTAAATATGGTACTAGTTGATAATATTTTAAAAAAATAAAAATTAAAAAAAAAATAAAGTTTGTAAATACTACATTTTTGATTTGTAAGATATTAGGAAGAAAGTGTTTTTGTTTAAATTTTTTATCAAAAACCTTATCTGATATCTTGAATTAATTTGCGATATAATTACTTAAGTTACAGTAAAAATCACAGAATAAATCATAGGAAATAAATATTTGATCAATCCAATTAATTATAAAAATTATGTAAATTACAGCATTCTCTACTATTATTTAATTAAAATAATTAGAATAAATAACAAAGGCAATTTATTTTAGAATACTAGCTTTGCATTTTAGTTTTAAAATAAATGTCTGAAAAATATAAATATCTGATTGATTTTTGTTTATTTGTCTATTTATTTTGTTGAAGTAGTATGTTATACACTTAATTATCTTAATTAATTAAGATTTCATGCTGATCATATTTCTCAAGACTGTAATTAATTAGTATAAATTTAATTAAAATACTTTGCTTAATTTCTTTTTAGAATAGAAGAAAAATCATGCATGAATAAATTCAATTCTAAATATAAAATTTGTTAAAATATAAATTCCAAAATATTTACTTTGATTATTTTTTCTAAAATGGAAGTCTTCATTACATACATTTATTAATTAATTTTCTTTGTTTTTTTTATTATGTATTTAATTAATTTAATTTAATTTAAACAATGAATTTTACCTTAAAATAAAAATATTCCTCTCTAATTTATTAATAGTATTAACTAGTAATAGAAAAATAATAATAAGACTTCAAACTTTCCAATATTTTAAATTAATAATTATCAGAATTAATTGTTCTTTTAGAATACAAAATACTGATACTTAAAGTAAAACGCATTAATAAAAAAGTTTCTCTCTAATAGCAACTCTGCTTAATTGATACCGATTATAAATACTTTTTAGTCTACACAAGCTAAATTAAATTATAATCTTTTTTTTTTGATATTATAGACATTAGATATCTTTTCATCACAACATAAATAAATTAAAAACTAAAAATAATGCTCATATGCCATCCATATATATCTTCTTTTTTAAACTCAAATATATTAATTGCACTTATGGCAATAATTTATTGAATTTTAATTTAAATTCTAGAAATGTTATCTATCTTAAGTAATTACTTAATTTGCGGTAAAATTTGAATTAAATTACTGAATTTGTATTTTTGGTTAACTGATTGATTTCATTATTGAGCGGTAGATTATAGTAAGAAATAAAAATAGACTGATTTGGCACTTGAATGAATATTTAGATTTTTATTTTTCAAATTATATTAAATTAGTATATTTTTTTTGTAGCTGCGTGATTCCTGATAAATTCTATATTCCCTTTTTAATACATTAAAATATTCAGAAGATCTTTTTTGTTATTTATTAAATATACAATTTACTGAAACCACCTTTACTCAAAAATAAATAAGTCTATGATATTAATACCACTGAAAATAAAAATGAATTTTTTATCAAAAGGTTGTTACATTGTTTCTCTTTCTAAAAGTATTAGCTTTGTATTATATTATTTTTACTTTACGAAGATATAATTTAATTAAATTTTTGCAAACAAATGTGTCAAAGAATAGACAAAAAAATTAAACTATAAATTAGATTTTATCGTAAAAGAATATCTCATTACAACTTATTTCAAACAAGATTTCCTTAATATATTTGCCTTATTATTAATTGTCAATTATTAAGTACAAATATAAACAAATATTCTTAAATAAATTACAAGGAAATCATCATCAAAAAAAGAAATACATTCTATCCGTCTAACAAAAAATAAAGGAACAGACAAGTCTAATCCATAAAATAGAACTATACTAAAAATGAGCATTTCAAATAACTTTAATGAATAATTTCAAGAAGATGAAACTATCTTAGAAGAAAATATTGCTTATAAACAAAGACAATAGTAACGCCAACTTTTATTACAAAAAGTGTAAGATTCCATGAATACCATCAAAAATAAGGAATATAGTGAATTTATTAAGCTTAAGGAATATGTTTTTGGATTGTATTTATTCTTTGAAAATGATTGGAAAGGCTTCTCTGAAGAAGCTGACTTAGAAATTGGCAATTGCTATAAATTTTGTATTAATAAACTAAATATATTCAAAAATATCCTCAGATCTTTCTTCGGATATATGAAGAATAAAGGAGATGACATTGTAATAGAGTGCTTAGACTCTTTTCAAAAACCTATTTAGAAGGTTAAAAAGTAATTTATTCGCTTTTCTGAAAGACATCCTGCTAACAATAAATCAATGCAGGTACTTTTCGAATATAGCAGATACGGTCGCTAATTCGAATACTTTCTCAATTTTTATGCCATCGATTGGTTAATTAAAAGCAAAGTTAAAGATGTTGTTCCTCACTTACTCTCTATATTTTTCCTTCTTCGTTGTTTCTAAACTCCCTAATTGAAAGATTTGCTTAAGGTATACAAAAAAACAAAGAAAATTACATTACCAAGAAAGGTACGTAAATCAAAAACTGACTCTAAATTAAACATAAAAGAAGAAATTAAATGCGAAGAGGCTACAAGCATGCAATAAATCGACTCATACAATCTCTCTACTGATTCGTATAATGGAGCTGAAGATAGCAAAATTGCCACCTATAATAATATAAATGAATCTCATTCAACTACCTCATCTCATTCTACTAATTACTAATAAAATATTTATTACTCTCTCTTCCCCTTAAAACAAAACTCTCTTGAAAATAATTAACACTTCTCTTCTTGTTAAAAAAACGATCTTTAAGAAAACATAGAATACCTATCTACTGAATAAATTAATTCAAACCAATTATTTCTATCAAGAAACAATTCATAATATTAAGTCTAATCTAATGCTAACAATTGCGAAAATCATTCAGAAATCGATTATCTCAATAATATGCTCGATTTTTGAACAATTAACACTCAATTTCTACAAATTAATTAATTTTCTAGCATCCAAACAATAACTTAAAGTATTTAAATTTCATAAATTCTTATATATTCTAATTCTACTCAGTAGTAAATATAAATATTATTATCATTATTAAAAATTCTATAAAATATAAAATTGTTCTTTCATTTTTCTTTTTACTTATACTGTAATCTCATACTAATTAATATATTAAATTTTCTCATATCAATCAACAAATTAAATTGTTAGATTTAAATTTATTAATAATTTATTAAATTTTACTATTCTACTTAAAACTAATTAATTTTTTTCAAATCTTTTTATCTTTAATATTTAATAAAAATAAAGATAAATCGATTTAGTAGTTATCAACAAAATTTTATTTAAAATGCTAATTGGGGTGGAATAAGTTCTATTTAATTAAAAAAGATATCTATTCAATTATATTTTTGTCGTTATTGACATAATATAGATAATTAATTATTTAAACAAGATAGTTTTTAATTATTACTAAATCTTAATTATTGATATTATCTAAAGCTTTTTTATTATTTTTTAAAGTATTATAGAGTGAAATGCCTATTTAATTTACAAAATGCGAAATGTAATATATCTTAATAACATAATAAATACAGCTAAATAAGCTTAAAATAGCTTTATTTTTGAGTTTTTAAAAGCTTTAAATTCGCAAAATGTAAAATTTGAAATAATAGATACCATATATACTTATAACATGTCATTTTTTTTGAAAAAAATAAATTTTGAAAATTTTTTCAAAGATGAAAAAAAATTTGCAAAAAATTTAAAAATTTTAATTTTATTAGATGTAAAAACACGGTATATAAACTCGCTTTTTGTAAATTTGTATGGCAACTAACTCTATACTAAGTGTTAATTTAAAATATAAAATATGGATTAATGAAAATAAGTTTATAAAAAGTTAATTTCTTTTGTAAAAAGATTTTTAAGAAATCGCTTTATTATGTGAATTATCAATAACTACTCTACTCTCATTCAAGATTCAAATTAATTAAATTAAAGTGTGATTTCATTCTAAAAAGTCTAACTTCTTATAATAAGTTAAAAGTAATAATCTTATCTTTATTGATAATTTTATTAATTTTATATTTAACTGATGTAAACATTTTTATATCTACTAAAATTTTCTGATTGCAAATTAATTATATTGTAAAGGGAAGCACTTATTTAATTCTACTTGAATAATATATATTCATTCATTTTAAAAGAAAAACTGTTAAATTATAAATGATATATATATACTTTAAGTTCTCATAATTTACCATCAAATTATTTTAGTACCCGAAAATTCTAATATAACTTGAAAAAGATCCTTTTTAAAAAAATTAGAGAGGAAGGAGTAGATAGCTAACAGTAGTCTGATTCTGATACTAATTTTATTTAATTTGCTTAAATAATATTGCAATAATTTAATGTATTTATATAGGAAATTAATTTTTTAGCCTATATGACTATTCCCAATTATCTCAATCAATAAAAAATTTTTTATATAGTTATTTATAATTGATTAAGTATTATTTTATGTAAAATGGTAGCTTAAACAATTTTTTATTTAACTAAGTAATTGATTAAGGTTAATTAAAATGCAAAGAAATCTTTCTGTAACAATATCCTAATAGTTTCAAGACATTTATTTGAAATAATATTTGTCAAATTTCTTTTTATAAAATTTTATAGAAGATACTTAAATAGCAAAACAAAACATATTTAAATAGGTTATAATATTAATATACGAAATTAATTAAGGATAACCTTTGGTTGTGTAGATTAATTATTAAATATTTTTTTATTAGTAGTTTGATCTTCACTTCATGACTGATACTCAGATGAACTTGGGCTGTTATTTTTAGCTGGACTAGCTAAAATTTTCGTTTTATTCTTTATTAAAATAATTAATATATGTGATTTTTATCATGTTAATTTATAAAAAATATTTTTTATCATTTTAAATAAGAATTAAGATTAAGCTTTTTTAATGCTTTAACAACATACATCTTATATATATAAAAAAATAAATATCTTATTTACCTTCTCTGAAACATTGGTTTTTTTTTTATGTTCATGGAATGTCTTTTTGCGGTCAGCCATCGTTTTTTTCATAAGCCTATTGCGATCTAAGTTTCTCATAATTTTGTTAGATTACAAGACGACTAACTTATAATTGTAATTTGGAAAGTACACCTTATAGGTTTTCATAGCATCGAAAGGATGTTTATCAAAAAAGCATGTTGAGTCTAAACATGTATCAAATCCATTTAACTATACTTTATTTAACTCATAAATTAGTTTATTCATCTTAATTATATCTTAATCATCAAGATTCTTTAAATTGACTTGAGATACGCTTTTTACATTAGTATTTGGTGTCGTTGGTAAATCTAAATGCATCAAGCTAGGAAAATTTAAATTATTTGTTTGAATTTATTGAAGAGGCTATTAAGCTTTTTGTATCATTTAATTAAATTACTAAAAATTATTATTTAATTTTCTTTACTCTTGTATCATTTAAATACTATTCTTTAAGATATCTGAACTGCATTAATCTTATTTTTAAAGTAGATCTATATTAGGTTACTTATTTTAAATTAGTGCCTAAATTAAGTTACTTATTGATTATCTTGGTGATAACTTTAAATCAACGGTTTTACCCTACTTTTTAAGTTTATCATCTTTTGATTTTTGCTAATCAGTTTTATTTTTTCTTAGCAATAATTTTTTTTAAATTTTCACTACATTTTGGAAATCTAATTCAGCAGACTTAACAGATTTTTCTTATTTTTCATTCAAAGTAATCGGATTTAAATCGATAGGAGTTTTAAATGAATTCTACGAAGTAAAATTTCCAACTATAGATTAGGAATTATTTTTCGAGTTACTTTAAGATTATTTTCTGATATTGGAACTTGAGGCAGCTTCAGAATTTTCCTATCCTTATTTCTTTGCATTATCTAAATCCTATAGAGTAGATTCATTAAATTTTTGCTTAAATTCACTGATCATCAGTATGTTCGGATTTAATTATTGGTTTGAAGAATTATTTGATAAATAATCTTCTTCAGCAAAGTGCTGTTAGTGCTTATTGCATACTATATTATTTATAGATATCGTTTTTATTGAGGTGCTGGATGCTTTTTTCTCCTCATTATATTCTTTCTATTACTCTAGATCTAAATCTGATTTTGGTGAAACATCATAATTTAATTTTACTTAATCATCTGCAAAAGCTACTGTTTTAGGAGTTTTTATCTTATTCTCATGGGATAATTATGATTAATCTATTTTTTCTTAACTTGTAATAGGGTTTTATATATTATACTTATATTTAAACTATTCAGATTTCTTTTAATTTTCATGTATCATTTGGCTATCTATTTACATTTCTTCTTCATGAACATTTTCCGATATATTTTGCAGTTATTTTTCTTTGGAGCTAAAATTAGATACCTTTTTAAGAGCTTTTAGAGTAGTATTTTTTAATTAAAATTGGTGACTAATATTTTCTCCTTATACCATTTACAAATTTGTTTCCTCTTTATCTTAAGTAATTTCTAAAAATGGTTTATTCTACCCTGGTAAATTTCCTTCTCCTTCCTCATCATCATCATCGTCCTCATTTAAATACGAATCAGAGTCATTTGTTATATCTAAATAAGTACTAGCATCTAAGTATCGATTATTTTCTACAATAAATTTTTCTACTTCATTTTCAACTTTATTACTCTCTGATAAAGTTTAATGTTTTACTCTCTTAAGCTTTCTTTTGAATTAAGAACGAATAATCTCATTGTTTTTGTTATATATTTTGATAACCCTTATTTAGTGAGGTGAGTAAAATAAAATAGGACAATTTTATACTAAATGAGCTGAACTAGAACAACTGATACAATTTTGATGCAGCATGTAATAGTTAGAATTAAATACGAAGTTATCTTTGATGTAGCTGAAAACTTCTTTGTCATAAGGAAATTCATCTATAGTATGCCTAAACTCTCTTAACTGAAGGTATTAAATTCTTGAAACGCCTAAGCTTCTTACGTTGTAAAGAGAATATTTTTTATTTGCGAAAAACTCAGTTGCTCCAAAATGATCTCCTTTTTTTAATTTTTTGAAGGGTTTTATGCAACTATGTGTCAATTTATTAATATCTTAACTAGTATCCATAAAAATTTCCACTTCTCCACTAGCCACTATAAATAAGCATTCTTCCTCTATCACTCCTCTTTTTAAAATTAACTCATCAGGCCCAAAACTTGTCTCTTTCATTGAAAGGGATAATTTTTAAATAAAAGCTGTTGAGAAATTTTACTTTAAGTATGGTATACTCATTAGTGACTTAACATAAATTTCTTTGAATATTCCCTCCCTTAAGTATTTAGATAGTTAATTCAGGCTTTGCAGCTAATTTGAATAAATACTCCCTTCCTTGTTCACATATTCTAAATATTTTCTAGCCTATATCTACAAACTTTAAGAAACATCCATATGATTTAGGTATCTGTATGATAATATTATATTCAAAGTAAATTAAAATTTTTTCTAAGTAGCAAATATAATTAATAGCTAGCTTTATGAATAATTATATTTAAAAATATCTAAAATAGCATGGTTATAATTTTTAAAGTTTCTAAAATAGCATGGTTATAAATTTAAAAGATTTCATAAAAATATTTTTTAATTTAATTAATATTTTAGAATGTTAATTTAATTAATATTTTAGAATATTTTTATTTTATTAAAACTAAAATTAATAAGCAGCCTACTTATGTTTATATAGTATATTATCAATTTTAATAAGATAAAATATAAAAAAGGAGATTGAAAAATTTAATTGAGAATGAAATACTTTTAATATTTATAAATTTTATTTTATTTAAGTAATATCTTAATTAAAATAATTATTTACCTATTAAGCTCTTTTAGCCTTATTTTGAATTTTTCTTGCTTTTTATTTGCCTCCCTAAGTATTCCTCCAATTTAGCTCAGGACAAATCCAAAATATCCACTTGCAATGAATCCAAAAAACAAAACGCATACCATCTCGATCTCTGTTTATGGGACAAAATCGCCAAAGCCAATAGTTCCAATTAATATAACTGAAAAGTAAAGACTAACTATATACCTTGAAAGCATTCCGTCTGAAACAGGATTGTCTTATATAGCTGAGTAGTGATCTACCCAATTATTCATGCTATTTTCTTATTCAAGTCTTGCAATAAAAAAGAATGTGCAAGCAAAAAAATGACACATCAAGAAAGTTTAGAAAAATAGAATAACAAGCTAAATAAAAATTTAAGTTTTTTCTTGCATGTGAAACTACTCTTTAAATTTATACATAATTTCTTTTAAGCTTTTTATTTTTACTAAGAAAAAGATCTTTTGATATTTTGAAAAAATAAATAGAGTTTCGTAGAGACAGAGAAGAGCTAACAGATCAAATATAAAAAATTCAAAAATATACCTCTTAAAAATCTTTTTTTTTTAGATAACTACATTTCCTTTATCATAGAAGGCTGTAAAAAAGTTAATAACAATTTAAAAGAATAAAAAGAGCCTCATGATGTCATACATTTCTTATGAAATAATATATACTATCTTATAATCAAATGACAATTCAAAAGGAACGGTAACCAAAAAGAATAAGATTAAAAGCCCATGCATGAAGTCTGTAAAGTTAGATATTTTTGAGTAAGGCATAATTACTGGTATTTTCTTGGAAATATGTTCAAGATATCTAAAGCATTTATTTCTAAATTAAGTATAAGGATTTATTATAAATTTTAAACTCTTTTTCATCATTAAACTCATAATTCTTATTTTTCTCAAAATTTTTATATTGCTTCTCACCACTTTTGCAAATTTTTTATTCTTTTATCCAAACCCTTCAGTAAATTACTTTGCGCCCTTATCAGCTATAGCATTAATTTGATGTTCTTTCAATAGATAGGGTTTTCTAAATATTAGTGTTTTCTTCATTGTATATATAAATCTATTTACATATCTAATAATTTAAAAAAAACCTTTCTTCCAAACTATTTTTGGGTCATACTTTATTGAGGGTATAAAATTTGATTTTCCATGAAGCGAGCTTCTAAATACAAATTCTTATTTTCTCTCTAAGAATTTATAATCTTCATCCAAGTTTAAGGTCTTCTTACAATGGCCTGTTTGATTTACTCGCCGAGAGTTAGAAGCTTTTTAAGTATTTAAATCATCTAAAGCTAATTTACTTTGATATGTTCTTGTTTCATTCAATTTGTTAGTTTACCCTTATAACTATTTACTATTGTTTAATTGAGTATTTTAGAAAGCTGTATTAGTAATAATTATGCTTTAACCTTGGGAGGACTCAATCGATTCTCTATTATTATTGATGTAATTATTGTTATTATTAGAATTTAAATAGTTATTCAATCCTCCCATAATTACTGTACTATCATCAATTAAAGATACATCCATTACTTCTTTATCAAAACTTTTTTTTCTCACACCATTAAGCAAACTCTATTGAATTTATAATTCTGTGCTTTCTTTTCTTAAAGTTATTTGTTGTTTAGAGTCTTCCTTTGTTAATTCCATTTTGTTATTAAAAAAAGTATTGTAACTACTATCAGGAGTTTATTTATTTGCCTCATTTACATCTAAATTTACTTGCTAGGTATTTCCTGTGTGTTAGCTATTCGAGTTTCTTTTTTTTACATACATTTCCTCCAATCTTTTACTTTAGCTTTTTAAAGTATTTTAAGAACTTAGTTGTTTATTCGGTAAATATTCCTAACTAATTATATTACAACTTATTAATTTGTAATAATAAATAAAGAAAGAAATAATAAGTAGAAGTTCTATAAAATATTGTATAATTGCAAAAATTCTTTTAACAATAAGAAATATTGTTATCCTTTACTTTAATTTTAGAAATTTAGAATTAAAAATTACATTTACATTTACATATTTAAAATTTCACTAAATTTTGTCTGCCTTTTAAATTATTTTCTAAGGATTGCCACAACAAAACAATATTTATTTTTTAGTTTTTTATTTAACTAAAAAAAATAGCCATGTAAAATCATATAAAAAATACTTTATCATAGTATTAAACAGACAGATTTACAGAATAAGAATGTAAAAATGTAAAAAATATTTCTTTATATTTTTTATATTTAGTTTTAAATAGAAAAGAATATATTTTATTATTAGATGTAACATTATTAAATCTATCTTAAACTAAATTATTGATCTTATATATTTTTAATTATTATAAAAAAATGAGGGGTGAATTAAAATTGATTAAATAGATTCCCTTGATTTTAATTATAAAAGCAAAATAATAATCTGAGCTCGTATTAGGTTAAAAGAAGTGAATCTTTTTGGAGAATTTAAGATATTTACTGAAGTTTTAGATAGAAAAATATAATATTTAAAAAAGCATATGAATTAAAAGCTTCAGTAAAAATAATTGAGGCAAAATTCATCTTAAATTTATTTCTGCATCTATATAAAGCTTATCAAACAGATTCTCAACAGTCTTAGGCGACTAAGATATTTATTTAACTATTAAATATATAAATATATTATATATTCAACCATCCTACCATTTTGGCTCAAATGACTATTTTCGCTAAAAAAAAAAACATCATTTATGTTTTAATTTGTAAGATAAATCAAATGTATATAAAACTCATTAACTATTTGTTTGAAATATGAGAATAGAAAAAAAAATATTTAATATTGAATGAAAAATTACCCATTTATTTTTTTCAATTAGACATTTATATGTAATTAAAATAGCATTTTAATTTGAAGATAAACTCAAAACCAAACCTTTAAGCATAAACTAAAATCTTCATTTTATGCAATACACTTTTTATTGTAATTTTATTTTTATTAAAGATAACTATTTTGATACTTATTAAATGAATGAATCTCAATTTTAATTAGTAAATAATCATAGAATTAATTCATTTTATTTTAAAAATCTCACAATTTAATATTTTTTCTAATATAAATCTTCAATTTTAATTTCATTTTTAAAAATACATAAAGAAGTGAGATAAATATAATTTTTTGAGGTTAATATTTACTACTCAATTCATAAGTTTTATATTTTAGAATATTTTTATAGTTGCTTGAAAATAAGTAGTATTTATAAGAAAAATGTCATTATTTTTGATATAACTAAATTAATTATTATTTAACTAACTAAAGCAATCATAAAAATTATTTTTTGAAAAAAAATTTTTAAAATTATAATTTAAGTTGTTAATTCATCAATTTTTAGATTTAATAAAACAGATATTACATTTAAAATGTAGATAAATAAGTTAAATAAAAAAACTCCCCCACCGGGACTTGAACCCGGGTCTCAAGGGTGAGAACCTTGTATCCTAACCAGCTAGACTATGAGGGATTTATGAAATCAAACACTAAATTAAAGTGATAGCTAATAAAGTAAATGTAAATGCTTTATAAATAAATTTAAAAAAGCGCTCGATGTAGGGATCGAACCTACGACCTTGCGGTTAACAGCCGCATGCTCTAACCAGCTGAGCTAATCGAGCGATACAGTAATTTGTCTTAAATTAAAAATATAGATTATTTTTTCATTTTTAAAATTTGTATTAAAAAATATTTTATTAAAAAGCGCTCGATGTAGGGATCGAACCTACGACCTTGCGGTTAACAGCCGCATGCTCTAACCAGCTGAGCTAATCGAGCTTACAATAGTTAAAAAATAAAATTTGAATAAATTTAAAATGATAATTATTAATAATTTGTTAAAACTTAATTTTTATTAAAAAACTTTAAAAAAGTAAAATATAAAAAATTGATTTTATGAATAAATTAAAAAGAAAATTTTAAGGTGAGCTATTTAATTTAAAAGGAATTGTTAGGATTATATTAATACAATATTAATTTCTTTTCTTTTCTTAAATTAGATTATTCTTGATTTTTTTTTTAATAGAAAAAAATTAAATATTTTAAAATATCAGCTTAAATAATACCATTTAATAAAATATTTTTATTTATTTTTACAATAAAAACTAGGATTTTTTATAATTTATTTATTAAAAAAAAAAAAATTGATAATTAAAATAATTGAAAAATAAATTATAAATGACTAATTATTTATTAAAAAAAATTATTTTCTATAATTCACTAGTGTTTGATTTTTTTCAAAAATTATCTATTTGCATTGAATAACAATTAACCACTAAAAAATTTATGAGTACAGATTAAATTTATATTTAATTTACAATTTTTGGATAGTTACTATTATTTTTTTATATGTAAAAATCATGAAATTTTCGATTAAATTTCATCGAAAATATCTTGAATATTTATTAATTTTTGTTTAAATTAATTTTAACAACTTTAAAAATTTTTATAAATCAAAAAGGAAACTGAAAATTTAGAAAACTGAGAGTAGAATATATTAGTTTAAAACCAAATAAAAGCAAAAACTCTTTATAAAGTTAAATAGCATTGATTATATATTATGTCATAAACACAACACAAAATTTTTTTAGGAAATATTTATAAACTATAAATTATTATTTTATCATGCAACTTATCAAATATAAAATATCTCATAGAATCATCAAGCAAATTATTTTAAATTATTTCCATGAATGATTATTATCATTATTGCATCAAATTGTTTATGCAAAATTATGAAAAAATGGTATCAAATTGAAAATCTGTAAATTTAAAATAATAGGTAGTAATAAGTTGCATCCATATCCTAAAATAATTTATAAGAATAAAAATATAAATATTTTAAAAATTAACCATTAATTTACATAGATAATAGCGAGTAGAATTCGATATATATATTTTTCTAAAAATATTATTAGTTGTATAAAATGTCAGCATTATACACAAATATTTAATAAAAGCTTCATATAAAATGTATTAAAAACAGATTTCTTTATTTATAAAAGCACTTATCATACATTTAGGATATTAATATATAGTTATTCATTTTGTTTCTTTAAAAACAACTTAAACTTTATTTCAACTTGTATGATTGTACAATTATCACACCAAAATTGTTAAAATTTTAAGAAAATTGAGCACAATACTAAAACATATTCATTCTTTAATAAATAATTTAAAAGGTATATAATAGAAATTTTATTTAATAGTTAATTTTTTAAATGCGTATTTGTAAGATGTTTTGAATTTAGACATAAAACTTCCTTCATTAGCTTAGACAAAAATTTGAAGAGAAATTAAATTAAAAAATATTGTGATTTTTAGGAAAAAAAATAAAAGAAGTTTTAAGTAAAGTAGATCAATCCATTAAAATATTTTAGAGAAATAAGATTTTAGAATAAACAGGAATTTATTAAGAAAAAAAATCTTTCAGAATATATTTTAACTTCAGTAAAAAAGAAAAAAATAGAAAATTCAGGCAAAGTAAAAGAATATTAACTTGTTGTTTGAAAAAATTCGAAACACCTGCTTGTAACATTCAGAGCTACTTATATTTAACATTAACTTTCTTTTACATTTAATTTTGTGGAAAGCTCAGCTCTTAAATTGAACAAATTAATAAAAACTGACAAATTACTTTTAATTTAAAAGAAGTAAATTAATTATTAAAGTTAAATTTACTCAATTTCCACTAGTTTATTTGTAATAAAAAAATGTAATTTATTTATTGATTCTTCCTCTATAAACTAATCTTTACATACACAAAAAAAAACTGAGTGCATTTTGCTCTCTTGTCAAAAATAAATTATCTTTCTTTGATAAATAAAATTAAATTAATTTTATTTCATTCTATCTTTAATTTTTATAGCATTTTTATCAAAATATTTAGATATGAATTCATGCAAATATTATTTTGAAAATTAATTACATACATTTATTTCCTAACACTTGTTATTTAATTAAAAATAACATTCAATCAATTTTTTAATTTATTTTGAAATTGAAATTGAAATTTTATTTTGTTTCGATTTTAAATATTGTATTTAAACTCAAAGTAATTGCTAAAATTATTTTTTGGTAAAATCAGCATGCTAAAATTAAATAAATTTGTATTTTATTGCTTGATTTCAATATTTTGACTTCTAGACTTGATTTGATAAAATTTTAGTTATTCTTGCTTACAATTATTTATTATATAAATTAATAAAATTAACAAATTATTTGCATAGAAAAAAATGTGGATTTTATGATTTTATCATTCAAAAAAATGTAAAATAAAGCAGAACTAAAGAATTTTTTTTCTTTTATTTTTTTTACAAGGGTTAGTGTTAATAATATTATATCAGAAACCAAAGAATTACAATAAAAAAATTATAATTTCACTCTTTCTAAGAGCTAAAAGAAAGAAAAACAAAATAAAGTTACTTTCAAATAGAAAAATAAATTGTTAATCAAAAATAAGGCTTATATCATATTAATAAATTTGATTTAATTTCTGATTATATAATGACTTTAATGTATATTTATTAATATTTATTCCCAATTATATTAATATCACTGTAAAATATTATTAAAATCAAACAAACCTTCATCTTTTTTACTCATCATTTTTTAACTGAATAAATTTAAATTTCATCAAATGAGTTAGATTTCCTATGCTACCATTCAGCAGCATTGCTGTTTGCTTGGATTCTACTTATTTCGAAAGTAGAGTAAACATGTAATTCAGATATACTTTAAATGAAAGTTTCTATGCAAATTGAATGTATAACTTTTAATTTCAAATCTAAGCGCAAATAAATAAATAGATGACCAGATAAATTTGAAAAATTAAATACGTCAATAGAATTTCATATTTAATAATTAAAATCAAGCACCTTTAATATTAATAAGTTGCATGTGTTTGCTTATAATAATATTAATTGTTGAGCTGTATTAATTGGTCAGCCAAGAAATTAAAAATTTTGATAATCATTTAATAAAATAAAAATTAGACTTTTACAAGATCTAAGAAAAATTAAAAAGAAGTAAAGTACAAACTAATATCTTTTTAAGTTCTATCTATAGGTTTAAAAGCACTAAGTAAATAGAAGAAGTTTATACTAAAATTAATTATAATTTGCCATAAATGATTGAGTTCAACAAAGAATGTCTTATGGACATCCTTAAAAATCAAGATTACCATTTTTATATGGTCATTCCTTTGATTTTCATAGGTCTCTACGCACTTTATATTAAAAAATTCAAATACTACAATCCTATTGAAAAGCAAGAATGGGATGATAGACGCTCTAACGTCAAGAGAGGTAACCCACCTCCAAGCTATCCTAATGGTTGGTTCAGAGTTTGTCACAAAAATGAACTCTAAATTGGTCAATCTAAGTTCTTCAAGCTTAATGGTCGTCACATCACTGTTTTCCGCGGTGAAGATGGTATCCCTTATGCTTTACATGCTTACTGCTCTCATATGGGTGCAAATCTCGGTATTGGAGGTAAAGTTAAATGGAACTCTTGTATTGAATGTCCTTTCCATGGATGGTCTTTCGACGGTAAATCAGGTAAATGTGTTAACTCTGAACATTTAGATGAGAAGTAATGTACCCACCACACCTATCACGACATCAAGAAAATGACCAAGGGTTCTGACAACAGATACATTAAAACATGCGAATCTGGTTCTCCTTCCTAAATCTAAAAATTCCATGTCCGTCAATAAAACAATTTAATTTATGTCTGGTTCCATGCTAAAAACGTCGACCCTTACTATGAACCTTTTGAAATTAATGAAATTCCTTATCTTGAAGATAGAGGTGAAACTGCCGACTATGTTAATTGCTAAATCCAAGAAATCCCTGAAAACGGAGCTGATTTCAAGCACTTTGAATACGTTCACTACGCTTGGATCGAAATACTTTTCCCATGGATTAAATTCAAGTGGGTTCCTAAGGATCGTAAACCAACTGATAAGGACTTCGATGAAGTAATGAGAACTCACCCCAACAAAAAGGTTCAAGCCTTTTCAAACAAGCTCTTCGACAAGTACACTAACGAATAAAATAAAACTCACATCAATAACCTCGTCTTGGATGCCTATCTTGTCTTCTTTGATAAATTTGAATTCTACATCTAAACTGCAACAGTCTTCTAATTAGGTTCCGGTACTGTATTTTTATTCTTGAAATTCCCCTTATGGGAAGCTGTTGTTGTCTAGAGTGTTACTCCTGTTGGAAAGTTCAATTAACTTGTTCACCACAAGATGTACACTTCCTGGTGGTTACCTTACTGGGTCTCTGCTTATCTCCTAGCTGGTTTTAGAAAGTAATTCATTTCTGACAAAATTGTCTGGAATAACAAAATTTTTGCTGACAAGCTTACATACAATCCTAAAGCTGTATTTGATGAGAGACTCCTCAACTGGAGAGAATGGTATTCTCAGTACTACGAAGGCTGCGATGAATTCGAAAAGAACCAAGAAGCTTTTGACTGGTGATTTAGATGTAGCATTAATCAATCGTTTGTTATATTTGACTTCACTGAATATTTAGTTTAAATATATAAATAAATATAATCCATGCATTATTATAAAATATTTTTCAAATACAATCTATAAATAAAAAATAGATTTCTTTTTAAAGTAATAAAAATAAATTTCATAAATACATGTAATTAAATATTTAGTTAGTTAGTTAGCTAGTTAGAAATTTTTAATTTTTTCTTTTAATCAAAATTAAAATTGATGTCAATTTTGCATGCATGTGAATACTGTAAACCCATTAAAAAATTCATTTACTTTATACTTTCACTAAATACCATAAAATATTAAGTAAATTTTATCTTAAATCTAATTAATTCTTAGTTTTCAAAATGTAAAATAAAAAATATTAAAGCAATCCAAATTTTGATAAAAAAGAATATTTCTAGATAAAAAAGCATAAAAAGATTGCTTAATTATAATAGAGCAGATATACTAAATAAAAATACTTAATAGTATATAATAAATACCCATTTTTAAATTTAAAAATAGTTTTTAACTCAAAAATATTTGATTATTTTATTCTACATATAACCTTATTTATTAATCAATTAATTATTAATTTTATATAAGCAAATATATTTATTATTTTGTATCTTTATAGTAATATAGATCAATTTATTAATTAATTAAGCCTACTTACTTTAGTCTAATTGTTTGTCTCTACATTCAAAAAGTTAAATATGGATGATAATCTTCACTTTTATTTTCAAATCCAATTCTTAAAAGGAATTTTTTAATTTTAGAATGTATAATTTATTAAATAAATCAATGCAAAACCATTAAACCAAAATAATTAGTTGAATCTCCTGCATTTTATAAAATTTATTCTCACTTTTATACTTAAGACATTTCTGCTTATTACACACATTATTTTATTTTTTCAGCGATTTCCTAATAATAAAAATAAAAATAAACATTTTGCATGCTAAAATATTTAATTTACATCACATTCTTAAGATAAATTATTCATTTCTTAATCTTTTTTTTAGTATTTACAACTTAAATATTATTTTAAATTTATACTACAACTTAATTATGCTGTAATTTCTTTTTCTTTTATTTAATCTTCTCTCATTTAAGGATAAATTGATTAAAATAGTTAATTTATCATGTTATTTTCAATTATTTATTTCTATTTTATTTCATTTTGTTAGTCCGAAGTCATCGCTTTATAGAAATACTTGACTTTCTGCTAAAGTTTGAAAATGTTCGGCACACAGTTATCACACATTTTAATTTTTTAACTAAATTAATTTGATGATAAAATTTAATTAAGAGTTTTTATAATAATAATATTTTAAATTTCTTGAAAATTCTAGATTTGTTTTGAAAATAGTAAATATTTTTGATAACAATACATACAATAGCTAATTTTAATGTAAATCATTTATGTATTTGACTTTTAAAAACTTAAATTATTTTTTTTTTACTTGTTTAATAAATTTACTTACCAGTTGATGTCAGGAAACTCTTATCTTAAAAATTCAGTCTCAGATATTCTAAATAATTTGTTAAAATTTTAAATTAATTTCGCTAATTAAACTATTTACAATCTTTTAAATAAATATCTAATTTATTGAATTTTACAATAAAGTATCTACAAAACTTTAGAAATGGACTAGTCAAAAGAATTTCCCATCAATGTAGCTTATATGCATGGCAGTGATAGAGGGCATAGCTGTGGATATTGCAAAAATAAAACAGGTAAGCTTTAGTTAGTTTTTCTTGAATGATTCTTAAGATTTTGATTCATTTATTTAAAAAGGAAGCTTTACATATGGATTTGATACCACATAAATGAAACCTGAAGTTTATAAAAGCTTAATGGATTGCGGCTGGAGAAGATGTGGATCATATTTTTATAAACCAGATTTGTTTAAAAGTTGTTGCAAATCATACACAATTAGGATGAATGCTACTTAGTTTTAAATCAAAAAGTCATAGAAAAAAGTGATGAAAAAATGGAATAAGTTTATTTACTCAAAAAATCCTATATCTAGCGATACAAAGATGCAAGAAGAGAAAAAAAGCTAGCCAAAGGATTAAGAGAAAGATAATAAAATGAACAAAAGCTAGGAAAAAATACAAAAAATAGTAAATTATTCAGTTTAGGATGAGCAATAAGTGGAATTAAGAGAATAAATGATCAGCTTGGCTTAGGGTTGTGAAGTTTCAAAAAGTTTGATTATCAAAGAATTGAACAATCCTTAAATTCAAATTGCCCAAGTTTCATTTATTAAAAAAGAGATACTTGATGTTTTTAAAATATTGCCATCTAGGTGTCCCAAAAAAGGAACATATTTTACAAATTACTTTATGCTCTTTTTTGCAAAAAATAAGGAAGCTTTATAAGGCACAAAGCCTAACTTTTTTATAGAAAGCTGCTAAGAAGTCTTGAAGCCTCTTTTTGAGAGATTTATCAAAGATTTTCTTTACGAAATAGATTTGAATGGATAAATTAACTTTTTTGAGAGAAATCCCTCATATTAAAAGAGCAAAGATTAGACTGAATAGCAAATTGAGGAAAAAAATGAGGCCAATAATGAAAAACCTCAATCATCTGAACAAAAAGTTGAAGATAAGTCTAATAAATCTATATAAAATACAAATAATACTATGCAGGTAGTAAGCTAGGAAGAAAACAATATGGAAATTGAAAATAAAAGTATTAACACATCTTTTAGTAAAGGAACAGTAAAAGCAATAGATTTTGTCAAAAAAGGAAAATAAAATAACAAACATGAAGAATCTTTCAAAGACGATAAAGTTAAAAAAGAGTAAGAAGAAGAAGAAGGATTTGATTAATTCCATTGGGACACAGATAAATTCACTTCTACAGAAATTAAAAAGGGAAGATTAACAATAAAGGTCCAGTTAGCTAAGTGTGATTAACAAAATTTCAGCATGTACCAAAAGTACTGCAATGAAATTCATGAAAAAGCAAAAGAATCTATGGATGGATTCAAAGGATTTTTATGTGAAAAGACCATTTCCTTTAATATGAAAACCTCAGAAATTAATAAGGATTATAAACTAATGTTAGGCTGTTTTCACATGAATTATTTCTTGGATAATGAATTTATCGCAGTTGGTGTTGTTGATCTATTTGAAGATAACTTATCATCTGTTTATTTTTATTATGATCCTAAATATCAAAATTACTCTCTAGGTGTAGTGGGAGCTATCTATGAAATTGAGTACGTTCAATAGTTAAGCAAGTTTTTCCCTAAGTTTTAGTATTACTACTTGGGATTCTATATCTAAGACTGTTAAAAGATGGTATACAAAGGCGATTATGGTCCAGCTGAGCTTCTCTGTCCTCGTACCTATAAATGGTATCCACTTGATGAAAAAATAAGAAAATTCATAGAATCTAAACCAAAAGACCCCTCTTTGGCCCCACCATAAGAATAAATTGATGCAAAAATGTCTCACACAACAAATCTAAAAACTTTATAAAAATTTGTAGAAGAAAAAACAAGAACTGCTCTTTAAGGATAGATAATTCCTAGCAAACAATTCTTTTCATTTTTTAACTAGAATCTCAAAAATACTTTCTTTGCCGTAGCTTCAGTTATCGATCAAAACTTATATCCAACTCTTTTGTTTAATTTTTCTTAAAGTTGAGAAAGAAATCTTTCTTTCATTTCTCAGTATAAATAAATATTATTTAAAAAAGAGAATAATTTGATATTTTATCTGTTCAGCTAAATATTTTTGTTTTTAAATTTCCTAAATAAGCAATTTTATTTTTTATCATAAGTTTTAAATATTTTATTTTCATTTCTCACTGAACTCATATATTTTAATGTTTTAGTATTTAAAATCGATTTATTTAGTAACAATTATACTTTGCCAATTAAAACAAAAAAAGTAAATAGCATCAGATTTATTTTAAATACATTTTTGTCTCTTCTATCTTTAAACAAACTGCTTTCGAATAGAAAAAATTAAGATTTTTAATAAATTTGATAGAATATACTAATTAATGAATAATTCCAAAGATTTCCTTTCAAATTTAAGCTATTTTTTTTCTCAAGATTACTATCAATTTTAATTCAATCATTTAATAATTATTTATTTATTTATTTACTATCTTGTAATATTTTTTATAAGTGCACTTTAATTCCTTTTAATTTCAACGAACAGATCCCATTTTTAAAAAGCACTTTTTATTTCAAGCTTATATCATTTCTGCACTGTTATCCATTAATTAATAGATTTTTGTCTGTATCAGAATTAAAAATAATTTAATAAAATTAAAAGAATTAATAAATAAATAAAACGAAAAAATAAATAATTAAAAGCTTTCAAAATTTAAATTGGGGTCAATAATACTTTTTAAAAAAATAGAATTATTTTTTTAAAAAGAAAGAAAATTTAAAATTTAAAAAACCAGTATTTAATAGTTTGTAACAAGCCTAAATATAGATCTTTTTAAGCATAAATATAGATTAGTTATAATAGAACAAAATAAATAAATAATTAAGTTAGTAAGACTAAAAAATAAAGTAAGAAAAAGAAAGCTAATAGAACAATTCACGTAAAAATTTACTTCATATTTTATATTAAAATAGTGTAAAATATTAATAAAGAAAGTAAATATTAATTAATATAATTATTACAGAATTTAAAGTAAGATCAAGTCAAGTCGATAAGATTTCTAGTTTGCATAATTGATAATAAAAAAATATATTTAAATCATCAAAAAATTATACTAAATGAAATATAAATAAAATACAAAGACTCTCTCACTTTTAACATTCATTTTAATCTAAATTATTAAGTTAGCTGATGCTTAAACTAAAGGATTTATGAATTAGCCTGGTGTAATGCAATTTGGATATAACTAGTTAGCATACGTTTAAGTGGATTAAGTTCAAAATGAAAGTTTTTTAGAATTCATTATCAATATTTCAAGTAATGTCCCAAACTAATAATTTAAAGATTACTGCTTTTTGCTATTAATGAGCCCTAAATTAATTTAGCAATAAGATTTTATTACTGATGTGATATACAGTTAAAACAAGTTTTCTCCATTCATGAGATTTGTATAAAATTACTAGGTTTTAAATGTTGATTTTGAAGGTTTAGCTTCTGGTAGCAAAGTTTTATTCTTAGATTATCCATAGGATTAATACAATATCTAGCAAACCTTGTATTATTATATACTTGGCCCTTATAAGTTCGCAACATCTGCTCCTATTTCATCACCTCTAGGAAGCAATAATCTAATAAAAAGTTTCAATGGTTCATTCACAATTAAAAATTAGATGAGTTGCTTAAATAATTGCAGCAGTAATATTGGATAGGGCTAATGCAACAACTCTGATCCTTTTAATACCTTTTGTGTATGCCAAGCTGGTTTCATTGCAAGAGATTGTAGTGTAGCAGCCTAATAAATTAATATAGGTAAATATAATTTCAATAGATTCATAAAATAATCTAAACATTTTTTATATACATTTTTTTTTTCGTTTACTTCTTCTCTAAAAATAAGTCTATATTAATTAGCACATAAAAGAGATTAATTTATAGAAATTTAATTTCTATTTTAACAATTATGAATAAATAATGTTCGTTTTATCAAAAAATGATTCTAATTTAACATTTTTTTAAATTAGGTGATTCTTCTTCTATGATAGTAGTCCCTTCTGAAACAAAAGTATACCTTTATTTTGATATAGACCAAACCAATTACTCTGTAGGCTAAATTTTAATCGTGGAAGCTTCATTCACTAATGATACAGAAGGGTATATGATTTCAATATAGCAAGATATAGAAAATTAAAACTATCTTCCAGACTACTTTCTTTGGCTCGCAGCAAGACTTAATACTTAAGTCGGTAAAGTAATAACAAATAAAAGCTAATAATTCAATTTAGTCGTAACCCCTTAAACTTAAGGAGCAAGAATAATTGTTTTGTTTGTATCTAATGATAACACATAATTGAAATTTTAAGTTTATCCATTTTCGGGTGGATCTGGTGGTAGCAGTCTGATAATTCTATACATAATTCTAGGTGCTCTTGGTTTCATAGTGCTTGTTTACATTATTTATATTGCTCGTCGTTCTAAAATGATTAGAAGGTCAAATTAATGTAAAATTAAATAACCAAAAAATTAATAATCAATTAATTAATTTATTTTTTAAAAAAAACTAGAAATGGCTTAAAATTTAGCTAATTAGGCTAACCTTTAAGCTTAATAGTAAGGCAGGGGCAGATAAAATTAATAACTGTAAAAGCTTACAATTGAGCAATTAAATGAGTTCATGCCTACATAGAGTTTTGATAAAACTATGATGAAAGCACCTTCAAGTGAACTATGTGCTGTCTGTTTAGAGGAATTTGTTATAAACAAAGACTAAGTTAGAGTAACAATATGCCAGCATATTTTCCATCATGAGTGCCTTGAGGAATGGTTAAAAAAGTAGTAGAACTGCCCATCATGCCGTTAAGAGCTGACTCTTTAAAGATTAAAAGAATTCAAATAGAATCCTATTATGTATTAAAACTTTTAAAATATAGCTGTTAAATCAGGTGCCATACATCCAATCAATGATGTTTAACTGCCAGCTGCTTAAATTAGAAATGATGACTAAATACAGCAAAACTAAATCTTAATACAACAACAGTAATAAGATAGAGAGGTTCATGAAGCTCCCCCAAGACTGTAATAAAATCAATAAATTATTTAAGGTGATAATTTAATTGATAGAGTTTTATAAAATAATAAGATGATGAAAGGAAAGAACCATGACAGGGTATAAGCAAATTTAGTTTAAGAAGAAGAAGAAAATCAAAATATGAATGTAAATAACTATAATATATTAAATTAATAACAATTATAAAACATGTTTAATCCACTCGAAGACTGTACAAATGTGAATAATTCCTTGGCAGTTCACAAAGCTGCATAAAATATTGAGTAAGACAGATAAGAAAATTAAAACAACAATGAAAAAGATAAAGAAAGAAATATTCATTTATGAAATTTAATCCAAAAAAATTAAATTCCTACTATTATAAAAATTAACTTTGTTACTTTTAAAACTTGTTTCTAATACACTATTTTATAAATTCATGTAAGTTTATTACAAATAAATTATTTATTTATCTTTAAATTATATTCTTTCTATCGTTTCACCATTAATTTGTTTAATTAATTTACATCCCTTAAATAAATTTTTATCCCAACAAAAAATAGTTTTTTTCCATACTAAGAATTATCAATAAATAATTAAGGCTGGTAATAAACCCAAAAATTTAGGCTCAAGCCAAATATCATCAGCTGTTTTAAATTAAATAGTTTAAACATTTTTAATATTATGAAATTATATGGTATATTAATATTCTTTATTGTAATAAGATAATTTTGATGATTACTATCTATTAAATATAATCAATTATATCATGAATTTTTTACATTTAAATTAAGTCAACTTTTTTGTAAAAAAATTAAATTTTACTAAATTAAATGTGTTTTTGTGGTAAATTTGTAAATATTTTAATTTAAATTTCATCTCATACTCTATAGCATTTATTTAATCATTTATTAATTAATTTTATCAATTTAATTTTTAATATTTTCAATCAAATAAATTTAATTAACATAATATTTTTTCCTTTCAAATATTAAGCTAGAAAAACAAATAGAATTTTACAATAAAATTAATTGTTAAAACAAAAATTATTAAATTCTTATATTAGAAAAATGAAAACTTCCATCTAGTTTTTTACTCAATTCGACCATTTAATTTTTATGATAATAAAAATTGCTTGCTTTAAATTAATCATTCGATAACTATTAATTTCAAATTTTCTTCTCAAAAAAAGTAAACTAAAGTTGCCTAAATTTGATATATTTAAAATTGTAAATTTGTTCATTTATTATTAATTTCAAATCAACTTCCATATTTTTGAATCATTTTTTAATAATATTTTTTACTTATTTTTTAATTAGCTACAGTAGTATATTAAATGTTTAAGATAAATTTTAATAAGTAATACTTACATAAAATAAAAGCTTTTGGTTGGCTAATAGGAGATTAATATTTAATAAAAGATAATCTTACACCTAAATTAAAAAATTATTTACGTAAGAAATAAGAATGCTTACTTTCGTATTTTAATAAAAGAATATCAAAGTATATCTTTAAATATAACTAAATTTGCATCTTTCACCTAAATATTTTATTTATTAATAAATTCTTTTTTATTATTTATTTTTAGATAAATTAAATTTTAGATGCTGAAATTTATTTGGTTTTAATTTTGCATCTGATTTTTTTCTTTATAGACCTAATTTAGATAAAAAATAAAATAAATATAATATTTTGAAATTTTTGATTATTGTAAAAGGAATATTTTTTATTTTATAAATACTTTTGACCTTTGATTATGATTTATTCTCCTAACTCACTAATTGTTAAAAGTAAAAAAAAATTGCTTCCTTATTAAACAAAAATCCATTTACTATTATGTGTTTACTAAAGTCAAGTTAGACATTTTTATTAGAATTATTACTTGAAAAATTATTGTAATTTCAAAGCATAAATACAAAAAAATCAATCAGCCTTAATAATCAAACTAAAAAATTAAGAAAGATGCTAAAAGCTTACTAGTCTTAAAGATTTTTATAATTAATTTTTTATTAATAATCTAATGGACTATTTATTTAAAAAACAAAGAGAAAACCAAAAAATAAAAATATTGAGATTTTAATGGATTAATTTTAATAAGCCTTATTTCTTATAAATTTCTTTAAAATATACCTGTAAAAAAAAGTTATGTGAGTAAGAAATTGCATACAAAGAGCAATTTGAACAAACTGTATCATAAAGTGATTCCATTTTGTGTTTAAATACTTTAGCAAGTATTTATTGCATTTTATAGTTTCAGTTGAGATTTTATCAAATTTTTTTAATAAAAAAATGTAAGATTATTTTCATATCAAATCTTATTACATTATAATTTTTGAGAAAAAAATTAGATCATTTTATAAGGTTGAGTAGGATAAAATAAAGAAAGGAATTTAATTTTAAAAAATAATTTAATTTCAAATTGAAGATTTCATAAAAAAAAAATAAAATGAAGTACAATATATTATTAGTATTGATATTCTCAGTTATTTTTAAAAATACTCTATCAATATGTACAATAAACAACATATAACTGAATTCTTTTAATATATAAAACACAATGTGTGATAGAGTAGTTCAATACATATACGAAATAGATTCTACAGTAATAGGTTCTTCATTATCTTTTGATGTTACTTTCAAACAGAATTTCTAATAGGGAAATTAAGGAAATAATTACTCTTAATATGTTTTATTTGCTACTTCTATCATTATAGAAAACCCTGTTAACTTTATAATTGCCCAAATAAGTTCTTGGGAGTAAAATAAAACAGTAAATAGCAATATAATAGATTTAGACCATAACAAATATTTTGTGGATAGAAAAGATTTAAGGGTTGTTATTAATTTAAATGATAATAATATTAATAACAATATCGGGAAGAACTTATATTTTTATCTTATAGATCTAGGATTAGTTGATAAGAATATTCCTTTAAGTGATACTTAGTCTATTGAATAATACTATATTCTAAGAACACAAAATAGTTGTCTAAATAATTGTAATAATTAAGGAATTTGCTCTTTATCTACCTGTAATTGCCAAGAAGGAAAAGTTGGAAAAGATTGCAGTGTTAATATTTAGGAAATTAAATAAAGTAAATTTTAAATTAAATACCATAAATAAATTTGGCACCTTACACTTTTTAAATACTTTAATTTACATTTAGTTGTATAAATTAAATTAATATCTTTTTTATTAATTAGATTTTAATAAAGAATATCCTCTATATAATCATCCAATTAATTATTTTTTTATTGACATTCAAAACCTTACTAACGATTACATTTAAAAGTCTTAAATTTAGTTCTCAGCCGATTCAAAAATTAGTCTCAAAATATTAAATCTATTAGATTTTTCAGCTAATTTAAATTAAACTCTTAGCATGCTCTCCTCACCTATATTAGAAAAAGAAAAATCAAGCATCAGTTTTAACTTAAATGAATTACTTTAAACTTATAAAAATGCTAAAATAATTGTATTTTAAGTAAGCTCCCAAAATGACGCTTCAACAGTTTAAATTTAAGTTAATAGCTAATAAGGTTAGCAATAAAATAATTTTACTACGTTTTATATTTGCATCGGTTCAATTTCGTTTGGATTAGTGTTAATCGTTGTGATTCTGATGTAAATTTGTAAATATAAAGAAAGATAGAGAAAGTTCTTCTAAGGATTAGGTAATTTACATTTTTTTTGATTAAGAACACATTTTCAAAGCTTAAATAAATATTTATTTTTAATAATTATTAGCCAGACAATAAACTATTCAAAATGAGAGAAACTATTACAATGAGATCTAAGTGTAAACAAAGATACACTCAAATACTTAATAATAAGATGTCAAAAAATATTTACCTTCAATTTTATTCACTGAAAAAATAAAAGCAGTATACCAAGTTGCTGATTTTCAATGTTCAGTATGTCTTGAAGAATTTGTTGTTGGAAAAGATTAAATAAAAGTAACAATATGCAACCACATATTTCACGATGCTTGTTTAGATGAATGGCTAACTAAATTTTAAAATTGTCCCCTTTGCCGCCAATAACATTCACTTTCAATAATTAAAATGTATTTTGATAAAAACTCAAAAATAGATTAGAAAAATTCAAGTAGTAATATTTCATTTGAAAATTAACCTGAAATACCAAATGAATAAATTGCAAACATTGACTTGAAAATTCAAAATAAATAAAACATTATAAATTAAGATAAAAATATTTAACATCTGAATTAATAATTAAATATTGATGTTTCAGAAATTTAAAACTCATTAATCTTAAAACCATTATAAATAACTTTAAATTCTCCAAAATTTGAAAAGTAATAATCTTATTAAACATAGCAGAGTTTGATTAACTCGACACCACAGAAAATCTTTAGATAGAGATCGTTTATGATGATAAATAGTCCTTTATATCAAAATTCTAAATAATTGTAAAATTTAGATGCTCAAATAATGAGCAGATAATCTTCGTTTGAAAAAAATAATTAGCAAAATCATACTTTTAGTACTATTTATAAAGCCTCTTATTGTGTTTCATAAAAAGAATCTCAACCAATAAAAGTTTGATATCAAAATATTAAAGTATTTTAAGATTGTAAGTTTATTCTGACAATTAAGAGATCTAACTAATTAAGCAACTTGAATCAAAAAAATATAAGCTACTTGGCCCATGAAAAAATGTTTAATGTTTTTCTCGATGATAGCTATAAAATATATAAATATAATTTATTATTTCGGAAAGCAATAAAATAAATAATTTTAATAAAGTGTATAGTATATAATATTAACTATTTAAAATTATTTGTAAATAAACAATTTGTAGATATTCACATAAAGTTAGTTAATATAAATATATATAATAATTATAATATTCATACTTTTTTAAATAAATTTTACGATTTTTAAAGAGGGTGAGAGAATAAAATTAATTGAGGCATTTTAATATCTTATACTTACGTTATTTCACTCAAATATTATAATTTACTTGGTTTATTTTGAACTTTAATTTAATGCATATTTTGATTGAGAATGAAAGACTATTCGTTTTAAATAATGAATGAATAAATATATAAAATATGAACTATTAAATATTAGCAAGCATAAAATAAAAAAAGTATTTATGCTATCAATTCTAGACAAAGATAATGTTTTTAAGAGAAAATATAAAAAATAAAATAGAAATGCAAAATTAGAGGAAAATATTCGCTTGAATAGTTAAAGGAAGATGGGGAAATAAGTGCAGAGAAATTTAAAAGAAAATATTTGTAAGCAATTTAAGATGATTTAATTACCTAAGATTATTATTACTGCTGCTTAAATTGTATTTGTATTTATATTAAAAAAAAGAAGGAATTTAATGCGAGCATATTATTAAATAATGAATATTTTCAAACAAACATGATGAAATATTTACTAAATAATCAAATTGGGGATTTGTTTTTTTTATTTTTTTGTTTAATTGATAGAATGAAAGCCAACGAAGTATGTGTTTTATTTATTAATTTTTTTGAATAAATTAGATAAAATATTATGATTGCCTCTCTTATTTAAAAATAATTCATCAATTTGAGTTATTTTATCAAATTATTATTGAAAATAAATAATACTCTTAATTACTGCAAATTATATTAAAAAGCGTATAACAACAAGATTAAAATCTTCATCTAAATGGATTTTTTATTAAAAAAATTTTTTGGTTGCGTGAAAAATATTTGCATAAAATTCATCAATCCGTAAGCGATATATGAATGAATATTTAATTTTTAGGCGAATATCTAGCATACAGTAAATTAGAAATTAATATTTTTTTGGATGGTAGGCAATTATCTGATTTTTATTCAACTGCTAAATAGTACTTTTTGATAAAGAATTATACCTATGACACCCGTAATAGAAACTTTAAAACTGATGTCTTAAATATGAATAGAAATAAATAAATAGAGCATATCCATAAGCAAATTAAAAAATCAAAGTAATAGAAGAAACATAGTCTGAGAGATTATTTAATTCAAGGTTTTTAAAAAAGGGGTAAGTTAAAAATAGTTGAAGATAATATTTTGATTGGGTAATGCGGCAAAAAAAGTTGTGGGAATAAGACAATTAAAAAATTAGAGAGAGAATATTTGCAAATTTAATCAGTTGTAAAAAACCTACGGATATGATATATTTAAAATTTTTTATTTACAGAAAACTAAAATAGAAGATTTAAATAAGGGCTTTGAATTTAAAGTATAAAGTATATCACATATAATAGAATTTTAAAAGGCCTTTCAAGAAATTAGATAAAAATATTTCTTATTTTACAAAATATTTTATTTGGTTTTTTACATGCTAAATCTGTAAAAAGTTGATACTTTAGAGTTGGAATTCAATTTGTGTTCAGAAATAACAAGCTATTTTTATAAATTTTACAAAAAATCTTTTTGTATGGATATTTATTGATGAGATATTTCTTTTTCCTTTCTCAAATAGGATAAGGGATTTTTAAAAATAAAGTTATAGCTAATTAAATAATAATAAATCAAAAAAAAGAAGCACAGCTAGCAAAACAATCAATCAATCAATCAAACAAATAAATTCATTCAATTTTACATTAAAGCACGATCGGTTGAGGCAAGTCCTTAAACACTTTTTGATAATTTGTAATCAATAATTAAAAAGTAAGAAAATCAGTTCTTGTATCTAATAAAGCAGTAAAAAAAAACATTAACTCACCTAAAACAAAACAATAAATTAATAAAAGATAGATAGATAAATAGATAGATAGAGAAACATCAAAAAATCAAGCAAAAAATCTTTGATTTCTCATCTGAACAAAAATAAATAAGAAAACAGATATTAATCACTTATTTCTATTATATACTAGCTACTCTCTTTCGCTAGCTCCACTTATCCATTTTCTTCGTTTCTTAGATAAGAATAAATAACTCAATAAATATTCCATACTTATCTAAACTTTGCTACCATCAGCTTTATTACCCTTACTCTCTATCTCCGAATTTTTTTCGCTTCCTTTTCTTTTACACATATCCCTTTAATCTTACTCTCATTCATTAGTCGTGTTGAAATTTTTAAATGGATACCGCAGCATCTTAAATCATCTCTTAAGCTCAGATTTAATAGATATTATAAAATAATCCTTACACATAACATTAAGATTTTCGCTTTGCTAATCTAGCTTCATCTTCCTTTGTGGGCTCATAAAATGAACCTTAATCTCCAGTTGTCGTAGGAAACGGATTTAATAGTTGTAATAGCTTTGCTAAAGGAGGAACCGACCAATTTAAAGCCTTCTCAAATTTAGGTACTCCTCTTTTTATCAACTAGTAAAATGCCAAAGGAAATTAATTCTAAAAGACGGATTCACTGATCAGTAAATCTAACTAAGAGACATCTTAGAACTAAGGATTTTAATCCTCTACTAATAGTATTCCTTAATTTAATATTGGTAGTGATAACTAAATACCGTCAAATAACTAAGCAAATAACCCCAGCAGTATCAGCAACAATGTAAATATTCCAAATCATAGCTCTGAAAATCCTCGAAACGGAGCCTAAAACACCCTACTATTTAATAGTTCTCTTCCTACTTTTGATACAATTGACTCTTCATAGAATTTAAATCCCTAATTAAACTAAAATTTAAGCAATTAATTCTAATAAAATTTAAATTCAATCAATATCAACTAACCATTTATTAAGTAGAGCACATCAGGAACTATAAATGGAAATGCTTTAAACTAACTTTAACAGTAGTAGTTGATAAATTTATTAGCTCTGCAAGCTTAATAGCCATTATAGCTCCCAGCTTAGTTAAATAGTCTTAATGGCTTAGCTATTAATAGTGGAAAATAAATTATTCCTTCAGGAATTGATAAATATTAGTAAGAAAATCTAATAAACATGTAATTGCTTGCTAAATAAGGAAATCCTAATTAATTAATTTAAATTCTAAATGCATAGTAAATTTAGTAATAGCAATAACAATAGCAGCTGCTATAAGCTTAATTATTAGCAAGTTAGCCAGACCTTCTGGCTCATCAACAAAATTTATTGCTGCTCTTACAACAATAAATAAACAATTAAAATAATTTTAATTCCATAAATACTAACAATAATATTATTTAACCCTGCCTCGTAGAAGAAGAAGAGTCTGTAGAAGAAGATGAGCTATCAAAAGAAATTCCTGTTAAAGACGAGCATTTAAGTCATCCAGATGAAAATGAAATAATTTAGTAAGATAATTCCAAATTTCCAAATTAAATACCATAAGGCAGCGGCATAGGATTAATTACTGCTTTATTAAATGACAAAAACAGAAATCCTAATCGATTTGTAAACACCCTATAGATTCCTTAAATAAATCAATAAATACCTTTCCCATCTTTATAGAATATGCGTCATTCCATATCTGAAGCCCGTCAAATTACAAATGATATGAGTGCTGAAGAAAACGAGGATGATGATTCAGAAAATGGTGATGGAGAAGGAGAAGAGAGCGATATTTAGAGAATTCGTCGCACTCATGAACAATAGAAAAATCTTTTAAAAAGTCTGAATAAAGTATATTCTATGTAAATAAATACACCAAGGACAAAAGACGGAGAATTCTAATCTCCTGCTACTCCTTAGGAATAAAAAAATGCAAAATTTATTAATCCCCTTTGCCAAGAGTACTAAAAAATTTTATACGGAAACCAACCTTGCACTGAGGGAGAGATTAAAATAAGATAAAACTTTTACATTGCTGAATAAAGAAAGCACTTATTAAATCTTCCCTTAGACTACAAAAGTATATTTTCAGAGAATCTTATTTGCCTCGTGGAATCAATTCATAAAAATTCTATTATTCGTAGGAATCCTCACCTACTATATGGGTCTATTTCAGCTACTGGTAGACCATAGTCTAATTCATTTTCTTCTTAAGCAACAACTCGTATCTTTGAAACTCCAGGAATGCAACCATAGCTAAAGATCGAAGACCATGCTTTCCCTAATGAATTTTCCCTCAACGGCGGAAGTAATGGTGGCTTCACACTTAGAAATAAGTTGAAAAAGGTAGAATCAGACAACAACTAAAATAATAACAACAGTCTTTTGCTCTCCAACAACCAGAGCTAGTAAGATGATGACGTATCGTCAGACTCTTTTGGTTAGAATATTGATATAAATCAGATGAGAGCCCGCCAATTATCTAACATAAGCGGTTTTTCAGCAAATGGTAATTCACCAGTTTAAGTTCGTCATCACAAGTAATCTTTTACAACAAACTTCCCCAACACTCCAGTATTGAATTCTTCACCTTCACAGAGTGCAACAAATGTTTAAGAAAGAACTCTATTAAATCTTTACTCCTCAAATTATACAAAGGACAAAGATAGAAGTAGATAGTTTGCAACAGCTAAAAATACTTAAGGAAATAGATCTAGAGCAAACACAGAAACTTCATTTGGAAATCCCTAATCTCCTACAGCAAATAATGCTTTAAGCCCAGGAGGTGTTTAAAAAAGGTCAAAATATCATAACTTAACCAAATTGTTTATGTACTTTTTGCTTTCTCTGTTTTAGGCAGAGAATATGGAAAGACTTGGAGTACCTGAGCATATTTAATAAGAGCTCATAAAATGTGTTTAAAATGTAAAAAAAACTGCTAAAAAGAAAATAAAAAATAAAAACTTATAAAAAACAGACTTTTTTAATCATACTCACTATAATGCTCTTTTCTTGCATCTCAACAAAAACTCCTTGCGTGAACTTTAAAAGAAGGAAAAAGACATTTAAGTTCATAAGCAATGTTATGGATTAGATCTGACAGATATTGACATCTAAAGGTTAGAATATGTAAATATCCTAAAGAAATTTGCTTATGAAATAGTGACAAACACATTAGAAGCACCTAATGAAGCTGAATGTGTTAATAACCCTAGAAATGAATACATGCTCAAAGCTCTGAGTGGTATTCGTTAGCTTGCTTAAGGAAACGTGATCTTCAGATTTTAGCAAGTTTATGGAACTTAATCTCCATCGGATGACTGAAAATAATTAGATATTTCAAGCTTATAGTAATTTAAATGCAATTTTAAAATGAATTATTTCATTAATCAATCTTCAAAAAATACACTAACTTACTTGGTTAAAAAGAGAAATTTAGCATTATATATATATAAAACAAACTTACCTTACATTTTCTTTCACTTTAAAAATATCTTAATACCAATTGATTCAAGATCTAACAAATTGAATAAAAAATTCTTTATAAAGTTGATTAAGTATAATTTTATTAAAATAATAATATATTTTCCAGCCAATGAACAACCAACCAACCAATCAACCAACAAAAACTAAACTAACCATAAATCGAAAAGTCTATGCAAATAAATAATTAATAATCTTCCTTACAAAAAATAATTAGAATATATAAAAATTAATTAAAATATGTATCTTAATCTCAATAATTAATAAAAATAAATAAATAAATCCCCTTTAGTATTTATTATATATTAATATATATAATTAATTTCATCATTCATACTAAATTTACTTTAATTAAAAAAATAATTAACTTTTCAAAAATACCTCTTACATAAACTCTTACTTACATACAATTACATCCAAGGCCATCAAATATGCTGGTTCTTAACTAAAATAAATAAAAATTCTCTTTTGCTCTTTTCTTACATTACAATTAATTTATTCCTTTATTTTTTAGATGATGATCATTTAAAATAAAATTTTTTCATCATTAATACTAGTAATTGCTTTACTTTTTAATTGATAAATAATTAGCGAACTCAGATATTTAAATATTGACTTATTTTCCTATTCTACCAATATTTAAATAAGAAAACAAGAATATATTCATATAAATCAGCAAATAAAAATCAAATTCAATTTTTTTTTTTGTATTATCCCCATAAAATTTATCATTTAATGAACAGACATTGAAAAAATATTTATTATTGAAATATAATTTTTTTATAGAAATAAAATTGTCCAACTAACTGATATAAAAAAACTTGCTCTCAAATCTTACGATGATAAAAGAAGAAGCAAAAGTAAAAAATTAATTTGTGAAATGCTATAAAATAATATGTAAATCTCTTAATAAAGTTTTTATTTGATTTTTTTCGTAGGTAATATTAAAAAATATAACAATTATGTGGTTTTGTTTGTTTAATGACGTTTATGATCAGCTCTCTATTCTCAGCTTTTGAAGGAAGTTAATGAATAAATGACAAAAAATAATTAATACTTAAAAGATATATAATTTAGTTTATTAATAAATTTCAGTATAACAGGAAGCAAATCAATTTCATTATATATAACAATCAATCTATTTATTTATCTAAGTATCTATCTATCTTGAGGCAAATCAATAAATTAATTGTATGAATTCTATTTGTATGACATAGATAGAGTTGTACTCTTAATAGTAGAAAAAACTATTAACCTCATTTAATCAGTGTAATTAATCTGCTTAATTAAGGTGATTCAATTAAAGCTAGACGAATTCGGCTAATAATAAACTCAATTCAAATAATTTAATACCACACATTACTCTAATTCAAAAAGAGGGAATTAATTTGAGATTACCCCCACTCATTTTCAATCAATTAAGTGCATTTTATATGTCTTATTGATGCTTCTACTTATTATATATAAGACTAAAAGCACCATTACTACCCTAAATGCATCACTTTTCAGATTCCGAATTTACCAATATACCTAGATTCTCAACAAAAATACACAAAACAAAAAAAATTATCTAATTTATTTAGCTATATTTCAAAAAAAAATAATTCTTCTCATTGACAAACAACTTTATGTATCAAAAAACAAATAATTCTTTTATAGACCTAGCTTTAATATCAAATACTATTTTTGCGGCAAAAATTAATTTTTTGTTCAAGCAAGACTCCTTTTGTTTAAAATTTACCTTAAAAACATTAAAACATGGAAATTTTTTTTAAAATAAAAATTAATAAATTTTTATCTCAAAGTATCAATATAATTTACAAAAGTAATAATTAGTTAAAGATAATTTGTTTCTAAATTGAGTGTGAAAAGAAGAGTTGTATTTATCAGTATATTCTAATATCAAATACTTATTTTCTTAATTTTGTAAATAAAGTAATAATTTAACTTTTATCCATATACTTTGATTGATAATAGATAAACTTAGTTTTTCAAATCAAATTTTTAATGCTACTTATATAATTTTGAATAAGACTTTTCTGATTTTAATTTTGTCTTTAGTAAAGACACCAATTACTTCATTAATTTTATAAACTAGCCAAAATATTTTAAATACAAATCTTAATTTTGCATTTACATTTACTGTTCAAAACTAAAGGAAAATAAATTACAAATATAACTATATTTTATTAAAAGTGGATGTATTATAATTTATATCTGTAACATTCATTAGTTTAATTTTAGTTAAATTTTATTTTATTTTTAAAAATGTAAACAACCAAATAAAACAAAAAAACTCTATACTTTAAACTAAATTAATAACAAAATGCCAATCGTAGATTTAGAAACTGTTAATTTATGTATAAATTTAATTGCTGCTGATTAGTAGATTGAAGCACGTCTATGAAATAAATAGAAAGCATGTATGTATTTTACTCTATTATATTGAACGCTAAGATGAAGATAAAGATATATTTCAATTTCAAGAGCCTAATTTAAATTAAAAAACAAATTTTTATCAAGTATTTCAAGAAAAGTTTTATGGCTAAAAAGTTTTAGTAAACTGAATATTTATTATTTTACCTATTTAACAAAACTGGGATTTTATATGGTAAATATGATTGATAATTTGAATTCTTATGTCAAAGTTAAAATATTGCTATTTTTATATCTAAAAATTGCAATTTTTGAAATAATTAATTGAATATAAAAATTATAAAAAAACAATTTTAAAAATTTAATTTAAATTATTTGCATAATTTAATTATGCTAAAAAAACAATCTTCATAAAATATTTCAATTTAAATAATTTAAGTTTTGAAAATAAATATCTAATATTAAAATTTAATTGAATTGTTTAATTTATTTTCAACAGTTTTTATTTTTATCTTTTGTTTAAATTTTTTAAATTTTCAACTGCTATATAAATTTATTTAATTTAAAAATTTTTATTTAAGTTTAAATCTATTTATTTATAGCTTATGAAAAGGATAGAATGTTTCAGTTGAAATTAAAAATAATATTATTTTAACTTAAATAAATAACCTTTGAATTAAGATAAATAAGAATTTGAATTTCAAATTATTTTAACTGAACTAAAAAATTTAATCTGTGATATAAGATTTAAGTATATAATTTTTGCATTAATGTAAAGAATATAAAATTTTTTACTATAAAAATATAGATAGATATATTTGAAATTGGATAAAATTGAAATATAAATTTATTATAATTAATTAGTAGTAGCTCTAGGATATTTATTTATTATTGATAATTTTTACTTGTTTAACTATTTTGGTAACTCAATTTTTATTTGTATCTTTACAATTTTTCAAAATTTTATATTAAACTCAATATGGAATAAATAAATCATAAAGGCGCGACATAGGACGCTCTAACTTTAAATACTCCTTATTTAGCATGTATTCTGGATTAATCAAATTACTGTCTTTTTACAAAATAAGATTTTACTGCTTTTCAATAGGATTTTCATTCAATTTGGAAATATTGTGTAAATGGGTGAACATCTTTTTCCAAGATGAAGTTCCCCAATTAACAGAAATCATAAGAGCTGTGCTTTCAATGTGGATTTGACCTTTGTGGTCTTCTATCTAAGCAGTAATGTAGACTTTTCTTCCATCTATTTTAGAAACTTCTAGCTTAATAATATATTCTTCTCCTACTTTTACTGGTTTTTTGTAATTTATATTTAAATTAGCTGTTGCGCAAGGTTTCAAGTCATTTGACAGAGTTCCCAATTATCCATAGAGATTATCAATAATTGTTGCCAAGAATCCTCCATGAACTATATCCATATGTCCTTGCAATGAAGAACTTGCTGTGAAAACACAAGACATTTTACAATATTTCAGCTTTTCTTCAACTGTTTATTGGCTATCTTCTTTAAAAATGTTTTCTAAAAACTCTTCTGGGAAGAATATCTTATAGTGGAGTAACCCATTGCTCTCCTTTAAAATGAGTTTTTCTAAGAAGTGATCTTTATTCCAAAAATTTAAGTAGCTATCATAAATCTTAGGATAGATAAATTTGTGTTCGTTTAAATACTCCCTAAATTAAGATGTTTTAGCATCAATTGCTTCCATTAAATTAACTTTTTTGTTAGAGTATATCTACTAAAATCCTATTCCTGAAAGGAAAACTAAAGAATATTTTGCGAAGCTTTTTATTCCTTGCATTTTTAAAATCTACTAACTTTATATTTAATTTTAATATTTCTATTTTTTACCTTTTTTTTGTTATTTTTATTAATTAATAATTTATATCCTACTTGATTCACAACTTTTTTACTTTTTAATTCATTCAAAGTTATAAATGTATATTAAACTGATCACTATTAGAGCTGAAAAAAAATATTCTTTCATCTTTCTATTATTTCTTTCTAATTAGAAAGGATTTATCATAAGAAATCTGCCTAAAAATCTATATTTAAGTTTTTCTTTTTTAATAATTATTGCGTATTTCTTTCATTTAATTCCCATATTTTTGACTCATTCCTAAAGTAAATTAATTAATTTATTTGATGAAGTCTTTATTTGCTATGATTTTGAGTATTAAATTCCTGATTGAGTCATCTTAGCACTTAATTCATCATCTTATTTATTTACTTGTAAAGCTTTTAAAGTTAGTTTGCAACTCAAATTTACATAATAGTTAAGTAAAATAAAATTTATTTCTATTTTAATAATTGCTTTTTACATTTGATGGATTTTTTAAAGAACAATTATCACAAAAGTATTATTTCAAAGCATTAAAATATATAATATACCAAATCAGTAAAATATTAAAATATTTTTTATTTGATTATACTTAAATACTCTAATTAATTTAAAGAAATCATAAATTTTTTAAATAATTAATAATTTGAATAACCATAAATTAAAAATTAATTTAATTTAATTTTTATTTAATATTCAACAAAATTTATTAAATTTTAAATTAATTTGAAAAAATATTAAAAACCAATATTTTCAACTAAAAATACTGTATATTTAAATTTTTATTTGTGTGCAATATTTTTATCTAAATATAGTACTTCAAGTGCTATCTAATAATATATAGTTTCATTTTAATTTTACCTTGTATGATATTCATAGAGGTATAAATTAATTCATTCTTATTCTATATTTTTTTCTTTATTAAACAATATCTATTAAATTAAATTTGTTTTGCATAAAAAAAAATATATTATAAAAATATAATTTAATAAATTATCTTATTTAAACAAAAAAAAGTAAAGAATTAAATTAGGTTTTCTTATTATTGTATCTTTTTAATTTAAATTTAGTTCTTAAAAAAATGACTAACTCAATCAATATATAATTTTTATGATTTTAATAAATTTTGATTTGAGTTAATGCGTAAGTTGACTGAATTTATGCTTATTACAAATTTTGCTTGATTTTTACTTCAGTGCATCTAAATTAATTTAGATAACAGATAGATTAATTAAAAAGTTTTAGGATCAGTTTCTTAAACTTTGTGACTGGTTAAAAAAATGAGAAATAATTAATATTTTTAATAAGCATAGGATTGAGAGAATATAAATCAAAAACTTATTAAAAAGAAAGTAATTTTGTTATATAAAAGGTAGAGATCAATAATAAATATTTAGTTTTTTACCATATAATAATATAATACTTTTTCAAAATTTAATCAATTAATTAGAGTTAAAATATTCTTTTGTAAAAATACAAAGGTTAATTAATGAGTGACTTGTTTATTTAAAAAAGTAAAAATAAAAACAAAACTATATCTAAGAAATATAAAAATAAGGCTAAGGGTAAAAATCTATTATAAAAAGAGTAAAAAAATAAGATACTTCAGCAAAAAACAACTGAAAATCAGCAATAGTTATTTGATTAAATAACATTTTAGCCTTTTAAGCAAGAATATTATGAAGAAACAATAGATTTGTTAACTGATATTTTTGTAAATTAAGAACCCGTTTGTAAATCAACAAATATTAGCTTTCAAGATTTGAGACAGTTTATAGAGCAAATTGTTAAAATTGGATCAAATTTATCTAGTATAGCAATATAAAAGTATAAAGATTAAGATGGAAATATTTGTAGCAAAGTGATTTCAGCAATAATTTCTTGTGATTAAGCAGATCTTAACATGTATGAATAACAAATAGCATCAACCACAGTGCCATAAATCTAATTTATTCTTAATTTATTCTAAATCACTGAAATAAAGCTTAGTGAGCTATTAGGGATCAACTTAGGTAATATTAAAAAAGGAGAAATTATTCATTAAGTAGTACTTGGTACCCATAAAAATTTTTAAGGCATGGGAGTAGGGTTCTACTTATCATTACATAATGCTCAAATTGTAAAGTAACACGGGTTTCAAAACGCTGTGATGGAACTAACTTCAAGCTTAAGTTTAAAGATTTGTAAGCTTCTGAATATAGGAAAAGTAATTTATAGTGTTAAGTACACAGAAATCAGGGAAGATGATAAATTTAAAGAAGGATTTTAATAAATAGAAGATAGATTATTAGACGAATAGATTTCTATTTATTTTATTGATACTTCTGATTTTGTGATTAAAAATTACGAACAGTACATAAAGAGTCTCAAGTTTATTTTTTGATAAATGTTGTTAATTCAATAAATCTATAAATCTATTTATCTCTCAATTTATATATTTATCTAACTAGATAATTCATTATATGGATTTAAAAATCTTAACTTTATCAAATCTTAAATAATCAAAGCAAAGCAAGCTTCTAAAGCAATTGATTTTTGCTTGATAGTACCAATTACAACATATTATGTTTTAAGTAATATTAAATGAAAGTTTTTTAATTTCATATGTTATAACTTTAGTATTCTATATTACCATTTACAGTTAATATTATTTTTTTATAATAATAATAACACAAAATTATTCATAAGAGACTCTATTAATTAAAATTATTTTCATTTAAAATCAATATTTCTTTTAAACCAAAATCTTAATCTGCATTATGCAAAACGATTTAAGCCTTTAAAAATAAATTAATTACTTTAAAAATTTAGATTTTTGATTTTTAATCTTTAAAATTATTTAATAGCTCTTTACAGTATTATTTACTTATTTTGAATTATTTCAAATAAAATAATTCATTAAAATAATAATTTGTAAAACTAATTAACTATAAGTTAAAAAATAAATTAACAGTAAATTTATATTCCATAATTAAAAATTTAAAAAAAATTAATTTAATAAATAATAAGTAAAACTAATTAACTATAAGTTAAAAAATAAATTAACAGTAAATTTATATTCCATAATTAAAAATTAAAAAAAATTAATTTAATAAATAATAAGTAAAACTATTTTTCTTAAGTTTTTCCTTTAATATTAAAGTCAAAAATGAAATTTATTTATAATTTAATAACAATTTATTTTTATGGGTTATCTTTACAACATTTGAATATTTTTTTTATATGATAAACTTGTTAAATTATGATTTTATTAAGAATCTTTACAAGAATTTATAATAAAATAAATAAATTACATTACATTATATTTTGGTTACTTATTGCTAAATTTTTCTTTGATTTACTAATTTACTGTTTTTATTTGATAAAATAATTATTTATTTTCATTTTTTTTGCATGATGATAGAATAATTTCCTCCTATAATCATAACAGCTCCTACAACACTCAAAAGACTAATTTCTTTTGAGAATACTACTATATCTACCAAAAAACTCATAACTACTTAGCTATAAGTGATAGGAACAACTTCTGAAGTCTTACCTAATTAAAGTGCTCTATTGTAAATAAGCTGAGCTAAGAAATTTAAAATTGAAAGAGCAAAAATCCATCCAAACTTCTCAATTGTGTAGACATTTGGGTTGAATTCATCTCTGATAACCATTAAAGTGCTGTTAAAGAGGATACCTGCAATGTAAACATATTGTATAACTGCTAAAACACTGATTTACTTTCCAATTGATTTGATAACAAGATTAGTCAAACTTTCAAATAAAGCAAACACTGCACAAATGATTAAACCTGCAACGCTTAATTCAGCTGCTGATTCACTCAATCCAATTGCTTCCATCAAAAATGGTGGCTTTACTATAAGAAGGATACCTGCAAAGCTGACTAATATAGAAATGATGATTTATTTTTATAAGGATTCCTTGAGAATTACACTTGCTAATAATGTTGTTACTATAGGAGTGGTTAAAAAGATAGCCATAGCATCACTTAAGTTCATCATACTAATGGCTTGATAGTAGCAAAAGTGAGCAAGAGTACCAAAAAGAATTCTGAACATAATCATAAAGTGGAGCTTATTAGTGGTAGCATAAGTAGGAGTGTTGGATACCTTTAGTAGAGCTAGATTAGCAAAGAAGCAAATAATAGATCTAAAGAATAGAATTTCACAAGGAGGGATGTCTCTAAGTTTCTTAATTGCCATACCAACTGATACGTAAAAGATGGAGGAAAAAATAGTGTAAATAGATGGGGCTCTTTTGTTTTTCTCAAAAACCTCCATTTAACGAGTAATAAATTTGTATAGGCAATCCATTGTACTGTAATTAAAACTAAATTTCTTATTAATAAATTATCTTCTACTTTAATATATTTTGATGAATCTTTTATATTTTCCTATCTAATAATTTTAAAAGTATTATTTAATATTTTTTTATTTATTTACTTATTATATTTATTTATATTACACTACAAAAATACAGGTATTAAATATATCAATAAATTTTGGTTTTTAAATTTTTACTAAACTCAATAAGCAATATCTATCTATCTCTCGCTTTCTGTCTACTATCTATAAATCACTATATTAAATATATTCCTAAAATCGACTGACCTAAGAGTTAATTAGATACTTACAAAGCTAATATGGATTTGTTTTTTTATAAATTATTTATTATTATTTATAAACTGGCTATATTTCTTACTTTTCATATTCAACTTTCAGAATTCAAGCAAGGCTAGCTTATATACTTGAGGATTTTTCTCATTTAAAAAATATTTTGCAGATATAAAGGCAATTATAACCAGAGAATACACACAAAATAATAATGAAATACAATTTTTTTAGAAATATTTTTAGGATAACAAGTAACAGATTTATTTAATTGGATTTAAAACATATTTAATTGTTTTTTAATTTAGATATTAATTAAATTTCTGAAAAAAATGATAACCTATTTGTAACTTAAATATACAATACTTTAAGTTCAAAATTGCTTTTAATCTCTTTTTTTATTGAAGAGTTTTCGTATTTATACACACTAAATATATTGCAATAAGTACTAATTTTTTTTAGTATTAGATAAACTTTTAGTTTAATTTAAATTATAAGAACAAATTGATAAACGCGTTATATTTAAGTGTATACAGATTGTATATTTAGCTAAATATCATTTGTGAATAGAATGCTTAAAAATAAAAAAAATAGGAATTATAAATTCGTTAAGAACCTATGTTCTAATGACATTATTTTAAATACGTAAAAAAATAAATTTTGATAAACATTCTTACGGACAAAACTAAACTAAATAAACACACTATGATGCTAAATATAGAACTAAAGAAAGTAATAATGATATATTTATTTATTTATGCCAGTGAAAATTAATTAAATTTAATATTCGCATTTTGCTTTCAGATAATTTATTTATTAACTAATTTAATTTAATTTTAGTCATTTCTTGTTTTCTTCTCAAACTAATTCAAACTTATTGCAAAAGTTATCATCCACAAATGATAATACTCTTATTTCAGGGTCATTTTTTATTTATTTTAATAATTCAATAAATTTTATGACATTTGGATATTTCAAGCACAGGATTTCATAAAGATCCAAAATCTTTTCTACAAATGTGAATAACTTAAATTGAAATGGATACTTTTCAGAAGTCAACTGAGATAGGATAGAGTCATTCTAAGAGATTTATTCTCTAGTATGCTCATAAATTTTTTAAGGAAGCAGCTCATGTAGCTACTCTAAATTTGCTTTTTGATGGATTTTTTTTATTTATTCTTTAGCACACCCTTTTACAAAACAAACAGTCATAACTCTCTTCCATTAAGCTCTGTTATCTAAAAGACTTTCTATTCCAACTATTTTCTTGCCGAATAAGCAAAGAAATATGTGCAATACGACTAAAAGGTTTTAAGGCGGTATTACCATTTACATAAATTCTGAGTAATCTGAATCTTAAATATCTTCGAAAGATTCGATAATTTGGACAAAGTCCTAAATTTAATTTTCTATAAAATCACTAATTTATGATCTGTAAGTTGATTTTAATATCTTTTTTTCGATTATCAATTACTCTCTCTAACTCCTCAAAAACAAAATCTTATTTGCTCTCCTATACAATTCCTTATTTACCAATCGTAGAGACATGCAATCTTAAATTGTGAGAAACGTTAAAATGCGTTCTTACATAAATTTTTCTGAAAAATGGTATGTGAATAGAGAAAACCCTTTTTCCAAAATAATTATAAAATTATTAGGAAGAAAGACGCTGCGATATGAAGAGTTGCTCTATATTTTATTGGAATTTTTAATAATATTTGTTTTTTTTTCTTCTGCTCGCTACTATTTCTTTTGATAGACCTTCTTTTGATTTTATGGTTATTCTGAAGATTTTTTCTAAATTTATTAGGCATTTTAAGATTAATCTAGCAAATTTATGTTAGACTTTTAAATCGTTGTATTTTGCTAGTTCTAAGAATGAGAAAAGTTGTGTTTCAAATAGATTTATTAATCATTTTTGATTTCACTGCTTTTTTATATTTCAGTTCTATCATTTTAACTAGAATTTTCTTTAATTTTACTCATTTTTTCTTATTCTCTTTGTTATTCATTTTAATTTTGTTACTAAGGAGATATTATTCCAATTAAGCTATCCTAATTTTCTTACTAAACCATTTAATTTTGCAAATAATCGCTTTCGCTTTAATTTATTTTTTTTTATTTATTTTCAATATTTTAAACAATGCAATCATTTGTTTCTGGTTCTAAAAATAAGTCTTATTCTTCTTTAAAAGGCTTCTCCAAGTCATTGATAACCTAATTTAGTTTGTTTGCAAAGTAGATTGATTATTTCCTTGGTAGATCTTAAACTATCTATAAAATTTAAAAATATTTATTTATTTTTGATCTATAAATAATTGATAAATTACTTCTTATTAAGAATGAATAATTTGAGTATTTATTTTTTAGTGGGTTGAGTTCTACTTAAATTTTTATGCTGTTGATGCTACATCTAAACTTGATAGAGAATGCTTTAAGGAAATAACTTACTAAGGAGTACTGCTAAATGTAACTTATTTTTAATTTTTAAGGATCTTAATATCCATACTTGCTACTATAGATTAGTTTAGCTAAGTAGGAGATTTAACTCTTTCATATTATAATTGTTTAGTTTAAATGTCTGACTTGGAATTTACTTAAAAATTAGTTACTTTTCTTTTAATCTAAAACAATCCTTAATTCTGCTCGCATTGTTAAATTTACTGATATTCTTAATTCTCATCTATCTTTGAAGATTGATTTTTATTTTTAAGCTTAATAATATGCATTTCTTTGCGATTGAAAGTTTAGCTTTAATTTTAAAAATTTTCTCCTGCTCCTGTTTTACTTTGTTATTATTATTTCTATTGACCATTCTTCTAGTATTATTCTAAAATTTACTATTAGCTGTTCAACTACTACTTAGGCAATAACTTATTTATTATGTTTTAAATTGATTTATTCTATGATGAATCGATTCAATTCTCATATTATTTATTGAAGTTATTTTCTAAGTACTTATTAGCTTACCCTTTACTTTGTTCATTAAAGCCCTAAATAAATTAAGCTGCTTAAATTTGTTTATTCAGCAACAATTCATCACTTTAACTAATTAATTAATAATATATTATTTAAATCTATTATTCTACTATAGTAATTATATTTACATTGAAGATTTTTTATCAAACTCAGCTCTAGTATTAGTGAGCGATATTTCGTTGAGTTCTTTTTAGATAATCTATTGGTCAATATAATACAAATTATGTTTTAGTGTTCTTTCTTTCATCTGTTTAGATTTTTATTTAAAATATTCTTCTTTTGATGAATTTTCTTTAATGTAGCTATCAAATACTTTAAAAATGTTTTTTTTCTCAAACTAATCTTCATCTCTTCGCCTTTAGCTCTCATAAAATGCTATAAAACTCTTTGAATCAGAGTAATCTAAATTCATTTGATTCATACCGCTTAGAGGCTTTCCTAAAACTCCCAGTTGAACCTTCTTAAAGGACTGAGGTTTTCCCTGCTTATTTAATTGGACTTTTTACATTTTACTTTTTTACTCGTTTATTTACTTATCTCTCCCTCTCTCTCCTTAGTTTTTTGGACTTTGTTTAATTTTAAATAAATACGCTTTCTGCAATTTATTTCTTATTTCTACTTAAATTACAGTTATTTATAAAGAAAGAAAAGAATTTTAAAAAGAAATATTTAATTGATTGATTGATAAATAAGTTAATTTAAACAGATTACAAATAAATAAAAAAACTAATTATAATAAAATTTATATATACAATTAAATACTTATTTATATATATATAATGCAAAAGATTAAGATACTAAGAATTAATCAGCTTTAAAGTACAAATCATTCAATGATCTTATTTCATTTTACTTTTTTCTTTGTTTAAATATGAAACTATGTATGGATTTTCAAGTTAGTTCTCAATAGGAACTAGACTTAAGAGGGATATTGTCTTGAATACTGACTAGTCAATCCAAGTTACATATTTATTCCAGAGAAAGAAGAGAATAATTGTTGTAACACAAATACTGTATAAAAAGAGAACAAATTGTATGTATTATAAGTAACTTATGTAGTCTTTAGAAGAAATCAGCATGAATTAAGACAAAGTTTCCAAGATAACTCTAACTTAATAATAAAGATAGTCAAATTGCTTAAAATTATTCTATAAGTCCCACATAGCAACTTTATAAAAAAACAATTTCGCATTAGTTCTTGTAGAAATATATAACTATTCTAATGCTTTAAATTTTTGTATGGCTAAATTCAGACTCACTATCAATCCTTGAGGCAGTATTCCAAGATAAGCATTTTAGCAGTTTTAATAAGAATTTTTATCTCCATTTACAATTTGTAAGTTTGAATACTTGTTAATGTATTCAGAGCTCAGTATTGAACAAGCATTTTTATTTAGCGTTTAAAGCAAAATATCCTAATAATTTGGTATAAAGCTTCTGCTATTCGATTAAAAATTTTGCTAGATTTATTGTAACTGTTATATTTTTTATTAAAGCTCGTTATCTATAAATTTATTATATGCATATAGAATTGAATCTACATCAGATTAATTAAAATTATAGGCGTATGAATTATAAAGCAAATCTACTGCTGCATAGGATAAACTGAGTTGAGATTTAGTTTAAGCAATTAAAGAAAGCTCTTAAATATTATAAGTAAAGTTATTAAAGTAATCTTTTGTAATTATGTAATTTAGAATACTATAAATTGAAATAGTAAAAAAAACAAGAAATGAGATCATTGAAACTTTTACTGAAAACTTTTATAGTTAGTTTGTTTTAGAAACTTATCTTTTCTTTTTCATTAATTGTTGTGGTTAATTATTTGTGTTGATATTTTTATTGTTTTTTTAATAAATTTTATGCTAATTTTTAAACATACTAAATTATTCTTTATCGTTTTTAGATTTTAAAGAGCTGCCTTTTATATAATGCTATTAATTTTAAACATTGAAGAGATCCAAATTACCAGCTGTTCTGTACTTTTCAATCATAAACCTTAAGAAATCAGCATTAAAAGTGGAAAATAATTTCAAAATGTTTTCATTTTTAAGTTAAATTATATAATATAAAGGAAGAATAATCAAAGAAGATAATAAGCAAGCTATTTCATAAATAATAAAACTTAGAATGATTAGGTCTTTAGTATTTTACAGTTGATCATTAGCTAAGTTTCCTTGTACTTCTAGAATTCCTGTAAAAATGTCAATGAAAGATTAATAATTTGAATAAATGTAGGTCCTTGAATCTATTGTTCCAAAATAAGTATATTGTCTCATATTTGAGGGGATGTTGAGTAATTAATACCTTTAAAATGAAATATAAATTATTTAAATAAATTATCATTGTTAATTATTTAAAAAATAAATATTTACAAACTAGTAAAAGTAACGTTATATATACTTTTTTCCATCATATTTTCTAAAATTATTTAACTGGATTTATTAATTAATTCATCTTCCAATCCATTATTAATTATATTTTATTCAAAGCTTCCAAGATCTGTTGTCATTTAACTTAGTTTGGATATGCTTTCATTTTTGGCAAACATGAAATCTGATACGTTGTATTAAGAAGCTGGTAAAAAATGGTAAAGTTTATCTACTCCGATAATTGTTTATATTTCTGTTCCTCTCAATACTTATAGATAACATTCAAATAATTAAGGTCCTAAGCCAGAAAAAATAATATGAATGATTAAATAGTTTGATAAATTATATATTTACCTATCAGCAAGTTTTAATAGTATTTAGTTTCTAAGTTAAAGTAATTATCCAATTTAAAGTATAAAAAGATTGTAACAAATAGAATAACTAGCAAAGATATAAAACCAATTGATTTAGCCAAAACTATTTCTTTAGATTTCTTACTTCTTAAAACCATATCAAATAGTGATCTCCTTTTAGAGAATATTTAGCTTTAAGTAGAATTTATTGAACATGAGTCATCAATAACTTGCTTTTTTTGCTCCTTAGTTGAGCTCTCTTCAGAGCAGTCATCTTCCATTCCAAAATTTACAACCTAATCTGCATTAGAAACATCTGAGACATTTTGATGTTCTTCATCATCTTCATCATCATCATTATCATCATCATCAAATTTTCGTTAATTATTTTAATTGTTTAGGAAATCAGCATTTTAATTAAAAGTGGTTTATTTTTCAACTTTGCTAAGACTCTACAATTATAATAATGACGATTTTTATTATGGATTAGTTTCATTAAAATTATCTAAGTATATAGGCTCATAGAAAGCTACACAATTATCTTCTAAAATATGTATTTTTTTATTTTAACTTTTTATAATAAATTTATTAAATTAATTTTTAAAATTTATAAATAATTTTTTCTTACAAAGCAGGAGATTCTAATTATGTCTAAGTAGGATGCAAAAGGTGTTGAAAACTGTAGCTTATATTTTATTTACTTAAGTTAATCTATTGTTCACTTATTCTTTTCGTAGATTGTAAGTCTAAATAAGCTAAATTTGGATTTGAAAGATGCCTGTTAGAATTTATACTTTATTTAGTAAAGATTAAGTTAAGTATTAAAAATATATATTTATAATTATAAAATTTTAATTGATTTTTACTTATAAAAGTGATTGGCTCTGCTTTCGCTTTAAATGAGTAAATTTTCGATATTGTTTTCATTCTGTAATTTATGCTGTTTATCATCAAGTTGCTTTATAGGGTTAAAAATTCTGATGAATAAAGTAAGTTTTTAACAGAAATTACATTCATTTCCACTTGTGTTAGAAGGGAAGATAAGCCTTTTCTTTCTAATTCACTTTAAGTTGCCTTTGCGGATAATTCATTAAGCCCAATTTTTTAAAGATTTTATCCCTACTTTTCTAAATCCATTTATGAATTTTATTAAAATTTTTATTCTAAATGTTAATTTTAACTTAGAATTGGTACTTTTAGGTTGTAAGTTGGAAATTTATTTTGTAAATTAATCTGCAAAATTTATAATTGCTCGTTTAATTCTGATATCCTCTTAATTTATTTTATCTTTGTTACTTCAATAATTAATAGGTCATTAAGTTAATTTTTTTAGTCTTTTATTTTATACAAAGAAAAAGTCACGACTGAAAAATTGTAACTAAATATATCTAATTCGTTTAGATATTTCTCAATGCTATATGGGTTACTATTATTATCAAATTTTTCTGAGCAGTTAAATTTTTCAACATCTTTTGGTAGCATTAATAAAGTTGTGTAAATTTGAGATTGTGAGTTTTATATTTTTCTTATTCCTATTTATTCTTCAAATTCATCCAATCCATTTACATCACTAATTTCGCTTTGCTTAAGCGCAAGCAAATATGGTATTAGGTGTCTTATGTCTTTATCCTTAAACAAATCTTTACATTTACACATAAAAAAAAATGATTAATAAAAACTTAAAAATTAAATTTACCTTATGATTCTCTTTTATCAAATATTTGTAAGCTTAGTTTAAGATTTTAAAATATAAAATTTTCATTATGATTTAAGATTTTATAAGATGAGTCACAAACAATGTATTTTTCGTAATTATCTAATTTTTGTATGAACAGAGATAACCCTAGCTATTAATTAGAAATAATACACATTTAGGCCCTCAAGATTACTGGAAAAATATTTAATTTTAAATCACGCATGAAAGTAAAATACTCTCCAAGCTTTACTAAATGCATATCTCCTTCATCTTAAAGTAAAGTAAGCATTTATTACATTTTATCTTAGATCCATTCTGGCTGGAGCATTGCTATTGGATTTCCAACTAAATCTAATAAATTTGAACACTTGAAAAATTTGCTAGTTGTATTTGTAATTCTCATTATTTTTTTCTAGTCGCTAAGAGAAATAAAAATTGAGCATGTATTTTTCATAAATAAATTAATTTTTGTATCATATTTCATTAACTTATTTTTGAGCTTTTGCTTAGATCTGCTGGCAAAATATCTAGCAGGTCTCTTTCTGAAGTCAAAAAATTCTTAAAATATTTCTGCTAAGGAGAGTGTACGCAAGTGAGAAGGGTGAATATCAAACATTTAAATCAATTTTGACTCTATGTCTCTCGAGTTCTGAAGACAAGAATTGCCTATTTTTTACAATGTTTGTAAGTGGAGTGAGTCTTAGTTCAAATACTCGTAAAATCTTTACTAACTTTGCAGCGAAGATTTAATAACTTTTTTAAGGTCATAATAAATTTACTCAAATTCAAACACTAAGTGAATGTTTAACCTTTAATTTTAATATTCGTTCGAATTGAAAAATCCACTAAAATCATGAAAAATTGAATTGATAAGCTAAGTTATTTAAAATTATGCCCAAAAAGAGTTATTTTATTTTTGCAGAATATTTTAAAGCTAAATTATCTAAGAATAGGCTTTAGACGGCGTCTTTGCAATTTCCATCTAGAAATAGGTGTAACAAGATTAAATTTCTATATCTTTGATATGTTTCATACTTCTAGAAGAATTGATGTTATCAAATAAATAATTGATGTAGCCAATCAAAAATTTTTTTCTATACTCTACCCCCATCATATCTTATCTGGAAATCAAATCATAATCAATATTTCCATATTTCTCACAAAAGCAATACTTATCAAAATTGATAATCTAATTTTACTTATTTTGTTTCCTTGTCTAGCAGTTCTTTGTATGATTTGAAAATAATGACTCAAAGATAATTCCATTTCCTTATTGCATATAATCCTCTATAGCTAAATTGCAGTATGAATTCAAAGAATAAATAAATTGCTAAATTGTTTGCATACTAACGTCATCAAACGTATTCTATTTTACTTTTAAGTCAACGTTCTCAACTGATGTAATCAAGTTAAGTATGTATTTAATTTTGTATTAGCATATACTTTTTGCAATTTTATAAGTAATTGGTATGGTAATAAATGAAATTAATATGTAATCTACCTATTTTAAAGAATTTGCTCTATTTATTCCTAAAGCGCAAATAGTTACAGATTAAAACAAATAAAAAAGTATTTAATTTAGTATAATTAAATCCATGATTTTGTTTTAAAAGAAAGGTAGCTCAATTAAAAGGCATATGAATCTCAAAAGACTCACAAGAAAGTGCAATATTAAATAAAATTGTAGAGCATTGAATTATTTTACCATCAGAATTAATATTTCAGTAATTAAGCATATATATTTATATTTATTTTTTCTTTGAGCTAATAAATCGCAGTTAACTTGAAACGAATGGTTTTTATCAAACATCCTGCTAAAAATCACAATCAAAATAGTCAAAATTGATGATAAAGTAGCAAAAACATAACTAGTTGTAATTGCTCCAAATTAATTAAAAACTATATAAAAGCATGAGTCAATAAATGGTATCCAAAAGATGTATTAATATATTTTTAAAATAAAGCAAAAAACTAGGTTAAAATAGCTAAGAAATTAATAAGGCTTTCCTCGAGATCTGATGATACTTTTGTTATTTTCTTGTACATAGTCTTAAAAGAACCCATGATTTTTGTAGTATATACAGTTGACAATAAATATTATTATTAGTGTTACATTAATAGCAAAGGAGAAATAAATAGTAAATTTTATTTAAAAAGAAGTTGATGAATTGAGCAAAATAGAAGGAAATAACTAAAAATATTGAAGACAAGTACTAAGTAGTTTAATTACGGAGTAATTATAATACCCAATAAAGTTGTCAACTACTTTTTAGCAAAGTAGAATGCTCATATATTGTGCAAGATAAATAATAAATAAAATATAGCTCATTACTTTACTCCTCGTGTAGCATTAAAGTAATCTATCAAATGTATTTGCAGCCAACTAAATAATGCTGATATCATCATTTTTGGCGTATTCCGACTATTTATTGCTTGAATTATTTGAGTCTTAATTTTTTTTGAGTACTTTTTTTTTGAGAGGAGCCATTCAAATTCTAAAATTTATTAATGAATTAATTTTGTTCGTTTTTTTTACTGCTACTTTTTTTTTTTAATTTATTATTTTTAATTTTCGAATTAATTTGCATAAAAATATACAATTACATCATACACATCATAAGTTACCATCAATTTAATAAGACTAAAATTTCTTTTCTAATAATATGATATATTTATGTTTTAAAAAAGAATAATATTCAATGATAGAATCTATTAAAAAAATAATAAGTATCGTCAGAATTTTGTTAATTTATCTTAACGCCAGCTGCAATTTCTAAAAATACATGTCAATAATACTTTGATCACAAAATTTACAGTAAAAACTATTCATAAAGTATTAAAAAAAAGATCTGAGTTTAATTTGAATAAAATTAATTGTTAACTAAAAGAAATATTTAGGTTACAGAATTTTATTAATTTAAATTACATCTTTTTCAAGTTAAAGAAAAATTCAATTATTCTTAGTAGACAAATAGAATTTTTTTACTCCTTAATATTTATAGATTAGAATTTTGAAAATTAAAAAAAAGATCATGCTGATTAAATTTTAATTATTTGGAAAGTACATTCAATACTTACACATTTTTTAAATTTTTAATAATGTTAAAAATTATGATAAAAATTCAACTTCATTATCTTAACCAAAAACGAGTAAATACTTCCTTATAAGACTTTGATAGTTTTCAATTATTTTATTTAGGAGTCTTTAAAAGTAATTTAACCTCATAAATTCTCATAATTTTAATTAATTTTAAAAAATTTTGGCTATAGTCTCTATATTACAATTATTTATTAATAAAAGACGCTCTTGTTTTAAAAGTAAATTTAGAAAGTTTATTTCTAATACTGGAAAGAAAGTAAAAATATAACATTATTTACTTTAATTTTTCTATTTAATATAAATTTTTTATAGGCAGGTTAATAAAAAATCTAAACAAAATAAATAAAAATCTCAAAAAACATTTAAAAATACACAAAATAAAATTTGGGATATTAAATAATGATTTATTTCGAGCTATCTTTTTTTATCAACTAATAATGTGATAAATTTTAATTAATTATTTTTAGAATTTAGTAAATAGAACCAACTTGGGTAATTTATTTAATAAAAGGAATAAAATTTCAAGAACATTAATTAATTCTTGAGAAAATACTAGTCTGAGAAAGTAAATAGATTTAATTTACATAATTTGAATGAAGGTAAGATATATAAACATTTTCATGGAACTTTGTAGATAAATTTTATTATAAAGTAAGTAAATTAAGGCTTAGAATAAAAATAAATAAATAAAGAAATTTAGTTTTTAAATAATTAATAAATTTACAAATTTATTAAATGATAAAATTTGATTGGCTTTTTTTTTAATTAGTGAGTTTTATTTCTTTTGATTGATTGATTTATTGATATATTTATTTTTTTAATATTTTCATTCACTATCTATTTCTTATTGAATTTTTAACTTTATTGATGTATGAGACAATATAAGGGTTATCTAGAAGCTGCTCGACAGGGATCAGACTGAGCAGATAAGTAGTTTCTTATATCTATTTGTTCATTTCTTATAGGAATCTAGTCCAAGCGAAAGCAAAAACTAGAAAGACTATAATAAGGTTGTAGATGAAGAGCGCTTTTTAAACTCCCATTAAATAATCAAAATATTATTAACTCTCATAAATCAAGAAAGAACTTACAGAATCTAGAATAGCTCTTATATAATAATATAAATAATCAAATTCTTTTAAGTTATTATCGTAATCCCATTATTTTAAGCTTCCAAAAAATTTAATTGGATTACCAGCTGTAAGTAAAAAGTTAGAATAATAGTTTTAAACTTAGCTGAAAACCTGTTTAAATGTAAAAGTTAGTCCATTTCCTAAGACACCTTTTTGAATTTGATTGCATTTGGTTATGTTAATCATAGTGTTATTATTTACGTATGGCTAGCCATATGTTGTATTAAGAATTGAACAGGCATCTGTTTTAATGACATCTAAAAAATATTACTAATATAAATCAGAGTTATATCTCTTATTTATGAAGCCATTATCTATGTTGTATAGAGCATTTATTCTTTATTAGTCATTTGGTAGAATAGTTTAATTGAAAAATTAGTAAATTAATCCAATTGTAGTTGAATTAAATTTATATGCATACGAGTTTGTAAGCAAGTATAACCCAACATAATTCAAGTCTAAATAGCTCTTTGACTAAGCTATAAGCGATAATTCTTGGATATTATAAACAAAATAACTAAAGAAATCTTTGGTAAATAAGTAATTCAAAAGGGAATATAGTGATATCACAATAAAAATTGCAAGAGCTATCACTGATAATTTTATTGAATACTTAGGGAGAGGTTTAGTATGAGAAATTTGTCTTTTTTTATTTTTATTTTGCTTAGTTTATTTGGAAAATTCAAAAATTGAGATTTGATGTGTGGAAGAAGGTGCTTTTGTTTTTGTAGCATATCTTTCAAATTTTGAAAAGTTAGATACGCTTTCAGCGATACTTTTTTCATATACAGCCGACCTATACTTATCTATTTATGATTATAAGAACTACATATCAAATGTCACTAAAAGACATAATATTTCTTCTCTCTTTTATTATATTATGTAATAAACAGGAAAAACAATCAGAACTGTTAACACACAAACAATTTCTATAACTATAATACTCATATTTAGGAGACTTTAGGTCTAGTCTAGGGTAGTCTTTGATTGTTCTGTAGACATATCCTGAATATTTTAAATTGTAGAAATAAAACTTGCATAATTATAATAAACAAATGCTCTTGCTTCCTCTGAGTTTTCTATCAAATATTTTCTTAAATTTGAAGGGAGATTGAGCAAGGAATACCTTATTAATGATAAAATAAATAGATAAATTAATACATAAGAAAATTAAACTAATTACAATCTTGAGAAGACAACAGAGTTTTATTTAGAAGTTACTGAATTAATGACTACTAGCTATGTAGAGTTATTTAGCATAAAATCTTCAAATCCATCATGAATAGTTGTACTCTAAAAAGACCCAATTTGTTGTGTTATATATTATAGTTTTTGCATGCTTTCGTTTTTGTATAAAAGCAAATCATAAGGTTTAAAACTAGAAAATAAGTAGCCATATAATTAATTGACTTAAATAATAGTTGATAGTTCTTTTACTCTTAGTATCTAAGCAAATCCTTCTAATAAGTTAGGGCCTTTTTTTTCATCAAATTAATATTTTCAAAAATAATTTTTGAATTTATTTTTTTTTACCTACTATTAAGTTTGTATAGCTTGTCCACTCTGCCTAAAAATTTTATTTGACTTAAAAGAATAAAACACAAGAAATTATTATTAGGATTAAAAATGCTGATAGCCCAATGAATTTAGAAATTTATATTTCTGTTGTGTCTCTTCTTGAAGAAATCATTTCATATAAACTCTGCTTTTTTGAAAAAATTTAGCTTGAACCACTTCTTACTGATTACTAATCATCTAATATAGCTTTCTTTTTATTTGTTTTTACGTTTTAGCTTTCTTCGTCCTAAAATTAGCCACTTTTTTAACTTTTTAGTTACCCTCTTTTTCCTTTTTTACTAGTTTACTTGCTCGGCATAATTGACAATTAAATAACTCCATCTTCATCTTCTTCCTCATCTTCGTTTTCTTTTTTTTCACTACCTTAGGTAATTTACGACATTATTGCTTACTTTTTTTATTTGAGAGGTGATAACAAGTTCTGAGAAGCAACAGATTAGATTCTACTTTATGAAAAAAATTTACTTCTTGATTTCTAAAAATTCAACTCTCCCTGAGAATTAATGAAATTTAATTGAGATGCATCATTAGTTATGCTTCCATCTTGTTTTGAATCTCTCTTTTTTTCATTTGCCGTTGAATCAGATTCTCTAATAAAATATAAAAAGACATTTTTATTTTATAACTAATAAATATTATTTACTTTCTATTTGGAGCAGTAGACTACTTTTCATATAGATTCACAAAACTGTTAGTAGAATTTATAATTGGAGAGCTAATAGGATTGAGATACAGGGCTTTATATATTTCTTCTTAGGATTAATATTAATTCTATACACAATCAAATGGTTATCTTGGTGAAATAAAAGACTATCTACTAGTAGTAGCTTATTGAGATTCATCAAATCTAGTACTTTTAGAATCTCTTACACCCTTTAGTAAAGTTTTATACCTTTACCCAATTTCATTTTGAATTTCATTATTCATAGTGATTTCTTATTAGTAATCAGAGTTTCTCCTTAATTATTATAAAAAAATCATTTTATTAAATGTTTTTTTTTTGTTTATTTTTTTAAATAAATTATTAAATTACGAGATTTAATTATAAAATTTGATTATTTCTCTTAACGCAAATTAATAAATTAAATTCTTCCAAATAAAATAATGATTTAATTAGTTACTTTTATGGAGACATTCTTTCATAAATATAATTAATATATTCAGATACTTATTGTGGAGATTCTTGCTAAATAGGAGAGTCACCATCTACAGAATTACCATGATCATAGTATCTTTGAATTATGTCATCATTATACATTTCAAATTAAATCTTATTTAATAATTAATATTATATTAACTTTGTAGTTTAGATCAAATTATATTATTTACTGAGTTATTATTTTTTTAGCTGTCTCCGTTACTTTTTTAAGACTATACACCATCTGTGTCTCTCTCATCATATTTTTCTTTTTGCTATAAAAAGTATTTCTTGTCCATTTAAAGGTTAAGGTGTGAAAGAGTTCCTGTTTCAGGCTAATTTGGTATTTTTGGGGAGTTTGTTTGGATAATAGGCACATTAACTTCTTACTAAAAATAAGTTGTTAGTGTTTCCTTTAATCTTAAAAACTGGTCATTTATCTCTGTAGCAGCTTTTAATTTCCTGTAAGATTAAAATTCAATCAATGTAATTGGCTATTAGGTTTCACTATATAATTTATAACTAAATGGTGAAAATGTAATTTCTAAGAATTCTAATTCCTATAGATTTAAGCTGCTAAAATAATTTTAAACATCTTTATGAGTGCTATTTGAAAAACTATTGAGATTTTTCAAACATTTAATATTTTTTGGTAGAATAAGTAGTGATTTGTACGTTGTGTAATTTTGTATTTTTTAATCTTTAAAACCAAACGTATCATTAAACCCTTCAAAGCTATTAAAATCTTGAGTAATCTTCGTAACACTAAATAAAAGAGGTATTACTGCTTGAATATTCAATCCTTTAATCAAATCTAAGAATTAAATAAAAAGAATTATGAATGTAAATAAATAAATTAATCTGTAAGTAAATTATTACAAGATTAATTAAGTTAATTAATTTTTAACAAAATAAAAAAATTAACCTTGGCTTTTAGATTTTGTGGTGTTTTAGGTATCTAGAAATTTTAAAATCAAATTTTAAAATTCTTTAGTGAATGACATAATATTAAAATTTAAATCAGTAATAACACTAACCTTACAATTTTTAGCAGGCTAAATAAATATTGACAAACCAAATTCACCATTTGTGAGGATATCAATCTTCATGCGCAAATAGATAGGATATAGAGTATTCGTGTTTGGAGTATTGAAGAAAGTCAAATATTCTCCTAATTTAATAACATCCATATTACCTTCTTCGAGTAGCACGTCTAAGTATTTATTAAAGCTGGGAATAATGAAGTCTGGTAAAAGTATTGAAAATTGTTTCCCTATTAAATCTGACCTCTAGCATTTAAAGAAGCTCTCAACTGAATTAGAGAGTTTTATGATTTACTTACTGTGGAGGGAAACAAATAAGCAGCAAGAAGCTTACTCGAATAAATTTATCTTCAAGTCAACTCGCTAAAGATTACGACTCATAATTTACTGAGATTTTTGAATAAAATGACGAACTCTCCTTTTACGGAAATCAAAAAATTCAATGTAAAGTTCAGAAATAGCAAGCAATCTGGGATGAGTTGGATGAACATCAAAAAGATTATTAATCTTATATTCTGCTTCTCTTTTTGTTGCCAAACAGCTATAACTTTCTATCAAAAGATCAGATAAATTAATATAATCAGAACATAAAAATTCATAATACTTTTGTCTACTTTATAGAGCTTTTTTAAAAGATGTAATAAAAGCTTTATACAAATAATCAAATTCATAGACATATGAAATGGCGAGTCTTTGATTTTGGTAAGTAGTGGAACAAATGTATTAGCTGAATAAAAGATTAATTTCATCAATAATTTCTTATATTAGGGCTTGAGTTTGAAAGGAAGATTATTTCATTTATTATTTGAGGAGTAAAATTTATTAGAAAGCCAATGCTGGAGTTTGGGCTACTTAACAAAGGAAATACATGTAAGTAGGTTTTATTTGTAATTAAGGATCTTAATAATTTTTGTTTGAAGATTTAAAGAACTTTTAAATAAGATTATTAGTGTATTTAATTAAAAAGGATTTTCTGTAATCTTCACCTATTACCCTTGAAATTGCCAAATTAACTTCATCTTTTGTGAAAGTCACTTACTGTTACTGCCTTTAATTTTTGCTTTAAAAATTTCTTTGACTGGAGAATTCTTAAAATTATTTGCAAAAACATAAATTTTCATCTTTCGTACTACTACTACCAATAGCATTCTTGGTTTACATACCTGAAGTTTGATCTACTTTGCAGCAGTTATCTAAATGATTTGAAAAAATAGTCTCGAATTTGACTCCGCTTCCTTTAATCATGTAATCTTCATAGGATAGAGAAAATAAATTAATAATATTTCTGATATGTTTATCTAACTTATCAGCATTTATTTTATTTACTTCTTTTTCAATAAAAGGTTAATTAAATTAATTTTCTATAGCTAGTATTTTAAGTATCATAATTCCAGATTTTACGCAGAGAGGAATTCCACAACAAAATAGAAGCGAAAAGCTTACCAGGTTATTATCTTTACTTAGGCTAAGCAAGACGGTTAAAATTAATAGGAATAAATGAAATAGAGTGAATTGCATATAAATTTTATTTGTCTTTCTAGAGTAAAATGGTTATCTGTAAACGCAGATTGCTAAACGAAGTAAGCATGTAATGCCATTGAACAATTCAACTATTGCTCTTGAGCTGCTTAAGAAAACTCCACTACAAATAAAGTCGATTGTGATCCTGAAATATACAAAATAATTTTTCGGTTAAGATAAATGATCTTTAATAATAATGGAATAATCATATTCATTGTTAGAAATGATAGCTGAAATAAAAACAGTTTATATAAAATTTAATATGGAAACGAAAATAGTAAGTTTATGTAAAACTTTATTTTCATTTGGGTTTGGTTATTCTTGATAGTGATCAATTCCTATTTATAGCGATATTTAAGTAAAAGGTATTGCAAGAGTGTAAAGATAAATTCTAAAAAAGAAAGAAAACAAAATATCTCCTTTTAGTATTAAATAACTGTGATAGGTAGAATTTTTGGCTAGTTTTTCAGCAGAATCTTAACTTGACATTGAAATATCTGTAAAATATTGCCAAAATATATAGTGAATCATTCTAATTAGTATATAAGTTAATAATATTGCATTGAAAATACAAGAGATTATTAAAAACTAAGTCTGAGCATCTTCTTCATTCATATTTTAATTTTTTTATGCTAAAAATGAGTAAATTGGATAAAATTTTGTGTAGTCGAAATATATTCCCATATAATAAATAAATTATTTTGAAGACGGTGAGCTATTATAGAGACTTATTAAAACGTTTTCATTAAACAGATTGCTTATCACTTAAGAGAAATAAATTGCTATAAGTATTGCAGTTAAAATGGGTCCTCGCTTGAAGGATTTCAATATTTTATACATTTCACATACATAAAACTTATGTATGCGATCACGAATAGAAGTGTCCTCGCTGGATTATTTATCCATTTCTTACATAGTATTAAGGAGTTTTTCAGATTAGTGCTTAGATTGTTTGCTTTTCATTTGTAAATTTATACTCTATATATTTTACTTATTTATTTATTTATGCTTATTTTTATTATGTTTTCTTAGCTTAGTATAATTAAAAATTGTTTTGCGTTTATAAGAATTACAACTAGATTATATTTTGATAACTTTATAAATCATTTATTCCAATCCATTATTTATTCAGTTTTTACAAACAAATAGATTCCTAATATAAGAAAAAAATTTTTAGTATACTTTTTTATGGTGTCTTTCTAAACAACATTTAGGTTAAAATTCATTCATATGAATTAATTTGAAAATAAATTAAATAAAAAGACATTGTCTTGATGAAGCTAGACCAAATTTTAATTTACTCAGACATATATTAATTTTTACCAAAAAAAACAATTTCCTATTTAAAAATTAAACTCTTGCCAATATTCGCAAAATATCTAAAAATAAGGGCATTAAATTCCTATACATATTAATTTATTATTAATTATTTACAGACCATTTCTATTCTGCAGATTTATCAGTAAAGTTTTTGCTATAATTTTAAGAGTCTAATAAATTATCAAATTAGCTCAATAAAAATTATTAGATTTCATTTTAGTGTCTTGTTATAGCCATTTGAAGCAAAAATATTCTAGTTTTTTTAATAAATATTTAGTTATAGTAAATAACTGAAATATATTTTATATCTTTTATAAATTTTGTTGCAACGCTTTTGAAAATACTCATAAAAATATAATATATTATAATAGCTTTAAAAGTCCAAGGATCACCAAACAATTTAAAATAAGGGAAAACAATTTAGCTAAATGAAATCATAAATACTTAAGTGATGTAATATAATAATTAGATATTCATAAATAATCGATTGATACAATAATTAATATTTTCTGTATTTAGAAAAAACAAAAATTAGTTTAAATACAAAAAGAAAGAATAAAAATTAATTTTGAGTAAGGAATATTAATAAATATATATAATCGCCACGTCAATTTTCAATTATTTTAATTTCTTCTAATGTGCTTGCAAGTACTCTCAAAAAATACTTTCAAATAATAAACATAACTCGAATGTAACAATTTTTTTACTTGATTAAAAAAATTATAAAAAAAAAAATTATTTTAGCAATTTAAAGAGTGGGAATGAAAATATTTTAACAAAATTAAACTAAAAATTTGTATAATTTTAAATCTAAAAATCGTTTTTAAAGTTTATTTTTTAAAATTATCTTGAAAATTAATATCTATAATATAATTTTTGAACAAATTATTTTTAAGATTTAACATTTAAATCAAAGTATGAAAAAATCTTTTATTTTTCTTCTTTTTTAGTAATACATTTTTAAATTTTTAATATTTTATTTTTTTATTTGATTTTTAATGATGAGATTGTAAGTTTTTTATAAATTAAATGCTCATTTATTCACTCATACATGTATATATATTTATATGTTTGTTTGTTATTTAAGAATTTAAAAATATTTATTTTCTTTTAATGAACTAATTTTATGATAAGATAACACCAAATCTTTTCAATCAAGACTAGTTTTTTTTAATAAAGAAAAAAAATTTGAATTAATGCAAATATATTTTTTATTATTTTAACAAAATCAGCATTACTAGATATTTAATTGGTATAATTACACTTCAATAAAAGTTTTTAAATAAATTTAGTGATTCTATCAAGTAACTATTATAGGATAACCATGAATCAAAATCATTATAAAAAAAATGAATAAGTCATTCATCACTCAATTAAGATGGTAGATGACAACATTAAAAAATCTAAACAAAGCTAAACATTCAAAGATTTATCTATTTTATTCTACACGTAGTAAATAGCTTAAATAATCAAGTCTTATTAAAGAAGCAATTTTATTGGCATTATGCTTCTAGTGATATATTATTCATAATTAGCTAGCATGCTTTTTGAAGAAAAGGTCATTTAAAATGTTACAATTTCTGACATCAGTTAAAGAAATTCTCTATTTTAAGTATCTTAGTATATAAGATGCTCTAGGATCTACACAATACAAGAAGTTATAGCAGAGAGAAGTGAAAATCTTTATAGTAGAAGTAATAATAATGAAAGTAGTAGTAATAGTGATGAAGTGGAAATAGCACAAAGTTAAATTAATTTTAGTATTTTTGGCATCAGCTATAACTTTTTTGTTATGGCATATATCATGATATAATATACTCTTTGGATTATGAGCCATAATTATCAAACAAGCAGTAAAAATGAATAGAGTATTCAAGAAGAATAAATAAATAATGTAGTTAAAAAGAAATTTAATTTGTAAAACTATTCATTTATGAAAAAGTTCTTCAAACCTAATGGACCTTTAAATAAATTTGTATCGATAATATTTTAAACATACAGATATACTGTTACAATACCATTCAGTGTTGTAAGCTTAAGTATGATTTTCAACACAAATTCTAATTTAAATGATTAGCTTGCACAGGAATTTAGAATTCTGTTAGGTGTTTCATTATTTTTGTCTACTTTTATAATTAATTTACTAATCATTATAAATGACTTTGATTATTCAATACGTTATCGTGATTTTTTTGGATCAAGAGTAAACAATTTTAGATGGGTCTACTTTTCCTTAGATCTGCTGGCTTCTTACTGTTGCACATAATTAGAAAACAACATGAATATCAAGCTTTATCTATGGATTCACATACTATAATCTTTAGCAAGATTAACAATTTTAATATACGAATTTCCTTTTTTCTTTGAATTAGCTTAAAATTGTCATTTCTGTGGCTCGTTTAGTTATCTGCTGATTTCAATTTTAGAAATATTTTCAATCTAAGTTGGCTATAAAACTTCATTTTCCTTTTTGCTGCTTTCGTTGTTACCTATCACTTTAAAGATTAGCAGCATGACTTTGAAGTGGAGAGAATCTTTCTACACTGCATTTATTAGTGAAAAAAATATTTAAAATATTTCTGCTTTCCACCTAGAGTACTACATGAGAAAGGTATTAATACCACTTTGCTAACTTGATATAGAGTAATATATTAGTAAGAAATTTGAGGGTTAAGGGATTAAATATGAAACAATTTACACATAACACATTATTTACTGCTAAGCAAGAGGCGTGTAAGACTAAAATAGAAATTAAGATCAAATTAAAAATGCTAATGATAAATAACAAAAACAAAACTCTGAAGAATTTTAATGTTTTTGCTAAAAATATTAATTATCTGAGCTAAACCTTAATAACATGAATGGACATCAATAAAGAAAATAATTTATTGTTGAATATATTTACTATTTGCTAAATTTATCTTTTAACAAAAATTTTCAAGGCTAGCATAACTACGAGCAAAGATTAACTAAAAAAAATTCTCCTCAAAGTGTATTATTTTTAAAAGAAATAAAACCTACCTACATATATTATCTGATCCAAGTAGCTTCTACTCCTGCAAAAGCCTATACTGAGGTATTCACTATCAAATAAAAATACAATTAAATGACTATTCAAGAGTAGTATATGATAGAATTAACAATACAAGACTTAAATTATGAATTTTTGTCCTTCTTTGACCATTCAATATATCAAAACCAAAGACTTAAAATTGGTGATGTTTACTAATTTGATCATGCTTATAGAGATTCATTTAGTGAGTTGAGCAAAGGCTTAAAAATAAAGCAAGAATTCTTTTAATTCTTGAATCAAGATTCCATCATCTTAGAGAATTTAACTAATAAATCCTAAAAAACAGTAATTTAAATTCAAGTAATTGAAGATTCACTTATAAATTTATTAAAAATGAATCCTTTACATTAAAGGACACTGTAGCTTTCTTCCATCTTTTTAGATCACTTTGACTTCAAAAAAAGAACTTTAACTTCATTAATTTTGCAGGCAACCTATTAAAATGAACTTGAAAACCCACATTAAATAAGAAACGAATTAGAAAAAAGTGATTTTAAAATAAATTTATTTCATTAAAAATCAGCAGCAGCATTCTTTTTATCTCTATAAAATAAAACAATCTTAAGATCTTCTGATTCTTTTTCTTAGCTATTTGGTGTAAATAGTTCTGATATTATTGGAAAGCCTATTTCCCTTTTATTCCCTGATTATTATTTTCCTCATATTAGCAGCTACATAGAGAGGCTTGTTGAAGAAGCAAACATAGATTTGATTAAAATCGGTTTATATTATACATTTATCAGAACTGCAAAAGAAAGTTTGTATCCAGTAGTTATGAGAGTTAAGTTGGATTTTTTAAATGAGCAGACATTTGGGCTATCATGCTATATGCAAAGAATTGAGAATGACAAATTTTACATTATATGTGATTCGAATTTCAAATTTTTAGATGCTTCTAGCTAATTAAAAACCCTGCTTTTAAAAAATTTTCAACAAAACAAAAAACGCAAGAATACTTCAGGTATTTTATTAAAACTTTAAAAATCTTTAGAAATAAATTAATTAAGTTTTTATTTTTTAAAATATTTTTTTTATTTTACAATAATAAAATTTATTAATTTAAAAAATATAAATAGATCTATTATAGAAAGTTAATGTCAGAAATTTTATTCCTATTCTTTATGGAATAGAAAAATTCTAAGAATTAAATTAGTTTGATGAGAAATCTAAATCTTATTAGAACTATGAAAGATAGACAAATTTTTAGTAATTTAACTCTATTCTTTTTTTACCAACAAATAAGCCTTAGTTGAGTATGCTCCAGAAATAAGTCAAATAAGAAATTTATGATGTAAGCTAATATTTCAAGGAGTTTAAACCTTCTGAGTTTGATTCTGTCTAAGTAACATTTTCTCCAATTGTTTAAAAATCATTCTGCGAAGTATAAAAATGTTTTAATATCATTTAAATTTCAAAAATAAAGAAATTTAAAAAAATTCATGAAATAAATGATCATTTAGATTAAATTAAAGAGAAGTTTTAGAAGTATTTTTCTCATCCAGTGGAAATCTAAGAATATGAAAACACTTCCAAGAATAACTCATTTATCAAGGAGATTTAGAATTACACAACTTAAGAAACTTACTTCAAGATTGATAACTAACCCTCTGAAGCAAAAGATAAAGAAGATTCATAAAATAATACTAAACCAGAGGTTAATACTTTACAAGAGATAGATTATTTTGAATCTAATTACCTTCATGAATCAAAAAAAAAAGATTAACTTATAGAAAATGATGTAATAAACAGTATCGAAAAATAATCCTCCAAATATTCAGAAAAACCTAATGTAAATTAAATTTGTTAATTAAAGTATAAAAACAATTTTAAAAATAGGAATTGAATAATGAAGACTTTTAATAGATCCAAAATTTATATCCAGATTAATTGCAGCAATATTATGAAAATTATTAAGCTGCTGCTTATTAAAATGAATATAGTCTTTGGCCAATAAGTTAAAAAGACATTCCTTATGGTTAAGAGAATTAAAACCAATCAGAACATCAAATAATGAGAGAAAAAGGAGAATACATAAATAATTTATAAAGTTACAATTAGCTTGGTTACTAAAATCACAATAATGAAGCTACTTAGTCAGATTTGATCAATAACTCTGATCAAAAAAATCATTAAAAATTTTAGAAAAAATTATAGAAGCTAATCATAAAATCTCCCAGAGCATCAAATATAAATGTTATTTCAATAGAAGATGAACAAAAATATCAGCATTTTGCATCACCAAAATTTGGTTAAGAATTGGTTTCACCTTTGTCAACTCATAAAGATAATGAAGAATCATAGAGATATTTTGTTAAAAACTCACCAAACAAAGATAATTTCGTAATTTGATTAATTTTTTTACTTTTATATTTATCTTTAATTATTTTCGTTTACATTTAAATCATTTAATGTATGGTTTGTTTCTCCTTTCCTCATAAATGATGCATTTAAAAATCTGTAAAGAATTATTTTTCAACCAAACCATTTTAATATAGTAAAATTCACAAAGCGCTTCCCATCTTATTAACGGTAGTCTTATTTCTCCAACAATTAAAGTTAATGAAATGTACTATGAATCGACGTATAAAAAATTGTTTCATACTATTTCGATAAATTGTTTTTTATTTTTCATTTATAAATATTAGGATTGATGACAAATAATCTCAGAAAAATTAGATAATTCACCCATAGAGTTTTCATAATTCAAAAAACAATGAGAAGTTACTTTAACTGTAGCCTATTTCCATAGATTAGTACTCAGTTAGTCATACTTCAATTGAACAAGAAATTAAAAACAATATACAGATTGGACACAAATCCATACTATCAAAAAGCCAAACTAACAGATAGCTTAGCAGAAAGGAAATACAAACATTAGAAAGAAATGTCACTAAATTATATAATGCCTAAAATACAAAAAACTTTAAATATGATGGAGAAGATGATGAAAGAGGCGAAAGAAGAGATCAGTATTCATAGTTTAAAAAAATTTCAGATTTAGGGATTTAAGAGTCTGAACACAGTAAGAGACAAGAAAAAACTGGATTTTAGAATAATGCGATTTTAAAAAAAATGTTTGACTCTTAATTATTTTTTAAAAGACAGTTTTTGAGCGACATGGTTACAAAGCGATAGGAACTTATTCAGGTCAAGTATGCCAGAAATGTAGGACTCTTTTTTCTTGTCCTTTTAGTTGCAATCAGCACTGGACTCTATTTAACTTTAGTGAGTTATTTTAATAATGGATGGGATTATTTTAAAGATATGTTGATAGGTAAAAATATATTTATTTAAAAAATGCGTATTTCATTCGAATAAAATCAATAATAGGTTATGACATACTTGAGAGTTACTCTTAGGCGATTAGATAAAAAGAGTTATTACTCACTTTATAAATGTATGGCATACCTGGGTATAATTTACATAATCAGACATAAATATTATTGGAAACACAAGAAAGAGATTATCGTTAAATATAACTCAGATAACTCATCGATTATTTTATAGCTAATTGTGTTAATAAAGGATTTGAAAAGTATATGCTTGAAGAGGAAATTCAAGTCTCTTTTCTAACAAATTAAAATTAACCAATTAAGCATTTAAATTTCACAAGAATGTAATTTATTAGGTTTTCTTTTTCTCATTTTTTAAATTTTATTTTTAAAAAATAATCAGCTATTCATTGCTTAATATTCCTCTTTATTTATGGGACTATACCTTAACGAATAACCAAGATTCTTAGACGTATATCCTCGAAAATTATTATAACATTATGGATATGATAGCTTACATAGTGAATATATCTAGCACGACATCATATAATAAAATAAAAAGCTCAGAAAATCTCTTATATTTGAGTATTACACTTATCGAATTGTTTTCTTTATTGCTGATCATGCTTGTTTTTCCTATTTATTATATTGTTTAAAGTAAAAGAGAAGAAATTCTCAAACTCTTAGCAACTTTTGATTCTAATTTTCTTGAAAAAATAATTTAAAAATGTAATCTCGAACTCCTTGAAAATAAATAAAACTTTGGTTCTTCTAAAACTTTGAGATCAATCAAAACTAATAAAAACGTTAGTTCTAAAAACATTCTTTCCTAAACATAAATAGGAAGCGGGTAGATTTTAGCTTCTTCCTAATTTAAGAGATTAAATAAAAAAAGAAAAGCCGTCTCTTAAACAAATAGTCTGCAAAAGTATTCTTTTTCTATCATGGTTTACTCTTTACTAATGTTCATTATTTTATCAGTTTATTCTATAACTAACTATTTTCTAACGAGGAACTTCTTTCAAACATTCAATTACAATATTCAAGAGGTAAGCTAAATTTACTAAATCAAAGCTTTGGTTAGCTTAGAAATGACTACTATTTAGCTATTTACAAATTCATTTATCTATTAGTTTACAGAAAGGGATATATCAGTACTTAAATAGTTCAAAGAAAAAATACTGGATTAATAGCTTTAAGAAAGAATAACTGACCTTTATAAAGTTGATGAAACCTTTTAAAAAGATAGAAGCTAAATGGATAAGTATAAGTAAGACTATTTGATGACTATTAAAGAGGATGCCTGCTAAATCCTCATTGATAACTACAATATCTAGTCTATGGATTCAAAAGCTAATATGTAGAATCAAATAAACGAGACATTTGATCCAAAAGTAGATCCTAATAAATGTTCGAGCATCCTAAATGGGAAATTGAAGCAAGGATTAACTATAACCTTGAAAGAATTAATAAATGAAATCAATTAGTTATACCTAGTTTTTACATCTACAAATGATGAACAAGAGTATGTTTAATTATTTGAAAACTGGTGCAATCAGAATAATTATCAGGATTTATAATATTCCTACTATTATTTAAGATAAATTATTCGCCTGTTAAAACAAGAAAACTAAAACTCGAGTGATCAATAATTTTAAAGTGTTAAGAAAATTTAATTAGCACTTTTTATTTACATCATTTCTATTTGCGTCCTAATATTTATTATTTTATGGATAAAATTTATTAATAGACTAAATTTTATTATTTACGAAGCTAGGTTGTTCCTTACCCTCATTCCGATAGAGAATTTAGTAGAAAATTAATATGTTATTTCCTTCATTAATAAATAAATTCCTTATTAATCAAAGTGACTGTATTAATAACAATTTAAATCATGAATAATTGCTAAATTTTCAAGCTAAATTAAAGATATCATATACTAAAATAACTAAGTATTTATAAATTAATTTTTTTGTTCTTTACATATTTACTATATCAGTCTAAACAAATACATAAAATAAATTAATTGAGAGAATTCTCTGCTAAAAAAGTAATAATTAAGATAATTAATTATTAAATATATAATGTTTAATTTTATTTATACTTCTTTTAACCAACCCCAATATTCGATGAAAATTTTTCAATTAATATTCTGTCTATCACTAATAATTAATATTTTAATCTTTTCTGTTAAAAGAGTGCTTAAGGTACCAAAACTGAACTTAATAAATTTATATACCTCTTGAATATAAAACAGGAGTAAATATAATATTTTTCATTTATAAGTAATAGTATTCATGACAAATAATCTTAGAAAACTTAATCCATAGAGCGCTCATAATTGAAAAACAACAAAAAATATTTTTATTGTAACCACTTTCATTAGATTTATACCATTTTAACTATACTTCAATTAATTAAAAAATTAATAACAATATACAGATAATTTACAAATCCATATTATTAAAAAGTCAAACTATTAGATTACATATGAGAAAAGAAAATTCAAGTATTAGTAAGTAATATAAACAATAGCTAAAGAAAAAATATAAAATATTATATAGATGATGAAAGAGGCGAAAAAAGTGATAAGTATTTCTATTTTAAAAAGATATCAGATTTAGGGATTTCAGTCTGAACATATTTAGAGAAATGAAAAAACTGGATTTTAGAATAATTCATTTTTAAATAAAATATTTAACTCTTAATTATTTTTTAAATGAACTTTTAGAGTAAAATGGTTAAAAAATGATAGGTGTTCATTCAAATAAAAAATGCAAAAAGTGTAGGACTGTCTTTTCATTTCCTATTAGTTACAATCTGCCCTGAAATCTATTTAAATTTGATCTATTATTTTAGTAATGAATAGAATTACTTCAAAGATATTGCGGTAGGTTAAAAATACTTTATAAAAGTATGAGTTTTATTGAAATTAAATTAGCAAATGATTATAAAATATTAAAATTCACAGGTGATTAGATGAAAATAATTACTAGCCACAATATAAAAGCATGGAATATTTGGATATAATAGCAGTAACAAGACATTTATGTTTCTAGAAATGCAGGAATTATATTATCATTAAGTATATTTAAGATAACTCATTGTTTATTTTATAGCTAATATGTTAATAAATGATTTGAAAAATATACGCTTGAAGATGAAATTAAAGTCTTTTTTCTCAAAAATAAAAACTAACTTTATTAATTTTTCTTTATTTCATTTTTTTTAATTTTATTTAAACTAAAATAATCAACTATTCACTAATTAATATGGCTCATTTATTATGGCATTAAGCCTAAACAAATAACTAAAATTCTTTGACATATATCCTCAAAAACTACTATAAAATGGTGTAAAATTTGAATAATTATCTTAGTTTGACATCTTATTAATAAAATATAAGGCTTAGAAAATTTTATATTTAAGAATTATAATTTATTGAATTATTTTGTTTATTGATTATCATGCTCTTTTTCCTATTTATTATATTGTAATGAGTAAAAGAGAAGCGAAACTCAAACTGTCAATTTTTGATTCTAACTTTTTATATTATTTATTAATAATAAAAAAAATTTTTGTTTTTCTAAAACTTTGAGATAGAAGTGGGTAGCTTTTGGCTTCATCTTAATTTAAATTTTATTTAAAAAAAGAAAACCTATTTCCCAAACAAACATTCTCCAAAAATACTCTTTTTCTATAATAATTTATCCTTTATTTATTCTCATAATTTGAAATATTTACTCTATCGCACCAAAGAACTTCTTTCAAATATTTAATTTGAATATTTAAGAGATAAACTAAATTTATTAAATTAAGGCTTATTTAGCTTAAAATTATCTACAATTTAAATGTTTGTAAATTCTTTTATAAATCAATTAACAAGTTGGAATATATCAGTACTTAAAAAATTCAAAGATTAAAATACTGGGTCAATAACTTTAGTAAAGGATAGCTAGACCTAAGATTTATATATTTAGTTCATTCGAATTTTTAAAAGATAGAAATGAAACTCAAGAGTAAAATAAGTCTATTTGATAACTATTAAAAAGAATACATACTAATTTCTACTTGATAAAAATTGTAGCTAGCATTTGGATTAGAAAGCTAATTGGAAAGGTGGAAATGAATGAGAGGTTTAATCTTAAAGTAGTTCCTAATAAATGTGAGAACATTTTGGATGGGAAGCTGAAGAAAGTAAGTATTGATTTTAATATTAAACGAATTAATGAATAAATTTAATTATTAATACCTAGTTTTTACATCCACAAAAGATGAATAAGAATACATTTAGTTATTTGATTTATCCTGCATTTAGTATAGTTATCATATCTAATGATACTCTTCCTATTATTTAACAACAATTATTTGAGAAGAAAATAAAAATTAAAGAAAAAATCAATTTCAATGCATTAAGCAAATTTAATTAGGACTCTTATGTATATAATTTCACTTTTTGTCTTAATCTTTATTATTTTATGGAAAAAATTTATTAATAAAGCTAAATTTTATAATTTACTAAATTAGACTCTCCCTTACCCTTACCCTGATTCTTAATTAAAATTTAATAGAAAATAAATACATAATTTCCTTTATAAATAAATTGATTATTTATCTAAATTTTTTAATTTACAAATATCTAAGATATATATAGAGAAATATAAGCAATAGGCCAGTTTAAAAAAAAAAATTCCATGTCTTTTGTCTAACAATCAAAATAAAATTTTTACAAAATAATTACTGTTTTATTAAATATATTATTTGAAGATTTAAGCTATATCATATGATTATTGAATTTTTTATAAATTTTCTTAATTAACTTTATTTTATTAGCTTATATTTTCTTTCTCTTTCTTTCATTATTATTTTGGTTTAATTATCTAATATATTGAAATACTTTCTAATTATAGAGTATCATTAACAAATTATTATTATTGTATGGTATTTGAGTAACTATAATTATCTTAATTTATTTTTAATAAATTAGATTCCTTAAATAAATAAATAATAATAATAATAATTAATTAACAAAAAAAATATAATCTTTGTCCTGAAAAGTAAATTAAAAAATCAATTATTTATCAATGTTTGTTTTAATTTATGCTCTATTTATTACTAACATTTTAGGAGAATCGAAAGCTCAAAATCCCAAAATAAATTTATTATACTCTCCATTTTATGTAAATTACTATACTCTCTCACCAAATGAAGGAACTTCTTAAATAGTAAAAGTACCCAAAAATGTTTAGGCAGTCTATTTTTCGTCAGGTTTTGGAGGTCTAATAGTATTAGATTAATAAGGAGGTACTAAGCTTTTATAGTAAAGTTTTTAATAACAGTTTATAAGCTAATTTGATGTTAGCGCAAATGGAAATATTCTAGTCTTAGGATTTAACTCAACATTATCAGTATTTGCATATCCAGGAGCTTCTATCACTTTAGAAAACATGTAAAACTATTAATTTGCTTCAAGCGCGCCATTTAAATCAGAGATTATTGAAATAGTATATTTTGAAACATAAAATCTAATCTTTGTATCTGGTCTACTCTGATATATTGCAGTGTATGATTCAAGCGATATATACAATTTAAGAATTCTAGATATATACAATACTTAATCTGTTCAGATAACTTCGATATAGGTTTCGAGTGATGCTTAATGGGTGTATCTTAGTTGTGATATTGAAGGTATTGTAGTTTTGAGGTTAAATTTTATTTCTAATTCTTAACCAAGATAAGCAAATTTCACAAAAGCAGCTTATGGTAATGGATATAGAAAAACATGGTCATTAGTTGTAACCAATGACAACAGATATATTTATGAAATTGAAAATTGGTTTGGTATTTTTTATGCTGATAACTCTTAAACACTAGCTGCAAATTCTTCTAATTATCCAATTCAATTAACTTTTAAAGCTTACTGGCCATTTTAATACATAAATCCTGTTTGTACGATAATATTTATTTCTAATGACAATAACTTTATCTTTGTAGGAATTAGATCAATAGGAATTCTCATATTTGATATCAGCCAAAGAGAAAATATTTAGTTTTTTTAACAGATCTCAATTGATGGTCTTTCAAATTCAGCTGCTTTATCTGGTGATGAAAAATTTTTATATTATGCTAATTCTTTGAGTTTACAAACATTCAAAAATTTAAGCGAATAATAAATTGCGCAAAGCATTATTAAAAATAATAAATAATTTTTTTTTAGTGAAAATAGATAAAAAAACGCAACTTTTAATATATTTTCTATAAATAACTAAAATTTAGATATACAAAAATAGGTTTTAAATTAATTTAATAATATAAAAGATGAGAGTAAAAACTAACAAAAATTAAATTTATTTAATTCCATTTAAAGATATAGTTTTTCATCTTAAACTAATAGCAAAAATATTAGCCCAAAAAGCTTCAAATTGCTAGATTAAAATACAATTTTTACAACAATAGATGAAGAATATTAATAATAAGAAATAAATTAATAAGATAATAAAATATCATCATTAATTTCAGATTAATCTGTGAATTTAAAAAAAAAATACAAAAAAAATTTATTAAGCAAAATGAACAATGTAGATATATAAAAATTAAATACTCAAAGCGATTTCATAATAGAAGATTGAAATAATTATCTTTTTGTTTAAATTAAATTAAATTCCATTTTTAATTGTTTTATATATAAATCATAATTACTTTTTTAATAACATAGAAAATTAAAATTCTTTGTAAATTTATGTTTAGGATAAAATTAATAAAATTAAAATACAATATACATTCTCATTAATAAAAGCTTTTGAAATAATTCTTTTCCCTTGTTTTAATAATTTTTTTTTTAAAATCTAAAATTAAAAAATTCAATAGAAATTGAATGTATTTATTAATATTTACATGTTATAAAAAAAATTATTAAAAATAAAGGCATTTATTTATCTATACCAAAAATTGAACATAATAAAATACTTCTTGAATTTAAAACAGCAGTATTTTTCATTTATAAATAATAGGATTCTTGACAAATAATCTTAGAAAGCTTAGATAGTTAATCCATAGCATTCATAATTCAAAAAAAAAAAAAATTATTTTTATTGTAACCACTTTAAATAAACTGACTCTGTTAGCTATACTTTAATTTAACAACAAATTAATAACAATATAGAGATAATTTACAAATCCATTTTATTAAAAATTCAAACTAACAAATAGCTTAATAGAAAAAAAATTCAAAAATGAGAAAGTATTATAAATAATAGCTAAAACAAAAATATAAAATATGATAAAGATGGTGAAAGAGGTTAAAGAAAAAATAGGTATTTTTATTGAAAAATATATCAGGTTTAGGGATTTCAGAGTCTGAACACATTAAGAGAGATGAAAAACTGAATTTTAGAATAAGTTATTTATTAAAAGAAAACTTTTGAGTGAAAAGGTTACAAAATGATTGTAGTTCGTCCAAATCAAGTATGCTAAATGTTTAGAACTCTCTTTAGATCTCCTTTTAGTTGCAATTTACGTTGATCTCTATTTAAATTTGTTATATTATTTTAAAAATGAATTGTACTACTTCAAAGATATTGCGATAGGTAAAAAAATTTTTTTTTAAAGTATGAGCGATATTGAAATTATATGAACAAAGGTTATGAAATACTAACATTCACAGGTGATTAGATAAAAATAATAAGTACTCATTTTATAAATGCATGGAATACCTAATATACACTAATAATAAGACATTAATGTTTCGAGAAACATAGGAAGGAGATTATAGCTATATATAACTTAGTTAATTTATCACTTATTTTATTGATAATATGCTAAAAAATGATTTGAAAAATGTATGCTTAAAGAGGAAATTAAAGTATTTTTTTCTAAAAAATAAAAATTTACTTTATTAGTTTTTCTTTATTACTTTTTTTTAAATTTTATTTAAACTAAAATAATCAGCTATTCACTAATTAACGCCGCTCTTTAATTATGGTAATAAACCTTAACAAATAATTAAAATTCTTAGACATTTCTCCTTGAATACTACTTTAACATGATGGTAATGATAGCTTACAAATTGAAAAATTATCTAGCACTACTTCATATTAATAAATAAAAAGCTCATAAAATTTTATATTTAAGTATAATAATTATGGAATTATTTTATTTATTGATGATATTGCTATTTTTTCCTATTTATTATTTTGTTATGAGTAAAAGAGAAGATAAATTCAAATTGTTAACTTTTGATTCTAACTTTTATTATATATTTTATTTAAAATAAATCAAATTTTGGTTTTTCTAAAACTTTGAGATAAATAAAAGCTAATAGATAGTTTAGTTTTAATACAATTCTTTCTTAAAAAAAATACGAATTGGGTAGTTTTTAGCTTCATCCTAATTTAAGATTTCAAAAAAAAAAGAAAGCGGTTTCTCAAACAAATATTCTCAAAAATACTCTTTTTCTATAATGATTTTTACTTTATTTATGCTCATAATTTGATATTTTTACTCTATCACTAACTACTTTCTAAAAAGGAGCTTCTTTCAAATATTTAATTACAATATTTAAGAAACAAACTAAATTTACTAAATTAAGGTTTTAGTTAGTTAGCTTTGAATTATCTACAATTTAATAATTTACAAATTCTTTTATGTATTAATTCACAGATTGGTATATATCAGTACTTAAAAAATTCAAAGATTGAATACTGGGTCAATAATTAGTAAAGTATAGCTAGCCTTTAAAATTTAAATATTGAGTAGATTCGAATTTTAAAACAATACAAATGAAACTCAAGCAATTTCATAACTATTAAAAATGATACATACTAATTTCTCTTGATAAGTATAACACCTAGTGTTTGGATTAGAAAGCTAATGTGAATAGTGGAAATAAAATGAGACATTTAATTCTAAAGTAGATCCCTAATAAATGTGAGATCATTTTGGATGGGAAGCTGAAGAAAGTAATTAAATTTAACATTAAAGGAATTAATAAATAAATTTAATTAGCTATCCTAGTTTTTACATCTACTAAAGATGAATAAGAATATATTTAGTTATATGATATTTTATGCATTCAGTAAGTAGTGTTATCATAAATAATAATACTCCTCCTATTATTTAACAAAAATTATTTGTTAAGAAAATTAAAATTCAAGAAAAATCAATTTTAAGGTGTTAAGCAAATTTAATTAGGACTTTTTATTTATACAATTACATTCTGTGTCTTAATCTTTATTAATTTATGGCTAAAATTTATTAATTAACTAAATTTTTTAATTTACTAAGCTAGGCTATCCCCTACCCATGTCCTTAATTCCAATTTAACAGAAATTAAATGTATGTTTTAATTCATAAATAAATTCATTATTAATCTAAATTATTATGTTTACAAATATTTAAGATATAGTGAAACAGGAACCCTTACCCAGTTAAAAAAAAACAAAAAATATATTACACATCCTGACCCTACAATAAAAAATCCCTAAAAGTAAAAATTTCTGTTTAATGAGTAAGTATTCCCATCATTATTTATTGTTTTCATTAATTAAGTTAACCTCATAGTTTGAAGGTTTATGCTATATAGTATGAATGTTGAAGTTTTTATATATTTTCACTTTTAACTTTATTTTAGTCAATCTTATAATTTATATTTCCTTTTTCTTTCTTTCTTTATTCTTTTAGTTTAATTACCCAATATTGAAAAATTTCTAAGAATAGAGTACTATTAATCAATTATAATTATTGTATGGTTTTTGGGTAAATATAATTATCTTAATTTATTTTTAAAATAATAGTTTGTTTAAATAAATAATAATTATAAATTAACAAAAAAAATATAATCTCTTTTCTGAAAAGTAAATTAAAAAATCAGTTATTTACTAATGTTTTTTTAAATTTATGCTATATTTATTGCTAACGTTTTAGGATAATTGAATGCTCAAAGCACCAAGATAAATATACTCTACTCTCCATTTTATGTAAATCACTATACTCTCTCTCCTAATGAAGGAACTTCTTAAATAGTCAAAGTACCCAGAGATGTTTAAGCAGTCTATTTTTCGTCAGGTTTCGGAGGTTTAATAGTATTAGATAAAGAAGGAGGTACTAAACTTTTATAATAAAATTTTTAATAATAATTTGTAAGCTAATTTGATGTTAGCAGAAATGGAAAAATTCTAGTCTTAGGATTTAACTCAATATTATCAGTTTTTGCATATCCAGGAGCTTCTATCCCTCTAGATAAAATGTAAAATTACTAATTTGTTTCGAGCGCGCCATTTAAATCAGAGATTATTGAAATAGTATACTTTGAAACATAAAATCTTATCTTCGTATCAGGTCTACTTGGATATATTGCAGTGTATGATTCAAGCGATATATACAATTTAAGAATTCTGGATATTTACTAGACTTAATCTGTTCAGATAACTGCAATATGGGTTTCGAGTGATGCTTAATGGGTGTATCTTAGTTGTGATATTGAAGGTATTGTAGTTTTGAGGTTAAATTTTATTTCTAATTCTTAACCAAGATAAGCACATTTCATAAAAGCTGCTTATGGTAATGGATATAGAAAAACATGGTCATTAGTTGTAACCAACGACAACAGATATATTTATGAAATTGAAAATTGGTTTGGTATTTTTTATGCTGATAACTCTTAAACACTAGCTGCAAATTCTTCTAATTATCCAATTCAATTAACTTTTAAAGCTTACTGGCCATTTTAATACATAAATCCTGTTTGTACGATAATACTTATTTCTAATGACAATAACTTTATCTTTGTAGGAGTTAGATCAATAGGAATTCTCATATTTGATATCAGCCAAAGAGAAAATATTTAGTTTTTTTAACAGATCTCAATTGATGGTCTTTCAAACTCAGCTGTTTTATCTGGTGATGAAAAATTTTTATATTATGCTAATTCTTTGAGTTTACAAACATTTAAATAATCGATTCCCAATTTAAATAATAATTTTCCCAACATATTTAATACTCACCAAGCTTTACAAAAATAAATGGAAGGAATTTATAAATGGAGATGCTACACTGATCCAACTAATTAATATTTGATGGGCTCTTTCGATTACAGCGGGACATATATGATACCATTTTACAACAATCCTCTAAATCTTTAAATTTAGTATGCAACTCACTTAGATATAGAATCTGATTCGATGAGTTTTGATGCAAAAAATAACTTATTATTTATTCCTTCCCTCTACTCTAAAAAGCTAATAACAGTATTTTCTATAGCACCAACAGCTAATGATCCAGATATATCTTTAACTAATCCTAAGGAGGTTTCTTCTTTCTCTGTTGATACATTTAATATGGCAGAACAGTTTATTTTTAGCAAAGACAGATCATATGCTATTCAAACCTATCAAATTGGAATAATGCTCTTCAATATGACAAACCCGTTTAATATATCCTTAGTCTATTATTATTAAAGTCCTGACTTTATGTAAGGTGAAACTGGAGGTGGTGCTATAACTGATGACAATAACTATATAATTGCTTGCTGTAGAAATTATGGAATATATATTTTGGATTGCACTAATAAATAAAATATTTATTTATCTGATTATCTTGAGACTTTAGGAGCTGAGAGTATAGTTCTATCTAAGACTTCGTCTAAATATGGCTACTTAATGGATGGAATGAGAGGGTTCGCAATTTTAGATTTGACTACCTTGCCTAAAATACAAATTTTATCAAGGATAAAACTCTCAGGATGGACTTAATTAGGTATTCCAATTAAGGAAGATAAATATATTCTTATAGGATCTTAGGATATTGGAATGCTCACTTTGGTGGATATTTAAGATAAAACAAATCCAACTTTAATAGCTACTTATTTGAGAGATAAGTAATTTTCTGTTGCTATTTGTACAACTTCAGATGAAAATTATGTTTTTATAACAAACTCTTAAGGAATTATAACATTACCATTGTAAAGCTAGGTCTATATCCACACTGAATTTAACATTGTTAACATAGATTAGCTTACAGGAAATCAATCTATTTCTCAGTATAAAATGCAAGAAGGGCAGTCGAATTATGTTTTTTAAGTTGGTCAATAGGTATAATTAAATTTTGTGATACTCTACCCTCAAAATGAAGATGAGCGTATTGTTTAGGTATTTCAGTACTTAAATGGTTAAGTTGCTCCTTTACCATTTTATATGTAATACGATTTGAATTCCTAAACTCTAACAATGAATATTGATAAATCAGCTCTTGGTAGTATCAGATAAGGGATCAATTAAAATATGCTATTAATTAAAACAGTTATACCACTTTAAATAACTCAATTTTAATATAATCTACAAGACATGAAGGATATTGTTTCTACAGATGAAGCATAAGCAAATTTAATTCTAAATTATTTAGTTGATCAAAATTACCTTGATTCAAAATTAAGTATAACAGATTTCTTTGACTCCACCAAACCCTTTAAATTTAGCAACGATTTTATTAATAGTTTTGAGAGACTTCAATCAAGTAGCAGTATTTAAAATTTAACATTATTCATTGAATAGTTAGAACAAAAAGTACTGTAAACATTAATACTTTCCTATTATATCAATCCTATTGTTTACTTTGTAGAACCTTCACTTTCTCTTAACTTTACAAATAGAAGTAATTATGTTTAGAGTCTATCCACTTCTTTGTTAAGTTGTTATTTACAGGTAGATTAAAAAATTGGTAAATTTGTGACTATGAACTACCCAGGTGTGATCACATCATTTTCTTAAAGTGGAGATTAAATTAAATTAGAAGGTTCTCTCTCAAATATAAATGGAGTTCTCCAAAAATAAATTATATTTGCAAATACCACTGTGATGATGCCTGAAATGAAAGTGCAATTGTAACTAATAGATAATTATAACTATCCTTATGTTTTAGAAGTAAACATTTCAGAATGCCCCTTAATTGTGCTTAAATAATAAATTTAAGTTTAGAACCCTTTATAGTAATAAGTAGAAAAGTAGTACACAGATTCTATTGTTGATATTTAGTCTTAAATAACACTAATATTTGCATAAAACACCTTTGTAGTTAATGATACTTAGCAAATAATTTACAAAATATAACTTTTAAACCCCTCCTCTAATACTTACCAAGACTTATCTCCAGAGTTTTGGCTTCAGTCTTAAGGCGACACAAGATTAAGCTACTTTGGAACTATTCCATCAAAAGATTTTAATTCAATTTTTAGATTTAAAATAATTGCTAATGATAGTTACACAGCCATTGAAGATTATTTTGTATTAAAGGCATATGGAATTCCATTTCTTTACATTTTTAATTTTGTAGTTTAAATATTAGGTCCTATAATAGCCATCTTAGGTATTTATAATAAGAGAGCAAAAATATGGAACATTATATACAAAAATAAAACTCGTTTTGAAGATGAAAATGCTTATATTGGATAGCAATTTAAAATGAAAATAATTTTGATGGGAGATATTTTGAAAGACTCGATCTTAATTGTTGACAAACTCTTCAAAAAAGTCAATCAAAATGAAAAAAATTAGAATTTAAATAATTTAAAATCAGAATTTGTGCTTGATGACTAAACCCAAACTTAGTCTTCAGAAACAGATAGATCATTAAATAAATTAATTTTCCAAACCAATGTTTAAATGAATTCTGTTAAAAGAGTACTTAAAGTATCTAAATTAATACCAAAGGCTGATCTCGATAAAATGATAAGAGTATTATCATCATTTCCGAATCACATACCAAGTCAAATCATAGAAAAAAAATATTTGAAAAAATATGGAAGTGTCTGTATGGAATAAGTTATTCAAGACATTTTAGATTATAATTTAATTTCCTTATTTACAAATAACCATAAAAAAGAAGAAGAAGCTATTAAGGAACTAAAAGATTGGCATTCTAGAATACATAAAGCAATAAAATCGAATATATCTAGGCGTTTGTTGTAATTAGATAAGAGGTCTCTAAAAATTTATGAAACCATTAAGGAATGTGCAATAAAATATTTCAGTAAATAAAAAAAATATTGGTATAGAGCATTTATAGATTTTGACTCTTCCACTTACTACTAAGAATCCAAAAGCTAAGAAATATTTTCTAACTTAAACATTAAAGTAGAAGAATTAATTGATTTGTTTGTAATTCTTAAAATTCTTCCTCCATCTGCACATAAAGAAGTAAAGGATTTTGATTCACTTGTTTTATCTCTTATTAAATATAAAACAGGAGTAAATATGTATTTAATAAAAGATTGCTTATTTTCAGATGCTTATGGTCTAACTTCTAAACTTCCTAGTATATTTTATTTGGCATAAGGTGAGTCAATTCATGCATTAGCATTAAATTAAATAAATTTAGGCATTCAAAAAACAAAATGCTCCAAGCTTATTTAATAAATTTTGTTCTCTATTTAACTTGGAATATAAGATTTATGGAGTCGGTAAAAATATTCGTCTTCCTACTTGGATTAACCTTGACTAAAAGTATGGAGTTATTTTGATAGAGGGTACTCCAAGCGTAGAAGATATGGAAGAGGTTTTAATCAGAATTTATGATTATACAGGTTATGTTGTAAAATCTTTTATTTTAAAAGTTACATATAATCCGAACGAAAAATCTGTTATAGAATAAAGTATTCCAGAAGAAAGTTAATAATTTATTGATATTTAACATTTTCATAATTTAAGCTAATAATGCATTCCTTAAAGCATTTAAAAAAAAAGAAAATCATATTTTTTTAATTAAAATAGATAAAAAAACGCAACTTTTAATATATTTTCTATAAATAACTAAAATTCAGACCTATAAAAGTTTATTTCAAATTAATTTTATAATACAAAAGATGATAGTAAAAATTTAGAAAGTAAAAAAAAATAAAATTTATCTAATTCTATTTAAAGCTATAGTTTTTCATCTTAAGCTAATAGCAAAAACGTTTCCCCAAAAAATTTCAAATTGCTAGAATAAAATACAATTTATTCTACAGTAAATGAAGAAGATTAGAAATAAGAAATCATTTCATCAGATAATTAAACGATATCATCAAATCCAGACTAATCTATGAATTTAAAATAAATATACAAAAAAAGTATATTAAGTAAAATGAACAGTTTAGATATATAAAGATTAAATACTCAAAGTGATTTCATATTAGAAGATTGAAATAACTATGTCTGTGTTTAAATTAAATTAAATTTCATTTTTAGTTGTATTGTATGTAAATCATCATTTCTTTATTTAAATTTATGATTAGGTTGAAATTAATAAAATTATAGATACAATATATATTCTCATTAATTAACATTTTTATAAAATGTTCAAAAAAATTTTTACAAAATTTTAGGGCTAAATAATTAAAATATTTTGAAAATATTTTTACTTACTTATAAATAAAATTTTATGATAGATAGTTAGTTAGTTAGTTATCTAAAAATATCTGCAGTTTATTTATATATAAACTCTCATAAGACCATCACATATAAATAAAGAAATAAAATTAGTTATAATCTAAATATTATGTCTCATTTTTTAATCAGTTTTATCAATCAATTAAAATAAATTGTTTCCATATTTATTTAATATAAAATTAAATCATTTTTTATTGCTGTGATTTTTCATCAATCCCTAACATTTTTTCTTCCACCTGTCATTTCATAATTATGATGAGAATCAGATTTCATTAACTTTTCTTCATATTTACGACTATAATAATTATATAAAGCTTCATGTCTTCTTACAGTTGTGAAGTAATTCCAAAGAGAAAAGGTAGTTAGAGTAAAAATAGAGTTTCTTATTAGAGAAGGTACAATACCTTTGTAGAGAGTAAATATACCCATATCTTCTTTTATAAGTTATTGTATGTATTTATTTATAGAAGGTATTTCTGAAGCTTATAGAGCTCTTATACAGTATCTGTGATAAATAAAATCAAGAGGATGAGTGACAGAAGTTGTAATTAAACTTGTTAATAATGCACTTGTGCATACCTTAAACCCATCGCTTTTAATTTCAGTTTCTTCGTAGAAGTATCTTAAAAATTTAAAAAATATAAATATTTCTGATACTGCTATGCTATTTTAGAGAATCAATCCACTTCTGATTCCAGTTCCCATAAAAATGGTAGATTTTCCCTTGTGATACTAACTTATTTTGCGATATTTTTCTTAATAACTTTCATATTTAGTATAATCTACACCTAAAGGTTCACATTAAATTTTAATTTTTAGAATATTAGAAGGTTGCTATATTAAAAAACTCATAGATTAAGCTGCTATAGCAGACACGTAGAGCTAGAAATCACTTATTTGCGAGTAAGGTTAAAGAGGACGACCGACTAAAAAATCAAACACAAAAAATCTAACTAAATTTTAAGAAAGAATCCTATCAATACCAGCTCTTAATCCGTAAAATACACCAAATGATTTTTCTGCTTTCAAGATATCTTCATAAATAACTTTAGTTTCTTTGAAAATAGATTTAGTTGTAAATGTTTAGCGAGCTATTTCTCTAACCTTCAATCTATCGAAAGGATAGGCTAAAGCTTCTCCTACAGCTGAAGCAAATGCAATTATACCTACCCTTCTAATAATTCCTTTTTCAGATAAGTCAAAGTGGCTATAATTCATATCCTTATATCTTAATACACAAATAGAAAGAAATTATTAAATAAGAATAAATTAAGTGATAATTAATAATAAACTAATTTCTAATAAACATAAAGATTTCATTTAAGCAAAAGAAATTTCTATTTTAAATTATTTTTAACAACTATAAACTAAAATAACAAAAAAATATTTATAATTCTTTAATAAATTCTCATTAAGTACTGATTGCTATTATTTTTATTACAGACTCTTCGAATATTTACTGAAATTAATTGAAAAAAATAAAATACTTCAACATCAAAAAAATCAGAAAATGAGTTTTATTTTTAAAATTTTTTTAGACTTATTTTTTAAATAATGTCATATTATTTTAATTTAATTAGGACTATTAACTAACTCAACAAATATTTTTTTCTGAATTTATAATTTAAAAGTTTTCTAAAAAACTGAATACTTTTTTAATGCAAATATAATTTTTACAAAGAATAAAAATAAATCTAATTCTCATTGCTAAATATCTAAATTAAATATATCATTTTTTAGTTTATTTAATTTTTTCAAAAATGCCTCTAATTCTTCTTTAGAGAACTCTAGATTAACTCTTTATTCCTTTTCACTACCATATCTCTTTAGAATGAGTTGGAGTACTAGTAAAGGAATTTAAGTTCTTGATAGGTTATCTGCTGCAATGCTTACCTATTTAAATAAAAGAAATCATTTATAAAAAATTATTTAGTTGTTATATTTTACATTTATATTCCAATTAAAATCAACTAACACAAGCTAGTTTAAGGCTATTTATCTTTATATTGACTACTTTTGAATTGATTATATATTATAATATAATATTTCTGCTAAAATGTTCACTCTTTATTCAGTAATTCCTAAATCGCATTTTAAAATCAACTTTTTAAGCTATTTTTTTAATATTCAAAAACATTTTAATCAAAATAATTTGCATAACAACTTAAAAAATTCATAATTTCAGATTATTTATCTAAATGTTTTGTTAAATGTCTATTAATCAATTACATTTTTAGCTGAATTAATTGTATTATCTATAATAACATTTCCTAAATCTTATAAAAACTTGTGTGTTTCTAGCACTTGAGAATAATTTTGTATTTCTTCATACTTAAGAACTAATGGTTTTTTCTTATCCATTACAAACTCACTTATGATATCTTAAACAAACTAAAATTATTAAAATTAAAACAAATAAATATGACTACTAACTAAAGCTAAAAAGCAATAGTGTAAATAACAACAATTAATGAATACACTAAAATTCAATTAATAAATTATTTACTTGCTAAAACTTATCATCACTTTCAAATAAAGTGAAAATGGTTGGTTTAATAATATTCATGCTTAAAATCTTTACACCTTACTTTAATATCAAAAACTATTTAATTAATTATAAAGCAAATTATATCTTTGATCATAAGAAATAAAACATGATACTTGGATATTCTTTTACATATTATGCTTAATTCGCTAATCAATCAATCAAAAAAAAAAATTTCTAATTTGTTAACAATTCTAATTTCATATCTAATTTGATAAAAAACTTTTTCTCAAATTCATATAATGGTAAAAAAACTCCCCCACCGGGACTTGAACCCGGGTCTCAAGGGTGAGAACCTTGTATCCTAACCAGCTAGACTATGAGGGATTACATTTAAATTTGAGTTATTTGAAAATTAATTTTAAATAAATTATTTTTGATTGATATTTATTAAAAGATAATTATAAAAAACTCCCCCACCGGGACTTGAACCCGGGTCTCAAGGGTGAGAACCTTGTATCCTAACCAGCTAGACTATGAGGGATTTACAATAGCTTTAAGAGAAATAATCTAGGAAATTTATAAATAAATAAATAAATTTATTTTCTTACTACTTATCAATAAGCAATTTACTTATCTTTATTTAAAATAAAATTAAAAACACAATAGCTTAAAAATTCCATCTTTCTTCTTAAAAAAATAATTTATATCTCCATATTCTCAACTAAAATATATTTTAGGTTTATTTATATATATATATTCAACGTTAGATAAATGCTCAAATCTGATTTTATTTAAAAATTAATTAATTATAATATATATAAGCAAGCAAATATTATTAAATTGATAAAATATCTTTATTATTATTTTCTGAATATAAAAAATAACTCCCCCACCGGGACTTGAACCCGGGTCTCAAGGGTGAGAACCTTGTATCCTAACCAGCTAGACTATGAGGGATTTACAATAAGTTTAGAACCTATTATACAGGAAATTTATAATTTAATAAATTTTAATAACAAACATCAATTTACAAAATGAATTCATCTTTATGAATTATAAAATAATTAACCAAATAAATGTGTATTATGTTAGATATTTAATGTTCATAATAAAATAATGGGTGTGTTTAACTATTGTAAAATTTAGTAAAAAAGAATAAAATTAATCAAATGTAAATTAAATCAATTTATTATCGATTAAAAAGTTGAATAAAATTATTCTGATAATTTAAAAAAATTAATCAAATTATAGTTTATTTTTGGTTAATTTTAGGATTTAAAAAAATAACTCCCCCACCGGGACTTGAACCCGGGTCTCAAGGGTGAGAACCTTGTATCCTAACCAGCTAGACTATGAGGGATTTACAATAAACTTTAGCAATATCCTAATTTAAATAAAATTATTTGTAAGTTTTGTTCAAATTTTTTTAAACCAATATATAAATTATAATTTTATTAATTAATTCTATTTCACATGTAATCTACAGCTTTAAGTAAAGATATTTCTTAGCATCATGTTGTATTAGATTATAAACAATTATAATAAGATTCCTAAAATAAAATAAAACTAAAATATAAATTATTTATTTATTTATTTTATTTCATTTAATGTGCTATAATTTTAAGAAAAAATATTCGTGAGTATCTTAGTTGTATTCAGAACTATTTTTACATTTTGAACTTATATTTTTATATGTTTCGTCTTCAAACTAAAATTATTCAACATTAAGTTAACCTTAACATTTCTAAATGAATTCTTATAAAGTTCCACCTCTTGAAGGTGCAATAATTATGCAATATCCATCACTTTTAGACATATTATTTAAAAGTGTCTTAATTAAAGCCTGATGAAAATTTCTAAAGAACAAGCAATCTGCTATTATAATACAATCAAATTTATCTTTTTCTTCTAATTCAATTCCGTTTTCATCCCAAATATATTATCTTGAGCTAATAAACTCTGTTTTATGCAAAAAACTTTATTAGCAAAGATAGATATAATTTTTTAAATAATTTTATGAATTAACAATTGTAATTTTATTAAAATTATTAAATATTTATGCTTACTTAAAGGCTAACTAAAATCTTTAACGGGATAATTTAATTCGATATTTTTTTAGAGTAAAAAAGCACATTCTTCGTTACCATCAGAAATATCAATGTAAAAATTTGAATCATCTTATGTGTTTTATAACAAATATTTTGATAAGGCTAATCCTGCTAATCCAGAATATCCTGCGCCATATTCAGCTATTCTTTTCATATTCTTAAATTGCTCAAAATTCCTAATGCAATAATATGCTAATAATTCTTCTGCAGGCCAAAGTGAAACTCCAGTACTGTCAACTTTAGCTTCATTATACTTTTTTATTTATTCTAAGCTTATGGCAGCTCTTTGCTTTTAAATAAAAACCTATAGATTATCTTTTCCCAAATTATATTATATTATATCGTTTTCTAAAAGCAGTTGAGGAAAGATGTTGAGGTAAAGCTGCTCTTTTAGGTTAAACTCATCTTTCTTTAAAAGAAAATTTTTAAGCTTACCCCATAGTTTTTTTGTTTTAGGTTAGGATTGCTATATGGTTGTTTGTTCTACTTTATCTTAAATATTCATGATATTCATAAAAATATTAAATTAAAATTATTGAAAAAAAAATAATTGAAAATTGTTATTTTTTTAAAGTGAAAATTAACATGTAAACTTTTTAAATATATTTGACTCATAAAACTGAAGCGTAAATTACATTTTTAATATCTATATTTAAACATGAAGCATCTAAGAAGGGATTATAAATTTTAACTCACAGTCATTTATATAAAAATTAATGAATCAGATAAATATTATAAGAAATACTAATAAGGTTAAGCATATTTCTAAATATGATCCTTTCTATATAGTATAAATGTTAAGAGGAACTATTTTAAAAATTATATTTAGATCAATATTATTCGTATTTAAAAATAAAAAGTTTTACTTTTGTTTTTTAGCGTTTTGATGGAGAGTTTAACAACAGAATTATCGTTTAACAAGTAATTAAACTATGGGAAGTCATTTATAGTAGATAAGTAAAAATCATACACAGTTCTATCAGAAAGGTTAGAAAAGGTTATATTAAATGGGGAGTTGATTTAATTAATATAGCTTTATATAAATAAGTTTTAGTTCACAGGTAAATTAGTCATATTTAGACCTTGTGAAATTTCATAAGAAGTGGGGTATATTACTCCTGGTGCCTCTTAACTTAGAAGGGAAGTTGTATTTGTAATAGTACTATTTTCACTATTTAGTCTAGGAATACCAACAGCTATGAGTGTACCACAATAACTAAACCCAACGTTAATTGTTACTGAATTAATTGTTTTGTTTGCCATGTATGGAGCAATCTAATCAAATTGAATTATAAAAAAAATTAAATAATTGTAAAAAAATTATAGTGACGATACTTAGAATTAAGGGATATTCAAGGACAAGTTTGACATTATAAAGGGTGTATTTACGTCAAGACGAGGAATAAATTGCTAAATTGCTTAAATTCTGTTATTCAATTAGGCAACAATATTAATAGGAGTTGTTAAGTAATCTTCGTTTGTAGGATCAGGGAGCAATAGGAGATTCCAATACATCACATTTGCTGAATTTGATCCATCCAAATTAATGCTGAGACACTTAGTTTACCTTTCAATTATTCTAGACAACATAAAATTGAAATTAGATGATGTCTATTTTATAAAAACTTACCTCGAAGGACTAATTGATACAAGACTTGCCATCTTTGTGATATACTCCTATTTAACATCACTTAAGATACTGCTCTGAGTTATTTTCATTGTAAAAGCAGCTATGTTTTAAGGTTCTATTTATTTAATTAACAAATAAGTTAATAAATTTTAAAAAAATCTTTTTAAATTCATACATAATGTGCTGAAAGCAAGTTTGTAATAATTTGCATTGTTTACCAAATTCATATTCATTATATATATGTAGATTTCATAATCTATGCCAGCATTCAAGTTAGTTATTGTAAATTATGTTTGAAGGTTTGTCTTTCTGATATAATTAACTCCATAAATAGGATTACTAAATGATAAAGTGTAGTTGCTACTAGGTTGCGATGTAGATATAAATGTAGGAGTAGGAATTCTTTTATTAGCAACAACATAAAATAAGAAGCCTTTTTAATCTGCCTATATAGAAAGAGTTACAGAAGTTCTAGTTATCATAGGCTACAATACTCCTCCTACAGTTTGTTATTGTATATTAACATTTATAAAATTAGGAGCAACATAATTTGCAGCAATTTTATTAATTGTTTAACCAACAAGAGGGTCATATGGTATATCAGCACTAATTTGATCATTATCTACATCATAAATGAATAATTAGTAGGATGCCATATCAACTCCTGAAAGTTAATAATAGATAGGTACACTGCTTACAGTCAAATTTTTTCTAAAAAAGACAGTATAGGCCATGGTATTTGTTTGGATATTGAAATTAACATTTGTTGTATTCACTGAAGCTTCAAAATTTTGAAAATCTTGCTTGCCTGAGAAAAGATTGTCAAAACAAATTTGAACAGTCAACCCTGTATAAGGTGGATTTGGTACACGTAGATATAATGGATAACTTTCACCATCTTAAGGAATATAAGGAATATTTTCAATTCTTACACTTCTTAATAGAGTACCTGAGACCATATTTATTTGTGTCCTCCTATGTTATTAGATTAGATATAAATATATAGATAATATTATAAATAATTTATTTACCTCAGGTCAGCATAAGTGGGAGGGAAGGTATCACCAGTTTTAGACCATGTTATATAAAATGTCTTTAGCAAAATTGATCTTGGTGCTGCTATCTTAAATGTTACACTAGTAGATTTGTACTGAAGAACTACAGGGAAAGGTTAGATAATTATTGATGGGTCTAAAACATTAGGTGTAAGAGTTATAGTTGTTTCTGCAGAGTAATTCACTATATTAACATTAAATGCTATAGTGATAGTGTCAGAGAAAGAACCAACTTCTAAATTATATGGTTGATCATTGTTCACAGTAATAAGCTTACCTTAATAAGAAAATGAAAGGGAAGCAATAAATAAATTTGGATATGATCTTCCTAAAACTACTTAATTAATACTATCATAATTATAAGCTATGAAATTATTTGTTGGACCACTAGAATCAGGAGTCCTTATAAGACTTATTGTTGCTGAAATGTATCCATTGACAGAAGAATCCCATTGTGGATTGATCGTTTGGTAGTAGAATCTCAAATTTTCATCATTCATATAGCAATTAGAAAAAAATGAAAAGCTTTAATTTATGCTACATGTTCCTCCATATGAATCGACAATGAAATCTTAAGGAAAATCAAAATATATTTATCCTCCATTTTATGAAGAAAGCACTTTTTAGAGTGGATCAATGACAAATGTAAAATTTCCTGTTTATCTCGCATACTGGTTTGTTGATGCAATTGAAACAAAATTAATTCCTCCAGGGGTAAGCTAAGGAGATATGTTTGGTATAGTTTAATAAGCTGCTTCAATTAAGTTATATCCATGCAAAGCTTTAGGTAGACTTACATCTAGTAAACCTATGCCAAACAATTCACTCACATAAACTTAATTAGTCGTCCTATTTGGATTTACTATACCAAAAATTTTAATTGTAATAGGCTATGTTATTGTCATACTGTAAAATCCGTAAATTACTAACTATCTTCTATATTACTTTTGCATAATATATATTTTTAAAATAGTTAATGTATTTTCAAAATCTTACTTTGTACTTAAGAGCACCTTAAAGCTATTCTGAAGTAATTATGAGTTTATATGGGCCTAGGTTGTTATCATAGTTTAAAGGAAAGTAAACTAAGATTGATTAAGTAGAAGAAATTGCTGTTACTGTACTAAATTAAATTGTAAATTCGTAATAAGCTCTTTCTCCTTCATTTTGTGGGTAGTAGTTTAAAGAACTAGAAGCTAAAGGAAGAGCCTTAGTTGATATTGTAGGACTAACTGATGTTCCAGTGCTAAATACTAGTGTACTTTTATAGTTAATTTGTAAGTTAAAGTTCGATGACAGTGATGATGGATTTCTTTTAAATAATTTAATATTGTTAATATTGAAATATAATTCAATAGAAATTAATTTACAAAGCTAGACCATAGTATTCTAATATGACATTTAATGCAGGATTTGAGTCTGCATAGGTTGTCATCTAAATTTAGTTAGCACCTGTTACAATAGCACAGTTTGACATGTAAATTATACTGTTTCTCTCAGAGCATTGAATGAAAGATTGCTACTTTTGATACAATAAAGTATAATCACTAGGAAATGTTATTGTAATGACTGAACCCTTAGGTATTAAAAGAGTTGTTTGGAACTGAAATATATATATTCCAGAATTTCCAATATTATTAGGAAGAGCGTTTATTGAATTAGGAAGAAAATTTATCACTTCTGGAGTAAAGGCTGCTCCAGATATAACAGCATTTACTTTTGTTTATCTTATAGCATATAATAATCCTGCACCATTGGCATATCTTTGAGTAACAGTTATTTAATAAGCTATTTTAAAAATTTAAATATTTTTTTAACACTAAATTAGAAATTTTTTATACTGCCTGCTGCTGGATTTGCTATGGCTGTCAATGTGATAGATACTTTTTAATTAGGGTCTATGACAGTAAACTAACTAATCTAAACTAAATTAGCGCTAGGAGTTGAAACTAATATTTGCTTATTCACGCTTTGATTTTGGATATTAACTAAATTAATCACTTATAAGTATGCATCATTTAGAGCTATTTAGTATGAAGCTGGAAAACTAAACTCTAATATATTTACATTTGGCATATTGACTGTAAATTTAAAAGTATATTTTGCCCACAGAATTTAAGGAGTTGCATAATCAATTGATAGAGCAAGAGTAGAATCCGTTAAAACTTAAGTGTTAAATACTACACTGTAAACAGCTACGTATTAAGAATTTGTACTCACATAAAGATTATTTACATTAGTTGCATATGAATAATTTGGTGAGATAATGTTTTATATTATAATATTGACATTTCCTATAAAAAAATAATTTTTAATTTCACATAATTGTATAAAAAATAAATTATATTTAATCAATTAATAAATGTATGAATTAATACCTGATGGAAGTGCTGATTTTGTAATGATCAAAATATAATTCATTCTTGATAAATAAAAGAAATCTGTCAAATAAGTGTATGATACTCCACTTACAGAGATTTATTATTGTGTAACATCAAACACATAACCTGGTGCTAGTTAAAAGAATATACCATTGTAAGTTCCAATAGCCTATCCTGGAAATCCAGTAAGTGGAACTTAGCTTTAATAAGATTATTACATATCTGGAGGATTTGGTGTAGTTGTGATGGATGTTGCTGCAGGTAGACTACTTCCTGTAGGTACAGGTGTTATATTTGTAAGTGGTAGGCTTTAATATAATCTTACTATCTTATTTGTAGATATGTATATTTAAATTTTATATTGAGGAGTATCACTACTAGCTGCTTAAGTTACAGGTACACCAATTTTAATTTTTCTATTCTATGATGTTTAGATAGATTAAAGTTAATCATAATTTTATACTCTTATCACAATACTTCCAGGATATAAATTTTAAAAAATTGAGCATTAAATCTAATAACCAGGAGCATTAGTAAGACCCTATGCATCTGTACCTGTTTATGGAAGAGAAATACAATCAATAATGCTAAGATCAGGGATAGAACTTAGACCATAAGCTAATTGTTAAAAAATGATTAATAAACTTGCCTTTTTTTAATAATTTATTTACAATTGCTAGTTCCACTGACAATAATATCTATATAAGAAAATTATGTAAAGGGATCTGCAAGAGTCTTTACACCTGATGGTAATGAGCTCTTAAAGGCAAAAACAAAAAATAGCATTGAACTTTATAGTTACTATGTGGATAAGGTATATGTAGCAGGGCTACTTAAAGGAGGAGAAATAATTGCAAAGACTTGATTTAAGGTATAAATGTATTATAAACCAGTTGTATCACTAAAGTAAATATTAGCTCTGATGTTGTAGTTATCAGGTATACTAGGATTAGCTAAATTTGAAATAGTCAATGTTTAAACTGTAGCTACGTTGAGAGTATAACCAGTAACTGCTACTTTAATTAATCCTCCTTATAAGGAACATTAATAATTAGTACCGCCAACTTTTATTTATTATTTATATTAAATATTTTTATTTTACTGTTTTTTTTTCTATAATTTTTACATTAACATGCTGGAATTCCTGAGAAATCTTCTGGTATTTCGATATAAAATGTAGCAGGACAAGAAGTAGCACCAGATGGTAAGTTTGTTTTTTATATACTCACTGTCAATGTTACACTTTGAGTGCTAGTTTATAGGTTGCTTAATGTTATCGGAGTAGCAGGTAAAACAACAGATAAACCTGTTGTAGGAGCTTTTTTTAGTTATTAATTTGAAAATTGAAATTATTATTCAAAATTAAATAAATGAATGAATGATGTCAAATTTAAATAAATATTGAAGAAACAATATTTTCTAAAAAATTTAAAGCTTTCTCTATTTAAATATTAATTTTAAATTAGTTACGAGCCTAAGTTATTGCTAATTATGTACTGGCTGTGCTATTATCTTAATCTACCAAAGTAAGCATATTTTAATCCAAGAATGTAGATATAGATACAGGTTATGTTGAAAGAATATCTAATTTTTTTAAATATTAATATTTTATTTTCTGAATTTTTTAAAATATACTTTACTTGTTGTAGTGACTGGATAAGATTTGATTTGAGCAACAAATTATACTTGAACAAACTCATTTCCAAACTAACTCCTTACATACGACTAAAAGTTAGATAGCAACATGATGTTGGCATATGGAGTACAGATAGAATTAGAGTTTAAAGATGTATCTAGTAATCCTGATGTTATTTAGCAAGATGTTATAAGTTGAAAATCGGTGACTATACGTGCAGCAATAAAAGGATTTGTAGGTTTAAATTGCAAGACAAATGTTCTAGTAAATCCTGTAAACATTTGATATCTTTATTTTTGTAAAAAATTTAATTTAAACTAATAAAATAAGTTGCTAAAATATTTTTTTTTACAGTGGGTAGTAAAGTTGCAAGTTTATATTTGTGATAATTCCTGGTTAAATATAGAGACCTAAAACGTTTGAAGCAACTTCAAGTGTAGAGTTTGTTGATGCTAATAAAATTTCAAATTTAAACAAATCTGTAATTGCAGAAACTTAAGGATTTTAAACTTGGAATAATGCAAGTGCTACCTAAGTACCTATATAAATTTTTATAATAATTAATTGATTAAATATCCATCTATGTATGTATACATGCATATATAAATGCAAAAATTCTAAGTTTATTTTTAATGTTATAATTATCAGTTCTACTAATTTTATTTATTTACTATGCAAAATATTGTTTATTATAGTTTACCTTTTATAATTGGACTTCCGTTTCCTTTTATTGTGAGAACATTGGGTGATGTAGATAACACTTAGCAATAAAATCCTCCTTTAAGAATTAATCCAGCACTATTAGCAACACTGCCACACTAAGAAGGAATAACATATGTCAAAGAATAAATCGAAGGAAATGTTATACGAAAATCAACATTATAAGGAAGATCAGAACTAGGCACCATATAAAAATTGTAGATACTTATCTAGCCTGCTTACTGACTAGAAGAGGAATTGAAATTTACGCTGGCGGAAATCAAATTTGTAGAAGGCTTGGATAACCCTACAACAGTGAAATGTTTTGATTGATCTAATACAGTTCCTGGTACAATTGGATTAGATACAAAATCGTAAGATGCCAGGGTAGAAATTTAAAACTGCCCTGTACCACCTTCTTTACTTGGGTTGTAAACCCCTGAAACCATAATTTGAATAGGTGTATTAGCTGGCCAATTTGGAAGACCTATAATAACACTCCATAAGTTAACTTTTGAAAATGATGCGACATTAGGATAAGGAGCATATATAACAGGTTTTGCAGGAGTCAATCCTATTTGATATTAATTCTAAGGAAATAGAATTTCAACATATCCAGTGGATGGCAAAGCAGTATCAAATGTCATAGAAAAGTAGTAATCTGCTATTGTATTAGGGTTAGTACTTGAAAGTACAATAAATTAGGATCCATAAGGTGAAACTCTTCCTCCAGTAACATAATTAATCCAAATAATGTACAAACATATAAATTTCAAAAAAATCAAATTGATGGATTTGTTATACTAATTGATAGAATCTAGCATAGAAATAAATGTTTTACTTATTTTCATTATATTTATTGTATGATTTATTATAAATTGGAATTAGTCTTTTTGAATTTGTAACTCAATCGAGGTGTTGAAAGACTAACTTAAAAATACTTTTTCTACCTATTTTCAAATTAGATATGATTTTAGTTTATTCCAAATATGCTCTTTTATTAGAGGTTAATAATTAGATTATATTGATTTGAAAACTGCAAGTAAATATATAAACAAAGTCTATGTCTCATGGTTGGATATATATTTTTTTTACAAAAAAATTATAATATTAAGATTTGTTAACTCATTTTTTACCTGAATTTTAGATTTATCTTTCTTAAACTTTATATGATTTAAACAATAGAATAACTATCTTATTACATTAGAAAGATTTTAATAAATAGAATGCAAAAATTTTAATTTTCTTTTAACATTAAATATTAAAATCATGTTGAATAAAAATGTATCTTATTTTTTAAACAATAATTATTACATATTATATTTTATTATAAATATTTAACAGTAAAAAAAACTTAGTAGGAAGTTTATGTTTGAAAACCACAAAATTTTATTATTAAATTTTTAAATTCCTATTAATTTCAAATATTCAAGGTAAACTAACTCTTAAAATTTGAAAAAAAACCAAATTATATTCTGAATTCCAGAGTGTTAAATTTAAAAAAATGAGTTTAAATTAAAAGAAAATTTAATATATAAGAATTGATTTGTTTTCAATTAAATAATTAATAATTTTTAAACATAGGAAATATTTTTTGAAAACATTTATCATATTTTCAAATACTTAAATTATGCTTGTTCTAAAATTTAATAGCTTAGTTCGATATTTATTGCATAAGTAAAACTATTTTAGAAAAAATATCTTTTAAAAAAATAAATATTGAATAAATTGAATTTTATGGTTTGATTTCAAAAGGTGATTGCTATAGTTTGTTAAAACTACAATACACAGATTATTTATTTGCAATGATTATTTCTTAGTAGTTCAAATAAAATTTACTATTTTATATAACCATGCTTTAATTCAAACTGTTTGTTTTAATATCATAGATTGCTTCAATTTTTAGCAACATCACTTCCCTTAAACATACTAACGAAACCATCTAACTTATGTTCGTTATGTTCTCTGTGAAGGATCTATTTGTTAAGTTTCTTTTCAACTCCATTAATATTGCTATCTATTAACTTAATTTATTAGTATTTTAGTAAATATTTAACATAATTAAAGGATCTATTTCATTATAAATCCCTTTTTTTTATTAATTTACATCATATTTAGGAGGTTGACTCATGTGACCAAACTATTTGTTTAAAAGTTTTATCAGAAAATGCGATACAAAAAAATATATTATAAAATAAATTATTCCTTAAGCAAAAATAGCTAAATAAATAATTACTGTTTCATGGAAGTAAGAAGGTTCAAGATAGATACAGAAGGCAATACCAACAACACCAAAAGTAAAAATAGCTCTACCAAGTCTCAAATCAACATTAGAAATCCAACCTAAGTGAGAATAAGTTTCACCTTCTAAATTATTAAAATAAATCAGATTTAATTTATAATAAATCAAAAATATATATATTAAAATAAATTGATTTTTAAATAGACTGCATTTATTAATTTTAGAATTATTTTTTCAAATCTATTTAGGTCAATTTTACAAAAACGCAATCAAATTTAGAACACAAGCTCATCCCTTATTAAAAAACAATAATGCATATTATGTTAAAAGAAATATATTTAATTCTAAGTTTCTGTTTTGTTCTTAAACATTTTTGTTAATGAATATTATCTTATTTTTCCCATTTTTAATATGCGAATAATCATCACATTTAATCAATATTGCTTTATTCATTTATCGATGCTTATAATAGATAATTTAATTTAAAAAATCATCATCATTTTAATTCCATACGTGCAGCAGTAAGATTTTGGTATTTTGCATCATTGAAAGCTTTCTTGAATTATCTAGAAAAAATAGAGGTTCCCTTTCTTAAACTCATTTTTATTTTATCTTTTCCTATTAATTATGTTTTGAATACTTTATATTTGATTAATTTCAAAGCTTTTTATTCTTCTTTTTCTAAATTGTTTTGATAATTAGCTATATCTTTTATTTCCTTACCAATATACAGGAAATAAAAGCTTAAAGAAAGTATATAAAATCTTCATTATTATATGAAAGTATTAATTTTAGTTAATATTTATATTATTTTATAATTTTATTTATTCTATTTTATTTATTATTTTTTGAAAATACATAAGTTCTCATGAAAACTCAATAAATTGACTGAAAAAAAATTTTTTTTACTAAAATATTATTTTTAATTCTATTTTCAATCTATTAATATATTAACTTATTTTAATGATTTGATATTTTTCTGTGATACTTACTGATAGTTAGTTATATAAAGTAATTGAAATTAATTATATTAAATCTTTCATAGATTTTAGTATTTATTTTAATACTGTACTGATTGTTACAAAAATATTCTTGATGGATAGATCAAATTACAATATTAATAGGATTTAACAAAATAAGAGCTAAACAAATGGCCTTTAAGATAATTCTATAAGGAAGAGCTAAGAGTCTTTGATTTCTAGATATAATTTTAGAGAAGCTGTAAACTAAGGATTAGAGATTTCGCAATAGTATTTAAGCTAGCCTTTAAAATATGATTCTGGATTTTTAGGAAAATTTATGAACGAAATTGAATAACAAATAAAATAAGGTCCAGAATATAAAACTTTGGAACTATCTTTTAAAAGAGCTGTTTCACGTTTTGCTAAAGAAGCAGAGTATCTACCCATTTTTATTTGTATATTTTTTGAATTGAATTTATTCAAGGCTGAATGATAAATAAAACAATTTAATAATTTAAATAAATAGAGGAAATCTTTTGAAAGACCTTACTCCAGAATAGATTTAATCTGTTTACAGAGATGTAAAAATGCTACTTTTTTTTACTTATTTTGAATAAATTTATAATATATATGTATTTTTGTCTGAGCTAATGAATAATAACAATAATTAGATTGGAAGAATATTTGACAAAGAAGAAGAAGGAGAAGATCTTAAAGCGAAGATAAGATAAGTTATGAATCTTCGTCTTGAAGATATGAGGAGATAAATTGTAATTATGAAGCATCAGTAACAATAAAACAATTTTTTTTAATAAAAAAGAAAGATAATAAGTGGAGCATAATTTTAAGTATGCTATAAAACCTGATTATCAGAAATAAAGGCAATAGAGATTGTTTTGATTTATTAGCATATAGACTTCTACCTAACGATTTGAGATAAATTATATGGAAATTCTGTTTGGTAATTTAGATTTATAAGATTATTTAAAATAAATATTGCAAATGAAAAATAATTTTTATGAAAAATAAAGGAAAATCAAAAGGAATCAAATGAATATTCCTAAAAACTGAATGAAAATAGACTGCTAACAATATCTAGATTTGATGTTGCAATCATTAAAGATACTGAAGATTTTGTTGGCTAAATGAGTACTCCACAAGAATTTGATGGAGGAATGATTTATTGCATGAAAACTATACTTTCTTATTATGAAATTAAGAAGGACAGAATCTTATCTGATTACCTTTACCTATTATGTATTCCTTTAATGGTAAATGATATAAATTAATTATGATAAATTTTAAATAAATTATGCTTTATAATTAAAATTTTTTTGTTAAAGATTGTTTATCGTGATGCTTAACATATGCATAAGATTCCTGTTGATTTGATAGGTTACTATTTCTCTATCCAAAGTATTGTAGCGTTTTTTGACCCTCTTGTAGACTTACTTGTTAAACATGATGAGAAGTACGATGCAGAAATGACTGATGCAATAATGAACACTTTAGCTATAGTGGATGAAGACCTTGCTAATAAAATCAACAGTGTACTCAATTTAGAGCTGCCTTAATCTAGAAATTTTTTAGTGCTTATAGTTAAAAGATTTGTCCACTCTTTAGGTTTTGCTTTTCTACCCTTACAAGTGACACTTTACATTTGGGATTAAATTTTTATGAAAATTCACAAAAATAGAATGGAAATATTTGTAGATATGGCAATTATGTTAAAATGTTTGAAAGATTAAATTATAGACTAAGACACTTGGGATCATATTGTTGATGTTATTTACTAAGAAAGCAAAAATATATCTTTTGAAGAATATTTTACTGAGCACAGGTAAGTATATAAACTCTATTTTAATAAAACGTAAATTTTATTTTATTATAAAAGACTAATTATGAAAAATTCAAGATTTTATTAATCTCCTTACAACGTAGACCCTGCCATAGTAAATAGAGGGAAATAAATTTTTGATAATCCTCTCCAGTAACTTATAGATCAACAGTAAAAGAGAGATAGATTAGCCTACAAATAGAAATGGCTAGATGTATACATTTTTAAATTTTTAATTATTAATAGATTTAGTTATTTCATGACTTAAATTTTGGAACTTTAACTTAATGTAAAAATTATCAAGGAATAAGAAAAGAATCAACTCAATAAGATGAAAAAGTAGAAAAATTTCCTTGATTCTGAATCTGAAGATGAAGAACCAGATGAAAATGATGCTGATGCAAGACGAATATAACTTTAAAAAATGAAAGCAGAAGATATAATGAAGTAAATGAAAACTAAGTAGCAAGCACCAGAAGCAATGGGAATGGTTCCAATGATAAACTAAAATGACAGTGAGGAATACGAAGATTAGTAGCAGCATCCTTTCAAGCAATAAAGTAATGCTATTCAGAATAATTAAGAAAACGATGAAGATGATGATGAAAATTTTGATGTTTTAAGTGGGATGAATTGATAATTTAAATCTAAGAAATTTAATTTTCACAATTAAAATCAAAGATAAAATGAAAAATATTAATTTATATTTAAGCGGTTTTTATTACTAAATTTGAATATTGGTAAAACATCTAAATGTAAACCGATTCTTTTAGAACATTTTAATTAATTAAATATTGTTATAGTTATGTAAAATCTGATATAATACACCTTGCATATCACAATTTATTTTATTGTAATAAGAAGAAAGTAAATTATTTAGTTCTAATATATTCATTAATTATCTATAAATTATTTTAAACATTTTTCTACCTAAACTTTGTTTTATTTAGATAGACTATGTATTTATATTAATATGTAAGCTGCATTTAAATTATTCTTTTAACATTCTATGCTTAATTAATCATCAGAAAATTAGAAAAGGATATGAGAAATTACATATTTTATTTATTAGAAAGCACAACCTAATTAGAAGAACAAATTTAAACATTAAATAAAACATAATAGTTTAATCTAAAAAATAATAGATATAAGTCTAAAATAGCAAAAATTTTTCATGATCACAATTTAACAAATATTATTAAAAGCAAAAAAACAAATAAAATTGATCCCCCACAAAAAATTAAATTTACTTAGAAGTTAGGTTAATTCTGGAAGAAATATATATCAGGCAAATTACATTTCATTTAGATTTTCTTAATGTTTTGATAGGAGTATAAATAGGTAAATTAAATTTTGAATAATTTAATAATTTTATCAACAAAAATAAATAAATAAATAAATAAATTCTTAATTCAATAATTCTACCTTTAAAATATAAAATGAACTAAAGAGAAATAAATATCATCGAAGAATGCAAGAAATTTGTTGCTGAGAAATTAAAAGATGCTGAAAAGGGTCATGGTTACGATCACATTTAAAGAGTTCATAATTTAGCAATAGAAATAAGCAAAGCTGAAAAAACTCCTAATAACCAATTTATTGTTGAATTAGGTGCTCTTCTTCATGATATTGCTGATTGGAAATTTACTGGAGGTGATGAAGAAGTTGCTCCTCGTCTTGCATCTGAATGGTTAAAACAATAAGGAGCTACTGATGAAGAAATTGATGCAGTAGTTCATATTATTAGAAATATATCCTATAAGGGAGCTAAGGTTGAAAATAAATTAAAGACTATTGAAGGATTTATTGTCTAAGATGCTGATAGATTAGATGCTCTTGGTGCTATTGGTATTGCAAGATGTTTTGCTTATGGAGGTTATAAAAATAGAGCCCTTTATGATCCTGAAATTCCCCCTGTCTTGCATGAAACTGCTGAATAATACAAAAATAACAATTCCCCAAGTTTAAATCATTTCTATGAAAAGTTATTCCTCTTAAAAGATAAAATGAACACAGAAGCTGGCAAAAATTTTGCTTAAAAGCGTCATGATTTTATGTAATAATTTGTTGACACATTCTTAAGTGAATGGAGTGGAAAACCTTGATAAAACATTAATAAATATTTTAAAATCTTATTTTTTTATGTGATAACTAACTAAATGTAACAGTGTATCTTACTTATAAAAATTAGATTTATTTTTACATTTATAAAATTAGTTTAATATAAATTAATAGAATTTTTAATCTTCATCTAATACTATATCTTTGAAGTATACTTACTATTTTTCAATGATACCCTTTTTTTAAAATATAATTTTCTTATTAGGCTATTTAAAACCTAATAAAAACAAAATAGTTTAAAATTTAGTTGGTTTTTTAAAACCAAATATTTTAATTAATATGCCTTTTAAAAAAGGGTATCTGAATCAGTGTAAAAAAATACAGCTTTAAATAAAATTAAAAAGAAAAAGTAAATGATTTTTTAACTAAACAAAATTAAAAGTATTTGAGATAATTTATTTAAGTAAAATACAACTTAAAAAGTTATTTTTTTTTTTGAAAATCAAATTAATGAGTATTTAGTTATATTTAATATTTATATATGAACTAATCCAGTTCCATTTATATGTTTTTGAAATGACTTGAATGGTTATTATTATTTCCTTTATATATTTATTTAAAAAGTTATTTTAATATTATTTTTTTAAACTTTCTATTATTTTTTAAAGCCATAGTAATCTTCTAAGCATTTTTAAAGGTACACTTTTTTTCTTACAGAAATATTTTTTATGCTTTTCTTTTTTGTTTTGATATATTAAAATTTTTTGTTTATATTTATTAGTATGTAATATGAAAATTAAAGAATTTATTAAAATAGTTTAAAATTAATATTTTTTTATTTATTTTTAAATTTTTTAAGAAGATATTTTTCATTTTATAAAAAAGTTTGTCTATCATTAGATCTGATAAGATAGATATAAAAAATTAAATTAAAAATTAATATTTGTATATTTATCCAAATAAATCAGTTAATAAGTTAGAATGTCTAACACATTACTTATAAAAAGAGATGAGCACGGCGAAAATAGATTTCTGAAACTTTCAAAATTCTATTAAGTATGCAACTAAAAATTTGAAGATGGATTTGAAGAATTTAAAGAGAATATAAAATAATCAAAGAATCAAACATTAATAAAAAGACAAAGTGAGTATATGGGTTACTTAAAATTAACAGGATCTACATTAACATAGATGGTAGAATAATGTGAAAAACTCGCTGCTTTATTGTAAACATCTAAGTATGAAGGTGAAAAGGCAAATTTTGAAATGTATTTTTATCATAGCTTTTAAATTTTGGACTACTTTAGGAATAACTACATTAAGAAAGAAGATTAAAATGATAATAGAGCTAAAAAAAATGTTTTGCGTCAAGTGATTAATGTTCTATTTTTAAAAAACTAAGGACATTTATTAGTTTATGATCTATTTATAGGATGGACTACATATTACAGTTAGATATTTGATGGATCTGCTGAAAATTAGGATAAAAAAGTACCACTACTTGAATTTTCTGGTAAAAGTAGAATCCTTTATGATTAAACTTTCATGAAAACCTCTTTTGCATTATGTGGATTGATATGCATAAATCCAATTAATTTAATCTAATTTGTTAGAGATTCTAGAAAATAAGAATTGCACTATTAAAAGCTAAAAAATTCATATAAAAATATTATAAATTTAGATATAGAGTAACAAGATTATTACTGGCACTTTATAGATACATTTTGTCACCATGCAAAATAACAAAAGCTATACAATCATATTAATATTCAAGCTTTATTATCTTTCATAGAATTATCATATATTTAAATGAAAGCAGCTTCTGATAGTTTTTCTACATCAAGTGAATTACATTAACTTACCCTCTGTGCAAATAAAAATGAATATAAATAACTATTTTAATTCATATAAGAAATAATTATTCCTTACTTAAAAGATCAGTTAGAAAAGTTAAAAAAACCAGAAAATTAAGACTATATCTTCAAATAGATCGATTTAAATACAATAAATAATTTAGAAAATTCATTTAGAATAATTAGAGAGAAAATGAGTAACTATAATAATAAGAGATTATTTTAAAATGAAGTAATTGGCGATGACGTTGAAGATTAAGAAGAAAAAGGAATTAAAACTGTAATAAATAATCCTTTTTACTTTTTATAAATATGATTTTTAAAATAAATTACTAATTTAAAATATGTTTTCTATTTATTTTTTATATATTGTATTCAACAATTAACACATCATTTACAAACAAATTAATTTTTTTATTATTAAGATAATAATTCATTTTTTTATTTTTCTGTAAAATTTTTTAAAAGTCTACAACATTAATACATTATCAATACATAAAATATAATGATAAAAAATTTATTGAGATTAAATATTGATATCTTTAAAATAAATTTAAGCTTAATTAATCATTTATTTGATAATTTTTTAGAAAATATTTGAATTAGTCAACTAATTATTCTATTAAAAATTACTGATGAACTATTTAAATCAATTTAAATATTTTTTAGTTGGTTGGACACTATTTAATATTAATTATTTTAATTAGTAAAATAAAATCATAATAATTGATCTGATTGTTTAAATATGATTGTGTTTAACATTGGAAGTAAATAAATTCAACCAAATATCAAAACTTAAAGTTTTATATATTTTTATCATCATTTATATCTTAAGTATATTTAGGATTTTTAGATTAGAAGGGAGAATAGAGAATAAAAAATATTTATTAATTAAGTAAATTATTTTATTTATTTTGAATAATTAATAATGAAAAACTTAAATTGTATAGCTTATGATATTATTTAGATGCTAATCAAGTCTATTTTTTATTTAAAATATTTCTCTTAAAAATGATATTTTCTTGATAAAGCATACATTTTTGTTTAAATTAAATAAATTTTATATTATTCAATCTTAAATATTTTTACTAATTTAAAACATAAAATATTATATTTTATCCATTAATTCTATGCATATTTGTCCATCCATATTTTTGAAGATATTTTTGCAAATAAATTAAATAAATGGTAATTATTAATTTATTTATGTGGGGAGTTTAAATGAATTTGTAAACAATTTAAAGAAGGGAGTTATGAATTAATGGTATAAATTTATTATGAATAAAATATATTGAATTATAAACCACACTTACTTCAATTTAATTAATTAAATAATAAAGCTATTGAGTGGATATATATATATTTATGATGATTAATTATGTTTTGGGTTATTCGTAATATTTAGAGTTATACTGATATTATAAATAAAAATTTATGGATAAGATGAACCGATAAAGAAACTTTAAATTTTATTATCAACACGAAACAAAGATTTTGCAAACATAATTTTTACGAATTTATAAAACTAAATTTGCTCCAAAGAATTTTAAGCAAGCAACTTAAATTAAAGCTTATAAATATTTTAACAGTAGCAAAAAACATAAAAATTTATTTTAAAAATTTTTCATAAAAATATTCTCTAATACAGGCAGACATCAAGTAAGTAGATCCCATAATGAATAGGTAAAATTAGGAATCTCCTTTGAGGAAATCTTTAGAAAAAATAGACTCTATGCTTTCATTAGCTAAGAATTCTTCTTCTGTTTATACTCCTAAAAAACAAACTTCAAATATATAATCACGTCCTATATCAGCTTAGCGCTACTCTTCTAAATAAGTCTAATAATCTTTGGTCTCAAACGGCTTTTCCACTCCTCTTAGAAATGGAACTTCTACAAATCTCAAAAGTAGCAGCAACTCCAAGCAAATGAGTAAATTTTATATTTATAATAATTTTATGATTTCCAATTATGAAACTAACTTACTTTTAATATTGCTTTGATAATTAATAACTTAAATATAAAATGGACTACAGAAATTAAATTTTATAATAAATCTATTTAAAAAAAGGAGGATCTAGTTTACATAGCAGTTAAGCTAAGCAGTTGTAATAGAGTAAGAAAAGTAGCACAAATTTAAATAATAGCAGTAATGGATTTTAAAATTATAGTAGTCTAATTGAAATGAGTCCTTCAAAAAGAGGAGTATAGCATACTACTTAATCAGTATTATTTCACACAAATATTAGTGGAACTCATGTTAAATATACTGAAAATGCTGCTGACAAGACTTCTATCACTAAATTAGGTTTGAAACTCCAACCTATTTGCATCAAAGAAGGTCATGATAGAAGTAAAATTTCTTATGTCTGTACAGATATTCATTGCTAAAATCAGCAGAAATTTGGATGCGCTCATTGTTTCTTAGAAGATCATGGCGAACATGCTATAAGAAAACTAAGAATTGAAGATTTTATAAATAGCATAGAATTTAAATACCAATAATATATGGATAGTGTGTGCAACTTAGCAAATTTAGCTAATATGATGCATAACCCTGCTTTTTTAAAGGGTATTCTTATCTAGTTAGATAAGCTTAAAGAAGAATTTATATAGAGAGTAGACATCATCAAAGAAAAGGTTTAAAGTATAATTTAAGAAGAAATAAGCCAAGATAATTTTATCATTGAAAATGAAGTCGATAAGCAACAAACTTATCTTTAACAACTTAAAAAAGCAATGCAAAAAAATATTTTTGAAATGAGTGATGATGAATTTGGGTATGCCTTAAACATCCACCATGATACCTTTGCTACCGATCTATTGAAAAGAACTAAAGTGATCTAAGATAGGTATAACGATCTTGAGAATAAATACAATTAAAATTTTAACTTGATGCATGAGAAGCTAAATGAAGAACTTGATAAAATTCTTACAACTTTTACAGAATTAGATATAAATGATGAAAATTTGAATAACTTCTAATTTAACTCATAAATCTTTATAAACAATAACTCACCCATAAATATTCAAAGAGCCTCTAGCTAAATAGATTATTCAACTCAAATCAATACTGATAATGAAGAAAGATAAAAGCATGCTAAAAAGTAAGACAAATCTGAATAGCTTGAAAGGAAGGAAGGAGACTCTTAACATCTAACTTAGCTATTAGCCAAGAAAGAAAGCCATGAAAATATATTAAAAAACAATGTCAAATTAATAGAAGAGTTGCAAACAATTTAGAGAGACATCAACTTTTAAACAATTAAAAACAAATTCCCTTACAAAGTCTATTAAGACTGTTGTCCTCATTCAATTAAATGCAACACAGTCCCTATTTTTGAATGCTGTAAGCAAGCTTATTAATGTACAATATGCCATGATTAGTAATCAAATCATAGACACCTAATGACTAATCCATCAAAAAGATATTGTCTGAAATGTTTTAAAGTATTTAATGTCAAATATTATACAAACATAGCAATTAACTGCAAAGATTGCCTCACAGTAAAAATCAAAAAGTGATTAAAAAAACAAAATCATGTTAAAACAAATAATTTTTTTATTTTATATTTTTGATGAAACAATTGAAAAGAATATATCTATCTACCTACCTCCAACTTTTCTGTAAATTACTACAAAATAATTTATATAAAAAATTATATAAAATAGAGTTCAATATTAATAAATAAATATCTTTTGATTGTAAAAATTATATATTTTATATCTATCACAATTATCATTTATGAAGTATTATTCTAACTTTATTTCTTTGATTATTAAAAAAATTAATTATTTTTTTAGTTATTTTTGTTTAATCGTTAATTAAATGAGTAAAATTTTTTTAAAGTATTTTAATATAAAAAAACTTTATTATTTTATTGTTTAAAAAAGCACTATTTATTAACTTTTTTTGTCATTTTTTATTCAGCTTTTTATTAAATTAATAACTAGATTTAAGTTTGTTTGTATCATTAAGTTAAGCTTTTAATTATTTTTTTTTGTTGTAATTAATAGCCTGATTAACAAAGTAGAAGTTATTAAGATTTATAAAAAATAGAGTTTTAAGAATGGATAGAAATTTTAAATCTTGTGATAATATTCAAATTTCAAAGAAAAAAAATGCTGTAATCTTTTAAGATTCCTTAGATGCAAGAAATTCTTTTTCTAGAAATGCTAGCGAAGATTTAAAACAATTCCATAGGAGTTGCTATGTTTTAATGCCATAAATGAAAATAAGGAAAAATAAAAAATCTGGTGAAATAGAAATAGAAAAAAAGAATGGAAAATCAATTGAAAAGTTTGAGAATTTGTATGGAGAGGAATTTAATGAGCAGGCTTATTAAAATAATGAAAAATTATGTGTAAATAGTTTAAAAAATTGGTACCAAGAGAAAAGTAAAATAATATTAATATTATTTGAAAGATTAATCTTATCAATTTAAATAAGAAATTATGGGAGACTGCAAATAAAAAGACTAAATAAATCATGTTTTATTTGATAGATATAAAAAGGAAATACAAGTGATACAGAGAAATTAATCTAATTCATCATCTATAAAATAGTAAGTTGTAAATGATCCTGAGTTAAGATTAGATATCATCAATTCAATAGATTAAGTTAACTTTTCTTAGGAATAAAGATAGTCTTAAGAATAATAATTGCAAGGTAAATTTTAAAAATTTTAAGATTAATTAAATTTAAAAAAAAAAATTTCTAAAGAAAGCTTTAGGGGAAGTTTATATGAGAAGTAGTTTTTCAATAGATGGAGTTAAGAAGCGATTAGAAATGAACTTAACCATAAAATAATCAACGATATAGTATTTAACAAAATGAAAAAATTACTAAATAGCCCAAAATTTTAATCTGAAAGAGATAAATAACAGGAAAAAACTAAAGAATAATCTTTATTATTAGGTATTAGTTAAATGAATTAAGAAAGTATTGAATCTAAGTAAAATAACAATCCTAATAAAACTGCTATAAATGCTTCTTTATTAAAAAAAGAAAATTAAAATGTTATAAATACAAAATTTAAATCAAAGAGCTTACATGCTTCTTCTCCATAAATAAAAAATGAAGTGGATGATTAGCCAAAAATAGAATTCTTACCTCTAAACTTATCCATAAGCAAAAAACAAAGTAAGATAATAAACATGTATATTGTTTTAAATATTGATTTTAAAATTTATTAAGGTATTGAAGATCAAGAAGAATAATTCTCTAATTTCATAAAGTTTAAAAATAAAGAAGACCTTTATTATGGGCTTAATAGCTTTAAATGTATTGCTTAGAAATATAAATCTGTAAACCATCATATTGATTACCAAAGTATATAAAAAAAAATGAGAGAAAATATTACGAAAAAAGAAACTTTGTTTGATCTCGATTAAGATAGAGAATAGCTTTAAAAAAAAGTTCTCACATTAAAGTTTGTTGAAGAAACTATCTTAAAAAAATATTAAAAAATAAGAATCATAATAAATAATAAAAAGGAAATTATTACTAATTTAATATTTAACTTAAATGACTTCTTTAAATAGATTTCTTAGAATTAGCAAACAGTAATTAATTATTTTAAATAATTAAATTTATTTATTAATTTTAATATTAAATTTAATAAAATTAATTTTTATTTTTAAAATATTTATTTTAAGCTGTAAACTATGCAGTAAGATTTAGAAAATAAGATAAAGTAGGAAATAGCTAAAAGGGTTTAATATATTCATTTTAGTTTAGGTAGGAGAAATGTTATATTTCAAAGAACAGATTAAGAAGATAAATTTTAAGTAATTTCATTTTAATATTTTAGATATATTTTTTAGATAATTTTGTTTCTATAAATGAATAGAAAATTAGAAAACAAAACTAAATAAAAGAGGAATAAATACAAAAAGAAATATCTATTTTAAAAATGAAAGTCAAGGAAATTTAAGAGCAGATAGATTCTTTAGAGAAGAGTGTTTCTTCTTTAAAGTTGTAAAAAAAGTAAATAAAACTCCATGCAAAAGAATTTTACCTGAATATTATTTCAGAAGGCATTGAAAAATACGAACATAATGAAAACGCTTCTTATTTAGTTTAAATGTTTTGGAAGATGAAAGAAAATTTTGATATTGAAATGCTACCAAACACTCTTGATACTGAATCGAAAATATATGTTTTTAAAGTAAAAATGTTTCATTTTATTAACTTATTTTTTTTTTATTAAATTATTTTATTTTTAGTTGGCAAATCTTTAGCAGAGTTTGAAAGAAAAGTAAGATGAAAAAAAAAGATATCTTGAATAATTGGAAATTAAAAATAGTTAGTTAAATGATGTCAGTGGAAGAAGTTCAGGTGATTAATCCACGCTTTAAAGGTCGATTGATGAATTTAATAACTAGATTGAAGAGTAAAAATAAGTAAAGAATGTAGCTTAAGATAATGTTTAAAAATTAAAAGTTAAAATAAAAAGTATGATTGGTAGTTGTTTAAATCCTTATAATAAAGAGAAATAAATTAATGTGAGAAAAAAATCTATAACCTCTTATAGAAGTTCATATAATTTTTAATTGTAAGATTAAATAGTTACAGAATAGATAATCCCTAATAATTAACCAAATTAAACAAGCTTTATGCAAAATATAAATGCTAGAATTGACAAATCTGCTATAAAATCTTTAGATTCTTAAATAAAATTATTAGAAAGTTAGGTAGATGACCTAACTAAATAAGAAATTAACAGATTGCAGTAAAATTTTATTTCAGATAGCAACAATCATAATGAAAAAATGTTGAAATCGAGATTGTGTTTTTTATTAGGGTTTTAGAAGGGTTTAAATGCTTTTTAAAAAATTATTAAGGAATAATAAAAATAAGTTAAAAATTAAAAAATAGGTTAGGAAAAAAGAGATATTCCTACTTTAAAACTATCAGCAGATTTCATTAACAAATAGTAGATTATTTTAAATGTAAATAATTAATAAGATCATAAAACTTTAATAAAAAAACAAATAAATTAGAATGAATCTTTAGTAGCTAGTAGCAGAAGTTAAATAAATTTATTTAGCCCTATATACTAAGCTAATTTGTCAAACAGCACCTTTAAGAAATAGTAAAAACTTAATTAAAACCAAAGCGGATAAATTTTTTTTAACCCTGACAAATTAAAAAATGTAAGCATATAATTTGGAATACCAAATAAAGATTTAAGTAGCTATGTAAATAGTGGTAAATCTTAGAATAAACTTAAATCTAATTAAATTAAATTTTAATCATTCAACTAAGATAAGAACAATATACAAGCTTGAGAAGTAAAATCCAAAGAAAACTTATGAAAGGCTGAAAAGAACTATTGAATTTTTAGATTTATTTGTTATTTTTTTTGAGTAATAATCTAAACAATAAAATCTATTAAAAGTTTTTATTAAGTTTCAATTGTAAAAATTAACATTAAAAATCACATTTATCAATAATTTTATGTTTATAATTTTATTTGAAGAGAAAAATTTTGAATAAATTGTAAAATTAAAATAAACTATTTTTAGCAAGAAAAATTCTTTTGAATTGAAAAAAAAGTCATTTAATTAAAATCACCTAATAGCTTTTATTAAAGCTGATTAAAAAAATAAAACTTTAATGATTTGAAGATACTTTAAGAATTTTTCAATTATTGAAAAATAGTAAATAATCCAAAATTTATCTTATCCAAAATAAAACAATATGTTTTTTTTACTTTTTAAAAAGATTTTTATCTAAATTCGAATATAAATTTACAAGTTCCTAAAAATAAAAATATTTTTTTATTTGAGGAAATAAGTTTATTAATGAATATTTTTAATAGTTTATTATAGATTAGTTTCAGGGGTTGGGGTTGGGGTTGGGGGGTTGG